TTTACAATTGAAGATTGGAAGGACCAGCCCGGTCTTCATGTGCCTGCCGTGCTGCCCTACCCTATACGCGGCAAGAGCCAATGTCTGATATTGTCGATCCAGTAAAGCGGCCGAAGAGCAAAGAAGGCACAAGAGCGACCAAGAGGCACCAGAAGACATCAGGCGGTGCCCGGGCACATTCGCACCTGCGGCCTACCAACGGAACCACACGGAACCTCCCTGCCTGGCTCGCCTGGGACGCTATCAGCCCGGGGGCCCTGCTGTCCGCCTTCTGCACCCCTGTCGCCTTCCACTTAGCCCCCCGGTTTGGCGTGCTCCAGTGGGAAGGAACCTGCGACTAGAGGGGGCGGGGCGTGGGGGACGCTAATTAGCTGGTCAGGAACAATATCTGCGACATCATGCATATTCGGCCATAATTCTCTCAACACACTACTGTACGGTTCAAATAATGAGGGCGTGTCCTGTAAATGTGTCTATCGAGAGTCTTTACAATTGACTACCTTAGGCACAGACTTCAAGACGCATGTACACGCGGACACAGTCGAAGCACCTTCACATCCAGTACCACCACCATCACTCATTTCAGCATCAGCAACGGAAAAGCCGTCACCAATAGAGCGCCATGCGAGACGTATGCAGCCTTCCAACAGGCAACATGAGGTGGGAAACAGGGTTGCACTCTGCATCTTGTCACTCCATCTGATTTGCCTCTCCATTGGTGGCCTGGCCCGCCCAGCAACTGCGCCCACTACCCAGAGCGACTACAAGAAGAGGTATCTCTCCTGCTCTCGTTCAACTAACACGACATGAGCAGCAGCAATCCCTAGTAACCCTACGGGCGTGAAGCCGTGAACATCGTCCTTGATGAGACCAAAAGGGTCCTCTCGGTTCTCCCCTCTCCTCTCTCTCCCCTCCAAAGCTACCCAACCCAACCCCTTCTGCCTCTGATTGTCATCAGCAAAATGCTGACCGGGAACAGGGGAGAAGGATCGAAGCAGCATGGCCGGGCGGACGGACTCCCCGCCAGAGAAAAGGGTTCCATATTGTGGACAGGTACCCCGTAATCATCCTCATCTTTTACATAAGTACCTCCGCTTCGTTTTACCACTTGTTATGCCCATCGTCCCCGGTCACACGAGACATCGGCCGTTGTATGCAACTGCTCCCAATGACTGCGGCGATCCGCATGGCTATTTTCATCCATGAGCCACCACCGGAACCAAGGAAAGATTCAGAACATCAGGAAGTCCACCAGAAGCTTTGAGCTTGTCACTCCAGTCACCCGCAAGAAGGGCAAAGCCGAGATGCTACTGGCTCAAAATCCCTCGATAGAGGGTGAGCCTTGCGCGAGCTCTCGCATACTCCCAAAGAAACCTGCATCTTCTTCCTTTTTCTCCCCGTCATCGACATTTGACAGGCTAGCCCACCACTTCCATCACAACGCTAGATCTTTCTCGGCACCTCGGCAGCCCCTAATGAGCTTGCCCCTTGGCGCCCTGTGGCGCCCTGGATCTGCTGAATGGATGGAGCCGTGGGAACCAAATCCAACATGGTGCAGCACGTCTATCACATTCGCTTCTCTTCTCATTGCCCATTATCGGATGACTTGGAGGGAGTCATGCTTGCTTATTCTCCTCGATTAACCATCACCGCCATTGCCGATTGAGTTGCTTTCGCCGCACCAAAACATGCTTCTGCTTCGCTGCCCCTTCCGAAGAGATGCCTTGGAGTAAGCAGCGGCAAAAAGAAACAACCTCTTGCTGAAACAACGAAAAATGTGAGCTCAGCTGTCTCAGGCCTTACGATACCCCTCCTCCCCCACCTTTCTGGTCAGATCTTGGTGGGTTTGGCAAGAAAGGGTGGTCCGGTCACATAACCGGACCCGGCGGTGGTGTCCTGGGCTGCAGCCAGCCAACGGTGGCCAAGAGCCCGGGGTCCATATTCAGCGGGCGCGCAACCGACATGTGTCACACACATATACACGAGGCGCAGATGAACAGCCAAGTCGGATCTTTACACAGGCGGACAGGCTTGTGACATGAGAGTAACTTCTCAAGTATCCCGTTGCTGCCGCCATTTTGTTCAGTCAAGAAAGAAATTCCACCGGCCATATCACCTTTTCAACCGGATGAATCGCTGACATCAACAGGTACTTTCATTTCATGAGAACTTCCCTGGACCAGCTGAACGAGTTCCGAGCGATCAAACGCCCCTTTCACCACGGATTCATCCGAAGTTGCCTGATGAGCTGGCCGTTTGATGAGATTCAACACCTGTTGGACAGTCCAGGGCTCTTGATGAACTTCGCTTCTCGTTTCTGGGTTTCTTCCCTGTTTGGAAGATAGTAAGCGTGGGTACTTCTTCCCGCCTCACCTCTCAGGAACGTTTCGTTATACAGGGCGGACCACCGAAGTTATTACGTGCCGCACACGTTTGAGACGACTCACAATGCTGTACCACCAGAGCTAAGCAGTGTATATATGGCAAGCCAACTTAATCTTGCCTACATAGCACGGCGATACCTACACCCACCTGCCGACATACATTGCTACCGAGTACTACCCATAGATGGAAGTAAGCTGCTGCGCATACATACATCTATAGCCACACACAATGTGTGATCCGGATTCTCACTGGTAGGTATCACACAGCCGCAATGCGGGCAATCTAAAACATCAGGACGAGTGGACGGTCAAGTCACTTACCCTACCGTCGCTACCAATGTCCCAATATTCCAAGAATCCGAATCCCTATGTTCTATCCAGCGGTGGGGGCCATGAGATATGATGATTCAAAACGAAACAATCATCAAGTTATATGAGATTCACATCGACAAAGGCCGAAATGTTTTGTTCATAGGTACCTTGTCCACGAGAGAGAAAACATGCCTGGATGAAACAGACAGGCAGTTTTGTTTCTCCCAGTCAGCGAAAGGATGTAGGTGTAGACATATAAGTCCTAAACATCGAAACAGTCGTTCACGAGAAACAAGATATCATGGGGGGGGGAAACACTTGTTATGTATAATAACACACAAAGCCCATCATCCTTCGGTTACTTGTAAAAAGCAAAGGTAAGGTTCCTTTACGTAGAAAAGACAGACGTTGGTTGTCCTTGGGCAATGATATATGAGGATATATATATGTCATACAGCGAGTCCAGTGTATAAAAGCCAATTCTCAGAGGCACATGAAACACATAAAAGGAAAAGAAAAAAAACACAAGACATACAGACTTCTGCCCAGGTACCCACACTAATGAGAGTTTGAGTCCAAAAGAAGGTTTCAATGCAAGTTACTTACTTGATGGTGACATATACAAGACTGCCCCGGTAGATTGATTGTATCCCAATTCCCAAACAAATGTGCGGTTACCTATCATGCTTTGATCACCCGGACCATAACACCCCAACCAATTTGACACCGGTCACGACGGAATCCCGTTGTCCTATCCTTCCTTCCCTTTCCCTCCACTCCCTTCCTGCTTCGTTTAATACGTTCGACAAGAAACAATTCCATAAACCACGAAATGCTACTACGACCATCACAGCCATCTCCTCCAAACCTTAAATGATTTTTAGAGATACTATATCACCTACCTAACAAAATCCTCGTCGGTCAGGAGGACCCTATGTTGCATTGAGGATTGATATACATCTACGGATAAGCGACGCCTCAAATACACATTTACATGGCATGGCACGGCATGGCACGGCATGGCATGGCATCACGTATGTATGTTCGCATTGCATACCTACCTATATATACCTTATCTATTTCTCATTCTCGTACATTGCCAGTGCATGTATCGTACCGTAGGTACCAGGACAGACAGTTGAAAACAGGTCCAATCATGCATGCGTGGTTCTAGCGGCGTGGTGAACTTGAAGAGCAGACAGACAGAATTAAGCGGATGACGATGTTAAAACGGACAGGTAGAGATGTATAGTATAGTGAAGAATTACGATGACCGAGCGAACCTTAGATTATACAGTACAACTAGTGAAAAAGGAGTTTGTGATCGAGGTGAAGTGACATGGAAGTGCCGGTATAAACATGCTCGAAGAGAGCGGGATAGTGCCTGCCAGTGTTCGGATACTCAACCTTGGGGTACCTGTTGGCCGATGTAGCTGTTGGCTTTGAGAACAACACTTACTGATTCCTCATTCCGCATCAAACAAGAGTGGGTTGTGAAGACTGGACTACAAGTGAGCAAGAAAATTGCTAGGAAAAGGACTGGGAGGATCTGAGCTGGTGATGGCCTGGTCTGTAGATGCTGGGCACGATAGGCAGGAACCAAGGGGCACACCGGGGAACGGGCGGGTGCCGTCTTGCCATCAAGACAAAACCGATTCGGACTGCACAACGGTTCAAGAACGGGACGGCATAAAGATGCACCATGGTTGTGTGTCTATCCCCTGATATGGTACCGAAGCTCGCGAAGACAAGCACTTCCTGCAGCTACCTTGATGTTGAACAGAGGTTGGAATATCAACCTAGTTCATCACCAAAGAAGTACGGTAGTCATTACCGCCGTCACACCCCCAGATTGTTTATCCCGTTGTCACAGCTAAAGGCATTGGGCCCGAACTTCTTTAAAAACATTCTTCTATTTGCTATCTCGGTTTCGACATAATCGCTTGTCGGAGAAATCATCGTATGTGGAATAAATCGATCGGCAGGGCGACAAACAGACATGGGCGAGAGGAGATGTAGACCTAAATGATGGACCTCGACCTTCCACAGCAAAAGCCAACGGAACCCGTGGTGAGTAATAGGACATTTTAATCTTCCTGAATTGAAAAGAATAAAACCGGGAGTGACCATGGAGAAGGAGTCAAACTCGGGTGAACTTCAGGGACCGCATAGTCAGTTGGGGGCAGAAACATATCACACACAAAATCGAGGGGGGATGGTTGGAGGCAATGGGTAGGGGTTCGGCGCTGCGCTTATTCCTCGAGTGTCTCGCAAACCTAGATACCGTGTCCAAGTGTCGTAATGGACGGCTGTATACAAAGTGCACACATCATAAAGGCGAGGAACACGACGGCTCGGCCTTCAAATCGTCTTTGGTGATTTTTGATTTGCCGTCGTTTGGCAAGCCTGATCGTAAAGCAAGCCCTGAACTCCTAAACACATGCCAAGAATCCCAATCCGACCTTTTGTGGCCGACATTTACTCCTCGGGGACTGTAACAAGTCAGCAGGGGCGCTCACAACCGAAGCCAAAGGGGGACAAGCGCAAGATGCGCCCATCATGGCGGCGCATGAAGCGCAATGGGGAACAACGTACTATCGATCTCGCCGGCGTGGATAGCCTCCTGGACGGCCTTGGGGCTCTTGCCATCGACCTGGCAGCCGACGGAGAAAGCGGTACCGAGAACCTCGAGGACGGTGCCCTTAAGCTCCTTGGAGAAGGACTTGAAGCGCATGGTGCGGGCGATCTCGATGATCTCATCAAGCGAAACAGACTTGTTGTGCTTGATGTTCTTCTCCTTCTTGCGGTCCCTAGGGGGCTCCTTGAGCGCACGGATGACGAGCGCGGAGGCGGTAGGGACGACGGAGACGGCCGCCTGACGGTTCTGGATGGTGAGCTTGACGGTCACGCGGAGACCCTTCTGTATTCGTTGAAAATCGCATTGTCAGAACTGTATTCCCCTTTCGTTTCGCTCATTGCGTCGTTCATGCAAAGTCGGATAGAGAGCCAGAATTTCGTACCCAGTCACCAGTAGCCTTGGCGATATCTTCTCCGACCTTCTTGGGGGAGAGACCAAGAGGACCGATCTTGGGGGCAAGAGCCGACGAGGCACCAACCTCACCACCGGTGGCCCGGAGGGTGCTGCACACAGAAACCGCCCGTCAGTATATCTGTAATTCGTGTTCGTCGCGCGTATCGTGTCGCATCGAGTCGCCTCGAGCGACGGATCGTTGGGTGGGTGTGTTCTTACATAACCTTCACCTCATTAGGATCAAACTTGGGAGCTGCAAATTGGGCATATCGTCAGTTTCGTGTCGTCAATCAATGCCAGGCAAATAGTAGGGCCATAACTTACGCATGGTGACGGCTGGTGATTGTCAAGATGCACTTGGATGGTGTTCGTGGGAAGGAGGAGACCGTACCGAGGATCCAAGACAACAACGAAATCGAAAAAATCCCAATTGTGGGATCTGAACCTGCCTGCCCTAAGATTTTGGCTGTGTGTGGCTGGTGCTTTTGGCGGGGTACCAGCCACAAAATGACAGCTTTCAGCCACAATCCATCCCGTTTCATGCTTCGGTTAGCGCCGTGCTGCAACCGCTACGTTCGCCTGCCAACACCTGCCAAACCAGGGAAAACAACCCCCTGAATCTGAATGGGGACAGAAGGCCAAGGCCTCCAATCTGCCGCCCAGAAAACCACAACGACATCCCATCGGTGGCAAAACTCCAAATGGGACTGGAGATGGAAAAGAACAGCGCACTGGATTCATATTAATGATGGGATCTATTTTTGTGCTCGTATAAGTCCACATAAAACTAACGCTAGATAATTCCAACAAAGTCGTCCACCGCTTCCGGGGCTTGCATTCAACTTCTTCACCCACTTCCAACAGCTCACTCGGTCTGTCCACTGCTCTCACATTTAGTTGGTTCCACTCACGGCAAGCTTCATGAGATGCTCCATAAAGGTCTGCAGAGAAACATCGTCGGTGAAGATAGTCTGGGCGCTCTGAGCTCCAACACCGCCATAGGCGCCAGCACCTGATGTATGAGTAGTGGAAGGGTTAAGCTTGGAAAGCAGGAAACGAGCTTGGGAACCGCCCTGGTCGCAAACAATGAAACGAGGGAGAGGGAAACGGTCCGTGATGAGATCCTGTACACAGTTAGAAAAAGCCCCAACATAATTCCATCAAAATGGAAGAGGAGACAACTTACTCTTGCATCTTCCTTGGGCTGCTCCAAAAGTGCAGCAAAGTTCTCGTATCCCTCTTGGTCTTGGTAGCCGGCCTTCCTCCATTCCGCGATCGTCTCACCATGGAAGATCAGAATATGGAAGAAGGTATCGAGCAGAAGGATGTGGGTAGGCTGAATAGAGGTAGAGTCGAGCAGAACGGGGACACCGCCTTCTTGGTCGAATGTGTAGGAGTCGAGCGTTGGTTGAATCATGATGAGGGAGTTGCTAACATCCTCATGGTTGAGAACATGCCGATAGAATGCGGTCTCATCGGGAGAGTTGTTAAAGACTTGCAAGAACTGACTCCTGCGCAAGTGGAACATGAACTGTGGGTATAGCGTAAAGTTCTTTTCCAAACGGAACGATGACGGGTCGTCCTTGCGGTAATCGGCAAACCTGGCGCAGAGCCTGATAAGCATGCGGTCAACCCACCGGAGCACGTCAGGCCCATCGTCAACCTCCGCCTTGAAAACAGCAATACGCGACATGAGGACGGCTGCCGCCTCTTGGTCGAATGACTGCGCGATGGCCGGGTCTCCGGCAGGGCCGCTGAGGTTCCGGGCAATGGTGGTCACCCGAAGGTGGAAGTGGCCAGACGAGTGCTGGTAATAAGTCAGGAACTGCATCATGCCCTTCTGAGGACTCTGCATGTTCTGGGATGGGCCACCTTGGTTGGCGATTTCGAAGTAGATTCCGTAGCTGGAGCTGGGGTCGATACCGCACATCTTCCACGTGCAAGTGTTACCGATGCCGCACTCGGTTTCGCCGACGGAAGTCGATTTCTTGTTGAGAGAGACGGCGTGACCAATCAACCCAGTAACCTTGAGTTCCTTCGTCGTCAGTACTTCCAAAACGGCATTGAAGCCCATCATCAGATTGTCATCCGCGTCCTTTTCGAAAATGCGAACAAATGACTGCTTGAACATGGATGAGGTGAAGCTGTCCGTCAGGATCATGTGGCCACCAGTCGAGTTGCACAGACCCTTCATCTCAAGCAGACCAACTTGATCAAGACAGCCGGCAAAAATATCAATGGTGTGGCCGTTATGCGCAGTTCGCTTAGCGAGATTGTCGTAGAACTATAGCGGAGGTCAGCATGACACGAACTGTTTCCTGCATCACAACTTGTAAAGACGTACCTTGAGCGCCTTCTTGTAATACTTGATGTTGTCACGGTCGATATCGTGATGGGAGCGGATGGGCTCTCTCAGCTCGGGGCCAACAACCATGCCAGGTCCCTCAGTGGCCGGACCACCAGCAAAGAGCATAATGCGACCACCGGCATTCTGGAACGAAGTCTCAAGCAGGCCAACAGCAACGGACAAAGCAACACCTGTGCAGCGCAAGGCTCTGAGGTTGCTGGCAACAGGCCAGGGATCCTTCTGAAGCTGCTCAATGGCCTTGGTCAACTGGAACTCGGCCTGAGAGACCGGAAGCAAGAACCTTGAAGCAGGGCCGGCCGGGAAGGGCCTGCCAGGCTGCTGCATAGGCATGCCCGGGCGCATAGCAGGTTGTACGAGCCCAAGCATCTCCTGGACCTGCTTGGCCGCGTACTCCTTGTTACCGCGGAAGACATATGACTTGGGGCACTCGGTGTAGCCAATCTCGTGGACCTGGGCCATGGTGCCGTATGTGATCAGACCGACGAGGGCGTGCTCGGGCAACAGGCTCAAGCTCATGATGAGCGACTCCTTGAGGGCAGCCAAGCTGTCCTCCTCCTGGCACGTATCGACGACATAGAGGAAGATCGGAGGGGCGGGGGCGGGCCGCGAGAGCCTGTACTCGATGGTGGTGTTGGAGGGGTGCAGCTCGGGCGGGATCGCATTTGCGGTGATGTCCTTGTAGTGTGGCGGGAGAGGATTCCTCGAAAGACAGAAGGGGCAGATCCACAGGCGGGCGCGCACATCGACTTGGCTGGGCGAGGGTATCAGCAATAGGCGCAACAACTCGGGGCGACGAGAGGGCTCACCAGTAGGGGTTCAACACGGAGCGGCAGGGCTGCTTGCAACTGACGGGGTCGAACTGCAGCAGAGGCGTGTCGGGCTTCTCCTTGAGAGGGGTATAAAGGGCGCCGATGGGGACGACGAGTCTGGAAGCTTCCTGTAGAAAGGGTCAGCGATTAAGGGGTTGCGCGAAGTGGTAACTATGCGAAAGAGCGGAACTGACCATGCGGGTGCTGGGGAAGACATTCCAGCTCAGACGAACGCCATCACGGTCCTCGACCTCGCCCCATTGCTCCTTGAGGGCTTCGTAATCCATGTTGATGTCGACGGCGTCCTCGGTCGATGGTCGCAGTCGGGGATAGAGAGGAACAGAGGGGTGGTGGTGTCGGTGGTTGTCGATTAGAGGATTAAGGGAATTAATGTGGATGATCGTCTACGCGGTGGTAGCTCCAGAGACACGGGGCGAGCGGCGGGCAACGGGCAACGGGCAACGTCGTCGGGCGGCTACGTGCAAGGTGTCATTAGCTCCGAGACCTGGAACGCACGAGACACTCTCGACATCCACCGTCTTGCGGCAGGCGTCGGCGGGACCTGAGGCTGGATGTGGAAGCTAGGGGGAAAAAGCGGGCTCCGTGCGAGTACCGCGGGGGGGAGCAATAAGGTACGTACGGGATCCCGGCCGTGTGTCGGGTCTCGCCAGGAAGATGCAACAACTGAAGAACTTCTTTTTTGGAGCTTCTGAAAATTCAAGGTCCACTTTGAAAGTGTTGACCGCCATCCAGGAAGCCTTGCTCAAGATCAAAAAGTTGACGACACGCTGCTCTTCTGCAATCGGCCAAGTGGTTGCGACAGGTGATGGGACGAAGGTGTTCAGAAATATATTTGCGGCTCTGTTGTCATTTGCTCCCCTCCAGCCGTTGTTGAAAAGGACAGGTACCTCGTTCCCTCCAACGAAAGGCAGCTCTGCTGACAGGCGACGGGAAGCTGTCTAACAGCTGGCAAGTAGCCGCCGAGCTGACGCCACTCACCACTCACCTCACCGTCTCACCGTCTCACCGTCTCACCGTCTCACCGTCTCACCGTGGTGAACTGCATCTCCTCAATCCCAGAACGCTTGCAAGTCCTCTTCCGCTTTCCCGGTGCAGTGATGTTCCCGCACCGTTGGATCATGAACGACAGACATCATTGGCGAATCGCGACGGGAGCACTATCCAGATCCCAAGTTTCCCACCCTATAAGCATTTAGTCCGGCGTATATACCTCCCAACACCTCAACACATCCAAATTTCCGTTCCTTTCACCAAGAAAATCGCGAAGACTTTTGCACCAGCTGCCCAAAAATTGCTGGGGAACTCCTTTTCGCAACTCAGCTGGCCCCAAAAGGGGGCTTTTTGGGTGAACTGTTGCATTCTGGGTTGCAGAGCACGTTTGCTGGAAGGAACACCTGTGCACTTCGAGAAAGGGAATTTTTTGGGATCTGGATAACGACCCCCATTCGCGACATCTCGACATGAAAATGGAAACCTATTCGGCATCATATGCTCGCCATCATCATGGGAGCCTGGGGAGACGTCAAGCTTTTGATTCCGATGCCCTTCAGCTCCAGCCATGATTCTAACCAGTGGCCGACTGGCCGTTGAGTCTGAGCTAGCTCTGATTGGGCTGCTCGCATCTCAATCCTACCGCTCGGTCTTATGTCGATGCCTATCACCATGCCAGCATTTGGTCTTCTTCAAGGAACCGTACCCTGCTCGCGCACCCTGTTTCAGCCCACCGTGTCGAGTTTCCGCTCCGGTGCATGACCAAATTACTTTTCGTGTAACCGTCGGGTTATCCTGAAGAATCCATCTGTCGCGGGGGAAGCCCGTTAAAAACACTCGTTCGCTCGCTGGCTCAGTCAATCAAGGTAAATTCGCGGCTGTGCTGCATAGCACGAACGCTCTTCGGGGATCACCCCCTCGAGCCCCTCTTCAAGTTACTCGACGAGTAGTGATCAGCCTTATTTGTTGTGTAGTGCTGACTTGATGCAACCCCTGGGTACGCCAAGTGGGCGAGCAGCCACCAGGTAGCAGTCCACGATGATCCGACCTCGTCTATAATCATGGTCGGATCCTATAGGGTCATCACCTACCACCATGTCTCAATGGCGCTTAAGGTGGGTAGGAAGCTGACACGGGTAGCATATTGCCCAAGAATTCTTCTTCCTCTCCCATTCTTCTTTTTCCCTTTTCTCTCTTGTTGCATTTTTCATATCTCCGGTGAAATCAGACATCATGGTCAGGAGGTCGACTCCCGTTTTATGGTGTGTAATACAGCCATGGATTTGCCAGGCGGCTAGCATTACCACCCTCCCCAAGCCAGATGATTCAGTCGTCCTTCCACGGCAGGTCAACGGTGACGTGAGTTCCTCGACATTTCTGCGCAGAGGCTATCATACGTGTGAGCATTGCCGTCATTGTCTTTTTCCTCAGTACACCATGACCATTGGGCTAATTGAACCAAAGCCGCGGTTTTGGACGGGCGAGTGTACATTGACGGCGGCGAGGTTTCGTATTACAGCGGTACCAACATCAACTTTCAATACTGTAAGACTACTCACAAACAAATCGTCGAGCTTACAACACCATTCTAACTCTACCCTAGCCAACTCGTTGCTTTCTATCGATTTAACCGAGGACTGGACAAGTGATTCAGTCCGGTTCGACTCAACATCCAAACCGTCTGGTGCCGCCAACCTCGATGGCGGAGGAATCTGGGTAGACGAGACGGAAGGTGTCCTATACACGGGATTCGCTGGCACCAAGTCGAATTTTGGAGACAACGCCAATCAGCCTCAAGGCCTATGGTCATTCAAGCCGGATGGTAAAGGAGGCGGAACCTGGCAAAACCTGAACAGCACTGCGGACAAGACATTTACGGAAAAACCGAGACCGTTCAAGGGCAAAGTAGCCAGTGGCAATGGCGTTGGTTACTTCCTCGGAGGTACGCAAGCTTTTTTTTCCCCGACCTCGAAGACTTCTTTGTAAGTGATCCGTGAAGCTGACCTCGATCAACAGGCTTAGATGGGTGGGGCACCAATGAATCAGACTTCCGCTCGGGACCGGTGAGTGGCCTTCTCACGTACGACTTCGCGTCGAAGAAGGCCATCAACACATCCGTCTCCCTTGCTTCCACCCAAGGATCGGAGCAATTTGGCAGTATGCTCTACGTGCCCAACTTTGGCAAAAAGGGAATCCTGGTTTCCGTGGGAGGCCTCATAGGGAGCTTACCGACAGCCCGAGCCGATGACAATGACAAGCTGGGCTCCATGGACAGCGCACGCATCTTCGACATTGACAGCAATGCTTGGTTCGAACAAAGCACATCGGGCACCTCGCCCGCGCCAAGGCAGGAATATTGTATGGCAGGAGTGGCATCGGACAACCAGACCTACGAGATCCTCATCTACGCCGGCTGGGGTCGCAATCTGGGCGCCGTATCTGTACCCTTCGACGATGCCTACGTGCTCACCCTGCCCGGGTTTTACTGGACCAAAGCTCCCTACACGGCACGGAATCCCAGACACGCGCTCAGCTGCAACGGGGTCGGTGGTGGTCAGATCATAACAATCGGAGGCGTCGACACTACTAGAGAAGGACCCGACACATTGTATAAGGGGGTTTTCACGACCAGCGATCCCTTCCCACAAGGCATCGCGGTGTTTGATCTCGCTACCTTGAAGATCACAGACACTTACACAGCGAACCGAACCTCGTACTCGCCTGCCCCTGCGATTCAGTCGTTCTATAACGACAAGTAAGTGACCTTTAACACCCCACCGGAAAACATAGCAAAACAAAGCAGAATAAATCACTAACCACCTCTCCCTTCCACCACAAATAGAGGCCGAAAACCCGAGTCCGGCTTCACCAACAGCCAACTAGAGTCCGTCTTTGCCAACCAAAATTTTAAAGCCACCAACAATAGCGACGCCTCCTCGCCCCCGACTCCCTCAGACTCCTCCTCACCATCGCCCTCCGGCTCAACAGACCCCTCCAGCAGCAGCGGAAGCAAAAGCAGCAGCAGCAGCAGCAAGGCAGGGCCCATCGCCGGCGGCGTGGTAGGCGGCGTCGCAGCCATTGCCGCGGGGATAGCGCTGGGCTATTTCCTCGCTCGCCGACGTACTACTAAGAAAAAGGGACTGTCTGAAGAAGGGGAACACCAAGAGCAACAACAGCAGCAACAACAACAATCGCCGCAGCAGGGACAACAGCAAGTACAACAGGAAACCAAGTGGCAGCCGGGGGGTTACGAACCTTATCCTGGTGGTGGTGCTCCTGTTGAGGCGCCGTATACTGATGGTACTGGGAATGGATACAGCGGGGATGGATTGTACCAGCATCAGCAGGTTCATGAGCTTTCACCGCATCATGTTGTTCATGAGATGCCGGAGAGGCGGAATGTTAGTGAGATGCCTTGAGATTTATGGTGGTGACGGTGAAAGGATGGATGGTGGTCAACATGACGAAATTAGATGAGACGAGTAATGGTGCGCTATGTAAGGGGACGGACGCTATATCACCTATTTTTTTGGTTATACCCTTTTTCATTCTTTGACGAAGAACTTAAATGGAGATAGACGTTGATTCGATAAATTGGGGGTTATCCCTTCAAATGAAACGAGTAGACACACATAAAATGGTGAACCGAGTGGTTGGTTATTCACAACATAGGTGACTGGCTACTGTTGCATTTCCTGTTTCTATTTCCACTTTTATCTGGATGTCTTTTTTTTCTACTTCAAGCCCCCCCCATCCTCCATTCTCACCACCTCACTCACACCTCCGCTCCATTTAGTAAAAAGCCATCTGCACAGCCGTATACGCCGCCGTCAACTTAAGCGTCGCCAAGCTCAACGAAGCCAAAAGGCCGAACTTGGTGCGGCCCTGGGGTCCTCCCTTGGTGTACCCGACGGCGTAGAACACCCTGCTCAAGCTCCACAGACCGCCCAGAGCGCCGGCGAGGACGGGGTACTTGAGACCCGCGATGAGCATGGCGCCGATGGCGGGGGTGAGGTTTTCGGTGAAGTTGGCGTGGGCGCGTTGGGCTTTTTTGGTTGAATGTTAGCATTGAGTGCTAGGAGGGTTATGAAAAAAGTTGGGGGCGGGTAGGTAGGTGGGGGGAAAGAATAAGGAATGGATAGCATACCGCAGTTAAAGGCAAAAGCCTTGGGGTCCTTCTCGGCTACCTCCTGAGAGGCATAGGCGGCGGGATACTTGACGCCCGAGGCACTGCGCTGCTTGCCGGTGTTGATGGAGTGGAAGATGTTGACGAAGAAGGTGGAGACGGTGGCTAGGAGGACGTAGCTATAGTGTGTGTATGTTAGTACGAGACCATCAAATGAACGGTGAGGGATGATGATGATGAATGATCATGTTACTTACCCGTACTCGTCGGGGAGAGTCACGATGATAGCCATTTTGCTTGTTTTGTTGTGGTGAGGTTGATTTAAGCTATAAGAGGTAATGGTGAAGAAGAGTAAGTCAAGGTAAGTGATATGTTGTTGACAAGTCTGAAGAGCAAGATGGTCTACAGAATGAGGGAATGAAGGAAAGACCTCTCACGATATCTCCTGACTATTTAACGGTTTTACTTTCAATCCTTTCCCTAGCCTCTTTCCTCTTTTCGGTGATATTAAAAGTTCACTTATAACACCGAAATTGATTAGTCAACCGTATTCTATGATGAACGCGTAATACGCATTGTATCCGCCAAAAACTGACCAGGTAACACCCCCCATCAAGAGGTGGTCATCTGTGGAGTTTCCAGCTGCTTCCAACGCTAGACTATCCAACGCTAGCCATTGGCCAATCGTGTGTAACCTCGGGGTCTATATCATCCCGGCGGCAGAAAGGACACGGAGCGATTTTGTGCCGACCGACCGACTGTTATGGCTTGTTTCCTTGTCCGACGGGCCGATAGAAAGCCGTCTCGAGGAGGTTATTTCGCTCTTCAAGACTGTGCTCCTTATTCATTGTGAGTGAGTGCCATCTCGGTATGTTCTGTTAATCTTGGCCTCGGACTTTGCACGACACCACGGTTGCGGATATCGAATAGCATCCACCAGGCAGTTGAGGACGAGATGTCTGACATGCGATGCATCTGAGGACATCATCATGGCTTGAATGCATAACCGTTACCCGCTACCACCCTAACTCTATTTCCCCTGAAAATAGGGCGGGAAATGTGCGATTTCAGGGCCATCCCAGATCCCCGGGTGCGGCACACGAGCCCAAAGGACATCTCGCAGCCAACCATGCCGTATAGCGATATCTGTCAGAAGGATTGCATCATTTCAGCCCTACAACAGAAGGCCCCTTTGCTTCAATATACCCCTACATAACCAACTCCAAGGTTAGGTATACAATGACAGCAACTCCGGTCCCCGAATCCCATCAACCAGTACATCTCTCTTCTGGCGGCCGCCACTCGAGCTCCAACCCTTCAAACACCCGTCTCTCCGCCGTCAACATATCCGGCGCCGGCTCACCATTCGGCCCGCTCTCATAATCGACCCAAGTCCCATCAGCCCTATTCCGAATCCCACTACTATCAAACTTGAGCGACCTCTCCTTCTTGCAATACCTCCTCAGATCCCTCTGGAAGGTCGTTCCGCTTGTCCACCCCAGCACCGCACACCCGGCCGTCTTCCACGGGCTGATGATGATATCCACCCTCCTGTGCGGATTCGGATTCTTCTTCTCGCCCGTCGTCCAGTGCAGATCCTGCCACACCACAAGCGCCTTATCCAGCGTATCGAACCCCGTTCCTGCTCTTTTCTCGTTCCCCTTCCAGGCCACAGGCACCTGCCCGCGCTCCGTGTTGGCCGTGCTCAGGATCAACGTGTGCGTGATGTAGTTCGATTGTTCCAGAGCCACGACGATCTGCTCGACGAAGCCCCTGGTCGCGGCCTCGTCTGGGTGGCTCAGCACGACATCCACGTCGCCGCTCGCCAGCTTGCCGCGGCGGTACCCGCCTACGATGACCATCTGGAATCCCGGGTGGATCTTGTTAGCGTGCTCGAGGATGATGTCGGATATGGACTCGACCTCGGCGCGAGGGATCTTCTGCTGAAACTCGTCGTAGTACTTGACGCCGATCTGTTGGACGCGCGTTAGGGTGTCCCAGCCGTATTCGACGATGTCGTCGAGGTCGCGCCAGCCTTTGTTGTAGAACTCGCGGGCCGTGGTCTCGGCGACGCCCCAGATCTCGTAGAAGAGCTTGAGGACGGCGAGTCGGGGGTCGGACTGGTCTTCTTTGGCCTCTTGTAGCTCACCGTGTTCTCGGTACTCTTGGTATAGCTGGGCGATCTTGAGGCCGCAGCCTGGTAGTCTCGCTACTTCGAAGGCGCTCCGGAGAGGATAGGGGTAGGAAGTGAGAGCGGCTATGGCGCTTGAATACGCGCGCACTCCAATCTTGTCGCCTAGTAGTGTCCTGGCTATTCTGATCTTCATAAGCTCCTTGATGAAGGGCTCGTTGGGCGGATGCATGAGTGCAGGACGCTGGCATGCATATGTGGTGTGTAGGTAGGCAGGTATGGGAGGCAGCTCTACTTCATGTTCTGAGGTAGTCATATGGAGCAATGCCGGGGCCTTGGTGATAAAGTGATCGCGTCGACCGTGGCTGGCGGTGCTGTGAGAAGATCCGGGCCGTGAGCCATGAAAAGAAGGCTTTGGGTCTGCTAGGGCTCGTTTGATGACATCCGCGGCCTTTGCTGGCGACACTTCCTTTGGCTTGGTGGGCTTGCCCAGCTGTTTTCTGCCTCTGTACAAGGTATAGTCATCTATTGGGAGGACTGTCCCGGCTTTGAGACACTCGGTAAACCATGCGAGCTTGACCACCTTGACAGTCGTGGGGGATGCTTTAAGAGTCGACTGAGTCGGCTGGGTTAGGAGAGGATGAAATTCGCCATCTGACGCAGTGTCCGAGTCTTCTGTGATAACGGACCCCGGTGTCTGGAATCTCCTTCGCTTCGGGCTGGGAGATGTAGGTTCGTCTTCCTCCGCTGGCGATATCTCCTCAGTTACAAGCTTGTGTTTTCTAAGCTCGAACAGGGCTCGTTCTCTCCTGTGCACCTTTCCCAGGACGACTTCGGCCTCGTTGATGTCATATGTGAGGGTTGGTATTTGCTCCTCCAACTCGTGGAGCTCATCCACTCCTAGGTTGGTGGGAAGCAGAAAAATAACCGGGAATTCCAGCGTCATTGTGGCCAAACGTCGACAATTCCAGTATCCAAATAGCTTGACATTATTCAATGGCGATGTCCAAAAGGGTCGATATGACGACGGCTTGTGTTGCTGAATATCAAATCCCGCGATATCCAAAATTGAGGGTACAAAACAATTGATATCCAATCAACACCAAGGTTTTAGAACAAGACAGCCAGCAAGCCCAGGTTTGATATCGGTAGTCGGAATCTTTGCCAGCCCGTGACGTGCATCGAACTTGTGCCTCGTGTTAACCATGCGCACGACTTGAAGATGGGATGAGCAGAATAATTGAAGGTAACCACCAAAAAACAAGAAAGCAAAGATCGTGGAGCCAGCCTTGAAAATCAAGCATGCAAAATCACCATTTCCGTTGTGGTGTTTGCAATAAGCAAAACAATCCGGAGCTCTGGTTGTTGGTTCGGAGTGACGAGCAGAAGTACTCCGTGCAAATGCTATCTTGCGAACTGTGCTTGGCATCTTGGTGGAAGTGGTCAATGCGCTTATTCGAGAAACTTTAGTACCGTATCTTACAAATCATACATGACCTAGACGCCTCAGGTTCGATTACAATTGCTCTTTCCATGGGTCAACGAAGTTGCCTTTCACTTATCGCCAGATGAAAGCTCCTAGCTCCTCTCTCACTTGATTTCTCTAATAGGTGTTTGTTTTTAATTCTGACGGTACAGATTACAGATACCAGGGATCATCCGCATGCCAGGGACCGGGCATTTGATGCAGCGGGACCGTTCACTAGCATTGCTTGGCGCTGTTAGAGAGCGGGAACAAGACCGCCTCAAGGTTCAACCTCAACCTTCACTTCACTTCGACTTTGATTCATCATCAACCGGCGTCATTCATTTGCGCCCGCAGGCCTATAGTGCCTCAACCATCGACGTGACTTTTGGCAGATTATAGAGACTCGAGGTTCTTAACGGCCGGCCTTTCTTTAACGGACTGTGATTGCAAATCTTGCTCTGGGCCGGCATCGGGCAAGTCTCTTTCCCGTAGCATCTCGGAGCCTCCATATCAGAGCCGTGACATCTCAGGCCGGGCATCCCTCTTTTTGTTCGCCATCATCCGCACATCTTATCGCCGCCGGCCGGGTGACTGTTCCTCGCCGACTTTCGTCCCATCGTCCCATACTGGTCACTCCCAGCGCTGGTCACTCCTCGTCACCCAACAACAGCAGTTCACCCATCTATCAACCAACATACATCGCACACCACTGAAAGCAACCCAACAAGGAGGGAAAGAGCACCCGCAAAGGGGCCAGCATCGCCACCATGGACATCGCCAAAACCCTCATCCGCTGCGTCATGCGCGCCTTCTACAGCACACAAGAGATCCTCATCATCGACGCTCTCGTCCAACACTCCTGCCTCCGCGACGACGACCTCGGCCACCTAATGAAGCTGGGCAACAAAGACCTGCACAAAGCCTGCGCCGGCCTGCGCGACGCCCGCTTCCTAGTCGTGCACACGCGACCCGAGCTCCAAGCAGGAAAAACGCGCCCGCAGAACAAGACGTACTACTACATCGACTACCGGCAGACCATCGACGCCATCAAGTGGCGCGTGTACAAGACCGACAAGGACATGCAGGGGATCGCCAAGCCGTCCGAGGAAAACAAGGAGTACGTGTGCCCGCGCGTGGGGTGCGAAGCGCAGTGGAGCCAGATGGAGGTTTTGGACTCGGTTTCCTCGCGCGGGTTCACCTGTCAACGGTGCGGCTCCGTGTTGGAGCAGGCTAAAGAGCGCGAGGCGCCCGGGCATCAGCAGTTGTCGAGGATGAATAACCAGTTCAAGTTCATGACGGATATGTTGCAGGAGGTCGACAAGGTGGTGATACCCGAGTGCAACTTTGATCTGGCGCTGGCGAATGCTAGGCCCATCGTCCGGCTGGAGACGCACGAGGTGGCGCCTAGCGTGCCGGTCGACTCGGCGCTGCACAAGCCCAGCGCCGTTAAAGGTCTGGCGAATACGGGCCCCAAGACGATGCAGGTTATCATCTCGAAGGGCGATGATGATGCGGAGCAGGCGGAGGCGGCGAGGAAGAGGCAGGAGGAGCTGCTGAGGCAGAACGCGCTGCCGGAGTGGATAACGTCCAGCTCGGTGCCGACGACGGGCGGATCCAAGGCTACTGGTCCGGCTGCTGCGTCGCTGCTTGATTCTTCGTCGTCGGCGGTTAAGGATGAGGCGGCGGTGGATGAGCACCCGGCTAAGAAGGTCAAGTTGGAGATCCAGGGCGATATCTCTGTCAAGAATGAAGACCCCATGCCTATGAGCTTCAAGATGGAGGGTGGCGATGATGAGGAGGACGATCTCGAGTTTGAGGATGTCATGTGAGCAGAGTGAACAGATCTGGCACAACTCGAAGGGAGAAAAGAACGAGAATGAAAGGCTCCAAGGAGCGTACAGAAAGACACGAACTTTAACATGCATTGGCGGGAACATCATCGATCGCTTTACTATTACTGGTAATATGGGGTTGGCCATAGAGCCGCTTCATACGGTCCTTGGACGTAAAGATCACTGCCACTGTTCATCGGAATCTACCAAGTCCGGTGTAGCGCGAAATCACAACTACAATGTGGCTATCGGGAAGAAGTTGAGAGGAATCAAATTGATTTCATGGCAGACGAGATTGGGTATGGTACGCACAGCCTAAAAGCAAAGGATGCGTCAAAGAGGGGGATATAAGAGGCATCATGGCGGATGACATCAAAATAGAGGGAATAGCTACTGCTCCTTAAGCATCGGGGTTTTAGCAGGCGGGGATCGGGAAGCAAAGCCATCAATCAGGTGGGCGTGGTTTCTTGCCTGCTGAGTACGTAAGAATCCCATAATCTTCAGAGAAAAGGAGAGGTGGTAACCTGGGTTTGACGCTCTCGGTTCCTTTTTTCTGAGACAAAATATACAAGGCTTCGCTTTGCCTCTCTATACACCGAGCAAAGCCAAATTGTACATAAGACTTTAACAGCACATAGCCGAACACAACCAAAAAGACCCCCCACAACGAGGATGGGAGGCAGGGGGAATCATCAAAAGGGACTAATCTAAAAAAGAAGGGAAGCATTTCTGTCCTTCAAACCACTTTGCAGTTGTGAACTACCAATTGATTGATGATTGCCTTCCTTTAAACTCCTTCCGTTCGCTTTGTTTACACTGCCCGCCCGCCTGAAGTGGTTTCACCAAGTTCACACACACCCCACCGCCTAATGGAAGGCCATGCATGGCATGGCATGAGACTTCACGGAGTCCGAACCAACGACTAGTTGTACTTGCGAAGCTGTAACGAAAACACGTGTGAGTATATAATCCTGAAAGATAGTCAGTAACAAGGAGCAAAAACTTACATCCAACGTCAAAGTCTTTGAGCTATTCACATCCTGATCGCGATAAACGCCCACCAAGCTCTCGCTATCCTGGAACAGCCCAGCCTTGAGACTGATGACGATAAACTGCATTCCGGGCCCCGCATGCTCGCGAATGTACTTCTTGATCTTCTCCACGTTAGCATTATCCAGCGCCGCGTCCACCTCGTCCAGCACGAAAAACGGCGACGGCTGGTAGCTGTGGATGGCGAACAGCAGCGCCAGCGCCGCCATGGTCTTCTCGCCGCCCGACAGGTGCTCCATGTCGCGGAACCGCTTGAGCGGCGGCATGGCGTGGTATTTGATGCCCGACAGGTAGGGAGTGTCCGTGTCCTCCTCGATGTCCAGATATGCCTGGCCACCGAGCGGATAGGCATCTGAGCGTGTGAGGTCCTTGTACACGTGCGTGATCTGCTCCTGGATGTGCGTAAAGGCCTTGTTGAAGAGCTCGAACCGCTTGTCCTTGACCTGGTTGAAGGCGTCCCGGGCGGCCTTGAGGGCCGCGCGCGAGTCCTCGAAGTCCTTTTCGGTGGACTCGAGGCGCGACTTGACCGACTCGAGACGCTCGATGGCGCGCATGTTGGGGTTGAGCTTCTCGATCTCGGCGGTGAGGGCCGAGATCTTTTCTTGCAGCTTCTCTTCGACTTCGTCGTTCGGGTCTTGGAGTAGGGCGTCATCGAGGTTGTCGTAGTTGATTTCGATGCCGTAGTCGTCCATGGCAGCCTCGAGAAGCTCGGCTTCCTGGTCTTCGTCTTCGCCATCAACATCCATGGCATCCTGGTCCTTCTGGAGCAGTACGTCCTCGTTTGGAATGTCGTCGAGAGAGCCCTGTTGGAGAGGGATCTGGATCTGCTCAAGCTTGCACCTCCTTAGTAGGGCAAGTTTTTGGGCACTGCTTTGCTGCACTGTAGCCTCCAGGTTGCTGATCTCCTTTAACCTGACTTCTATATCCCTGCTCCTCCTCTGTAGGTCTTGCTTGGCCTCCTGTACCTTCTTGGTCTTTTCTGCGTGGGAGGCCTTGAGCTCTTCTAGACTCTGCTCCAGCTCCTCGAGCGCCTCCCGGTCTTCCGCCATTTCCTCCTCAATGGAGGCCTTCTCTTGTCGGTATGAATCCAGATCTCGTTCGTGTCGTTGCAGGGTCCGTTCTAGTGACTGTATCCTGTCGCTGGTCGCCGTGTGCTGTGAGGTTTCCCATGTGATGTTGCTCTGGATGCGTTGTTTCTGGATATCAAAGTCTTGCCGCTTCTGGGCGGCTTCTTGTTCCAAAGTGCCCTGTTGGGCTTCATAGGCACGGACGTTCTCGTAGCCCAGCCTCTTGCAGAAATCTTTGAAGATCTTATCTTCGACGTCTGAAATGGCCTTTTCGAACTTTTGTACCGTTGCCCGCGTCCGCTCCAGCTCGCCGTGCTTTTCCTCATACTTGGGGTCATAGTCGTCCAGCTGCAGCTCCTGATGATCGAGCTCTTTCTGTTTGCTCTTGAGGTTCTTCTCAAAGGCGGCCAGCTCACCTTCCTGAATCTTGAGGCGTTGTTCAAGCGCCGTGAACTCGACGAACAAAGCATCCTCCTTAGCGCTTCGTCGCCCAGACTGCGCCAGAGCTGCCACCTCGTCTTTCAGGGACTGTGCCATCCGTTGCAGGTTCTGAATGTCGTGTTCCTCAAACCGACGCTTGCCGCCCTTCTCATTAGGCAAACGGCCACCGGTCATGGTACCAGCCTTGTGGATTACGAAACCTTCCAGGGTGACAGCCTTGACTTGGATCTTTCTGCCGTATACGATGTCCTTTGCGATATGGAGATTGTCGCAGACAACAGATCCACTACAAGCGTAGCTGATGGCACGCTCGAGGGAAGGATCAAAGTCGATTGTATCAATGGTCAGTCGCGCTCCGGAAATGCCCTTAACTGCCGAAACTGAGCTGTTGACCTTGATATTGTCGAGCGGAATAAACGTCAAGGGAGGGAATCGCTGCTCCTTGAGATACTGCACGCAGTCCATACCAACCTTCTCGGTGTCCACGACGACTGCATCGAAGTCACGTCCAAGGGCTGTGATGACCGCCTCGTCAAACTTTTTCTGTTTGGGCTTGCAGAGATCTCCAATACGGCCTCGGACACCTGGGTATATGCGCCTGAGGTCACTGATCATGTTTCTCAACCTCGTCTCCTTCTCATTCTGGCGCCGGCCAGATTCCGCATCCTCCAGCTTGCGAAGGATTTCCCGCAGCTTCTCCTCCTGGGCAGTCCTGGTCTGGTTTATCCTTACGCGCTCAGACTGGAGTTTGTTATACTCTTTCTTCTTGGCGGCGATATCGCTTCGGAGTTGTTGTACCGCGTCCTGGCTGGCGTCTCTTCTATCCTTGATCGACTGAACCTCGGTCTGCAGCTTTTCGATAGCGGCGTCAAAGTTGTCGATTTTGCCTTTCAAGCTGTTGACGGTGACCTCGTCACTCTTGAGCTGGCGCGTGAGGTTGGCCAGCTTGGCCCGGTTGTCGGCAGTTTTCTTCATAGCCTCGGCTTGAAGACTAGTGTACTCCTTGCGGTCCTCATCACTGAGCTCCTTGCCTTGCTTCTTGAGTGTTTCGGCCCATTGCTTTTCGAATTGCTGCTGCGCTTTCTCCACGGTGGCGAGATCCTTTTGCAATTTGGAGATGTTAGATGCTTGGCTGTCGCGGTCCTTTTTCACTTCGACAATGCGCTTCCGTAGCACACCCATATCTTGGGTGCTTTGCGCAATCTTTTCATCGATTGGCACAAGACTGTTTTCCTTGTCTTCGATGTCCTTTTCCTTGGCCTTGATGCTCCTCTCAACCTTGCCCACCTCACGTCCTACCGTAGCCTGCTCCTTACGAGCAGCATCCAGTTTATTTTCGAAGGCTTCAACGTTGCGACGGAACTCCTTGAGGTTTTCCTGGTGCTCCTGGATTTGCGCGCTAGATTCGTCCATGACCCTCTGAAAGTGATATAGCTTCCACAGGATGTGGGTAATGACGGCCTCGTCTCGTTCCTCGGTTTTCCGCTGGAAGTTCTCGGCCTCCTTCTTTTGCTCCTGATACTGCTTGATTTCCGAGTTGATACCTCTTCTCCGGTGTAGCTGGAAATTCTGATTCTCGGCAGCCTGCTCGACCTCGGCCTGCAACTTCTCATATTCGGCCTTGTATTCCAGACTTCCAGATATTTGTTCGATCAAGCGGGTAAGATCCTGAGGCGACTGCGAGGCAATGGCTTCAACGTCTCCCTGGAAGACCAGAAAGTTACGCGCCTTGATCAGGATATTTTCGGCCTCGAGCGCATCGTTGTACTGCTGGGCGGTAACCACTCTGTCGTTGATGCGGTACTCGCTGGATCCACCGTTTGCAATGGTTCGCTTCCATCGTTGCTCGTCGCCGGCATCGTCTTCGTAGACGGCCATAACCCAAGCCGTCTTGGGGTCGTTCCTCGATGACCGTTGGGAAGGATCTTCGTCTTCGCCGTCTTCGTGCCCATTGACGCCGTTAGTAGCGGGGGCAGCGGTGCCATCTTCTTGGATTTTCGAGGTTTTCATAACACGGCCACGGTAGACCAGGTCACGGAGATGGGTCGATCGGAGGTGTGATGATTTGATGCCCAAGACGAAGGAGATGGCATCCATCCTAGCAACGCGCGCGCCTGTCAATACGAAAGCAGTCCCTATCGACCGCAACCCGGTGCAACTTACGAGTTTGACTTTCCGGAGCCATTGGGACCGATAATGGAGGTGAAGTAGGAGTCGCCGAACAGGAGGGTGTGGTGGCCCTTGTAGGACTTGAAGTCTGGTTTACGGCAAACATGGTGAGTTTCGGCACGCTCGCGACCAAGTGTCGTGTTTCGGAGCAAAAACTAAGACCTACTGAAAAGCTCGAGACGGATGAGCTTGCCCATGTTTGCGGTTGCTGGTCTCCTGCAGGAGGACGCGCCTCCGGTATGCGATGGGATACTGGTTATAGTGCTGTTGTGCTAGCGCAGACGATACTCGCTAGAAATGGAGACTCGACGCGCTCCGACATGAATCCGCGGTGACGGCGCGATCGGGGAACATAAAAAGGCGCGTAAACAGGTCGAGGGTGATGCGATGGGTTGGAATCGCAAGCTTGTAATCGCAGGCAGACGTGGGCGCGGTAGCGGCAACAAAGTCGACCGGGTCAATCCAGTGTCGCGACTTTCCCCAATAATTTGCCCAGGGCAGGTCGCCAAGGTCGAGCATCTGTCGCATGCAGGAGGTGGGGGAGCACTGAGAGCGATTGAAGGACAGACGGGCGCTTGGACCATGCGATCCAGCTTGTGCCTAAGCTCAACGGCGGCAGAGGTGGGACGACAGTGCTGTAACTAAGGGTTAGGGTCATAGCCCATGATCTTATGTCCACCCTGCTTTGCTTTTGGAGCATTACTGGGAGCTGAAGGAGACGAGGTTCCAGACTGCTTGAGAATGACATGACAACATCTTACTCGGTGTACGTGTGTCCGAGATTGGCCAACAAATGTATATTTTTTTTTGACAACTTCCCCTTGCTTCGGGACAGCTACAGCCAATGCACAGTTCACCAGCCCGTATGTATGAAGAAGCAATGATGTTCTGGACCTGCCTCTAGTAGAACTCATCCATCAAGCCAAGGATGCCACGGGTCTTTCCAGCCTTACGAAACAGACGAAATCAAGCTTTCAACGTCTCGGATCTCTTCAAATCTCTTGATGAGAACATGTTGTGCTCGATGTCAGCAAAACGACAAGATGTGGCGTTGGATGGCTTGACTGACATGACAGACTTGGCAGCTCCCAGGGTTCTGAAGCAGCACACTAAAATCTGCAGCAACAACGTCAGCAGCGATCGGATCGCCAATGGCCCAGCATTCCCTGCCAATGTTAGGCCGGCTTGCATCACATGCTGGGGGAATCTGCATCCAAACACCGTCATTGGAGTCCTCGCACTAACAACACTAACATCCCGCCGTCCTCAGTCGTCACAAGGTCTTCTTTTTCCAGCTTCAAATCTGAGACATCTCCCATCTTCCCAGCCTTTTATCTGATCTATTTCAGACCACGTGTATCCATCTTATCCAAGTTTCTTATCTGCCCTCACAACATCGTGGATTATATCTGCAGCGATATCACCAAAAGTCAAGCATATGTCATTTTCCCGCGCATCCCGTCTCTTTTCACCCTGCATAGCTATTTGACGGGAGCCAAACAAAAAGCACTGACCCGCCACTGCCCGCATACCGAAAACACAACACAACTTTTGCGACGCGCTGCAGCCCAATCTTGACGACATCATCTCGTCTCGACCTTGCTGCTCCACATTTGATCAGCTAGAAATAGCTACGACATCCCCTCGACCCCAAAAACACCTGCTGCTGGTTTCACTTCTGCCAACTACGAGCCTTCTCCATCCATTGACGTCGCTATTTGAAGGCTGTGTAAGTAAATCTCCACCACACGAGGGTTTCTGACTAGTACATATCAAACCTATATGTACCTACCATCTCCCACTGCGATGACAATCATGTCTGCGAATTCAATCTGACCTATTTCTCCTCTACAGAAACTCAATTCCTCCCATATCACCCATTCCGATAACATTGTCGTATTTTGAGCAACAACAAGCATAGAACACGAACCACCAGCCATGGCCGATTTGGCGGAACCGGAGATCAGTCTCCCGGTGTCGGGACTGAGCCACAAGTCAGAAGGCGCACCATCTACCGATGGCGAGGCCATATTGACACCAGACACCACCTCAACACCACCCCTAAACTCTTCGCCAGGAGAACATGATCCGGATACCCCAACTCTCGATGTCACGACCCCGAAAAGTCCAGCAGTATTATCGAGGAATGGGTCGTTTTCCGGGAGCATGAGCAGCACTCTCCACGACGAGTGGGATGTCTTCCCTCCTCTCGATCGCTTGACCGTTCTCGACCTTCTCGATAACTTTGCGCTCCCTCAGCAGCTGGAAAAATTGCAGAGAGGCATCCATGCCCGAACAGAGAAGATGCGCAAGTCTGGCGAGGCCCTGAAAGAAAAGAGTGCGATTGCCCGAGAGCGCATGGTGGATGAATGGCGCAAACGAGTCCCAACAGCCGAGGAGCAGCTAGAGCGATACAAAAAGCGGATGCGCACCAACGTTGATAAGCTAGGAAAGCGCTGGAACGATACCAAGGCCATCACACTCCGCGAGAAAATAGCCTTCATCTTCGGCGTCATGAACATCTTTATCAGCGGCTACTTGATTGGCGCGTTCCCCGAATGGTTCCATATTTGGTACACGGTTCAGATCCTCTATTTCATGCCCATACGCTTCTACAAGTACCACAAGCAAGGCTACCACTACTTCCTTGCTGATCTCTGTTACTTCGTCAACTTCCTCCTGCTCCTCAGCCTGTGGGTGTTCCCCGGCTCGAAGCGCCTCTTCACGGCCGTCTATTGCTTGGCCTACGGCAACAACGCCGTGGCCATCATCATGTGGCGCAACTCCCTTGTGTTCCACAGTCTCGACAAGGTCACCTCACTCTTCATCCACATCATGCCATGCGCGACCCTGCACTGCATCGTGCACCTCCTCGACCCAGACGAGCAGCGCGAGCGCTTCCCCTCCATCTGGACCATCAAGACCTCCCCTCCCGGCTCCCCGACCGCCTACGCCAACGTCATCTCCATGCTGGCCTGGTCCACGATCCCGTACGCCATCTGGCAGCTCTCGTACTACTTCTTCATCACGGTCCGCCGCCGCGACAAGATCGCCGCCGGCCGCCCGACCTCGTTCACCTGGCTGCGCAAGTCGTACTCTAAGAACTGGCTCGGCAAGGCGATCCTGAACCTGCCCGAGTCCCTCCAGGAGTCGGCCTTCATGCTGATCCAGTACACGTATGCCGTTTTGACCATGCTGCCCTGCCCGCTCTGGTTCTACTACCGTTGGTTGTCGGCCGCTTTTCTCATGGGCGTGTTTACCTGGTCCGTCTACAATGGGTCTACCTACTACATTGACGTGTTCGGCAAGCGCTTCCAGAAGGAGCTCGAAGCAATGAAGGCCGAGGTGGCAAAGTGGCAGCATAGCCCCGACGGCATGATGCAGAGCCCGATGTTGACGCCGCATGCTGTAGGGCAGGAGGAGGAGAATAAGAGGCTTGGTGAGACGATCAAGAATAATGGTGAGGGTAATGGCAATGGTAGCTCGGGCTCGAGCACAAGCAGTTTGGATAACATTCCGCTTTTGACCGAGGAGAAGGGCGAACCACCTGCGAGTGTAACTGCGACCGCGACCGGTGCGGAGGTGGATGGTGGCGCGAAGGATGTGGCGAGGGCGAGGAGGCCCGGTGCAGAGTTGTTTACTGCTGGGGCAGCGCCGTCTTGATTGAGTTTTTTTTGGGTTTGAAGCGAGCATGTTGTGACTTGATGCGGTTTGAGATATGGCTCCTCTTTTTGGTTTCATTTACAGATAGGTACTCCCATGTTATGGAAGTAAAGCGCCACCCCTGTGTTGACTTGTATGGACATGGCTTGGTGGAGCAGAAGTGTTCGAGTGATGGTTGAAATACCCACATTTTTACGTTTTGATATCCTTAATGTTGACTATCTGTTCACACCCGTTTTCTGTTCATCTACCAAGTGATGATGTTTGTATGATTGCTATATCGTGTATAATGTGGACTCGGCGTACCTTTATCATTTTTTCTCTCTCTTTTTTCCGTCGAAGAATAACATCGGTTTGGGCACCAAGGACATCATAACACGCGGCATAAATCACGAGGGGCGGTTAGTTCTCAAAACTACTTAATGGGCCAAATCAAATTATTGAAGCAGCTAACTTTCTATCTAGCGATCTGCTAAAAAACCAGGCCTGTATACAGCGAGACGGCCCCCCTTGAAGTCCAAGCACTCGATCATATTCCCGGGTTCGTCATGTGAACAGCGGAGTGCTCCGAGAATCCCAAGCCACTGCGTCTACTATGCCGAGAGGTGATCGTACTATAAGGTGAGCCGCGTATCTCCTGTGTTTGTGGCCTGAAAGGTGCCGATGACGAGGATGGCGTACGTATACTGTCATCGGCTGAAGTGAGAAGAAAGGAGTGTGTTGGTTGAGTTGAACTTCCGCATCATATCGTTAGCTGAACTGGGGAAAAAAAGGAGTGTGTTGGTTGAATCAGACTTCCGTATCATGTCGTCAACTGAACTGGGGAGAAAGGAGTGTGTTGGTTGAGTTGGACTTCCGTATCATATCGTCAGCTGAATTGGGGAAAAAGGAGTGTGTAGGATGAATTAGACTCGGTCGTTGATAAATCGGGATAAGCACCGAGGTGTGGGAAGAGAAGAGAAAGAAGGCCAGCAAGAAAACTGGAAGTAAGTGATATCGAGAAGCGACTTTGGGACCATATTCTGCTGTTGGTTTATGGGGTTCTGGAAGTCTGCGTGAGGCTTCCGTGTACCGATCTTATTGTCGTTCTTGATGGTTCCAGTGGCAGGTAAGCTTCCTGGCTGCTTTTTGCCGTACGGTCAACACCCACTGAGCTCCGCTTCAAGATTACGGATCAGGCCATGAAGCTCTTTAAAAGGCTCTAGTTTCTTTTTGAGAAAATCAGCGATCTCTTGAGCAATGGTTAACTCCTCCAGTGCTTTCACATCATCGGGCCTTAGCTGAAGTAGCTCAAGGACTGAAGTACTCTTCAGTGCGTCCGCCGTCCACGCATCCCTGATGCGTAGCTCCTGGTAGAACTCAATCATCCGCTCAGTGTCTGAGATCTTCTGCCCAAGCTTTTCCTCAGCTTCACCGCAGAGCTCAAAAAACTTCTGGAAATCCACATCCTACAGTTTCTTCTCGGCGGCTGTGTGCGCAAATGACGCCAAGTCCCATACAATGCTGATGCATGGACTGATTCCAGGCAATTTGTGAACTTGACCAAGAAGCTCCTTAATGGCTTTCAGCACAGCCCATCTAGGGCGGATGCTAGCAGCAATGCTGTGGAAGTACTCGTGATAGGTGCGATCGGATTCTTTCCCCCTCTTAATGAAAAGGCGACCGAAGCCGTCCATTCCAATGTCGATGAGGATGCCCTCAGGATTGGAAATGGAAATGTCCATCATGATATCAGTCACTAGGGATTCGAAATCGTCCATGAACTCAATCGCGCTGGTAGCATAGAAAAGAATAGCTTCGTCTGAGATACGATTGGAGTCCGGTTCCTCCAAGATACGGGTAAGGCCACGGATTCTCTTCGTCGTGTCGTCGATGCCCTCGCTTTCAGAGTCTTGTGCTGCGTCACGCTTACGTTTCCGAGAAGCGTCATCGTGCTGCGTAGAGGTCGACATGATGTCGCTTCGGTCAAGAGCACGCCGTAAAAGATTGAACCGATCCGTTACTGCTCTGCGCAACTGCGTAGGGTATGACTCCTCTCTGCTACAGTCTGAGTTAGATCTGATCTCGCTCAAGGGACTTGCTCGCAAAACGTCACCGGGGCAGAACTTGGCTCGACAACGAGCGGGGAGTGAAACGGAAGTGAATGACAAAATGCTTACCGATGGTAGAGTATGACACTGAAATGCAATCCTGCGGCGCGATATGCCTTCCGTATCCTTTAGAACGCGGACTGAGGCTGGGGTAGGTCAAAGTGTCGAAGGGTTGAGGGTTGAGTGATGTCGTGGTGATCAGATTCTCAATTTGCATGCAGCCGAACAAGTAAAAGTGAGTGACTCGAGAGCACCAGGCTTGTTCGAATGAGAGTACCTCGATAGAGGCTAGTGCAGGCAACAGAGGGAACGGCCTTGGACAGTTGAGGTCTGCTTTGGCGAGAATCAAAGCTCGAGATTGTTGTTGGAAAGGGAGAAAAGTTTCTGTTCCAGTTCGAGGGAAGAAAGGGTACTTTTATAGTGCACTTGCAGACCTCCGAGACGAGATAGCAAAGTTGAGATGGAAGAGAAATGAAACGTTTGCTTCCCGCAAGTGTCTGAACGTCATCAGACTTCATTCACATTGACATCGATTGCGCAGACTTCGGTCTTGACACCTCGCGTCTGATATACTTGGTCTGGTTTTTCAATCTCGTGCTATTTATGCATTTTCCTCCTATTATCTACCTCTACCGATGATCTTACAAGTACACGAACACTGCCGGATGGTGACAGCGAAGATACTTCCAGGCAGGCATTTCTCAAAGCGGAAATGACACTTCTCGGAGCGAATGCAAACTGATCTTGCCAGTCCAACACAGCTCCCAACTTCATGATTCCTCGGGAATGAAGCCAGATAGATACAATCCACGATTGTCTTCGAGAGCTTTACGGACGCGGCAAACAGTCCGAAGAAACTCCTCAAGCTTCCCCGATGGCTGAACTCTCTCCTCAACAAATTTCTTCAGAGCAAATCGGTCTTCTTTTGCAAGATGAGCCGCTATGGTTCGCCAATCATTATCGCCTAATTCAAAGGCATGGCAAACGTCCCTAATCCTAACACTCCCGATATCTGACAATTGCATGTCAACCAACGTCTTCTGTGCGAGCAATTGCATTTTTCGTATTTCGTTGCAGAAACTGTCACAAATTGTCGAGGCACCTTCCAACACGGGCTCCGGGATGGGATGCTTGGATTCTTTAAGGTCCTGGACATTCCAGAAGAACGTGAACCACGGAAAATACTTGGGATATTTGGGACGTCCTACACCCAAAATCTTCTTGGTATCGTCGAGGAGCTCAATCAAAAGCGATAACAAGGTCGACCGGGCACTTCTTGTATCCTTGACATGTGTGAACTCTCTCGCGAAGCTTTTGCACGACGAGCCAGGGGTGTGAACTTGGATTCTGCCAAACTGATCGATGGAAAAGTTCTCTAGCATCTCGCTTCCGATTAGGCCAAGTTGTTCGACGGCATGAAGTCCATTCAGGAGCCGGGCTTTGTCGGTGTAGTCTTCCTCGGACGTCTTGTCGGGTAGGTTGATGAGACGTAGAACACTCTGTCGCTGCTCCACCTCTTCTTCGACACGACGTAGAGATTCGGCTACCCCATTGACAGGGTTCATTTTGCCTCGGATGAATGCGGGCAACTAATGTAAGTTGCGCAGTGCTCTTCGATATGAAGCCGTGGACAGATCCGTAGAAGATGAAGGAACTCCCTGTTCGTCCCGCTGGATATGAATATGAATTCACAGCTCTGCTCCATCTCATTGTGTTAGTAACAGTTCACCACACATAGCTGCCTTCGATAAGGCCCGGGCATTATGCCATGAAACAAATTGATGGATGATAGATGAATCGGTTCTTGTGGAAACTCACTGAATGGAATAAACAGAACTTATTTTCTGTCTTCACTGTCGTGGAGTTGACGCCTGGAAGGAACAGCGTCTAGCCCAGTTGTGGAGGAAATGAAAATGGGCACGAGCAAGCTCGCAAAGTGCTTCAAATGAGAAAACTTTGTGATATTGGAGAGGAACAGAGCCGTGAGTAAAGTTGCTGAAGTAGCTGTGAGCAAAATATTAGAGAGGCCAAAAAATTGGTAGTATGGTTGATTCATAAGAGCAAGAGAAGCCAAAAATAAAATAAAAACAAGAAAAGTTTGGGGAGCCTGGGTTTATATACACGGTTCCTCGCAGCCTACAGACTTCCAACCTTCCGTCCGGCTTATCTTTGGGAATAGCTTCCTTCCTTGACAGCCATGGCATCCTTCCCCTTCTAAATGGCTTCCTTCTGTGCCGGCGACAAGCTACTTCTTAGAATAAGGTATGCCTTCTATATATCAACGGCTACCTTCCCACATATCAACCGCCACCTTCCCTCATTACGGGGCAGGTAAGAAGGTGGGGATGGCCGTATGGGCAGGCATGCGTTGCTCGGTCCCGACAGCAACAGTGTCGGAGAAATGAGCTCAGAGAACCCGGTTTTGCTGAAGCCGCGAGCCGAACCCCGTATTGAGGAAAATGAGAGGACGCATTAGAAGACAGTTGCCGCCAGCAGTATCGGAACTCTACATGCATAGGCAAGAACCAAGCAAGATGGACAAGAGAACGAACCAGGAGGCAAGCCCTGTGATGTAAACAGGAAAGAAAGGCTAGAGAGAGAGACTCTTGCCAATTAGACTTTGGACTGAGAACTGACTTCATGGAGCGATCGAATTCTTGAGATGATCGAAAGGAAGGAACATCTCCAGGAAGGAGCAACTACTCATCCGGGCTAGAAGCGCCTCAGAATCTTGGCTAGCACAAAGGGAACAGCCTGAGTATCGCACTTCCGCGAACTAAGGTAACCACAACCCTACCACTCCCCCTCACATCTCCGAGTCCATACACCCTCTCAAACCCTCATCACGGCACCACCCCCATTCTGCCGGCACACATAGCATCGATCAAACCGCCATCACAACCCCACCCATCCCAAACTCACTCTCAAACCACCTCACCCTCTCAGCCTCTCAGAGAAAAACTTACACTCAAAACAACCTCCCGCACCCTCCTCGCCATCTCACTAACCCTCCTAACCCCCTCCTTCCTCTCCTCAAAAAACCTCACAATCCCTTCCTTATCCTTATCCCCTCCACGTCCCTCCACCATACCCTCCAGCCTCAAGAAATCCTGCACCCCATTCAAGCCGAGAACCTCCAACGACCTTCCAATCTCAGGAAAATCCTCCATCTTGGTCTTGATACCTCCCACCGACTCGGACGGCGCAGACACCAAAGCGGTGGTGTGCAGATCGACTAACTTGATGGCTGTGTCAGCGGACCGGTAAAGAGCGCGGCACTGGGTGGCGAGGTCTTGAAGTTGCTGGTTTCCGAGGAAACCAGGACCGAGGGACTTGTCTGTGACACGGCGGCAAAGGGCGATGAAGGAGATCCATTTGAAGTTGTCGAAAACAGGGAGGGAGTGCAGAGACAAAATTTCCTCCAAGAGCTTGGTGGTCAGGTCGATGACTTGTTCTTTGGCCCTGATCTCGTCGTATGCGATCTGAAAGGCCCTAACAAAGTTGTCATCCTTGCCCTCATCCTCGCCCTCATACAATATGTAGCATCTCTGCTCCTTCAACTTGAACAGCCGACCGGATCTGTCGACGCCCCAGTTATCGGTGACCCAGTCCCAGAGGTCTCTGTCCTTCTCGCCAAGCCAGTTGAAGAACTTGACAGAGGCGATGCCGTTCAAAACGCGCGCCTCGTCGACGTCGGTGTATACCTTGCCAGGCTCAGGAGTGGCGGCGGCGGCGGCGATGACTACCTTGCTCTGAAAGTGGAAGAGGCGACGGATATCTCTGGTGTTCTTCTTGTTTCTTTTTTTTGGCCCTTTCATAGGCGCACTATTCTTGGAAGGTCGGGCCTTCGTATTCGTCGTCTGTGTCGAAGGGTGAGCTGGTGAGGACTTCCGGTTTCGATTCCGGTTTCAAAAAGCTTTCATCCTCTTCGTCCGCGTCGTAGGAGGCCTCGGACTCTTCTTCGTACTCGTCTCGTTCGCGCTTCTGTGAGGCGGGATGGATGGTGGACAGTTCGAGCGAGGCGGTGGTCAAACTGGCCAAGTTGACGGATTTACGGAGTGGTTGGGACTGGACCAACTCCGGCTCGGTCCTGAAGATATCGTAAGGCATCTTGCTTGGAGTTCTGTTCATAACCATAGTAGATTAGTACACTGATACCAATTGAAGCATTGATACTGCTTGGAAGATGGAAGTGAGGTAATGCTGAATGGTCGAAAGCTCACCAATGATGAAATATTTGTGGAAAAGTTCAATGCCGCTCTGACTTTGAAGCGTTCTTGACTTGGGATTGGGCACGAAGAACGGACTCGTGAATGGGCGGAGATGGGATGGCAATCTTCCCAATCGATAGACCGCAAGTAAACAAGTGCGAGCGAGGTTGGTCGATTGTCAGAGCAAAGCCTGGCTCGACAGCGCAAAATTGACGAGGTTGTTAATGGACAAGGCTGTTGATGGAAGAGAGAGGTGATGGAAGAGAGAGGTGATGGAAGAGAGAGTTGATGGAAGAGAGAGTTGGTAGAAGAGAGAGTTGATAGAAGAGATGACAGAATGTATGACGGTTGAAAGACTCGAGACTCGCCCAAGACTTGGAAAGTTTTCGAAAAGAAGTTGATCGCAAAAGTGATGTCGAGTGTCGCTGATTGTTAACTCGCAGAAAGTTTGCAAAGAGGACGAAGAAGAGGAAGACAGACGGCCGACTAAATATTACATCCTCGGACCTGCTGCTAGCTGCAGTGTACAATAGGAACCTTCAATAAGACTGTACAATAGGAGTGATTCTCTATTCAGAGCCTGCATCATGCGAAGACCGAGAACCTGAGATTTCATCCCAACTCCAAAACGGCAATTCACTTCAGACCCCTCTTATTCAGATCTCGAATATCTCACCAATACCCTCACCACCACCCCGCCTATTCTCCACCAAGTCGAGCCTCCAGCCGTCCCAGTTCTTCAGCGCCCTCTTGAGCTCCTTGATTCGCTCCAGCCTCTTCTTCTGCTCTTCCTCACGTGCACGACGGAATGCCTCCTCATCAAACTCCATGTCGTCATCCTCAAGTAGCTCATCAAGAGCACCGCCGTGGCCATGATGGTGATCCCCGCCACCCGCAGCACCGGTAAGCGCATTAAGGCCACTTGTAAAGAACTCACCCAATCCGCCGCGGCTCTTGTGATGCTGGTGACCGTGCGCGGATGAGTGCAATCCACCGCCGAGGTCGACAGTTTCGAACGCCTCAGGCCCGACTTGCAACTCCTTCCTCTTTTCATGCCAGATGCCCCTCCTGAGATCGGTATTCTCAGCTTCCAGCTCTCTGACACGCTTCTCCAACTTGAGACGGCCCTCCTCCTCAAGCTCATCCAGGCCTTCCTCCACACCACCGCCTTCCCGGGCATCCTTCTTTCGCAGTTTCAGGTTCTCCTCTTCCAACTTCTCAACCTTCTGCTTCAATTCCGCCAGCTCCTTATCTACGACCTCCTTATCCTTCCTCAGAGCCTGTGTCCTGCCATCCTGCTCCTTGTGCAACGTCGTAAGCGTAGCAACCTTCTTCTCCCACGCCTCCGCCTTCTTCGCCAACTCATCCTTAGCCTTATTCGCCTCCTCCACCTCCTTCTCCAGCGCCCTTAACTTCGTCTCCGCCGACGCGCGCTGCGACCCCTCCTTGACCGCCTCCTTCGACACTCTTTCCAGATTCTGCTTCAAATCCGCCAACTCCTGCTGCGCCAGCCCGGCCGCCTTCTCCGCCCGCGCCAGCTTCTCCTCCAGCGCCGCGATCTGCTCGGACGGCCCCGACGCCGAAGCGGACAGCTTCTCCACCTGCGCGCGCAGCCTGGACATCTCCAGCTCCATCGTCTCGATCGTCGCCGACTTGCTCTGCAGTTGCGCCTCCAGCTGCGCCGTCGCCGCCGAGGGTGACCCGCCAGCACCACCCACCGAGATGGACGGCGAGCGGCCGTGCGCGCCGCCTCCGGCACCGTTCCCGCCTGCGCGCGCTAGTTGTGTCTGCAGCTGAGTGTTTTGGCGCTGCAGCGCGGCCAGCTCGTTCTTGAGCTTCTCCACGTCCTCGGCCCCTTCCCCACCTTGTTTACCATCTTCCGCCTCGCGGAAATCTGCCAGTTCCTCCTCGGCCTTCTGCCACCGCTTCTCTGCGTCGGCGGCCTCCTTGGCCAGTCGCTTGTTTTCCTTCTCTAGCTCTTCGATGCGACTGACGTGCTTGCGGTAGATGTCAGGGGCGGTCTCGCCGTCTGGGCTGAGGAAGCTCGGGGACAGCGCGCCGGGGGCGCCCGAGATGGAGGCATTGCGGAAGGAGGTTGACCGGGCTCGCGATTGTTCGGCGAGAGAGGGAAGTGTTGGTGTTTGCAAAGGAGCCGGGGATTCGGCCTTCTCCTCCTCTTCGGCGGCGGTCGTATCAGTCGCCGTGGGCTCCTCGGCTGCGGCTTCGGCAGATGTCGGGGATGTGACTTCTTCGGATGGTTTCTCTTCGGTCTCGTTCGCTGATTCTTTGGGACTCGAAGGAGTATCGGCAGGGGCTTCTTCGGATGTTGGCGGGTTGTCTTCCTTCTTATCCTCCTTCTTGGATGCGCCGCCAGCCTTCTTGGCTTTCTGCTTCTTCAATGCTTCGAGCTGAATGAATGATTGTCAGTCCCTGTGGGCTAAACGTCGAGTAATACGTATAGTCAAGCACGGTACTGTACCCTCTTCTTAGCGGCGGCGACCTTCTCGGCCTTGGCCTTGTCCTCGTCCGCCATGATGAGCTAGCTCTCGTTGTTACTGGTAGTTGCCGATAAGAGAACCAGTTCCGCCGGGATTAAACTAGCTTGGAATTGATCGTAGGGATTTCGAGGTCACTCGTCAAGGAATGGACGCGCTTCTGAATTGATAGAGCAGGAGTATGTCAGGTTATCGTTGGATTGGGAGTTGTTTGTTGTAGCTTCCCAAGCTGTCGCAACGCGGGCAACGTGCTAGGGAGCTGCAACAGTGCTTGAGCAGCCAGCTGGCATCTGGTTGCCGCCCACTAACATCGGCCGGCAGGGGTGTCCGATTTAGCGAGCCACAGGGGTTCTCAATGTGGCACCAACCACCCCTCCCCCTTTTGCTACGATAATCCGACCTCAGCTCGTGTAACCATCACTGGTGTTAATATAAAACCGTCAACATGATACTTTGCGCGACTGTTTGCCCACTGGGATCAGAAAAATTCAATGCTTTTACAAACGCTATGTGAACTTTCAAATGGATTCTATTTTCATAACATTCGTATCATGAGGGCGGCGGTTTTTGTTGCCGCTGATGACCCTCTTAAAGCGTGGACTGACACTTCTCTCCTAATAGGATGTCGCCCGCGCCCTAAATGTTGCCTTATTTATAAATCCGAACCAAGATATTCCGATCCTTCCTTTCCTTCCATTACCCCGAAAACGACACCTCTTTTTTTTCTTAGATGAGCTGCTGGAAAGCCCTGTTGATAGGAGAGCGGATGTTGGGGACGTCCTTCCAGAAGTCGACGGTGGCGATGGCGCGCTTGGCAATGCCCTCGGGAGTGAACTCGAACTTCTGCAAATCGCAAAAACGTTAGCAAATGCGCCAAAGAAACATACAAAGAGGATATTGGAAGGGGGACTTGCCTTGTAAACATCAAGGTAGGCACCGGAGGCACCGAAGCGGTTGAGACCGAACTGCTCGTGAGAGTACTTCTCCCAGCCCATGGTGCTCATGACCTCAATGGACATGGAGGGGATGCCGTCGGGAAGAACGCTGAGGCGGTAGTCCTTGGGCTGGGCATCGAAGACCTCCATGCAGGGCATAGAGACGACACGAGCCTTGATGTTGTGCTTCTCCTTGAGCTCCTTGACGGCATCAATGGCAATGCAGACCTCGGAACCGGTAGAGATAAGGGTGATGTCGGCACCCTCAACCTCGTGGAGGACGTAACCACCCTTGATGGCCTTCTCGATGGTAGAACCCTCAAGCTGGGGAAGGTTCTGGCGGGAGAGAGCGAGGATGCTGGGGGTGTGCTTGGAGGTAAGGGCAACATAGTAGGCAGCGCTGGTCTCGTTGCCATCGGCAGGGCGCCAGACCATGCAGTTGGGGAGAGCACGGAAGTGGGCCAGGGTCTCAATAGGCTGGTGAGTAGGGCCGTCCTCGCCAAGACCGATCGAGTCGTGGGTGGCAACCCAGATAGCGCGGACCCGAGAAAGGGCAGAGAGACGGACGGCACCGGCAGCGTAAGAGACGAAGTTGAGGAAGGTACCACCATAGGGGATCAAGGTGCCATAGGCGGCCATACCGTTCATGATGGCACCCATACCGTGCTCGCGGACACCGAAGCGGATGTAGCGGCCGGAGTAGGTACCGAGACCAGTGGCGGGAGGCTGGAAGTCAATGGCACCCTTCCACCTGGTAAGGTTGGAGCCGGTCAAATCGGCGGAACCACCAACGAGCTCGGGAACAGCCTCGAAGATCTTGTTGAGAACAGTCTCGGAAAGCTTGCGGGAAGCGACGGCGGGGTCAGAGGGGGTGTAGACAGGGAGGTGCTTCTCCCAGCCCTCAGCGAGATCACCCTTCTGGCGGCGGACGAGATCGTCGTGCTCAGCCTTGAACTCCTCAGCGTACTTGGCGAAGAGTTGGTTCCACTCCTCCTCCTTCGCAGCACCCTTGGCGGAAGTCTTGTGGCAAAGGTCATAGACCTCCTGGGGAACGGCGAAGCTCTCCTCGGGGTTGAAGCCGAACTTCTCCTTGAGCTGCTTGATATCGTCAGCCTTGAGGGGCGAGCCGTGGACATCGTGGGTGCCCTGTTTCTTGGAGCCGAAACCAATGGTGGTCTTGAGCTGGATAAGGGTAGGCTTGTCAGTGACCTCCTTGGCCTTCTGGATAGCATCAGCGATCTTGTCGAGGTCGTGGTCGCCATCCAGGACGGTGACTATGTGCCAGCCGTAGGCCTCGTAGCGCTTGAGGACGTCCTCAGTGAAAGCCTGGTTGGTGTCACCGTCAATGGTGATCCTGTTGTCATCCCAGATGGCAATGAGGTTGCCAAGCTGGAGGTGACCAGCCAGAGAGCAAGCCTCGCCGGAAACACCCTCCATCAAGCAGCCATCACCCATGAAGCAGTATGTGTAGTTGTCGACAAGGTCGTAGCCGGGCTTGTTGAAGACGGCAGCGGTGTGAGCCTGGGCAATGGCAAGACCAACGGCGTTGGAGATACCCTGGCCGAGAGGACCAGTGGTGACCTCAACACCGGGGGTGTCGTGGGCCTCGGGGTGACCGGGGGTGATGCTGTCAACACGCTGTTTGCGCGATAAGGTGTCAGCCTTGTGTATCCTTTCGCCAAGAAACAGTGGAAACTTACGCGGAAAGCCTTGAGGTCGTCGATGGTAAGGGCATAGCCGTAGAGGTGGAGGAGAGCATACAGGAGCATGCAGCCGTGGCCGTTACTAGGAAGAGAGGCAGACTTGTTAGTCAAATTCTTGCTCCCATGGGGCTCGCTAAAGCTCCGTTTTCGGCGCGGGGCAATTTGCACTTACGAGAGAACGAAGCGATCACGGTTGAGCCAGTCGGGGTTCTTGGGGTTGAAGTTCATGAAACGGTTGAAAAGGACGTGGGCAACGGGAGCCATGCCCCTAGAAAAGATGTCAGTACATATTACGCTGGAGAGAAGCATGCAGCTTCCACTTGAGCTGTCTTGTCGGCGCAACTTACATGGGGGCACCAGGGTGGCCGGAGTTGGCATGGGCGGTAGCATCGGCCTAAGCAGGTAAATTCTGTCAGCATAACTGGTTCAAACCATAAGACATGCAGCTATTTCCCAAATGTCTATCATGGCGAACCCGTAGCTCGTGGTTGAGGCCCGAGAAACTGGTTCTCGCGATGATGACTCTTAGTGGGGTAAATCTCGCTCTTCCCCATGACGGGGCGCGGGGATTGCAAGACTGCTTTGTTGGGATTTTGGAGAACGCTGAGAGCGCAAAACAGAGTGCCAAGGGTATTACTTACAGCTAACACACGGATGGTGTTGATGGCGAGCTGATCTGTCTCGGTGAAGGACGACATGTTTGCGATTCTGGACAAAGATGTCGGGTATGTGATGGGAGAAGGGTTCAAGAAGAGAATTTGCAGAAGCAGAAGAGAAGAAGATTAGTAAAGACAGGAACTGGGAGGCGGGGTCAAGTTATGTATCAGACGAGCACCTGGCAGCGATGGCAGGGACACCACAGGCTAAGGAGAGAGCGTTGGGGGTCAAGTCCAGGACGAGTGTTCATCCAGGTGGAAGATTATGTTGAACCGGAGGTGGGGTAGGTGTTGGTAATTGACCGAGACTAGGTACCTACAAGTAGACTTGTCTTGTCAGGTACTGCCCACTGCATGAAGTACCTTTGTCGCTTCTTTACCTCTACGAGTACAGAATCCCAAATACTTTGAAGCCTCATCATCATCACCACTACCCGCCTGGTCGGCTTCATTACCATTTACTGCATGAACAGTGCCCACCTGAAACCCACCCGTTGCTGGCCGGGCGTGCTGCACGATTTGGCTGATCTGGTTCGCCGGATGAATTGTTTAGTGGAGTTCGCCGGTTTACCCGTCTTTGACAGGCCGAGCCATGCCCTGGAATCGAGCTACGATGCATCAGCTAGGACGACATCAGGGTCCCCCGGCGGATCTTTTCTTTGCAATATCAATTGGAACTTTCACATCTTCTTTCTGTTGTTTGGTTGTGACTGCAGAATCAATACATTGAGGCCTGCCCTCTTTCGACCATTTCGCCCCAAGAGTGCTACCGGTACACGGAAACGGATGATGCTTCTTCCTAGCATCGGAGCTCACTGGTCCAGTCGAAGCTTTGTAATCGCTTGCGTCACCTGAGAGTGCCACTCACCGGGGGTAATTCACCGGGGTAAAAGCCGGAGATCTCGACTGAATGGCAACTTGCCGTGAGAAGGATGGATTGCTGGGACGCAACCTCCGACTCTGCCATTGAGAGACGGCTTCTCGCCTGCCGGTCTGTTTCCCGTGCCATCCGCCATCCGCAACAACCGGGTCCAAGCACACACACTTTTCTCCCAAGCGGCGAACTGTCTCGATCGCTCTCAGACCTGGCTTTGTTACCTAAACGGGAACGTTATCTAAGTATCAAAGCCACAGAAGCCGCTTTATTCCAGGTTCCTGATGATTCCACATTGTTTCCCATAAACGGTTACCGTGTGGCTGCGCTCGGCTGCGTTGTAAGTCGACGTAAGCCCTGCATCTTATGGAGTTGCGTTCACACGTCCCTTGCGCACTGGAAGCAGGTACGACAAATCCTCATTCCATGTCAGATCTTATCTTCCATCTCATAAATTTGGGATTAAATCCAAGTGCTTTCATCCCAAATCCATCAACAAATACGCAGGCGATATCGTCATCCAAAGGCTTTGCTCGAAGGACGGTGATTGGCCGCTTGGGGCTTCGGATTTATCAAGCACTTGAACCCCTCAATATGGATCCCTTCCCCACGAGGTTTTGTTCCCCCACGGACTTAACACCAGCGGAATGGAGAGTTCAGCCCAGTCCAGCCCATCTTGCCACACCTTGCATATTATCAGGCACGTCTCATTGAGATAAAGAGAAAAAGACCCTGCAACCAATGCTCTGTGCGCTGTCGAGAGCGTCTGAGTCAATGGTCGGTCCCTGCATTTTGGGTCAACAAAAGTACTACGTCAGAGGGAGCAGATCTCAGGGTTAGGGTCACGATAAGATCATCCATGATAAGATGAATAATTTTGGCGGGGTTACATCCGGCAAATGTAAACTGCACTAATCGATGCCGCCGGCATTTGATAATGGAGATATCAACAAACTTACACTCCAAGGGTTGCCAAATTCGAACTGATGAAAAGCTAAATACCAACCACAACAGCATCAACCAAGCTGATAAATTTGTGAAAAGCGAAAATGGTCCAAGGAAACTGTGCCGCGAAGGGCAACGGCAAGGGCAACCACGGTGGAGGATCCCGTAGGCCCTCATCCCACAGATCTCGAAAGTGCAATCTCAACCGGAACGGCAACGACGGCAGGAGAACACAGCAACCGGGCACTAAGCAGGAGTCGATCAAGGAAGAAGATGAAGACGAACAATACGAACCCTTCCCGGTGCTCGACAAGAAACACCAGCAGATCATCCTCAATGTCTTTCGAGATACTTTCTCTGATGTCCTCTTTTCCGACACCTTCACCTCCACTCTCCAGGCCGTGAAGCAAGCCCTCTATGAGCGCGAGTTCGCAAAGGCGTTTGGTGACCCCGAGTACTTGGCTGTGTATACGACTCGCTGGAGCCCTACTCGCGCTTTGTGCTATTCTTCTATCTTGAGCGGGATCAGGAAACATTTGGATTCGATCATTGTTGAGGAGGAGGAGGAGGTGGTGGAGGTCACCACCCCGTTAGAAGGAGAACAAAAACAGGAAGAAGAAGAAGAAACCGAAACACCAAAAGACGACACAGAAGAAGACTCCCTCGCCTCCCAAACCGCCAACCTCTCCCTCTCCCCTCCTCAAAAAACAACAACTCCCAAACTCAACATCCTGAGCATAGGCGGCGGCCCAGCCGAGCTCGTCGCCCTCGGCTCCTTCCTCAACCAACAACCTTCAAAATCTCTGTCAGGATCCATAACCCTCCTCGACTCCGCCCCCTACTCCCCCCTCCTCTCCCTCCTGCAAACCTCCCTAACCACCACCCCTCCCATCTCCAAATACGCCAGCGCCGCCGCCAAGGCCGCCAACGTCCCGCTCCTGTCCCCCGCCTCGCGGATCTCGTCGAATTTCATCCAGCAGGATGCGCTAGAGCTAGGGAAGGAAGGGTTCTCCCGTGTGTTGTTGGCGGATAAGAAGGATAAGGATGTGGTGCCAACGTTGGTGACATTACTCTTCACCCTCAACGAACTCTTCACGTCCTCGGGCATCGGCCGCACCACCAAGTTCCTTCTGGACTTGACCGCCTCTTTGGCTTTGGGGTCATTGTTGCTTGTTGTCGACAGCCCGGGTTCTTACTCGGAGACGACAGTGGGCAAGGATGCGTCCAAAAAATATCCTATGGCTTGGCTTTTGGATCGGGTGCTCTTGGCTACTGACAAACATGGCAAAGCGACGGCGGTGGTGGAGGGCAGGAAGTGGAGGAAGTTGGAGACGAGAAAGTCCAGCTGGTTTAGGCTGGCGGAGGGGAGAGGCGGGGAACCGGGACTGGATTATCCGATTGGGTTGGAGAATATGAGGTATCAGTTGCATTTGTATCGGTTGGTGGATGAGAATGCGCCGGAGGAGGAGGAGGATAGTGAGGGGAGTGAGGGGAGTGATGAGGAGTGATGGGGGTGGAATGGAGCGTTGGATGGGAAAAATGGGAATGTATCTGGATGGAAAAGTACTGGTGGCTGGTCTCTTAATGGGTGTTTCAGGAGTTTTAAAAGGTTATTGTGTTGGTATGTTATGATATCTAACTATCCTGCCTGTGTGTTCGTGCACCTGATATCCTTCGACCGGCGCTCCCTTCTCGCTGAAAAAGGAACAGTATTCGGTACCTTCATGTGCTTGCTTGGCCACAACTCGTTGACCTCTGGCACCGTCGCCACAACCCTCGTGCCTGTACTAGACGTACATCGTTAAGCCCAGATCATCTTCTTGAGCGAATGACCAAGTTGCTCCAGCAAGCCGGTATTCGTCTTCGCATCTGCCAAAGAGATGATATCCCCCTTTTCGATCAGCCCTGATTCCCCGTCCTTCTTGGCCTGAAGCTTAGGCTGGCTCCTAATCGTAAGTCTCTCGATCTCAGAGGCAATGAGAATGATCTGCTGCATTTCAGAGAGTCTTTTGATAGCCCCCGGCTCATCTTCCTTGCTCTTGGCCATGGGATCAGCCGCCGAAGTGATGCTGTGAAGCGCCTTAAGAGCAACCTTGCGCGCCTGTGGTTCTTGAGAACGTGGTGTGAAAAACCCGGCGATGCCCTCGGCAATGCCAGCTATCGGGGCTGTGGCAGGTGCAGGCTTGTCTTCGGAGGCAGCAGCAGCAGCTTCCTTGGCCGCTTGGCGTTCCTGCTCCGCGGCATCGATACCAGAAGTTGGCTCGCGGCCCATCTTGGACGCACCGGACACTGAGGTGGATAGTGACCGCGTGTTGACTCGGGTGATGTCTGTGAGGCCAGGTTTGTACTCGACGATGAGTCCTACATTACGCATCTCATCGACCTGGGCTGCTGAGATTGTCGAGGTGATGTAGGTGCCGAATTTGATCTTCGTAACGTGGGCCAAGTCGACGCGTTCGAATGAGGAGACCTTGTCAAGGTTCCAATCAAACCTGCAAAGATACAAGGCCTTATCTGTGAGCAAGAGGACTGCTTCCTCAAACGAGGAAGAGCGGATAGTATCGGGCACGTTTGGCGTCAGGAGAGTCCAGCCACCTATGAACTCTTCGGACTCATCGGCAATGACGCGCTTCTGCGAAAGCTCAATGGCTTGCTCCCGCATCTTCTGCATGGACATTGCCGGGTCCTTGGTCATCATGTTGGCCTCGAATTCCTCGAACACTAAGGAGGTCACATTGCCTAGGAGGAAATCGATGGTCGTCTGGAGGAAGAAATCGTTGAACATGCTGGCACACACAAAAGGTCAGTATGTCTCATCGGTGCAATAACTTCGAAGCCTGCAACATACCCGTTGAACAACCGAGTCACGGACAAACCTGCATCGGTCAAAGCTCCGCGGTAGTTTCTCTTCCGAGTCCTCGTATAGTCACCCTTCATTGCACCCGTGGAGGCATACTGCTTGGAGATTGCATCCCCGTTATCAGCCCAGAGAGTGTTGAACCAAGCGTTCTCTTGGTCCTTTTGTAGATTCATGTCGAAGCCCAGCTCCTTCAACTGCGTGTCCAGCATGTATTTGGCAAAGGAGCTTTGGCAGACGTTGGTGCGGTCAAGACAGTCCATGCAGTTGGTTCTGAAAGCACCGAGCTGTTGGGTTTCGATCCGGTCATTCGCAATGACTGTGCTTCCCCATTTCTCAAGTCTGGGGCCCAAAGTCTCCAGTAGAACGGATACGTTCTCGAACTTCATCCCGCGACAGACATGATGGAAGTCGAACCACTCGAATGCGATTTGGTCATCCTCGGGCTTTGACTCTTCCTCGTTAAGTCGCTTGATGTTTTCCTCGTATCGCTGTCCTATTGGCGCTTCAACGCCATGCTTTTCCACGAGGTTGACGCACTGTATCAACCCGTACTTCTGCCTGAGCCATTCGAAGTGCTTCTTTAGTGCCGCATAGTTGGTGTCGGGTGAATGCTGTAGGACTGGTGCGGGCTTCAGTGAATAGGGAGATTGGGTGAAGAACACTGGGAAGCTTCCCCTGATCTGAACAAAGGAGTAGACCTTGGCATCAGGGTCGGATGTCCCTTCAGCAGGTGAGAGGATTTGCTCGGATTCAACACAATTGGCAACATTGCCTCCTTCGTCAATGCCGCGACGGAGGTACCGCAGTCCTGCTCTTTTGGTTGACCTTCTGGAAATCACCGTAATGTCAAACTTCTTTTCTGTGGGGCGGCTTTCCTCAGAGCCTCCCTCGGAACTGGTAGGAGCTGGGTTGGCCGCAGCTTTGTTGTCACAGTCCATGTCCTTCAGCTCGAGCGAGTCCTTAGCAGCATCATCGACCTGCGGCGGATTACTGTCGACGGTGAAGGTACGCTGACCTACAAAGCCCTGCATAAGGGGTAGAGCCAAGGAGTCCACACCAGCATCGATAAAAGGCTGCATGACGTTCTTATTCCAGAAGAAAGTCGGGTCGACATGGTTAACCAACGGTACCAGGGGCGTAGAAGGAGGCGCCGGGTTGGCTGCGCTACGGGTGATATCGTAGTCGTACGAGAAGTAAAAGGTACGACTCGAGCCAAACAGAATTTGGGTGGTTCTTAGTAGCTTTGGCAACAGGCTCACTGCAGCCGAATCATTCTCGACGGCATCACTCGGCAAGGGGAACTTGCGAGGGACACGTTTTGCAGCATCCGAACCCGTCTTGGCCTCGGCTTTGCTTGCATTGGCCCTTTCAAGCTGCTCTGCGCCGAGGCCCATGTTCCTCTTCTGATCCATGGTCCAACCTGAGCGACTAAACCAGCTTTTTGCAAAACGACCATAGCTTCCACGGCGTGTGATGACATCCTTTGCGATACTGCTACGCGGTGTGGCGCTGGGGCCTGTTTCTCCTGACGACTCCTCTCCCTCCGTTGGATCCAGGACATCGTCGATGGCCTCGTCGTTACTCCCTGAATCCCGCGGGGCGTCATCCTCGCTCGCTGTATCATCGTCCGAGTGAGCCGCCTCACGGTTGCTGAGGGCTAGAGCGGTCTTGGCCACTGCCTCGGCGGCATCGTTCTGCGAAGTACACGGCGTAAGGGCGACTTCGGTTACGACATATATGGGTTGACCGCGGATCTGGGCGACTTGCTGGCGTCCGGTAATGGAAATGAGGTAGCTGTATCGAAAGACAGTAAGGATACCTGTAAGATGCGCCGATAATCAGCCACAACGTCGCGCAGAGTCCCTGGGCGGCGCAAAGACTAACCAACAATTCCAAAAGCTTCGAAGGAGGAGTCAGGGTTCGATAATTCGGGTACCGAATCTCTGGAAGTTTGCGATACCGAGGCAGTGCCGTACTTGATCTTGATCAGAGGTGAAGCGCGTTGCTGATCTTTCTTGGAGTGGAGAGGTTGTAGGATAAGGCCGTCAACAGCGGCGCATATCAGCACCTTTCGCGCGAGACTCGTCATTTTGGTTCAGTTATGCTTCTACCCATGAAGCAGGTACTCGCCGAGTAACTGGGACCTCGTTTCTAGGTCCTTGTGGATTTCTGTACGAGGTTGAACTCGAAGACCCAAATACAGCAAGGAGTCGATTGTCGAGAAGAAACGACTAGATTGAAGAATATGGAACTTAGGTTATCTTTCAGCCGAAACTTGGGATGGAAACAAGATAGGAGGATCAGGGGAGGATTCCAAAGTTTGGGGAAAAGAACGGGGTCACTATCCCGTCGGTTGGGTTCGATGCAGTGCTGCCCTGGGTTCGGGCAGTTCCTGGGTCGTCCCTCGCTCGTTGAGTGGAAAGTGACTGGTTGATGTCGGGTCCTGACAGGGCGTGGGGCACATGCGCTAAAGTCGGATGGAACCCGACGTCATTTTCCACTCTTTCCAGCCAGGGGGGTTTGGCCTGGCCCCAAGGGTGACTCCAGACCCCCACCTTCATGGTTCTGGCCAGCAAGGGACTCTGCCTAACGTGTCGCGAACCGCAAAAAGTTTTACACCCACCCATAACCCAAACCCTGAAACCTCGAGGTCATGCTGAAGGTATCACAGGCGCGATAGCCAAAGAACACCAAACGTAGTCACCACAGCAGTTACACATGAACGGGCCATCGACGTTCAAGCCGGGAGTGCAGTTTGAACGTTTTTCCATTTTTTTTGTCCCGCTATAGTCGCCGTGACTGCCTTCCAGCTAGTACGAGACCCGGGGTATTATCAACCTAACACAAAATTCTCCTATTCCACTATATCCTTTCCAAATAGTGCTGCGCTTACATAGCGAGACGCTCAACCTTGTCACGGAGGGCACGGATCTTGGAGTTGAGATCGGAAGCCTCGTTGGAGGTGAGGGAGACGGCAATGACCGAGCGGGAGACACCGCAGGCACGGCCGAGGGCGGTCTTGGAAGGAACGTAGACGTAAGGGACGTTCTTGTCCTCGCAGACTATAGACCCACAAGTTAGTGTTCTGCTCAATTCTATGGGCTTTCACCACGTTGGGTATAGACGTACGCAGAGGAATGTGAAGAACGATGCTCAAGGGCTGAGTATCAGCAGCGAGGATGACCAACTCGCTGGTACCGCGGGAGACCCTATCGTGTGTGTTAGTTGCATGTCGCTGAAGAGAAGCCGTAGGCAGAGTTGGAAGTGCACATACGACTTGGTGGCCTCGTTGGCACCCTTCTTGAGCTGTCTGTAGTGGCTGGCCTGCTGGACGCAGTCGAGGAGCTCCTGGACGAGAGCACCGTCCTCGGCCTTGGGCCAGGCAGCAGATTCGTTTTGACCAGACATTTTGATAGGAGTATTTGTTGTTTGGATGATTGATTGGAAAACTTTGGACACCAGGGTTCACTGCGTTGTGCTCGCCCTGGGGAGTTCAACTGCTAGGAGATGGGCGAAAAAGTGGTTGAAGGTGGATCGTTTTCGCTGGAGAAAAAAAAAAGCGGTGATAACGAATTGACTGCGCGCGGCTGCTACCCCAACGGCCGACTCGGTTTCAGACTCGAAAATTTCAGCACCAGCCACAACCAAGGCAGCCACAAATGGCAAGCCACAGTCGGTCGTGGTGCAGTGACCTCTGCGGCCTGCAATGTTCAGATGGGGAAGAATGGGTTGGTCCGCTTCCGGATTACGTAACTGCAGCCGTCTTGCAAGTGCTACCTGATTGGCGGCAGGAACATGATGCTCGCCCCAGCGCCCCAGCAGGCAGTGCCAGTCAAGCGCCAACCTGGAAACACCTCGTTCCCAGCCTGCCAGCCAGCAACACAGTTGACACTCGATCCGTCACCAACCCCATCGAACCGTAACCCCATCACTGATCGCGAGTCCCGACTCTTCCCAACAACACGCATCATCCCACACCACCACACGACGTTTCGCACGGCAATTTCCAACCCACTCTATATCCAACCTTTTGATACAGCCTCGCGCGACAACACATTCACAATGTCCGATCTTTGGTAGGTCATTCGCACCCACCCCGGTCCGCGATGATGGAGGAGGAGGAGGAGGAGTTGGAGGCCCGCGCCGAGCTCGCCCATGCTCCGAATCCACACTTGGGTCATGGGCTATTCAGCATCACCAAACACAATGTATACGTCGGCTTCAATGATGTAGCCTACAGCTCGTTACCTATTGAGGATAGATGTGCTAACAATGTTTTGTCATACAGCCCTGTTTACGCGGTTAGTACCCTCCCGGTTCTGTTCACGAACCTTGGCGGCGACGTCAACGTCCTCTGAACCCCCGACCACCGAACCGCCAGATGCAGACCTCAACAAAACGTCCGTATATAACTAACATGATGTGCTTGTATAGCCCTTCTTCGGTGCCATGGGCTGCACAGCAGCCATCGTCTTCACCTGCCTTGGTGCCTCGTACGGCACTGCCAAGTCCGGTGTTGGTATCGCTGCCATGGGTGTCCTCCGCCCTGACCTCATCGTCAAGAGTATGTCGAATTCCCAAGAGTCAACTTGAGCTCCGGCGTGGTATCGTACATCCATATGCTAACTTCACCTCTTCTAAAGACATTGTTCCCGTCATTATGGCTGGTATCATTGGTATCTACGGTCTCGTCGTCTCCGTCTTGATTTCCGATGCTCTCACGCAGGATCACTACGCTCTCTACACTGGCTTCATCCAACTCGGTGCTGGTCTCGCCGTCGGTCTCGCCGGTCTTGCTGCTGGTTTCGCGATTGGTATTGTTGGTGATGCTGGTGTCCGTGGAACTGCTCAACAACCCAGACTCTTCGTCGGCATGATTCTTATTCTCATTTTCGCCGAAGTCTTGGGTAAGTCCTCTGCATTCCTGGATTTTCAGTCCGATGACTTGCTAACCCGTTTGTCTAGGTCTTTACGGTTTGATCGTTGCTCTTTTGATGAACTCCAAGGCTACGCTCAACACCTCATGCTAAACGCCATGAGTAACCAGAGACCTCGGTCTAGGTATCCTCGCCGGTATGGGTGGGACAAGCACGTGCACACAAACAACATAGAGCCCCATACCTGGAACCTAAACAACGAATGATTCAAGAAACACGAACGGATTCTCATATCCTCACCACACAACCCTTCAGCTCTTCCTGACTGTCGCTCAGCCCGGTTAATCACGCAAAATAATGGCTTTATTCTTGCTTTGTTGGATGAAATGGCGGGCGGCAGTTCCGGGCTGGAAGCTAAAGTCGGGAGGAAACACCACAATGATAACAGGAGAGAGAGGAGGGTTATGAAAACACAGGAGAGCTGGCGCATATCTTTTGGAGGGGAAAGGCGTCACTCGCGGAGGAGTTTCTCAACGGGCGTCGCGTTTTTCATGGAAAGCATGTTACATGTGTACAATTGTCACAATTACGGTCTGGTCAAACGCAAAGCATTACATCTCACTTTTTTCCGGCTGGTTACTTTTTCAGTTTTTGTAAAGGGTTTGTTTTTTTTGACTCTGATTGGCATAGACAGGGATGAAGGGAGGGAAGTAGGCATGAAGAGAAGATGAACGGTAAAAGACTGTATTGTAGTCTAGGTTGTGTTGCAATGCTTTCATTATTTTTTATGAGTGGGAAGGGAAAAGAGTAATGCTTGTTTGCTTGTCTGGTACCCTTCTGCCTCGTTCAAGTTATGCTTAACTCGGCTGATAGACTGGCATAGGTAGACTCGGAGGTCGCATCAACACCACTAGAGTTCACTGCTGTGTACGGGATGGGATGTGTTTGCACCTTTTTGATTCTCATTACGATTAGGTAGGTAGGTTAAGGTAAGAGGAATGCTTCCCATCGCTTGCTCGCTCGCCGACGATGCATCACAACCGTACTCCTTTTCCTTTTCGCCTCTCATCTCATTACGCCATTAATACTATGGTACATCGTAGGTAGGTGAAACGGTCTCTTTCTTCTCCTTTCTTCTTCCTCTGCGTTACCTGTTCATCTTTATTACAACATCTTCTCTCTGAATTGTATGGGTATTTTGATCATTTCGTGTAGGTCTTGTTCTTCTCTTCTTCTTCCATCTAAACGCCCCCCAAGGGAATACTTTCCAAAAGTCTACTCCGCGGCTTCGCCTGGCGAAAGCCTATTACACACTAATATAGGTGTGGGAGAGCCAAGGGCGATATGGTAAGTCGGTTTTTAGATGACGTACTAGCGGTAATCAAGTCAGCCATACTGTCTGTGCCACTGACCAAGCAGGTAACAACGGGTATAAAAACCTACCGGAATGAAAAGATAAGGAACCCTCCTCTCATACTCCTTCCAGGCATCACCATACTTCTCGCGGCAGCGAGTAATGTCACGCCACGCGCGGTGAGCAATCATGCAGCAGAAGAAGACGGGGTAGAACCACGGGAACGGGCTGCTGAAGCCCGTGATCAGGCCCCAGCAGATGGCAAAGTAGGCGTCGCACGAGTAGTGCACCTTGCGGGCGAGACCGTACCAGCCATCCACCAGGATGCTGTCGCCCGTCTCGGTCTCGATCTTCTGCGGGTTCTTGACCGTCTGCCAGGGCAGCTGGGGGAAGGTCTTGCGGTAGAGCAGCTTGCCGCGCTCCTGGGCGCGGAACCGGTTCTTCTGGCTGTTGCACGTGTCCCAGACCCAGTAGACGAACAGGTAAGAGACGTAGAGGCCGACAAGGGCAAACCGGTTCCACCGGTACTCGTCCGGGTGGTGGTTGGCCAGGAAGATGGTGCAGTGGCAGTACGAAAGGGGCACGCCAGCCAGGTTCCAGAAGATCAGCATGAAGCCCCACTTCTCGTAGTACATGTCCCAGGTCGTCACGATCAGCTCCTCGCCCTTGGAGCACGCGTTGGCGTACAGGTAGTGCGCCATCACCAGGAAGCCGACCTCGCCCGAGACATAGCCGTACCGGTCCCACTGGCGGGCGGCGGCGCCCAGGGAGAGCAGGAGCAGGATGTACCATGGCAGGCGCACCTCGAAGAACATCTTGAAGTCGAGAACGCCGAACATGCGCGGGTTGAGCTCGGCGCCCATGAAGAAGTCGTAGACGTGGTGGCCCGTCATGCGGTGAGTGGCGCCGCGGACAAAGGCCGAAATGTAGGCAACGATGCTGACGATAAATCCCGAGATAATAGCGACCGAGAGCAAGGGGCCAAACTCGTCAATGATCTGGTACAGGGGGAAGATGCCGGTGAAGTGCAGGACGCCGGCGACGGCGAAGGTCACGTAGAAGGAGACGTAGGCCGAGCAGTGGTACTTGAGCATCTTGCCGCCCTCGTGCGGGAGAGGCTTGCCGTAGGCGGTGACGCCGGGCATGAGGCAGTAGAAGGCGCCCTCGAAGACGAGGAAGGTCCAGTACCACAGCCACGCTTTGGCGTGGGGGAAAGCCTTGGTGTAGACGAGGTCGAAGAGGTGGGCGGCAAAGTCGGCCCAGCTCTGGCCGGGCTCGCGGCTGGGGATGCCGCCGTTGTATTGGGTCGCGCCAATCCACATGAACCACATGAGGATGGGGAAGAAAATCATCATGGCGCCGGTGCCCAGCGAACCGCCGAACTCGAAGTGGCCGGAGGTGTCGATCTTAGGGTCCATGCCGGGCCTCCAGCCGTCGATGAGCTTCTCCTCCCTGGGCTTGCCATTGGCGTCGAGGCTGCTGCGGCTGCTGCTGGCATTTCCGTTCAGCAGAGGCGCGTTCTCGACATCGGGCTCCTCCGAGGAGGTGTAGGGCGGTGTGGGCTGCATCGTGTTCTCTGCCTCGTCGATGTGCTCGAAGAACTTGCCGGTGGTCTTCAAGTTGCGCTTCCGGAGGGTATCGTTCTTCGCCTTGGTCGTTTTCGGCACGACGTTCTCGGTGGCCGACGCGCTCGATTCACCGTCGGAGGACTCTGGGACTTGGGACTTGCTGCGACGAGTGTTGCGGCGTACAGGGGTCTCCACCATGCCCTGAAAGAGTTCCTTCTTTCTATCATGGAATGTCAGCAATCCGCGCTTGCCTCGGGAGGCGGCCTCGCATGGCCCCGGTAGTAGGTAAATTGGTGTTGTTGAGAAAGTGTCATGGTGGCACAAGTCTGGGCCCATCGGGAGATGCGGGAAAGTGTGTTCCGGAGTCTGCACCACCCGACACCAGGCTTCCCCTAGGATTCTAATCCATGGGGGGAAATCTCCAACTTTCGAGTTTCCAAGATCCTCCACGCGGTGCCTGCGTCAAATGCGCCCCTGAGAACTGGAGCGCGCCTTGACCTCCCTGCGCCATCTTCCAAGCACAGACGCAGTCGCCTTGTCTGGGCGCATATGCCACACAAAGTTGGGATGAACTCCCACGCAAAGGTGATGGATGTTTGCTACATCTCGAGCAACGCGGTTTGTGATTGGATTTTATAGGGGAAGCAAACAAAAGGGGGTTTGTTTACACGTACCGTGGAGTTTGCCGTAGCGAGTACCTTGACGACGACATTCTGAAAAAGAGAAAAAGGGGGTTTCTGGCGCACCACCCAACGACGATCGTAGGTTGTCTTTATACTAGAAAGGCCGGCGCCTAAAATCACGGGCGGTGAGAATCAAAACCAACAAAAAGAAACGCAATCGAAGATTAACATGGGACGGAGACGGGGGAAAAAGATGGAAAAGTCAGGCCAAGAGGTGTATAAGATCGAATACGCGTATCCGAACCTTGGCGCGAACCCCGGAACAGGCGATCGAGCGTATGAAAGGAAAGCAATCTTACTGGATGTCCAAGCAAAGTTGGTAAGCCGGGGGAGAGTCCAAGCTAGGAGGAGGTGTCACTGTCACTAACAATCTCCCTCGGGATGTGATGAACGGAAGTGAGAGAGAGAAAGTGAAGAGTTCGTGAAGACGGGACCTGAAGAACCCCTGTTGACCTGGCTTGCTGTCAAAGTCAAAATGCATCCACTTCCGAGACCCGATACGGTGTCATCAACTGATCTCAATCCACCAGAACCACCACTGATCCAGGATCCAGGCCCACGGAGCCACGATGCAAGGGGGCCAAAGTCCATTTCCAGGTTGTTGACAAAATTCTGTTTTCTTGGGAATTTTGGAATTTGGACGTAGCATTCCAGCCAGTGACCGCTCGCCCTGGGGTCCCCATATTCAGGGTTAATTGACAACTGCCAGGATCTTCCCCACAATCGCTTGATTCCTCAGTCGGTTCTTTGTTTGGTTCCCTGACAACGGGAGCCACGGAGTGCAAACATACACATTATCGGAATCCGAGGACAATGCTTAAACATGACCGACAGTTTGACCAAGCTCATCATGCTCAAATGCCCATCTTTCGGCATCTTCAAAGTGTCTGCCTTTTTTCCGAACCATTAGGATCTCTTTCGGCAAGTGGATTATGCATACCCCTATATGGTCGGCCGAAACCCGGGGATGGACAACAGCAACATCACAATCTTCTTGATCGGCCACCACCTTCAAAGTGTTGGTATTCAGATTCGCTATATCCCAACTGAATTCAGAACACATCCGTCCATGAATTTGAAAGCAATTCGCTTCGACGGTAGTCGGCATACTCGGCGCGTAGTGAAATTACAGCCAGCTTCCTCCGGAGTCCGGACTATCGATTTCTCGATATTAGATTCAGACCCTGGGTATCAACACCAAGCCAACCGAACTTGACTCTTTTCACCCGAGCAACGGCAGTCTTTCCCTCTCTCTCTGACCACCACCCTCATCACCCAAAGCCTCATCATACCCATCCTCAAGCGGCAACACAAAAGCCGAAGCTATCAACCCAGCCACACAGGCCATGGAAATCAGTGCCCCAAAGATGCAAAGATACCAAGATGCCCCCAATCGGTACCCCGGAATCTGGTTAAACAGATCATCGTGATGGAAGAGATAGGCCTATGCAAGCAAGCAGCTCGCCAGTTTTAGCGAGCAAACGTTAGCCTCTGTTCTGCCTCTCTAGACTTACCCCGTACCCTGAAAACAACAAGGGGTAGCGAGCATATCCCCATTTCCATCCATCCATCCAAACATCCCTTCCGTCACCCGGGGCAACCACCACATCCCGTTGCCCACATTCCATCATCATCATCCTCATCCTCATCCTCATCACCACCCTTACCACTACCACCCCCATCGTCATACCCATTAGCAAAAAGGGAAGATAAAAAAAAAGAAACAGAATAACTCACCACCAAACCCCCCGCCAACCCCTCCCCAACCCCCACCGCCCCGATCATCCAAGCCAACACCTTCCATCCTTCTTTTTCCTTTCTTTCGTCCCTTTCTTGCCTCATTTCCCTCGCGTTCCCCCTCCGTCTCCCACCTCGCCCACCTCGCCCACCGCCTTGCCCACTGCCCTGCCCACCGCCAGCAAGCACCAGCACAACCACAAACCCCACCAGCGTAGCGGCCTCCAAAACCAGGGATAGGTTCATCAGGAATGCTGTGGATTTCCAGGTTGTGCAGAAGAATCTGCGCTTCTCTTGACCGGTGGATATATCGGGGCCGGGTTTGGGAGGATCAGGGTTGGGGCCAGGGATGGGGTCCGAAGGAGGAGGAGGGGGACCGGGAGAGGGTGACGGAGGAGGACCTAGGCTAGGGCCGGAATGGAAACCGGAGCAGAATCGAGAATCTGGGAAGGGGAAACACTCCAACTTAAGCTGTCCGTTGTGTTTCCCATGTTTTCCGTAGGCAAGGACGGTGACGGGGGTTTGACAGCGCTGGTGGAGGCCGATGTAATCGTGGAAGACTTCGGAGCCGGAGGCGGAGACATGGACATGGACAGGTGAGTGTGAGTCGTGGTGCTTGTGAGGAGAATGTGAGGAGGTCACGGAGGAGTAGGTAATCCACCGCGGAAGCAAGATGGAGGTTAAAGTCATTGTTGTCACTATTGTGTTTTGGTGTGAGTGAGGCGTTGCGTTGGTTGGATTATCAGCTTGACTTGATTCCCGGCGGGCAGGAGACTCACCAGCGATAAAGGCTGCTAGTGCCGTGAGGTATACGCTTCGTCGTGTCATTGTTGAATTTCCCACGTTGAAATTCAGCCAATCTTGCGACATGGGAAGGTGTTCTTCTGGATGGAAAACGGAGATAAAGTGGACGGAATCAAATTGGACTGGACTTCCAAATTCACATCCGAGAAGGGATGTCACCACCATCCCGTCACCGTGAGGGGGACATCTGCTGATGCAAGCGCTCGTACACACATCCCCCAACACCTGCGCAAGACGCAAAGACGCTGGGAATGCCCCTGCATTTGTACATAGAGGTAGGCACCAAGGAGTATGCACAGACGTACACATGCCGTCTGCTTGACTTGCATATCACATCTACCTGTATAGACATCCATCGAAAGGTTCAAGGTTTGAATTGCTGTCGAGCTATCTAAGTAGCTCCCATGATGATATTATTCACATCTAACCTCCCAAGCTACAAATACTTCTTGTTAACTCCCAGTTGTCGTGAATGAAGTACATGGCTTGTGAAAATATCCTATACAATAAAAATGAGCGAAGAACACCTCCCATTGTCCTCCTCCTTCTTGTCTTTTGGTTATGTCTATGCTTTTTTTAATCCATAACACTATCTTCTTCTTCTATCGTCTCTAACCGCCGAAGCAGGAGCAGGATACGAATTCGTCCGACCAGACAATAATAATCCCCGTCTGGTTTGTCTATGCCCATGACCATGTCGAAGATCACCACTTCCACCAACACCGTTACCGCTGCCACTGCCGCTACCTGCGCCAGAAGAAGTAGGACGAGCAACGCCCTCCTTGTTACCACCAGAAGCGATATTACCACTAGCAGTACTCTTTCTCCCACAAGCACTAAGCGGAACTTCACTCGTGCCACCCATAATCCTCCCACCGCTACTGGTAGGCGTACTCGGCGCCGTAGACGAAGACGACGCTCCCGCCTCGCTCCCAGTCCCACGAGCACTACCAGGACGCTGTCTTTCGGAAGCGCCAGACCCACCGCCAGTCCGCCCATCATTCGGCAACAAAGGATGGCCGTCCTACGACCACCTCATATCCGAACTAGGCGGTCGACTTCTGCGCTTAGCATTTCCGGCACCTGCACTACCACCACCACCACTGCCACCCGTGAGGGAGAACGACGACTCTCTCGCACCGTAGCTGCGTGAGAACCCCTCACCACCCCCTCCTCCACTACCTTGAAAACTGCTAGACAAGCTCACAGCGCTTCCCGTCGGCGAGACCGAGTACAGCCCTTCTCCTCCTAGAATCCTCGCCTCGGGGCCCGCAACTGACGACCCAGACCTTATCCGCCTGTAGTTCTCCTTGTTGTGGTTACCAAGCGCGCTATCACTTCTTTCCCGCTCACGCTCGGCACGACTGCTCGCTATACCGGATATACCTATCCCCATGCCCGTGGCTGAGACCGCACCGGGCGCCGTGGCGGCAGATGATAGACTCGGTCTAGGAGAACTATACTGCGTCATGGACATGCGAGGCAGTCGCATCCTTGAGGGTGTTCCTATGCCGCCGCCGGCCGAACCCATGGATGAGGACGACGAAGTAGTGCCCGCTGAGGTGTCTTGGCTAACTCGGCGCGGGATGTTGATCAGCGGGACGCCGCCGTCTCTGCTGTGCGACCGGTACATGGCTTCGCGCTCCTGAGCTAGGGAGATTCCGGAGCGTTTCGGCGTCGATGCTACTTCGATGTATGCGGCCGAAGAGGACTGCGAGGCTCGATGACCGTGTGTGGGCGTGGGTGGCATGCTGGCGTGCAGGCCTGGCGGTGTATAACTAGTATTGCGCCGAGGGCCAGACCGCGAGCGTGGTCCAGAATTCAGGTTGTTGAGCGGATTGGGGACGGCCGAGGGCCCAGCACCCATGTTTAGTGCGCCCAAGGCTGCTGCATCGTGCTGTAGGTCGATGTCGATATGGCTTCTAACGATTTCCGATGCCAAGTTGCGCACCAGTACTGCCGGATCCTTATCTGCCAGTATTTGTATATCGTCAAAGAGAACACGCAGCGCACGGCCCGCAGTCGAAGTGGCCAGGGTTGCCATGGGTGTGTTGTTGGCTTCGCAACCGTCCATGATACTGCGCACGAGACGGAGTAGGTTAAGGCGCACAACGGCCTTCTTGTGACTCAGTTTCTGGGCGATGCCGGCATACATCTCTGCCTTGGCAAGCGATGCTGCCACGGAGGGACTAAGTCGCACAAGCTTAAGAAGCGGTTCGAGAAGGTTGGCGTCGAAAGCATTTGCTTTGTTGGTGTTGAAGCAAGACGTGATCGCCGTGGTGAAGTTGCCGTCGAGTAAGTGATGTTCGACCTTGGCCGTCTCCTTTTCCAGCCAGACAAAGATAGCATCCAGCGCGGTGACTTGCCAATACTGATCTGCCAAGAGCGAAACGTAGAATTCCAACCCATTGTTCTGCCACAGATATCTTCTGCCCTTGCTGCCAGAGTGTGCCATGTCGCACAGGATAGGGAGGACAAACTCCTTTGGCGGGCGATCAGTCTTCATGATCTTCAGCAACAGTGGAATGATACCATTGCTGGCAGCGTATTCTTGACGCTCTTTGCTGAGTCGGCATAGGTTGAACATGGTGTTGAGCACTTGGTTGGAGATCTCGCGGAAATGCTGCTGCCCTCTCTTCATCGAGTTGCTCAAAACGTCGATCAAGTAGTCAATGGCGTCAGCAGAATGTAATGATTCCAACGTTGTTGACAGCATGGACAAGTTCTTGATGAACTTGAGCATAGTGATCTGGTGAGCAGGTGTCATCCGCCTGAGGTCCTTTAGAACAGCTATAGTGGTACTTGTTAGCAGCCGATCCGGCATCATGATGAGCAAGGAGTACATACTTTTGAGTACAAAACGCTCGGCAACGACTTCCTTCACATAGTTCTCAGCTTGCGAGAAGAGATAGAAGATATTGACGATGCGAGCTTCAATCAGCTCGGACAGCTCATCCCTGTCATCTTCATCCAAGACCTTGTGCAGCACTGCAGCCAATGGGTCCAAGATTTTGCTCCGCGAGAATATGCGGCAGAAGTCGTTCTTTGGGGTCGGGCCCTAGATTGACAATTAGCACGATTTCTTGACATCACGACAGGTGTCCAAGAACAGGACTTACCTGAAGCTCAAAGACGTTCCAAATGCCATTGACACCGATAAGAACAAGGTCAGGCGACATGTCATAGTCTTCATCCAGGAACTCTACCAAGACATTAAGACCGCCTGCACTGACGAACATCTGTAGAGTCAAAGTAGAAGTTTGGTACATCTGCCGAACAAAGGCCGCAGCCTCCAGGCGAATTTCGTTCGAATACTGCCGAGCAGCGAACTTGGTGATAATTGGGATACCGCCCACGAAACACAGGTTCTCTTGCAGCTCGACGTCATCCAATATAATCTGCTTCCAGTTAGTATCCGGACAGTCATACAGTTTTCCAATCATGAACACCGATATTGGCACCTACCGCATTGACGATCTTCAGTAGCTGCAAGATCATATGCTGACGACTCTTCACCGTGCAGGGTTCCAAGATCTCCAGGATTGGTAGCAACCCATGTGCACTGATGATGAGATCCTTGACCTCGGTGTTCTCCCATAGTAGGGCGAGCTGTAACCACATCAACATGTCAGCCACTTCCGTGTCAAATTCCAAGACAAACAGAGAAACTTACCAAGTCTTCAGCCAGATCAGCAAGTATATCCTCACTCTCCGTCGGTTTCAAAGACTTCACCCTCTCTTCCACCTTCTCCGCCAACCTAGCATGTCTATCACGCGCAATGTTGGCCTCGAGGTCCATCTCATCCCAGCCGGGATCCATCATGGCGAACGGATCATCTTCGTCTTCATCGTCCCCAAGCCAAGAATTATTGGACAACTTGGAAAGGAGCATAAGCTGATGGCCATCCTCCGATCCCTCATCGCTCTTGGGCGGTTTTGTGAGGCTTTCCGGCTCGGCCCCGAAAATGTCGGAAAAGTCCTCATCACCCTCGTCCTCAGCAAACTTTGTGATCTCGACTGTCGTCCTTGTCCTTCTGACGGCGGGCTGCTCAGGAGCTGACGGTGGCCGCGCGGAAGCCGACTGTCTCCGCATGTTGCTGCCATTGACAGGTGATGCCGTAGAGCGCGGTAAACTAGTGAGATCCGAAGGGTGAAATAGTTGTGGAACGTCCTACAAAACGAAACGATCAGCAAATTGGCGGCAGGGATCAGGAGACAGACGATGGCGTGGAGAAGTTCTTACCTTGACGGCAACATTAAGCCGACTGTTGAACACAGAGTCCGTATCGCCAAAGAGATCAGAGTAGTCCTCGGTAGACTGCTCACGATAGATTGATTCAGGACGGGGTGGAAGCTCAAACTTGTTGCCGAACTGCGTCCTCACAGGCGACTTAGTCTGTGAGGCGCTTGGAACCGTGGTTTTGCTGCTTCTTTGCCGCCTATGTCCTTGCTGAGAAGACTTTGTCTCGGATGCCCTCTCTGACCGCTTTGGCAAGGGACGAATCGTCTGCTCAAAATCTCCGCCAAAGTCTTCGTCCCAGTTCTCCGTGTCTTCTCGCGAACTGTCAATGGACGCAAACGCTTTAAGCCGATCGCTGGAAAGAAGTCCTCCAAAATTGTCCTGCCCTTTGATGTGAGGGAGGTGGAGCGCACTAGGTGAAATTGCAGTGGCAAAGTCATTGTCCCAGTTATCATCATCTGTTTACCATCAGTCAGCTAACACCTCCTCAAGTTCTGATTTCCGATACTCACCAGCTTCTACCGCAGGAGACCTAAAGGCCTCTGCGCTCGGCTTCGGCTTCGGTTGCTGTGGAGGCACCTTTGTCGAGATAGAGAGGTTTGGACGGTGCTGGCCAGAAGTATTCCTATTCTGCGCGGAAGGATTGCCGTGATCCGAGCCAATCGATGTTCTGGGGTTGGCTTCCGATGACTTGAGCGCCTTGTTCCATTGCTTGACTTCCTCAACGGCCTGGCTAAAGTTTGATGGTGCTTTTGATATCGGCGCATCACTCCTCCGGCAGCCCTGAATCCACGAATGTCTCAAAAGCTTTTTTGCTGATACTCTGAGGTTGGGGTCCTTCTGAAAGCACTGCATTAAGAAGTCACGAGCAGCCTAAACTCATGGTCAGCATATCAAATTTATCCAGCTTGAAAAATAGGGGTACGAACCGGCGAGACTCCTTCTGGAAGAGGCGGGTGGTCATCGTTGACAATAGCAAAAAGAGCCGGCATCGCAGCCAGGTGATGATATGGAGGCTTTCCTTGCAGGAGCTCGATAACCGTACACCCAACACTCCAAATATCCGAGGCAGAGGTAGCACCGGACAACTGGATAATTTCAGGAGCCATCCAGTAGGGTGTCCCTACTACTTGCGCCTCCTTGTCTGGGCCTGCTAGAGTGCTGGTTGACACGCCAAAGTCTGCCAACTTGACGGTGCCGTCCTTGGTAGTCAAGATGTTGGCACCTTTGATATCTCGATGGATGACACCCTGGTCGTGCAGATACTGCAGCCCCTGGAGGACCTGGGTCATGTATACCCCGACGAGATTTTCCGGGAACTTGCCGTAGGCTTTACATATCGAATGCAGCGATCCATTTTCGCAGTACCTGTCCAACTCGTGTTAGTGTTCTCAGTGTCTCTTCACGGCTCAGGGAAACCACTTACTCGAGGATAATATTCAAGCAATCCGCAGTTTTTACGAAGCCGATGTACTTGACAATATTGTCATGCTAGATGGTGTTAGTATCTCTCTCCCTCCCTCACTGATAGCTGCTGTATCTGCTTACGTGAAGGTTTTTCAAAAGATCGATTTCGGCCTATACAATGTCAGCTTGAAAAAGCTCGGACGAACTTTATAAATCCTCAAGCCAACTCACCTCGATCATCCGCAGCTCGCTTTTCGGTACATCGACCAGCTTGATTTGCTTGACGGCCACGGCCTCGCCGGTTCCCCAGTTGAAGGCCTTGTAGACCGACCCAAAGGCTCCTTTTCCGATGCAATCACCGAGTCGCTAAACACCCACGTATGTGGTCATAGGTCAGCCATGTCTCACAAGAATTGAATATGTGATATCGTTGTATTAATAAGTCGGGTCACTGTGGCCCCATGCCGGTGCTGCTGAACAAAGAGATCAGACGATGCAAGCCACTGAGCATGCCGAGAGGTGCATATGTAAGCAATGTAGGCACGGTACGAGCCGCCTTGCCACGACCCTTCAACACCGGGTAGAAAGTTTAAGTTTGAGGAATCCAGGAGCTGACTGGGGCTTCAAACCCATTGAACACGACATGTCATACACGATTTGCGGTAAAGCACCCTTACGAACACATCCGGGGAAAATGGGAGTGAGCAAGAAAGAAAGACGTACATAGTCCTTTAGGCCCGGATCTTGAACTGCCTTTTCTCGGCCATGGCCGCCAGCCTCCCGACGCGGCGTCCCCGGCATTTTGGTAGCCACGACTGCTGCTGCCTTGCCGTTCCCGCCATGGTACGAGCGCTCGGTGGAGGAGGAGCCCGGCGGGTTCGGCGCCATGCCTGCGGCCCCGGTCCGGAAGGCTTTACCGATCCAGTCAAAGATTCCCCCCACTTTTGTTCACCCTCTCTCCGCAGAGGTTAATATGTCCGAAGTTTTGGGTCTGCCGTCGGTGGGCAGATATATGTACGAAGGGGCCCGAGGGCCTGGGACTCTGTTGAGAGAGCCGAAGCTGGCTGGCTGTTGTTCAAGGGTTCTTGCCGAGAGAGATTATATAGGGTGGATATCGACGAGGTGGTAGCGTGTTGTATCCCATTCCCAATCCCGGGCTACGAACGGAGGAGGGGTCCGCTTTCCAAGTTGTGATTCGCAATATGGAAACCCGGGCTGGTCGCCGGCCGGCCCAAGGTGTAGTAAAATGAGTGGGCGTCGGTGTTGAGTTCCCCGCTACGGATGTGATGATGCGCCGGAAATTTCGATGCGAAAACAAGATCGGGTCCGTGTGGGGTACGGAACCGAAAGAATGTAGAAGAGCGCGACGGGAAGTCCGTGGAGTGAAAGCTGATGACTCGGAATGTACAGCAAGATGTTTGGCAAATCAGCGAGAATGTGCTCGATACGGCCGGCGTTTCGTCGGAATCGTATATTCTTATCGTCTCTGCGAGAGTCTATGGGTGGACATCTACAGCGTCAAAAAGTAGACAGAAAGGTATCGATATATGAAGGCGCCGAGAACAAGGCCGAAGGTTCGGCGGGACAAGGCGAAGATGGTGGTGCTATTGCTGGCGCTCAGAAAGATTAAGTGTGAAGAAAGGCCAGGACAGGGCGTCGCCGTTAGACGCTGGATGCTGGGTGCTGGAGAGCCTGGATGATGCTGGATGTTATTGTTGTTGTGGTTGTTGGATGCCAGGTGCTGGTCGCTTGTTGTCGTGTGTCAGATGGTTCGAGATGGTGTACCGCGGGGTAAAAGTAGAGACGGAGGTACCTTGATATCCTTGTTTCTTGACGACGAGTTCATCCGGCATTTGTTGGCCGAACTTTGAAAAAGAGAAAGAGCAAAAGATGGATAGAAGCTACCCCTGGGAGGGGAAAACGTAATGTATGATCCGTACTGGATATCCCAACGACGAACTGGACTGTTTGCGCTACACCCACCACCGCTGAAAAGCTGGTAGAGGTAATGGAAATGTTGCAAGTGATGCTGCAGTGAAGCCCTGGATGTCTTGGACGCCTCGAGAAACACTGCAATAGCTGAAAAGAGTGGATCTCTGGAGTGTTTGGCATGTATGCGCTGCCGTGGGCCTAGGCATTTCGACGGGTCGATGGAGTGTCATCACAGAAGCATCAAAAAGAGAGAAATGACAGGATCCCATCCTAGGATCCTTCCCGTCGACTCGGATTTTCCGCGCGCCAATGCGACGATACTCATCTTCACTTTCACCTGCTTCCGGCGGTAGGCAGTTCTATCCAGTCACGCAGTGCATCTAATGCAGCTTCATAAAGCCTGCATGAAGTTTAGCAACATATCAATTCTAACTTGCATGCAGCTGCTGTAGTGCGGAGGTACGGCTCTATAGAAGTAGCGCTATCGCCATCCCCATCATGCCTCTTCTAGGTATCTTATCAATGTCAACATTCCACTTTGTTGACCGGTAGAGGAGCATAAACCTTCATACCCCTCCACCGCCAGCACGTCTAGGAAATTTACACATGGCACCTGTGTAAAGTCTCTATTGGATCTAAATAGCTTTTTAGTGTTTCAGATTGGAACCGCCGCCCATGTTTTAAGCCCTTCGCTACCGTCTATCTAGTCGAGATCGTCTCCATATCTCAGACATTTCGTTACCAACCAAGGGGATGATAGGAACCTCACATACAAACACACCAAGAGCCATATTTTCAAATATTCGTCAACCATTACTATTTATTACCGTATCGCCCAACCGCTCCAGCTGCCAGTCCTTCATTTTTTTCCCGGTCCACTGGAAGGCCTCAGCTTAGTATGTACCGGGCAATCATATAATACATCAGCACAGCGCCGCTTCAAGGCTGCTGTCTTCCCGGGCCGCTTCCAGTCGTAACATGTTTTACCTATCAGGAGACTTCCTTCTTCGTCAAGTCTGATGGTGTTAAGGATGAATCATGCTCAGTCATACGGTGATGAAAAGGACGGGAGAACAAGAAAAAGGACACCCGAATAGACCATAACGCCGCTCGCCGTATGCGCCAAAGGACAGAAAAAAAGAAGGGAAAAGAAAATACCGGGAATCAAGTGTGCATCACTAACTGCACGAGCAAGTTTGCCCTTGAGAGCAAATGCCATGAGTTCAAAACACCCACACAGACACTGAAGTGACTCGGTGCTCAGTTCCCAGATGCACCCCGTGAAAGCATCCGGCTAAGCCCAGCCTCAGCCCACCATTCATCGGGGACATCCTCGCGCGTAGCAAGGTTGCGCACGATGCGCTGCAGGCCTCCCATACCGCCCAAGATCTCCAGAGAGTCATCGCTGCTATCATTGCGGGTAACATCCGCATACGACCGCCGAATACTGTTCAAGCTAGGAGGGAAACGAGTAAGCGGGTTCACGTCCAGCTCGTCCTCCTCATCACCTTCCGTGTCGGAATTTTCACCTCCCGACTCACACGATGGCTCAAGTTCTATAGCTTCTGAGGGCGCATCCGGGACGGTGACAGAAGTCCCGACGGAGGGTGCCGCCGCGTTTTGCGAGGCAACGGCAGATGCCGAAGCGGAAGCAGACGAAGAGCCAGAGCTGGGCGTTAGCGGGTCTGGCGTCAGGGTGGTCGTGAAAATGTCCCATACATGGTCGCCCTCGGGACTGAGACTCCGGTTGCGATCTCCTAAACCATCCAGTCGCGGCGTCCCAACAGACGGTGCCTGCTCACCTCGACGGCGACCAGAAATTGCATCAGGTCTCGGGTAAGGATTGCCCCATGTGCCGTACAGAGACGAGGCCCGGTCCGCGGCCCGATCCCTGATGCGGCGCAGAGCTGCGCGTTCTCGACTCTGCTAGTTGTTAGTTGGTGCTGTCCAGTTGACTCAGACGGTGTGTAGAAAAAGGTGAGCGCATACCGGGGTAGGTGGGCCCCGATTCATCTGAGACGATGTACGAGGTTCTACGGGCGGCGGTGGCGGCGGCGGCACTCTACGAGATAGAAAGCCAGGCTCAACGGCCATGTGTGCAAAAGGTGGTTCCGCGGTCAAATGCGCGAGGAAAGGATTAGGTTCGGGATCCTCATCGTCAGTTAGGGCGCCTGGGTACTGGGACATCGAATGCAGGTGAGCCAACCGCCTGCCAAACAAGGCAATGACCTGGTCATCGAGCATACCACCTAGACGACTAGCCCCGTCGCGTGTGGTGTCGCGACTAGATTCCGCATTGTTGGGCGCATTGTTGCTGTTGCTGTCGCTGTTGGAGCCGCTTGATCGTTCGGCCGGAGGGGATCGGCGTCTGGGGTTGTCATAGTTGTAACTAGCAGCAGCAGCATTACCACTGTTGATAGCAGCGGTGATAGCGAGGCGACGTCGGCGTTGCTGCCGTTGTTCGGCAGTCGGGAGGCGGCTGCGTCTAATGGAGGATCGAGCTTCGGCAGCGTTCTTGTCTGCCGCCGACCTCGATTGGATGTCGGACTCGACAGGCGCTTGGTACAATCTGATTGGGAGGACGTGTCAGGTCAGCTCAAGCCTACAGAGTAGAATAGGAGAATGCGACTGGATCGGTTGCCCTGACGGGGCGCATCATCGGGTTGACGGAAAGCACCATCTCGAACATGTGTGACAGATGAAAGTGACGAAATCGCGGTGGATACGGATGGCAAAGGGGGATAAGCGCGGACGCGAAACGCCCTGACGCGGCCCGGTGTTCTTACCGGAGACCCATGGAGTTTGCTTGAGTCGCGATGTCGCGACAGAGCGACGCTGGAAGCAACGGAAGTTATTAACGAGCGTGACGGGTGAGTAAGCGAGAGCTTGTTGGTGATGGCGGGGGCTCGTCAATGGATAAGGAATTTTGATGTTGCGATGAAAGAATGCGCCCCGGACTCTGTTCTGGAATCCTTGCCCTAGATGGCGGTCGTGGGGTTTGCGCTGCGGAAAGCGGATAGCGGATGATTCAGTCTGGTTTGGTTTGCCAGATCGGAACGAGCGAAGGGGAGACGACGGGATTGCAGGCGTCAGGGGATTGGGGTTTTGACAGGAGAGATGAAAGTGGCTGGGCGGGTCTTCTCCAGGTTGCAACATGCCCCATGCCCGGCCCCAGGGCAATAGGCTTAGTGCGCTGAGAAATATCGGTCTAACTGCATGTCAGCAGAGAAGCCATGCGCTTACCAGAGTCCATGCGTTTATACTATCTAACTGCTGAAAATGTGCCTGAAAGTTATGCATCATAAAGAAGATTGTGACTTCCTATTCCACTCAGCTAGAATAAATGAATCAGGGGTTTTCCTTGCCCACGCAGATCACTTTATGCGCCCCGCCATAAGCATCCGCCGATGACGGGCCAGTGTCCTTGGCTTCTGGCTCTCCTCTGAGAGTGATGACGGGACTTGGCAAAGGACCCCAGGAGATCGATCCGCATCGCCACCAATCACCTTCACACGTCACTCTGAATGTGAGTGAGTTCATTACCAGTTCACCATCGCCATGATCGATCTCGGACTGGCCCGCATCGGGCGTCTTCTTCAGCACACGCCGCAGACCTGGAAGGCCATCCACGTTGCCGGCACCAACGGCAAGGGCTCAATATGTGCCTCTCTCTCGGCCATGCTCAGTGCCAGCGGTGTCTCGTGTGCAAGGTTCACCTCACCTCATCTCATCGACCGCTGGGACTGTATCACCATCAACGAGAAGCCCGTCCCCGAGACGATTTTCCGTCAAGTCGAGGGCTTGGTCAAGCAGCGGGACCAGGACGAGAAGATCGGGGCGACCGAGTTTGAGCTCCTCGCAGCAACCGCCTTTGAGATCTTCCACCGTCTGAAGGTTGAGTATGGCGTAATCGAGGTTGGTCTCGGCGGGAAGCTGGACGCTACCAACATCATGAAGCACAAGTCCGTTACCGTCATCGCCAAAATTGGTCTCGACCACCAGTCCTTCCTAGGGAACACGATCGAGGAGATCGCACTGCAGAAAGCAGGCATTATCCGCTCCGGCGTTCCCTGTGTCGTTGATGGCAGCAACGAGTCCTCGGTCCTGAAAGTTATTCAAGACCACGCGAAGGAGGTCGGCGGCGTAGAGTTGCACTATCCCTCGTCCGATTCCGCCCTGGTCCAGGTTCTCACCAACGAAGGCTACGAGCCGCATCAAGTCCAGAACCTGGCGTGCGCGTTGTTGGCCTTCCGCTTAGCCTGTCCAGACTTTGACCACTCGCTGGGCCGTCTTCTCCGCATCGTTAAGAAGCTGCAATGGCCCGGCCGTCTGCAAAGAATTGACCTCTTTCCCATAGTCGGACGGCATCAAGAGGCTCTGCTGGACGGAGCCCACAATAGCCAGTCAGCCGAAGTTTTGGCTGCCTATGTCAACAAGCACTACCGCTCGCCGAGTCAATCAATCACTTGGGTGTTGGCCGCTTCCAAAGGCAAAGATGTGGACAGTATCATGTCCCATAACATACAGCCGAGTGATCAGGTCACGGCCGTGCAGTTTGGGCCAGTTGATGGAATGCCGTGGGTTAAAGCCGAGGACCCGACCAACCTGATCGACCAGGCAATTCGTTATGGTGTCGATACTCAGAACACGCACGACTCGGGAGATGATGTACGAACTGCCCTGGAATGGGCATCCAAGGCTGCGGGAGATAAGCCAATTGTTATTGCTGGGAGTTTGTATCTGGTCTCCAGCGTTCTACGACTCATGCGCGAGGCGGAATCTCATCAAAAAGCATGAGGCGTGGACAGCCGAAAAAAACTTTGGATATCAAAAATTTGGGACCATGGCCCGTGGACTGGTGTTTGTTTTGGTTGAAAAGGGGCTTCTGCCAAACCCCTGAATAAATCTTGGCCAATTTTCAGACAAACCATTTCCCCAATTACTTTGCCAATGTCTACTGCGTCTGCCCCAAGTCGAAGAAATCACATGATCACTCATGTATCAGAAAAAGGCGGTCAATCTTGCCAGCAGATCCATCTCTTCCTCAATCTCAGACTCACCACCACTACCATCACCATGCCATCACCACCACCACCAAACCACCTCATAATCGTCTGCGGACACGCCATCTGGCTCGGCGGCCCAGCAAACGGCTGGGACGAATCCGAATGGCTCATTGAGCCCTACAAGAAGGGCGAAACGCCCACGTTCATTGCCCACATCAAAGCAGGCCTCGAAGAACTAGCCAAAGATGACGGCGCGGTGTTGATGTTTTCCGGGTTCGCGCCTCCGCATATACATACCCCTTCCATGTCTAACCTTCATCCGACTAACTCCTACAAAAAAAAAAAGCGGCCCAACCCGCCCCGAAACACGCCTCTCCGAAGCCCAAAGTTACTACAACCTAGCCCTCGCCAACTCCTTTTTCGGCCTCTCACCTTCTTCCTCTTCTGCTGCTGCCCCCTCCTCCTTTTCGAACCGCATCTTCCTAGAAGAACGCGCCCTAGACTCCTACTACAACATCCTCTTCTCCCTCATCCACTACTGGCGCGTCGTCCACCATCCTCAGCACGCCTGGCCGGAGCGCATCACCATCGTCAGCCACGCGTTCAAGCGGAACCGGCTGGTGGATGGGCACTGCGCTGCTATTTTCGGGTTGATTCCGTCGCAGCTGGAGTTGGAGAAAAGGGTGAGGTTTGTGGGGATTAATCCGCCTGGGGTTGATGGGGTTGGTAGCGTTGATGGGGATGGGGGGTCGAAGGAGAAGAAGGAAGCTATGCAAGGGGTGCAGTTGGCGCTGGGACAGTGGGCTGAGGATCCGCATGGGGTGGGGGAGGAGCTGGCTGGGAAGAGGAGGGCGAGGAATTGTTGGGGGTTGGATCAGCGGTTGTTCTTTAGTGAGGAGGAGAGGAGGAGGAGTGGAGTTGAGACGAGGATGTTGGAAGATGGGAGTGAAGCGTTGGTTGATGGGGAGAAGCCGAGGCCTTGGGCGAGGTGATGGACGGTGTCGTGATTGCGTGGTTCATTAAGATAGTCTGTGGGACTTGTATTTCTAGAGCTGGTGACATCCACTTCTGTGAATGACCGAACATTCAGATCTTCGACTTCCCATTCCTTGCCTGAGCAGTTATATCCGCATCAGCACTCTTAACCACCTCCTTCACCCATTCAACCGCGTCCTTGACCATGCCCACGCTGAAGGTGTGCCCAACTCCCGCATAGGTCCTCTCATCCACCGAGATCCTCGCCTCCTTATACTTATCCACGGCCTCCTTAAACCACCTCGTGAACGCCTCACCGCACCGAGGGGGCACGAGCTTGTCTTCTGCGCCATTACAAAGGAGGAACTGCTTCCCCTGAAGACGTTCAAGGAGAATCTGCCTTCTTTGACGTTCATCCTCGTCTGCTGAGCTTGGGGAGGAAGATGGCGATGCTGAAGCCGGGGATGAGGGAATAGGGGAGGTGCCAAACAGGATTCCCTTCGGGTCCGTCTTGCAGGCGGCCGCGACCAAGGAAGGAGGGAAGTCCTTGCTCCCCAGGAAGGTGGCGGCACCGGTGTCGGCAGAGTAAGTTGATAGCTTTGAGAGACGGGCGCGGTCGGTGATGAGGTCTATTGGGGGAAATTAGTTATTTGCTAGGTAGTTCATGCCAAAAAAGGAATAAGAAGAATAACTCACTCATAAAATCAGGGCACCCAATAACCGCCACGCCAGCGCGCACTCTCGGGTCCGCAAACATAAGCTGCCACACGCTGTGTCCTCCGAGGGAGACGCCCAAGGCAAGGTGGTGGTCAATCACCTTTCTCTGCTTCCCTTCTTCCTCTCCGCTGTCATGGAAGAGATATGACTCCACGACATCCCTAGTGAAATGAATTTATCAGTCACAATCCTTCCTTCGGTCCTTTGCTCAGTATCAATCAAAAACTCACAACAAAACCCTCTGATCCCCCACCATCCCCACAATCCCCCCCAACATATCCTGCGCATGCGTCTTGTTTCCCTCCCTCCACGCTCCGTTCGCCGGATCATGCACCAATCTCGTCCCGTGGTTTCGTTGGTCGTAGGCCAAGGCGATCAACCCTCTACTATCCTTCTCACTTCCAGTAGATTCGTTCCAAGCACCAACACACCGCGCCGCAATCTCCCGCATGTGCTCCTTGTTCCGCGTCCGTTGGTGGTGCAGCCACAGACAGGAGACGCGGGATACGTTGGCGGAAAGCTCGTCGAGGCCGTAGACGTCGACGAGGAGGCCGGCCATGGGGATGGTTTTGAGAGAGATGGAGGGGACGAGGGGCAGGCCGTCGGTGGAGATGCCGCCGGAGTTGGCGGCGGTTTGAGACATTGCTGCGGTGGTTGGTGTTGTCGACGTAGTTCCTCTGACGAGAAGCCTTTAAGGGATGGGAGCTTGGTGAGTTCGGATCCGGGGTGTTTTGTTGTCGTTGTTGTTGACAGGGACGGAGATGTCACACAGCCGTAGCGGGATATCGGACGGACGGAGCAAGAGGAGGTTGACTTGGAGGAGATGGGAGGTTAACAGGGGAATATAAGAGCAATGGAGAAGTGTTGTTATAAATGTGAGGTGAACGGATGAAAAACGGACTTGAACCACTTGAAACATGAAAGTGATGACATTCGGTGGCGTTGAACCGAGGCACCGGGACGCTAGCGGAGGTTGCGGGCGGGAGGTCGTGCTTACCCCACCTGAACGGCACCGGTACGGCCCACGGGAGGGGCTTTACAGGCGGGGTCGGAGAACCCTTGGGACTTCCATTTCGATGTTGTTCACCGGCCGCATCATCCGCACTCCCAGAGAAATGATTTGTTTGCAATGATCATGTCGAAGTGTCTTTTGATATCAGCTTTCTATAATTTTTCTGGTCTTCCTGCTGTTTCTTAAAGACCAATGCCGTCTTGGGCAAGTGTTTAGCCGTACGGTCGTTTTGCACGATGACAGCAACCTAGGGTCTTTACTTGTTCTTTTGATGCTCGGTAGAAGCTCATTTTGTCAATGAATGAAAATCCTAGAGGAAAATGAAACATACACTCAAGATTATGTTTGACATTGCCCGTCTCACCCAGTCCCGATGACACCGGCGATACGGACCGGTTCAAACACAAGCGAAGCGGGACCCACACGGCGTTAGCCCCGCTTTAATTCGGGGTATGCTACGGTACTCCGGCCGAATGTAAGCGCTCCGCGTTCCGTAAACAGCGTTGCTTTACACAACCAACCACATAGAGGCAGCTAGGCAACAGCAGGCAGCCATGGGTCTCAGAGTCGTAGTTCAACTGTATTTTTTGTTGAAAGTTCACTACTGATTGTGAATCACCTCAAACGACCTCTCGAGTATCAATGGTCTATAAAAAGTTTAAAAAAATTGTCGAAAACATGAAACTTCGTAGACTTCACTCAATCTACTTCTTGAACAACCATCAAGTACTTGAATTTCAAACCAGTCAAAATGGACACCTGCCGCGATGATCCCCTAGTCCAGGCCGTCACGGCCTACGTAAAGGACTACATGAGCAACTACGACGCGTCCCACGACTGGAGCCACATCGAGCGTGTCGTCGGGCTATCGCACTACATCTACTCCAAGTCCGCCAACAAGGATTCCCTCGATCTTCGCACCATTCACCTCTCAGCTCTTCTACATGACGTCGGTGACAAGAAGTCAGTTTTATACCGCCATCCTTCCTCAGTCGTCTCACACGTCTTCATCCCCATCCACGCAGCTTGATCCCACTCACCTTTCAGTCAACACCCCTCCTCCACTCCAATACTCATACTCACCCAAACCCTCACTAACACACATTGGTACCAGATATCTCAAGTCAGACCAAGACCCCACCACCCTCATCGCTACCCTCCTCACATCCCTCTCCTGCCCCGCCCCCCTCGCCTCCAAAATCCAAACCATCTGCCTCAACGTCTCCTACTCAACCGAGACCAAGAACCCTGCCAACCCTGGCTTCATCAACTCGCTCATTGAGCAGCACCCAGAGCTAGCAGTGGTGCAGGATGCAGACAGGCTGGATGCCGTCGGCGCCGTGGGGCTGGGACGCATGTTCACGTTCGGCGGAGCGAAGACGGGGAGGGACATGGCGGGCAGTATGGAGCATGTGGATGAGAAGCTGGTGAGGTTGGTAGACTTGGCGAAGACGGACGTGGGTAGGGAGTTGATGATGGAACGGACGGAGAGGTTGAGGGCTTTTCAGGGGTGGTGGGGGGAGGAGGTTGGGTTTGTTAAGGGTCTTTAGTAGCATGTCGTGTGGGCATGGAGTGATGAGTGACGGGGGCTTCAGATGCCAAAACGACGGGGATGGAAAGGCTAAGGTCGACCAGCTAAAGGATAGGATTGATCATAGGCAGACAGACACATCTCCCTTAGTGATCATAGATCTTAAAATGCAAAATTACAAGTTGTTTTTGTATTACTGGATGTGCTACGTATATGCTGTCCCCTTTTCTTGTAGACCTTAGTAGACTTCGGTGAATGATCCTTTCATCATGCTGGTGTCACGGATGCCACTCCGTTGCCTTACCAGACGTCTGCGCATCAGTTTAGCTCGGCTGATTGTGTCAGTCACACGATTGCATGGCCGATCAGCTTGGGCAACAAAAGCCTAGTGGTGGGTTGCACCAGAAGCAAAAGCGGCATACCTACCCTCTGCGGTCTTTGAAGAGCTATTCCTCTCCAGTCTCAATATCAGAGTGGAGCGGCTTAAACCCGTTGAACCATCGTATGCGCCGACTGAAACAAATCGGAATGACTCGTCGGTTGCCTGTATAAGCTGGAACACTCGAGCAAAGGGTTGCCCCCAGCCACCTCAGGCTATGTGACCTGCGCTATAACTTTCCTCCGTTCCAAAACGGCCTGACCTGATTTTGTTCTAAAAGCATTAACGCCTTGAGCGCCGCCGTAAAATGTTGGTATCGTGTTCCGTGAAAAGTGAAACCCAACTGTAAACACCAATTGAATGAATCCGAAACTCAGAGTCGTGAATAAAGATGTTCGCTTTGGCGACCCATTCCCAGCTGCTATGTTGTCGCACCTTTTCTCAAGCTACTATCATCGTACACCAGTCTACTTCACCTCTTGTCGGCACCCGGAGGCCCTTGACCAGGGGCGCCGAAAGGGGGCATACCGGGGAACCCACCTGGCGCACCGGGAGGGGGAAAGGGGAAGTTTCCTGCTCCAGGCGGGGGGAAGGGCAGACCTCCAGGGGGCGGGAATGGCAGACCACCGGGACCGGGCATTGGAGGTGGAACGCCAGGCATACCAGCAGGAGCACCAGGCATACCAGGGAAATGGGGCATTGGAGGCATTCCGCGAGCTCCTGGCGCTCCCGGGGGAGGGATACCGCCGGGTGCGCCTGGAGCACCAAAGGCTCCGGGAGGGGGCACCGGTGCGCCACCCATGCCTGGGAACGGAGGTGGCATGCCGCCAGGGAAAGGCGGGAAGGGGGAAACGCCGGCGCCCGGAGGCGGGAAGACACCGAGACCAGGAGGAATTCCGCCGGGTTGGTTCTGAGGGAGCATGGGGTTGGCGTGGGCTTGGCCTTCGGCGGCGTACGAGGAGGTGATGGAGTCGATGACGGATTGCGCCTTCTCGTGACCGATTTCTGGAAAACACAGGCGCGTTAGTAATGCGGTGAGGTCGGCAATGGCGGATTGGCGGGTTATGTGGCATACGTTGGTAGTAGTCAACAACGTTTCGTAGATGGTTACGACCGCTGTTGTGCGCCTTGCGGACGCTCATGGAATCGTGCGTGAGGTACACATCGCAGTAGTCGCAAAAGACTGTACAAGATGTCGTTAGTATCGAATTGAAGATGAGCGGTCCTAGCAATACTCACATTTCGGCATTTCGACAGATTGCGATCGCGAATCACTGAAAATCAGAAGTATCCGAAATCGTTGGTGTTGCCCTCGGGGATGATCGCACGTTGGATGGCAACAATGATGCGGCGCGCGACAACGACGAAGACAAAAGAAGGTTTGCAAGGCTGAAGAAGCACTGGGACACACAGGGACGCGATGACCAAAGCGGGACCAGGTTGGCCCTTGAGGTGCTTGGCATAAGTGGATCCCCAAGGCTTCCCCCCCAAAAAAGCTCCCCTGAATGCGATTCGCGGCTGCTGATTGGCACAGCGGGGCACACCTGTCAAGCGTGTGGACATGCGACATGCTCCAGACCTGTCCCAGCTGTCCTTGCCTGCCCAAGGAGAAGCCGCCAGATTTCCCCTAGATCCAAGTCGCGGAGCTTCCCATCAATACAGCCCACTACGACACGACCAGGCCATTGCATAGCTTCAACCGGACGGTGTTGACATCTCGACGACATTTCGTACCTTTTCCCCGGTCACCGCCAAACCTCCGTTTATATCCCGTCACACAACGGCTATGACATCCGTAAAGTCGCTGCTGAGCAGCTTCCTGCTGTTGGTCGGCGCGGCGCAAGCTCTCAAGTTCGACCTCGAAGCTACCTCTTCTTACCACGGCAACCAGCGACGATGCATACGGAACTTTGTCAACAAGGATACATTGGTGGTTGTAACGGCTACGCTTGATGGATACAAGGGCGATGGCATGAACGTCAACATGCACGTAGGTGCTCTCCCTCCTGGGTGTGCAAGTTAAAGGGGCTAGGGGATGGATCATGGGGCGGTCAATTACATGGACGAGCCTGACTTTGGACGCGACACAGATCTCCGATAGCCACGGAAACGATTACGGCAAGGCCAAGGATATCGCTGGCGAGCAGCGCATTGTCTTCACCTCGCACCACGACGCGGCCTTCGACGTGTGCTTCGAGAACCACCTTACTGGCTGTACGTACACCCCTTGGCCATGACAACAAAAGGCAAAAACAGTATAGGCTCGGATGGAAGACTGACAAGATTGCGATGATCAGCCAAATATGTCGAGAACCCCCGCCGCCACGTCGAGCTCGATATCGACATTGGCGCCGATGCCAAGGACTGGTCCGCTATCCAGGCCACCGAGAAGCTTAAGCCACTCGAGACCGATCTGCGCCGTATCGAGGAGCTGGTCGGCGAGGTTGTTGGCGAGATGGATTACTTGCGCGCTCGTGAGCAGAAGCTCCGTGATACCAACGAGAGCACCAACAACCGTGTCAAGTGGTTCGGCATGGCCACTACCTTCCTCCTCATTGCTCTTTGGGGGTGGCAGATTATGTACCTCAGGGCGTACTTCAGGTTCGTTTTCCCACCTGGCAGAGCAGATGACTTCAGCTACTAACAAGAATGTGACTAGATCCAAGCATCTTATTTAATGGGTTGGGCGCGACCTACAATGACGACCCACACCTACCACTGTCCAAACTACCTTACTATTTATACGGCTTTATGGTAACGACGGGCGGGAGGTTTTATGAACTCTTTACTACACGCAACGCAGGCGAGCGAATGGGATACAATAGGTTGGAGATCTCGGGTGTAACTATATACGGTAATGTGTTTCGGCCAAAAAGCTATGGAGTAAAAAGGAGAATTGACTGCATGCTGAGTGAGCCGTCTAATTCGAGGTTCAAGAATGGTTGGAACGCAGTGTTCGTAAAGTGTGCTCGGTGCATGAGCGAGACAAATTGCATCCCGAAAAGCGAAAGGCTTGGTGGTGATGAGTTGAAACATCAACAATACACAAGGTAATAAAGACGGTGGCGATGTCATGGGTGGATGACGGAGATGCGGAGGGATGGAACCGGAACCGGCCTGCCCCGGCAACAATTTTTCGGCCTCGGCCCCCGATTTGTATGATCACTTGCCAAGCCCGCCGAACTAGTGTAAGGGACGGGGTATGTAGCGTCTGTAACCGGCCCCGAATCCTACCGTCAACAATTCCCATCACTTCGACATCCTCATTTATAAGCCGGAGCAGGTTAGTTCGCGCAACGGGCACCCTCTCCACATCCGTCTCTTCCGACGATCGACAAAACACAGCGCGATTTATCCAACCTCCCCCGTCTGTCTCTATTTCGGCTATAGTCTGTTCGCAAACAAACAAATCGTCGCAACAATGGCTTCCTCTCTTCGCGCCCTCCGGCCCGCGGCCGCCACCTTTGCGCGCGCCGCCGCTGTGCGCCCCGCCTCCGTCGCCAGCAGATACGTCATTGCCTTTTCGCGATCGGCCAGCAACGACAGCACAGACAACCAGCAAAAGAGGGATCTCGACGTCGGCGAACTGGACGGCGCCACCTTCAAGATCGAGCCGCTCCGGAGAGTCGGCGAGGACCCGGCCACCATGCGGGCGCGTCTTCTTTGTACGTTTACATCCTCCTCTCCGTATCTTTTTTTCACTTTTTTCAACAAACCAACCCTCAATCGCAACAACAACAACTAACCCTGACACAAAACAGACCAATCCCGCAAACGCGGCACCCTCGAATCAGACCTCATCCTCTCCACCTTCGCCGCCTCCCACCTCGGCTCCATGACGCCCGAACAACTCAAGCAATACGATTTGTTCCTCGACGAAAACGACTGGGACATTTACTACTGGGCCACCCAAGAACCCCCCTTGCCCGGTCAGGAGAACCAACATCTCAACCCCGAAAAGGAACAGTTGCCGCCCAACCCGCGCGCGGGCGAGTGGGCGCAGACGATCGGCACCTTTAAGCCGGCGTACAGACCGGTCCCGGCCAGGTGGAAGGGGAGTGAGATTTTGGAATTGTTGAGGGCGCATGTGAAGGAGAGGGGGATGGGGAGTAAGGGGGGGATGGCGTTCATGCCGAGGTTGGAGGAGTATAAGTGAAATGGAGGAGGACTTGGGAAGAGGAGGGGATAAGAGGTGGGATATGGGAAAGGTGGGAGGTAAGAGGTGGGAGGCTTGTGGCCAGTCATTCAGATGACAAGCTGAGCTGAGCTGAGCCGACTACATATGAGGATGAGGATGAGGAGGGAGTGTTGTACGATATTGTATTTCAGTACAAGTTGTGTACCACTAGGAATATGGGCCAAAAACGACCAAACGGGTAAACATTGGATACATGGATAGGGTGAGCATATCAAAACGATTGGGACATTGGTACAAGGCTTTGGGTGGGCAAGATATTCGGTTGCAGGTTTGGGAGAAGTGGGCAAGCCTCGAGGTAACGACCTTTGCTCAGCAGCCTTTCGTTCTCTCTATCGGTTTATGAGCTTCGGTAATTTACCAAGTGCTAGAACACATACTGCAAAACGATGAAGACTGGACCGGGAACAGTAATTGAGCCGCTGGAAGCAAAAACACGAACAGTCTCTTTGGACTGTCCAAAAGGTGGTTCTGATGTACTACATAGAAAAGACATGATTTGATGGTGAGTCCCACGCCACGACCAGTGAATGCCGCAAGTTGCCTCGAACCACGCGCCTGAGGACGCTTTCAATTTGATGCTCCCTCCCCCTCCCGACCTAAATGCTTAAACCGCAGCCCATGGTACACTATACGTACTTGAACGCCTTCGCATATGCTTTCAAAACCAAATTACTCACGCCCTTGTCGCCCGTTCCCGGTCTTGCCCCAGGCTCCCATCATGGAAACCATCAGTCAGGTCATTTAAGAAGAACACATAGTAATGGGAAGGGTATCGGCAAAACATGGGAACTCCCGTCTTGATTCCACTGCTCTACCCAGCCCCTTCAGCTCAGCCCCCCTCAGCAGGCAATATCCTCCCCAAACTCCTCAACACCTCAATAGTCGGCAAATCCCTCGTTCCCATCCTTCCCTTCTCCCTCTCCTCGCGCTCCTTCAGCCGCGCCGCGCTCAGCGCGAGCACCCGATCCGCTTCACGGCCCGCCGTCGATACCCGCATGTCGAGCTTGTGCACGCTGTCGGCCAGGTGGTCGATCTTGAACTCGAGTGAGGACTGCACGTTCTGCAGGCGCGATCGCGTCCGGCGCCGGAAGGAACTGAAAGCCGTGTCGGATTCGGTCAGGGAGGCGAGGATTTTGGCTTCTTCGGCGTCGAGGAGTGACGGTTCCGGTAGTGGTGCTTTGGTTGGGTCGGGGTCGGGGTATAGTGGTTCGAGGTCTGGGAGGGGTTTGGCGAGGGCTTGCCAGGCTTTTTTCTCTTCTTTTAGCCTGGAGGAGGGAGGGGTTGGTTTGTTAGTTAAAGTGTTCCCGATGGATACAAAAAGCGAAGGAAGCTCATACCTCTTAATCTTCGCTTCGAGTTCGGCAATCTTGGCGTCGTGCTCGAGATTTCGAGGATTTGGTTGTAGCACCACTGGCGGCTTCGGTGCTTCCTCTCTGGCAAACCAATCCGAGAATTCTGACCTCGCTCCAAAGTCCTTGAGCAATTGGTCTTGTATCGCGCGCGCTGTATGTACGGTTAGCACAATGGCCCACGCCCTGGAGTTCAAGTATAGTCCGCTCCTTACCTCCAAGAATTGCACTAGAACCATGACTACCATGCGGTGGTTTCTCACTAAGAGCCCGTTCGCCGCACCACGTCAAAAGCTGCCTCATCCGCCTTGGCTCGCTCAGCCCCTCGGCTTCGATATGCTTGTAGAACTCGGACGGGTCGACCTCGCGATGCGGTATGGCACTATGCCCGTTCTCGATCAAGGAACTGGCTCGTCGCCCCCTCATTCCTAGACTGCTTCGCCGACTGCCGCTTGCACCGCCCTTCTTCCGCATTTCTTTGTTCCGGTTGATAATTGGCGTGTCGCTGAGTGGTAGTACGATCTGCTGTGGCTCTGAGGAGCTTCCTCTCCCTGCTCCTTTTCGGTTTGTAGTCCTCACATCCCTCGTGTCGTCGATGTCCATTGGCGTCCCACCAACGAGATTCGGCCCGTCATCGTCCTCCTCGTTTTCTTCTGGTACCGCGCGCATGCCGTTTACTGGTCGTGGTGCCTCGTCATCCTTCTGTTGTTTTGGTGGACGGCCTTTCCTCCGACCCCTCGATTTGGGGGCAGCATCCTCCTCATTCCCGGCTGGTATCGCTGCTGAAGGCGCGGGTGCGGGCGGAGCAGCAGCAGTAGCACCATTTGATTTTCGTTTCGACGTCCTCCTCGGTATCGGTCCGGAGATCTGCTGCTGCTGTGCAGCTGGTGGTGGCGAAGGTGGTTCTTGCACAGGGGATGATGCGCGCTTCCTTGCGCTGTTCTTTGGTGGTCTCCCGACAGGCTTCTTCGCGGGCACCGATATCGGCATTGCTTCGTTCTCGGGCTCCTCTAATGTGGACGCTGGAGCTATCGATGTGGTTCTGGCTCTCTTTGAGCCGCGCGTGAAGAGGAAGTCGCCATCTTGCTCGTCATATACTGCCTCGGCTGCGTTACGTTTCGGGATCATGTCAGCTTTCATGTCTGGATCGCCCCGAGGGCCGAACAAGCGCATCATGGCATTGAATTGAAGGATGGATTGCAGCTTACCCGCAAGGCGTTTGCTGCGCCTCTGGTTGCTGCTCATGCTCAGGATTTGTAGCGGCTGACGGGTCCGTACGACAGTCGTCATGGATGGCGGGTTTTAGCGTACATGAACTCGAATAACTCGGAGTTGAAGAGAAGGCCGGGAGGTTTCAGAAGGTCGTCGCTTGTTTCGCAGGTCTAATCGTGGTTTGGGCGGTGGTGATGCTAATCGTGATGGTGATGTTGATGTTGGGTTGCGACCGGGCCAAACTGACGTGAGCGGAGCGCGTCTCCTCTTCCCCAACTTGGGGTGTGACTCTCGAAGAATTGGTGTCAAATGGCGATCTGACAGAACCAGGGGGCCTGGGCGGCGGCCGGGTGGGCAAGCGGGCCACGGAGCAACGGGTCACGGACGCGTCAATTCGGGCGGGCTTTGGATTTGGAACCTCTGGGGAGCAGTTGGACCGGTCGGTCAGGTGTGTGTGTCGCGATACGGGGATGCTATGGAGATCGGGCCTTGTCAAAAATGACTGAAATCGGGTAATTCGTCTAAGGTATGCTGGTATTGTGCAAATTGGTCGTATCGTCGTACCGTCGTCCTAGGCCTTCAGTTTCGTCGCTGTGCCGCAAAGTTTCGCAGGTCTGAACATGTTCTTGGGCGTCCGGGCGCGACCGAAGTTGCGACCCTTTCGTTGGTTTGTTTATCGCGGGCAGGCTGTTTCCAAGGAACGCTTGGGCCACATCCCGCATACTTTATCCCAGTGGGTTGTTTCTTCACTGCTACCCCACATCCTGCGAGGCTGACAACATTTGACAACTCATTCATTCTCCAGCTTCGCCTGACGATACCATTGGCTGAATCATGATGTCCAGCTCTTGGCAGTTGATTCGCCTGGTGGCCCGCCTGACGCTATCGTCGTCTTGACTTCCGCTCCCCCCGTTCAATTTCGGATCAAGACTCATTTGTCCATACACATATTCCCGACTACCACTCCTCCACCTGCAATTCATTCTGTCCTCTAGATAGCAGACGTTATCATGCTCACTTATTCCACTTTATCTGCTATATCGCGTTCATGTTATCAAATGCATCCGTTTGCCGATTACTTCTCATCAACGCAACTGCCCCCGAACCATCCTCTTCATGGACGCCAGGAACTGCTGCCGGGAATAATTGCAACAAGCTACTTGCCGTGCTTTCAGCGAATAATTCTCCTTGTGGTGCCTCGGCCATGACCGACCCAACGATTACTGTCGCATGTCGTGCCTGTCCTTTCGTCTTCCGAGTTGTGTTACGTGCTTCAACATTAGACGTATCCGTGGGATGAATCGATCATCTTGTCACGCTGGACGGCTTGACAGATTGCACTAACTTCGATGACGATCTTCCATGCGTATTCGGACTTCAAGCAGTTATTCGTGCGGTCTTGTTACCGCCATCACAAACCCAGGGATTGGTTATTGTATGGTTGTCATATTTCTCTCTTGTCTCATTTCTCACAAGACGATTCAGTCATCATCACAATTACCAAGTATCTTAGTATCTTTATGCCTTAAATTTCCACGCCAGCTTACCTTGTTGCCTACCAGCTGCTAGCTAACCGTTGCCTGAAAACACCATGCCATAGTAAACCTACTCATATCGTGAGAGGCGCCTCACGGCAAACGCCAATGATGTACACGCCATATAAACAAAGGATAATAACCGGTTCCAGGTTAAGGCAAGGACATCAATCCAGGATCACTGAACTCCCAACTTTTTGTGGTCTTCGCCGTGACCAGAATGAAGAGAGCAAGCAGACCCCGAACTCATGCTCTTGTCTTCCGATTGATACCGCTTTACCAAATCGCTTTGAAGAGAAAACGCCTCCCCAAATTGCCTCCCTCCCCCATCCCTTCTTCCTTTCCAACCGTGTCCAGGTTCTTCCTCCTACCACACCAGAGTGAAAGAGAAAAGCTAAAAGAAAAACAGCCCTTAACACCAGTGACGCCGGTTTTTGTATGCCCCTTAAGACACCACATAGATACACAGACTAAAGGCCAGAGGCGATGGTGCTGCTCCGGTTCAGGAGACCCCTTACCCACCCCTGGGTTTCCATGAACTTGGCTAGCAACATGGCCACTGACTAGAACTCATACAATGCAGAGAATGGAAATGACTGTCCTTTGTTGTTTATGGTGCAGTCTCTAGAATCCGAACGTCGTAAGAATGTCGCTCCCTCCTTTTGCACGCCGCCCAATGATGTTAACAAAGAGGACAGCCCGCGGATAGTCGAACCCAGTTGATGTTGGATGGTGATTATCGTCAACGTGGGTGACGTCCGAGAGGTCAAATAGGTTAAAAAGACGACCCTCGTTGGCGAGAGTCGTTGCCTGTTTGGTCATTCGTTGTGGCCTCATCCACCCAAGTCTCTCCCTATGAGAATCGGCGAGGAGCAACATTCGGCGGCATGCCGACGGGCTGATTAGGCATGCCAGCTCCCATACCGTAAGGGTTCATCTGGTGACTAAATGGCTCGATGGCTTGCTGCATGAACGCACCATGGAGACCTTGCTGTTGGGTCACTGGACAGTCCTTGTGTGCGAGCAAGAGTGTCTTGAGATTGACCACTTCTTCCCGAAGCTGTGTTATTGTTGCAGTAAGGGCGTCGTTTTCTGAACTGAACATCTCCACCTTTTGTTGGAGGTTAGCGAGCCACTGCTTCTTTCGCTGACGACATTTCAAAGCGGCAACCCTGCGAACAGTCAGTATCAAGTGTTTCATAATGGCAAACAAAACGCAATTCACATACCTGTTTCGCTCCAGGAAGTTCTTGCGCTTTTCTTCTTCCGTCATCTTGGACTTGGAGCCCATTCCGTCATCCTTGCCTGGCTTCGATTCATCTTCCGAACCTGAGTAATCCATGCCGTTAACTGAAGAAACCGATCCGTTTGTCTTGGTCTTTTTGTTGGCCGGAGTCTTGCCGGGAGTGTCTTCGGCCTTACGACGAGAACCCGTCGTCGCCGCGCTTGTGGAGTTACGCTTCCCTTTGCCACGGGTATTAGGCCTGGCAAGTTCACTGTCGTCTGACCCGATGCTAACTTCACTGACACCACGTGCTGAGCTTCCTGCAATAGATGCGTTCCTCCCATTCATCTGTGGTGAAGTGTTGACTGGTTGAACAGGAGGAGCCGGCACAGTGTGCGGATGAATTGGTGGAGGTGGAGGAGGTGCCGACACCACGTTATACGATTGGCTTGGTGGCTGGGATGCGTTTCGTCCCTGTGCTAACATGAAAAGACCATTTGCCGCGTCGTTATCATGCGGGTCAAAAGGTCCAGTCGGTGGCTTCGTCTCAGGCTTCAGAGGCGGAATGCCGTTGGGGATATCGGAGGCTGGTTGTGACGTAATCGATGGCGGCTGTGATTGTTGTTGTTGGTGTTGTTGTGCTGCTTGTTGTTGGGCCTGGGCTTGAGCTTGGGCCTTGGCGGCAGCGGCACTGATGGCGGTTCGGTGAAAATCAATGGTTCCAGGCGTGGCAGCAGGGCCGGCAAGTTGTGCAAAGAGAGTCGAGTTAGGACTCGGGGCAGGGAACATAGACCCGCTACCACCAGGCGTCAATCCTGTTCTAAGAGACGATTCGTTTGGTGTTGGGAAGCCTCCGCGAATGTGGTCGCCGAAATAATCGGAGCTCGTTGGGCCCGACAGCATTGCCGGACTCAATGGGCCGGATCGCAACGAGTTGCTACCGCCCCAGGGGAAAGGTGTTGAGCCGGGAGGCAAGATGGATGATGGGGATGCTAGGGCGGCGACGGGCGGGAGTTTAGTACCGCCGGGAGTCTCGGGGGCACCGCCGAAGGATTGCTCAAATGGGTTCGGCTCCAGGCTCAGCGAGCCGCCGATGGGGTTCTGGGAGAAGTAGTCGGAAGGGCTGTTCGTGGACTGTTGTTGCGCGGGACGGGGCGGAGGCGCGAGTGGTTTGGCCGGTTCGGCATTGGTCGTGGACTCGGATGGTTTCAGGGGAGGCTCATGCTTCGATTCGGGGTGGCCATCTAGGTGCAAGAAAAAATTGAGTTGGCAAGGATGTCTCTTTGGGTATATGGTATGAGGCTTTGACTCTTTCTCTCTCTTCTTCTTCTTCTTCTATCTCTCGTGCCTGCAGACAGGCAGACAGGGTGCTCGACGACGGGAATAGGTGATGACGGTCGTGACAGGGAAGCGACTCTGCTCACCTAGGCGCGGTGGGGATGTCTTGTTGGATTGCTTGGGTGATTTGGACTCACCTCGGCCGGCGGCTCCAGTAGACGACCCCATGATGTCAATCCAAAACTTGCGGCGCCTTCGTTGCTGCAACGGGTGCGGGTGCGGATGCGAGCGACCAGAGGCCAGAGGGACACGACGGGGTGGAAAAGGAAAATTGCGGACGACTATGAGGTCACAAAAGCGCAAGAGAGAATGTGTAGGTAGAGAGGCTGCACGCTATGTTCGTAATGCAGCGTCCTTTCCGCCTCGCGGCTGCGTTGCTGGTATCGGGGAATCGTAAATACCTTACGTAGTTCCTCGCGACAAGGTGTTTCGTGGGTGTGTGTGTGGAAGGAGAAAAGTGGAAGGTCAAGACTGGGACAGACGTCAGGTATGACGTGGGAAAAGAGATGGCGCAAGGGAAATAAAAATGATGGGGCCCGCTCCCCGTCCGCCCACGGCCCAGTGAGTAAGCACTGAGTGGCCAGTTGCCAGGTGCCAATCAGGGTGCCAATCAGGGCAGCCAGAGGGCGACGGGACGACCGAGGACTGAAAGTGAAGTCGGGTTGAAGATACCCGACCCCCTGCTTGCCGGGTTATTACTAAACAAGGGCCAAGGGTTAGGGGTCTGTTTTTTCTCGGTTTTTGGGGGGCAGGATGAAAGCAAGCGCGCAACAAGGCAAAGAGAACTTGACGGGACCACAATATAATCCCCAAAAGAATTCCGACAAGGCGAGAATAGAGGGTCTTCAGGTTTGGCAGCTCGGAACGCTACCTTTGGGGCTAGGAAAGAAACCGCACAAAACTCGGTTGGTGGGAGGGAAAAGTGGATGGATGGATGCCCGCGAGGGATCAGAAAAGTGTGAAATGGGCCGGCATCTTGCGCACTGTAAAACCCGTGGCCGACCACTGGAGGCTCGAGGCTGTTGCTAGTGCAGACTTGAGGTTCGGGAATGGTTCTTGTATCGAGACAGCCAAACAGGACGACGAGGCTCCAAAACAACCACCGACTGAGTGGGACCCGAGTGGGACACACTCCACGGTACCAGCAGGCACAGTCTCAAGCTGAAAGAGCGAACTGTACCTCGAGGTATGCATTGTCTTGGGTGTTCTCGACAAACGGAAAGAAGATAGCATACCCAACAGGCTGGATGAGCTGGGTAGTTAAATGCTCATCATGATCATTTCTCTTTTCCTCTCTTCTGGGCACGTCTTTAATATGATGTCTTCATTACGATTTCGTTCCAGACTCGAAAATCCGCTATGTGCTGTCGACTTTAGATTGTGTACGGCGGTGCATGAATGGAGTTACTTTTCGACTTCGAAATCGGGATGGATTCAACCTGCCTGAACTAAGACTGCCTGGGTCAGGATACCTCTGCGCACACAGTCGAGGAATGATGTCTGACGAGTATGTGATGAAACGCTTCCAGGAAATCCCGAGAGCATGGCTCTTGTAGTAAACCCTCACAAAAGCCGACAGCAGTTGTGTTTAATTCTCGTTTTTGCGACAATAAGAGAATGCCGGTATGTACAATCGGCAACCGCAAACCGGCAGCGCATATTGAGATATTATTCGCGTTCCATGTCAGAAACCGTTGAGGTGTCTGACTCGTGGGACTGCTTCCACAACAGCGTTCGTGCGTTGCAATCCAGGCCGTCCAGTTCGGGACATGCCTTGGATGTCAACCACAGAATTGCTGCAGGTCTGCCATGGCAGGCAATTTGTTTACTACCAATTGCCCGACCTGTCCCTCGTTGTCACCAACTTGGAATTATCTCATACTTTGTTACCCTACATCTTTCTTTGCATCCTGAGTTTCACCACCGGCATCAATCATGAGAAAAGCCGCAAGAGATATCGGCCCAGGGGCTCCTAACTACGGTGATGCTCCCAGCCGGCGACACATTTCTTGAGTGTAGGCAATTTTCGGCACGGTGCCTGGAGGTACCAGATCCACCACACACGAGCTTCTGGCGCTCAAGTTGGATGCAGACCCAAAGGGAAAACACGCAACCAGCCCGAAGCCTTCAGCGAAATCCCTGTGTGCTTGACTCGTCCGACGGCAGCGGGAGACGAACCCATCACTGACAGTGAGAAGCAGGTTCATCTCCAGGACGAAACTCGTATTTCGCAGTTCTGGATTTCAAAGCCTGTCAGCCATGAGGGACATTAGGTAAGTAGTCTCGACCTTCTTGAGCAAAAGGAACTCAAAGATCACGATATAGCCGCCCGGATGTCAACAGCCAGTGGTCTCGAATCACTGAAAATCAAGAACCAGAACCTCACCGCTCTGGACCATATCATGTAGGCTTGCATGGACGACGGCTACCACACTACACAGTATGTCGCGGAGTGAAGAGGACGAGAAGGTGAGAAATGTTGAAAGAGTGGGACACCTGTGGCAAACTGTGTTTATCTTCCACCCAATCACAGACTTTCATCGCGTCTCTATCATTCCCACCCTCACACCCACAAACATGCCGTCCTCTTTTCCCTCGCGAGGCCCTGTCGGTAGGTTGCTCCCGGACACCCGTCACGCGAAGGGACATTGCGTCAGACGCTAGACTAGCGCGCAATTTCCTCCACGTTGATATGTTTTGTTAGGGTTCGCATTTTTCATATATTATTTATACAGCCCCCCATTCTCTCTCTTGCCGCTCCTTATTTTCCCATCCAAATCAGCGCACCCTTTCCGTCTGCCCGCGCTTGTTGTCTGGTCACGCCAGGTCAGGACGATTTGGATTCACGGTGCGCCCAAAGACACTTCGACAAAGCAGCCAACCAACGTCCAGTGCTTCACAAACTATACACTTTGATAGTACGCTGCAGCAGATCTTATGTACTCAATTAGCGATCGTCAGAGCATTCCCTTTTGTGCTCGATCGGTCGATTTCACCGTGCCCTATTCCGGAGCGCAGGCGTCCATTGTCAGATTTCCAGCGAGAGGAACAGGGGTGGCGCTGGTTTCGTCTGACTTCATTGACACCAATGACGTAACGGTGGGCGGGACAGAATGATGACGGATGGAATTGGTGTGAGTGGTCTTAGAAAAATGAGGTCTGCTCAGCGGCATAATTCGCACGGTGTTGAAAAGTTCCCAATTCTCTACCACTGAATTCCGCCTGGCTCTGCAACTCTGCAACTGCAACTCTTCTGCCGGCAACAAACTGAGAACAACAACTGGCCCAGGCCAGTTGCCAGCGAGTTGCCGTGGTTCCCGTTTTGTCTCCTCTCGCCGTCTCCCATTCGTCAGGCTAGAATCTAAGTTTGGGAGGATGAACAGATCCGTCGCGCGGCTTTGGGAAAATATCGAATATCACCACAAAAGTGGACTCTGGTGCTCCATCCAGGTCAAGCAAAAGGTCCGCAGTTGTTATCGGATTCTGGCGCGGTCATCGGGAAACCTCGCCCTGTGTTGTTCCTATGCCGCAAGCTTGTGGTGAATTCCATTCTGTTCGCGTTTGGATCAACATGGACTTTCAACTTTGCGTGGGGGATGAAACCGACTTGTGTTGTAGTCCTCTGCCAGTTCAGCCAAACATTCTGGCAGTCAACCCCTTTTTTTCCTTCCCCTACTCTAGCTTTCGCGTACCCCCCTGGCTAGACCCCCTGTGCCCCTATGACGCACTTGCATGGAAATTGGGCATGCACGCTGGGCATGGACCCAAGGGGCGCCACTTGGCCCGCGCGACCGTGACTTTGAAGCGAAGAGGCTTCATCCAAGACATTTCATTGGCTTCTTCTCTTCACTTGTTTCCCTTCCAGTCTCCAGCAGGCCAGCACAGGCACACAACCGCAGACCCAACGCTCCAGGAACTGAACACAAAAGACACCTATCCACGTTTTCTTGACAGATCTTGGCTCTCGCTTTACCGCGCCGTTACTGAACAAGTCTGTTCTCGATAATTGGTCATCCAACATGGCGTCTGTTTGGTAATTCAAAGATCTGGATCCCGCACCGTGGCGTCTTCTCACGGCTCTGCAATGAAGGATTGGTCAACAGCTCTTGGAAAATTACGGGTCTGGGGTACATAGCGCGTTTCGGGCTTCGAACCAACGGTCGACAACTTCGAGAACAGTACGACAAATACGCCGGACCGGTACTGATAACTCACCATAGACAACCACTGGAATAATCCCCGGGCGAATCAGCTTCCCTTTTCGAACTTTTCTCTGATGGCACCTCACTCTGCAACCACAACCACACAGTAGGGAAAAGAGAAAACAACAGATGAAAAATGGGAGAAATGATTTCTTTGGGCATAAGCCCCCGAGGCCGACATTTTTGCTGGTCACGATAGTCATGGGAATTTGGACAGAACACAGCACGAGAAACCCTTCATCTCATCCGTCATCTTCCAGCCTTCGCCTTGGCCCGCCCAAGCGTCAAGAACTAGGGAATAGCAACCGGCCACCTTGCTTAGTTCGGTCCTCGCCAACTTCGCTTTCGTCAAGAGCTCCAGAGCACCCGACCTTTCACACTGATTGGATGGTTCCGAATTGCAGCGCTTGGAAGAGGTGCCGATTTCGTCGTCTTCTCCGCCCTCCTTCCGGTGCGGGGATGGCCGCGCCGATGGAGACGGAGGCCGGCTCCCCGATGTTGGCACCCCTCTCGCTCCCTTTCAGCGGTCCGCCGTACCGTATGGTGAAGTCATCGACCGAGAGAGGGGGACGGGGAAGGGGGGAAGTCCAGCCGCACAAACAATAGTGCTCTGCAAGTGCTGTTGGGCGCTGTCGATCTCTCCATCTTCCCTCGGCTTCTTTTTGTGTTCCCCGGAAGTGTAGACCTACACTATGGCACAAATGTTGGAAGCCTATCACGAGCTCACCATTTACCTGGAGAGGCTCTTTGACCTGTTGTTCGTAAATGATTCTGCTACTGATCAAGGCAGAGTAAAAAGCATCAGAATCTGACATTTGCTTGTCAGTGTCTAAGCGACTCCTGAAATGCTTGCCATACCCGTCCGAATAAAGGATAGCAGTCAAAATAGCGCCAAAGACCCTGTGGGGGTGCACAAGTGCGAAGCCAACGAACTTGCGACGGACCATGGCCGAAGTCAAAAACCCCTAGGTCACGACTCGAGGTCACTCGAGGTCGTTTCTCTCGGAGATATTAGGAGACACAAGAGATGTGACAGTAAGCCAACTAGCAGAGCCGCCGACGTCAATCATCAAAGAGAAGTGTTGCAGAGACCAACGACAACTTGCCGTTAGAGGTAATCAATCATAGGGCTGAATCTTACTTCCAGATCTTGGTGGTGACGGGTTGATCCTGGCGGTTGCGCCCATGTCCGAAATTCTCGGTTGATCCTTCAGAGTGCCAAACACTCCATTGACCATTCTTGGGTGCTGGATCTACTCACCTATCTTCTAAACTCATATCGAGCAAACATCAGGCATATTGTTTGCCTCATCGTCTGCCCAGAATTTCGGTTGTCGGAAATGGACTCTGTAGGGTTACGTTCTGATCACAACCAAGGAGAAGAAATCAGATTGTCGACCCTTTGGTACAGAGCATTCAGCGCTACACCACTCAGCTGTCATAGGACAAGAACACCAACCGAGTTCATCGTTCACAGTCAAACAATGGACCTAGGATGCTGGCTGGCTTCACTGCAGATTCATCCCAGAGCTCCGAGTTCCTCACCACCTAAGAACCGATCTTTTTCAACCCAGTGTTTGATCATTTTGACTAACAAAAACAACTAGCATCATTCATGAGATACTACAGACCTAGGGTCTCAAAACGGTTACTCGTCAGGTCAAGAACCTTATAAGCTGCTCGCAACCGCCTGCGAAGATGGCTTCACCCGGAACCCATGCCTAGGAGCATGCACCCTCACGCCCTTCTCATTCTCAATCACCACCTCCCTCGCATCCAGACTCACCAGTCTCCCAACATCCCTATGCGCCGGCGCCGACCCGCTATCCGTCGGCCACACCTCCACCACCGTCCCCTTCTTCAGGCCATGGAACTGCACAATCGCCTCTCCGGCGTCCACCCCCTTCTTTTCCGAGTCCTCATTCCACTCCGCACCCAGAATCAGATCCTGCGCCTTATCTCCCTTGACCGTCGTGATCTTACTGTTGCCATTCCCCTTCTGAGCCGCCGCAGGAGGTGAAGTCTCCCCAACAGCCCCCCGAAACCTCTCCACCCACTTCCACACCCTCGGAAACTTCTCCTCACTAAACTGCTCCCTAGGCAACGCCCCCGGCAAACTCTTAACCCAGTGCAGCACAAACACCGCTTCGATATCCGCCAGTCCCGGTTGCTTCGCATCCTTCAAAATCCAGTCCCGCCCGTCAGCTAGCACAGTCGTCTCCAGCATCTGGCAGTAATCCCTGAGGTCCGCGAGCGCCTCGGGGCCTAGGGCTGCCATTTCCTCCCTGCTGGAAAACTTGGGTGGAGCAGCACCGCCGCCGCCAGTGGCGAACTCGGCGCGATCAGCCAGAAACTTGGGGTCGCGCAGCAAAGGGTTATCAAGCGAAAACAAAAGCTGCGCGGCCCGTGAAAAGAGACCGCCGTCGATGGAGTAGTGCGAGAGTAAGCTTTGGAGGGCGAGGGCGTCGGTGCCGGGGGCGGCGGAGAGTTTTTCTCTAAAATGGGGAAGATCAAGATCCTCGAGCTTGGACAGGATCAGGCGCGTGTCGAGGTAGACGTCCCGGCCGATGGAGAGGAGGGGGATGCGTCGGTACTTGATGCCCAGGAGGGAGGAGAGGTCGGGGCGGGGGAGGATCATTGGTTGGAGCTGTTTTTTTTTTTTTTTTTTTTGTGTGTTAGTGATGTGTTTGATGTGACGAGGTGAGGTATGTAAGAGGTAAGAGGAGTAGATAGGGGATTCCGGGAGTTACACCCGCTGATTATGGTGGTGATGATGATGGGACGGAATGGAACTTACGCATTGGGTGTACGGAATGCCACGTAGGTGAAGATACCAGACTATCCGTTTGGCATAGGGCGATGCCGGGTAGTGGTATAAGATAATGGGCGGCTGTTGCTGCGAACCGGAAGTTGACGACGACGACGACATGATCACAGAGTGAGTGAGTAGTGGTGTTTGGTGGTGTGTGGTCTGTCTGTCTGTCTGTCAAAGGAGGAGTGGGTGTAATAGGAGTTGTTGTGGAATGACTGGTCTTTTTCGGTTGATCGAATTGGTCAATCAGGTAAGTAGGTAAGTATTATCCAGACTGATCTTTTAAGTTGTTGTTGTTGTTGTTGTTGCGCCGTCACATTTTCGTACCTCGGCTCGTAACCGCGGGGCAATAACTCTCCCCCAGTCCAGTTTCAAAAGTCCACTCGCTTCTTTCTTTGGTTCGATCTGCGAACTCGTGGATTGGTGATTGGAATCGAATGACTGTGGGGTTTCAAGCTCGTATGAGTTTTATCAATCGTCAATGCAAAGGTAAGGGGTTTGCCTAGGTAATTGTTGTGATGCTGAGGTTTGGTGTTATGGTATGCTCAGGGGTTGGAGCAACCTCAACGCTAGGCGAAGCCAGACACCGAGTTGGTCCATCTTCAAAATAAGATCAATAACCTCCAGATTCAACTGTGTATCTAAGCTAATAGGATAGAGGTAAATTTTCAGAGTCAAGATTTGTGGGAGACGTTTTGAGCAGGAGCGTCTCGTTCTTACCTCAATATGCCATGATCGCTCCTGCCTCCCAGGATGGCGATTGTTAACGGCAACATCATTTGAGTGGTATCTTTGAAAATCAGAAACGAAAAAACCGGAAGATACAGGAGCCCACTCGTTCACGAGAAAGCTTTTCCATTCATGGCACCCATCAATTCCAGTCACATCTTCTTTAATTACTTGGCGTATGCTGCATCTGCACACTCTGACGATTTGAGCTCACACGACATCTCCTGTCAAGATAGCGTACCTGAAGTCGTGGAACGTGTCAACGGCATCATACCTTTAACAGTGCGATGCTGTTATCTCGGGTAGCTCCTGGTTAACCGCATCCCGCGCGCAGATATCCGGCTATGTGGTTGTGATGTGGACTGTGGACTTTGAGCTGGACACTCATCGAACATACCGGGAAGTCCTTTGCCCTACAGCTCAAGGAGCACCTCCCTACAAAGTTCTCAGTGGTAGCAGGTAACTTACACAAGTAACGACAGAAAACCAGCAGAAGTCTAAGTGAGAGAGAAGGATGATGTTTCCTTTTGGACATAGTCATCAATCCATACTTCATTATACATCACCAACATGGACTTCCATCTCTAGAGACCATCTACCTATGAATATCCTAGAAAATATACCTCCCATATACTTTGCTGCTCCCTCACTATCATTACCTACGCATACCCTACCTACTACACATACGACTTCTAGAATGGACCACAGTACTGACGAGGAATCCAGAATTGGGGGTGATGGTGTCAAGGATACCCACGAGGAGAAACCAGAGAAACCGTTGCCATCTGGCAGCAATCCTCCCCAAGAGCGCCATATCACCTGGCTCGATACACTCCGGCACTATGAAGGTGTCTTGGACCGAAAGGTCGGCGTCGAAGCCCGCGCAGTCCAGAGAAAGAGACCCGAAGATCGCGACCCTCAATACACAAAATGGCACAACCAAGCCGTCATGTCCCTGCTATGGATGAGCTCAACACTGAACCTGGCCTGCTTTGCAACCGGCTTCCTGGGCACAACACTAGGTCTGGATTTGAGAACATCACTTACCATTATCATCACAGCCACCTTTCTGGGGAGTGCTGTTCCTGTAGGTCTCACTCAAACAAGCCCCCCAAGCCCCCATACTCAGTGTACGTACTAACCTAATCATCGCGATAAAAATAGGGATGGTGCGCCACCCTAGGCCCCAGCACCGGCCTCCGTCAAATCTCCATCTCCCGCTACTCCCTCGGCTGGTGGCCGTCCAAAGCGGCCGCCATCCTCAACGTCATCGGGCAAATCGGCTGGTCATCCGTCGGCTCCATCACCAGCGGCCTTGCCCTCGCCGCCGTCTCGGACGGCGCCATCCACCTCGAGATTGGCGTGGTTTTGTCAATTGCCATCAGCTTCGTCGTCTCCATCATCGGCCTCAAAGCCGTTTTCGCGTATGATAAGTTCGCGGGCTTGGTGATGGCCTTTGTCTTTATAACCATGTACACCGAAGCCGTACCTGCCGTTCAACAACCCCCAAAACCCAGCCCTGAATCTGCTGCTGTCTCAACCCTATCCGGCCCAGCACTAACAGCCTCCTCCCTAAAACTCTTCTCAGTAATCTACGGCTCCTCCGTCTCCTGGGCCTCGGTAGTATCCGATTACTACGTCGAATACCCGCCCACCACCTCTTCCCTCAAGATCTTCCTCCTCACCACTTTGGGTCTGGCCCTTCCTACTTGCTTCGCCATGAGTCTCGGCGCCCTCGTCTCCTCTTCTCTTTCTTCCCACCCAGTCTGGCTTGCCGCCTACAACCAAGGAGGCATCGGTTTCTTGATCCAAACCATCATCTTCCCCACGGGACTCGCCAAGTTCTTGTTGGTGTTGCTCGCCTTCTCGGGGCTCGCAACGAATTCCATCTCGTTTTATAGCGCGAGTCTGTCCATTCAGCAGTTTTCTAGACGCTTGGCGGCGGTGCCCAGGTTTATTTGGACTACGATCCTTCTTATAGCCGTCGTCTTGCTGAGTCTGGTGGGGAGGGATAAACTGTTGGTCTTTTTGCAAAGCTTTTTGGGATTGTTGGGGTGTTGGGTCACGAGTTTTGTGGCGGTTATGGTGGTGGAACATTATCTTTTTCGGATCCATGGGTGGCGGAGGTGTGGTGGTGGTTGTGCGGACTATGACTTGGAGGCGTGGGATACAAGACAAAATATGCCGGTTGGTATAGGGGGTGGGTTGGGGTTCGCGGCGGGGATTGTGGGTGGACTTTTGGGGATGAGTTCGACTTGGTATACGGGTGTTGTGGCGAGGTTAATTGGGGGTGGTGAGGATGGGAGGTATGGGGATGTTGGGTTTGAGATGGCGTTTTTGTGTGCGGTGGTGGTGTTTGTGCCGGCGAGGTGGGTGGAGAGGAGGGTGATGAGGCGGTGATAGGAGGGATTAGGGGTTGGTTTGTTCGCTCTTTTGTTCTGTTTTGCTTCGTGATACTTTTGTTGTCGGAGACTCTTCTCCTGGGAACTAACAAGGGATGTCATCATCTAGTTGTGCCCTCAAGATGTGTGAAGGGCCTTTGGTAACTGAGAAAAGGAACGAATAAGGACACTTGAAAAAGGCATAGACAAAATCACACCGAAGAGCATACTTCAAACATCACTCGAATTCCACAATGGAAAGTCACTCAATCTGAATTTGGAATGTTGATATTCCTGTCACCTCATACCTAAACCCAAAGAGGTTTCACCCACTCTAAGCGCAGAGCCACACCCCATCTTCAGGTTGGTCGGCAACCTGTTCGTCTTGTACCTCATCTGTCAACGCTCTAAAGATCGCGCGGCGCACTGGTTACGCTGAGCGGTCCTCTCTTGACCATGACGCTCATGATCTCGTACAAGGCATCAGCTGCCGCCATGGTCGTGTGCTCAGCGTTGGTATCGTAGGCAGGCTAGAAGTGTGAACGAGGCCATCAATGAGTATTCGAAAAATCAAGAGGCGACTGACTGGCAGAGAATTGAACTTACCGCAACCTCCACAATATCAGCAGCAATGATATTGATTCCCTCCAACCCTCTCAAAATCGTCCTGAGCTCACGAGTCGACCACCCGCCGGTCTCGGGGGTACCAGTAGCTGGGGCAACTGTAATAATACACACAAAACGTTCACTTATTAGCTTTACACTTTCTTTCCATCGTTAAACCATACCAGACAGACCAGGGAGGGGAAAAAAAAAGAAAAAAAAAAAAAAAAAAAAAAAAAAAGAGGAACTACTCACAAGCAGGATCAAGCGTATCAATATCCAAACTCAAATAAACCGGCCTCTCGGTCCCCACCCGCGCCCTAATCTTGTTTATGATCCCCTCGGTCCCAATCGTATCAATCTCCCTCGCCTCCACAATCTCAAACCCGCAATACCCATCATTCTCATAATCGCTCGGCCCACTCAGCGTCGTCCTGATGCCCGCATGGATATTACTATCATTCCTCAACAAACCCTCCTGCGCCGCATGATAAAAGTACGTCCCATGGTTTATTGAAGCGACCTCCGAGGGCGAGCCCCCAAAGACTTTGGGCCGCCACGTGTCCAGGTGGCTGTCGAAGTGGATGACCGAAACGGGGCCGTAAGAGCGGTTGATACTCCTCAAAAGGGGGAGGGTGATGGTGTGGTCGCCTCCGAGGGTGATGACGCGCGGGAGGGTTTTTCCCGAGAGGGAAGGGCCCGGTTGGTGGGAGTCGGTGGTGGGGGCGCGGGAGAGGATGGAGTGGTGGCCTTGTTCGATCTGCGAGAGGGCGAAGGTGTTGTCGTACGAGGTCACGGGGATGTCGCCGCAGTCGATTACGGTCGCCCAGCTGTTGAAGGGGTTGGTGGCTAGGGGGACGTTGTAGCCGCCACTGTGAAGGGAGGGGAAGGAGGGGGGGTTAGTATCTGCTGCATATGATGATGATGATGATGATGATATGTTTTAAATGTAGAGCGGACGGCCGTACTAGAGGTTTAAACGACGTGATCCCTGACGTATTCCCGATGGACCGAAGCGAGCACCGGGTCTATATGAAGTGCCGGTGTCGAAGGGGGCGCCTTTACGCAGACAGTTAGTTGCTATGGTATGTCTTGGCTCTTAAGCTATGATGGTCACTCACCGATAAAGGCTATGTCGTAGTTGATATCTTTGCTGGCTAGACATGGTAGGTATGGTAGACGGCCAAAGGTCGAGATGCCGGAGAAGACGGAATCTGCCTGTTGATAGCATCAGTCTCAACTCTTCAACATCGCTGGTTTTTTTTTTTTCCAAGTGTGAAGCATACCTGAGTGCCTCCATCTCCCGGCAACGTATTGTACCACAAGCCTTGATGCGGACCGGCCACGACCTTTTGACTATGGTCGCCATGTGCTGCCACCGCAGCAGCAAGGCAAGAGGCAATGAAGCTTGAGCGTAACATTTCGTTCGAGTCTCCTAATAGTAAGTCTCAACGATAGACGAGAGACAAGCGGTCCTCTCGAAATCTGGAGAGGGGTTGGGATCACGGGCTTTTATCGATATTTGTTGTAGTGTCTCGTTGGAAGTCCTCCATCGTCATCGATTGGGTCAAGCAGCATGGTATATCCCGTTCCTCGCTGCAGCAGCGAGACATCGTGTAGAACTGTTCTGTCGAATGCTGTGTTTTCATTATTCACCATCCAGAGCTTCACTTATCTTGAATGGTAGGCTCGCGGTCAACGTCTCGTCACTGATAGGATGTTTGTCGATCGTCCAACGGGAAAACATGTCCAAGTCCGTTCATGCGATCCTGCTTGCTATGGACGATTGAAGTGCACAATGCAATGCAGAGGTTCTTGTTATGTAAAACACAACTCGAGGATGAGGACGCAGAGTTGTCGTAACTGGGAGAGACGTGATGTGCAATAGATAAGAGGCAGACGTATTGGGATATTGGGCCAATTGCAAGCTCGTCGTCGACGGAGCATATGTACGATATCCAGGACACTCCCACGCCGACATGCGAGCTCATTGGTACCATTGATGGAAATTTCGGGATGAGGTGCAGCAGCCACCGATCGTAGACATTCCAAGTAGGAATTTCCTGGAACGGCATGATGGATGACGAGATATCCAGTCGTAGCCTGGGCTTCAGCATCGTAGTTGCGTCTCAATGACTGCGGGGTTGAGATAAGAGCGAGGAAGTTATCTGCCGGAGATGCATATTCCCGTTGGTTTGGTTTCTTGTCCTTCTTTGGAGATATGACATCCAAGGACCTTTGCCATTCTGCAGGAGATGCCTTTTCATGTCCCTTTTGGGCATGCTTGGATCAGATAATGTGCTAACAGAGCAAGGAGGATCTTACTAGCCTGGAAGTTAAGATCACTAACACTTTTACCCGATTCAGAATTTGGTACTGTATTTCATTGTCTTATCGCAACCACAGCACCAGAACCATCGATCGCCGCAACCGCAGGCACGGCATCTTGTGAAAGAGGTTATCAATGTGTGTTTGAAGCATTGGAGAGCATTCCTTGTTAGAGGCGCACTACGCATTTCATATTGCTGTCGACAGAACATGACTCTGGCAGGATTTCCCATATTTAACTGGACAAGTTCGCCGATGAGAAGACGTTGGACGCTCGCCATATCTCAAACCTCGAGGCCAACGACACTTCCAGTGGACTGCACCATCGCTGTGTTGCCTAAGTGGTGCGGGGAGAGGCGAGCCAAATGGGCTTCGTAACGGCGTCCGGATCATGGCTGTCCAAAAATCAAACGGCGGCTAACAACAGGAACGTTGAGAAAAGAACATACGTCTTACACAGGTAATGACACAAGCCGATGTCAACACTCGAGAGCGGGTGTAGCATGACACACTCTGAAGTGTCATGGTGCCACTTGACACTTGACGGCATCGGGAGAAAGCGACATGAAGTTCTAGGGGAGTTGAAGAATCTAAGCCAAGGGCTGACAGAGCTGAGATGGTGTCGTGGTGTCGTTGGCGTTGGTGTGCCTGTGCAATGTCGTGCAGGTGTACCATCCGACTGGGAAACGGGAGCAAGAGATATCGGCATCCATCCATCAGATGGAACAGGGAGGGAGGGTGTCGGATGGGATGAACCGAAGAACCACAAGAGCCACAATTGTTTCCCGGCCATCAGGAAGACCCTTTTCTTTTCGAAATGCTGACATCCGAGACCTCATGAAGAGAGCAGTAGGAAATGGTGGTGAGACGGGATGCTGATGAACTGGAGGTTGGCTGGGTTGTAGTTGAAACTTGGAGGGGGCAACGTGAACGGTGTCACCACTCTGCCAGTCAACCATCACCACCACCCACCACCATCATCACCTCCACCGGGTTCGGGCCCTTCCTTGATTACCCCACCTCAGCCCACCTTGTGGTGTGCCTGTCACCTTGTCACCTTGTCACCTTGCTGACCTCTCAGAGCTTCTTTCTTTGCAACACCCGTCAAGAAAATCTGCCAGGCCCTCCAGACCATCCAGACCGTCTGCTCCCAACCTCAGGTCCTCACGCTTGTGCAGCATCTGAACGGGCTCGAAACATGGGATTTGATATCTCATTCGTTGCCCATGATCTGCACCACCCTACGCGTGCAGGTGTTTGAAAATTGAGGGAGGACTGTGCCAGCTGAAGACGTCCAGTGAGACAATGACTGGGCTCTTGAGGTATGGGTTCCAGCGCTGGTCATGTTTTTTGATGCCGCCGTCGCCGCCGTCGCCTTGGCCGTCGCGATAGTGGCATGGTAAAAGATGGGAAACCGGCAGGTCGGGTATCGATGTAAGGCGCTCCGCCCCGGCCTGGACCTTGTTCCGGGGCTGTTCACCTTGGCGTTGCATCTCACGGCATCGAATCGAATCGGTCGCCATGAGCCTCTTGATTGCTTAGCCTGCAAAGCAACCTGACGGTTTGGCCGATGGGCGCAGCTGGGTTTTATTCAGTGGTGTTTTTGGGGTTTTATAGCGGTTGGGTCTTTGCCTGCCGAATTAGGTAGAAGGTAGTTTTCTTGATGCCAAGACTGAGGACAGAAGCCGGGAGGGGTTCTGGGGCTGCCTCCATCTGAATGATTTGATTGGACGAAAGAGGGTTCGTTTCAGACTTCAGTAGTACATTTACCCCGACTTTCTTCCATCTGGTACCTGAAGAGCTAGAGGAAGCTATAGTCCCAACTAGAGGTACCTAGCTCGACGACGGTGAGGGCGGCAAGACATGACCCGGACGGTTAGCACTGAGTTCTGAGGAGGTTGGGGAACGGAGAAGAGGATGATTTTTGGGAAACGACGAAAAATGATGCAGATGCACAAGCAGCAGAAAAAAAAAAGGGGAGGCGCAGGTGCCACTTTTTGTTGAGGCGCGACGCCGCGAAGAAGAAGAGGAGTCGTCCCATGTGTGGATGGCACGGATGGAGGACATCCACCGTTGCACCAAAAGGGGTGCCACTGACTGACAACACTTGTTGATTTTATCGAGGTTGAGGTTGGATTGTCGTTTCTGTATACATGCGTACCTCACAGCAAGTTCAGGCACTTGGCAGTAGTTAACGAGCCATAATCTGGGGTGCAAGACGGAACCATTTCCCTGCTTGAGGCTTGTAAAAGACCCGAACCAGGGTCTCTGATCGCCCTACGAAATCCCCATGTGCATGTCATTGTTTTTGCCTCTTTTCTCTTTTGTTCTTCCTCTTTTCCTTTTGACCACGTAACGACAACATCAACAACAATTCCCGTCTCCTGAGAAAACAGCGTTAGCCAGGCAACCAGGTCAGGATCACAAAAAGTCAAAAGTCAAAAGTACGGTCAACGACTTGCATCGAATCACTGTCCGATTTTCATGATCTGGATCCATTCTGCCAGCTGTGCCAGTCAAAGAACGTCTTGCCAGTTTAGACCGCGTGCTCTAGACAGCTGCTCCATCTCGCGACCTGCAGCAGGACCCGTCAGACCCGTCCAGCGAGAAAAAGTCCAGATCGAGCTTCCTGTGGCTATTTCCATTTCCATATCCTCATTCCCATTCGTATTTCCTGCTGCGTCATATTCCCAGCCAATCATCCACCATCAAGCCGCCTCATCGCCATCCAGCCTAGGCCCATCCAAACCATTCAAACTGTCGAGGCCCATTCACTGCCATTCAAACAAGCCAGCGTGCCCTGCCCTTTCCCTTTTCCACATCTCCCGAGTCTCGAGTCTCTCCATTGCTTCGACCACGACGAGCCACAACAACACCTTGCGAACCACTCATCGCCGACCTGTCTGCCGTCTTGAGAGGACCAGATATACCATTCATAGGACGCGCCCCACTCAAGAGGCAGGAATCAAGCCTATTTGTTTTCCATCCCCTTAAACCATGCGCCGGGACCTAACAGCACCCTGGGTCTAGCCTCCACCGGCTTTGTACGAAAAAGGTCGGTCATGAAACGGCGGCCACTGCTTGCTTCTGCCACTCCCCAGCATCCCCAGTCTCCCCGGCCGTGCCAGTCTCTCCTGCGCCCAGCTTGCCAGCACAAACCAGCCGGAAGGTGTCCATCGGAGCCACTTGTCTGTGTTTCAGAAAGGCCGCTGGCATAGTGGAATCTGTCCCCGACCGAAAAGTCTGTGTCGTACCCAACGCAAGGTACCCGACGCCGACTTATAGAGGTAGCCACTCGGCACTGCTGCTGAGCCTCAAGGGTCTTCATTCCCGGAGGGGGCCCAAGAAGCAAACGTCTCCCAGTCATTCAAAGCCTTACCAAGTTCACACCTGTAGTTACACACTCACACACAACATGCGCGCGCCCTGGCTTGGATCTTGACACTGAGAAGAAGAAGAAGACGAGACAGAAAGGAAGAAAAGAACTATAACTCATTACATCTTCAACACTCACCTCACTTTCCTTTTGAGTTGTCATGAGAGGGAATGTTGATGCTGGGCCCGTGGTGCCCAATATGGTTCACTCTGAAGCCGACTATGTCATGGTCCGGAATGCGGATGGGACCGAAAGTCCACAGCGCATCTTCAGAAGACACAAAACTTTGCCCCGACCGGGTACAGCGTCGTCGACTGGTTCGCGAAGCTCAAGTCCCGCTCAGCCTCCGCGGACTACCCAGCTACGGCGGTCAAGATATCGACCGGCCGGCCCCGAACCGCCGCCGACGCCGCCTGCCCATTCACGTACCTCGTCATCGGCCAAGTCGATGAAGTCGATAGACCGGTCAAGTCCAACAAACTCGGGCAGTCCGCTGCAAAGCACCGATACTGTCCAGCATGTTCAATCACGTCTCCCGACCACGCCACCGAACCAACGTACTCCGCCAACTCCGAACTTGACTCCTGAAAGAATTCCTCCGCCCGCTCCAGAACCACCCGTACGTCCTGCCAGGCCCCAGCTGCAGATCCAAACTCAGGCCCAGTCCCAGTCCCAGTCTCAGTTCTCGGCCCAGTCCCGGCCCCGACCACGGCTCGTTGTCGACGATCGGATGCCGTCCAATGCGACGACAATATACTCAAGATCGGAATCTTTCAGGACAGCGCCTGAAGCCCCTATCACTCCAGAGGATGAGGATGACGGAAAATCAAAGATATCGTCGAGAAGAACGTCGAAAAGTACGATTCGTCAGGCTAACAGAGGAGCAAAGTTGCAACCGCAAACTGTAGGTTTGGGTATTGATATCGGGGTGAATTCGAGCGTCGGAGATGGATTAACGCCAGCAGCAGAGAGGCAAGTTCAGCTTGGGCGAGACGCGTACGACGGCGGGTGGGGCGGCCAGGGAACGCAGGGAGGGAACTTGAATTCTGATGAAGAGGTGGAAGAGGAATGGGATGAAAACTTGGAAAGGAATGTGATTGTCAGCAGGCGACGTGCGGCACCCAGATCGAACATGACCAAGGACCGCAACTCGGTCTTTATGGAACCGCCAACCACAGTTACACCAACAACAAAGGTGGCAACGAGAGTGCTGCCACTACGCGCCATGAACCTCGAGGAACAGCAACGGGCCCTTCCTCGCTCGGAGCCATCGACGAGCGGGGACACGCGGCGCTTTTCCACGACTTCCAACCAGTCCGGCACCTCCACAATCATGGGCACAATAGTCGTCGGTGATGATACGGGTTCTCAGCGACGCAACACACTTCGACACGCACGCAAACCCACTCTGTCTTTGCGAGACTCTGTTTCCGATCTTGCACCATCAACCACTTCTTTTGCTCCGGCTCCGGCTCCGGCTCCCGTTCTGGCTCCGGCACCACAGGTATTCCAACGACGACCACCGTTCGAACCAAAGTCGGGCGCCGCTCCCCGCGAAAGCTATTTTTCAACCACTTCAATCTCCAGCCGCAAAGCCCGAAGAGATGTTTGGAAAACTGGGTCGATACCAGTGGTGATCGTTCCAGAGCGTCGAACTTCCCTCAAGTCTAACGGAAGACCCCCTTCTCTTCGTTCGATGAGCAGTCGGAGATCTAGGCGGAGCCAGAGTCTGAGTTCCGTTGGACGATCACAGGCGTCCGCCAGCAACTTCACGATAGACATATATATGGACGAGCCACGGCGCAGTAGGACCATTTCCGAGTCTGATAGGTCTCGAGCCGGTGGTCCGCGGACTGCCGACTTTCCGCCGTATATCCCTAGACGGTCATCATCTCTTTCCGCTCCTGCCAGTCGTAACGTGTCGAGGACCGGTTCCCTTACGGCTGAAAGCCTCCGAGCTCATGACGCGCTTTTCGAACAACAGAAGGCTTCGCAGACGGTTGAACGGGCAGTGGAGAAACTACAGAGGGAAAAGCGACGATCGCCTCCAAAGCCGGTAAATACCTCCAGACACTACCGCAAGACGATTGACGGAAACGATTTGGAACCAGAGCGACGCCAATCTGGAACCATCAATATCAAGTTCTCGCCTTCGATCCAGTCGAGCAACTTTGACAACAGTGACCCGCGAACGCCGCGTAGCTTTCCTGCTGATCACAATGATGATGGGGGTCCTCGTCACAGTTACGAATACAACAAGAGAAATTCTGTCCAACACACGCCTTTCTCGCAAGCCTCCGTAGAGACGGGCACCTCACATGCCGAAGTGTCAGAGGCAAGAGCGATACCCATCTACCCACATCAGAACAAGTCTGTGATGATTGTAAACCACTCCAACAAGCCATCCGAGGCCTCTTCATCGGATCGTCAGAGGTCTCCTCCAACAGCCACCCCCGCCATTGCCGCCACCGACGCCGAAGGAAATCCCATAACACCACCAACGCAGGGCCTCTCGAGGGAAGATGATAACTTCTCCCCCTTGAGAAATCCGAGAGCACCCCCCAAACCGCCACCGGCCATCAACTTTATCCCGGCAACGCCTTCGGGTTTGACGCCTACTACGGAAAAGGAGAAGGAGCTTGGTGGTTTCTACGATGACATGGCCGAGCCGGAGGAACCCAAGCCCGAAAGCGGATTTGCCATGCTCCGCCGGAAGCTAAGCCGTCGCCGAACCTCCGAGACAACTGGATCTCGACCGGGTTTCCTTACTCGCACATTTTCATTGTCAAAGTACACTAAAAACTACGAGTCGGATGGTGGCAGCAGCGGTAGGTTGAAGAGACCCCACCTGAAGAGGTCTTTCACAGCCGATGACGCCCCCGTCGAGCCAGACAAGCTGCATCCCGACTGGCGGCCATCCTACCAGTCTGATTTCTCCGACAGCGGAAGTGAAGACGAGGAGCACTGGGACTACCCGCCCATCGACAACCGTCCCCAACGCCCCGGTCATCTGCTACCCAAGCGGAGCTTAAGCCAGCGGATGAAGAAAGCATTCGCCATCATGCCTTTGCGCAACGGCTCAAAGTACGACGCTACATACTTAACAGACAGCGGCGACGTGCCCGACCGGGACAAGAGGACCATCCGACGCACGCCGAGCGGCAATCTGCGGGTCATGAAGATCCGGCAAAGCCTGGAATTCATGGCACAGTCCATGGCACGGCCATCCATATCATCGGAAAGACCTACCAGACCGTCCATATCATCACCATCAGAGACACCACCCCGACCATCCACCTCTACCGAGGCGCCTCCTCGGCCGTCCATTTCGCCTGACTCAAGCTCGACCCGGCCCTCCATGTCCTCCGAAAACCCGCGCTTCTACCCGCCCCGCGTCCGAAGAAACTACGGTGCACTCTTCCAGCGCCAACGACCACCTCCTTCTCCCGCTGCTGTCTCGTCAGCAGCGCCACCCCTAACTCCCTCGTCCGTGTCCACCTTTGCGACCGGCCACTCTGTATCCCCACCCATTACTACTACCGCCGCGCCTGTACCGCCGCCCATGAAGAGACGCGGCAGTCTCAGCGAGAAGATCCTACCCGTTCTTAACGAAAAGGTCAATATTGTGCGGAGGATGAGCGAGAAGCGGAAGGAGAAGAAGAGGGATGAGATGCGGAAGACGATTAGTCACCCGCGAGTGGTCAGGGATGGGCTGGGGGAAGTGATTAAGCATGATACCGGGAGGGAGATCTTTGCAATGAGTCAGGGTCAGACTCAGCCGCAGCAGGGACAGAGGCAGTCGCCGCCTGCTGTGAGGGGGTCGCCGCCTAGTAGGCTAGGGAGGGGTTCGCCTATCTGATTTTGTTGAAGACCTTGGAAATGATGGGCAAGAGAATGAAACACAATTGCACGAAGCCAACAAACACCAGAGCAAAAAAAACAAAAACCAACGCCACGAAAAGGAAGACAAGAGGGCATGGAATGAATCATGTTGATCATGAAGGACCCAAAAGAAGAAGAAGGATCATGTGGTTACGATACGAATTTGTTACGCGGTACGAAACGAAACAACAAGAAGAGCAAGCACAACACGGCAATGAGAGTATGACCTGATGAATGAACAACGACGACGACACATACATACGCATACACATACACACACAACGCATCCATCCATCAACAACTCAAACACTCCTTTTTGCATGCATGTCTTCCTTTCTTGTTTTCGGAGGGCCTGGCGGGGTTTGATTCAAACAAAACTTGTGTCTACATATACCACTTTTTCTGTTTCTGTTTTCTTGCAGCTAGCTCGCTCCTTTCACTCACTCTCCTTTGCATTCTTGCTCACGGATATTTCAACACCAAGCGCAATCAATCAATCTAGGAAAGGGAAACTGGGCGGTGCGGGGCTGCTTTTGTTTGTTACGTATATATCCTTCTTGAAAGATTTCATGTCTTTTCTCTCCTTTTTTTTTTCTTTTCTTTTTTTAACAGCTACGACCTGACCGACGGACGGTGATGGGTGATGATGATGAAAGGCGGGACAGGCAGGCATCTTGTAATGGTGGCAGTTATCAGGTTATGTTATGATGATCATGATTGAAATGTTTCGTGATAGAGGAGGGTGGGTTCGATGGTTCTTCTTCGGTTGTTTTTACCAGCCAGCCAAATCAAATACAGGGCAGGGACATGGTATGATATGATATGATATGATATGATAGGGAGGGGATGGGATGAATGGAAATTTAGGGAAATGAAATGCACACACACACACACACTTATGATATGATAACTTTGACTTTTTGAAAAGATGCGTTTTAAAGTAAATTTGTCTAATGCCTTTCCTTCCAAGTGTCCACCTTTTTTTTTTTTTTTTTTTTTTTTTTTTTTTTTCGTTTTCTCAGTTACCATAATCCTTCACACCAAGTGATTAGGGGAAATATGGTTTAGCGCTTACCTAGAGGGAGTGAAACCTCTTGGGGGGGGTTGTGTATGCGTTCGTAGGACAAACAGAGACCGATAACATTCCAACGGCATATTGTAGAGGTAGCGACCTCCCATAACAAGATCCAAATCATCACAAAGAAATGGTAAAAATTTCCTCACAAGGAAGCCAAATCATCCGAGGACAGACCGACGAACCTACCTACCTGTAGCCAGCCATGTGAAGAAAATCTCAAAATGTCAAAAGCTCAACCGCTGAGGACGGGTACGGTGCTCAAGACAGACAACTGAAGAAAAAAGTCCCAAAATCAGTCCGTTTGCGGACTCGACCGACCCGACGTCATCGGTATGTTGACACTTCGGGGGCCGTTTTCGGCGAGTGCCGAGCTCCCTGGCGCCCAAGACCAAGACCAAGACCAAGCCGCCCGCTGCCGTTGGTATTTTTAGGTCTTAGGTCTTAAGTCTTAGGTCTGCACTGGTGATAGGCACATTCCAGTCTAGTAACAAACGTGTGCGTAGTCTGTGGTGGGTTGCTGATAGCGCAGAGTTATGACAGTAGCAATAATACCTCTAGGTATTATTCTCCGATTGCGGTCGTAGATTCGACGAACGACGGGGACGGAAAGACGCCACCCGAGCGAGAGTTAAGACACTCGACGATAGCATCACAGACATCACTAGATAGTGTGCGACGAAAACCGCCAGAAGCTCCAGCGACTAGGTCTATCCCTAAAGACCGCAGACAGAAATCTAAATAGCAACCTGCATTCATCACTTTTGTAAAGGCCTGGTTGAGCACCGGTTCTGATGAAAAAGGAACCTACACTTAATGAACGCACCATAACCGAGCAATGAGAGACGAAACACCCAAGTCTGAAGATGGCCCGCTCTCGACTTTTGACTGTCGGGAGCAAAACCTTACGTACCCGCCCAAAGCGCCGAAGCGAGCCATGATTTTTATTCCTACTGTAGACAAGGCGGCTTTCCGTAAACGGCGACCTTTTTCTCCAGAGCATGGCATGCTGATGGTGTCGCCAACGAGTTGTGAGCTGCCTCCGGCTTGACGCTCTAGTACCGACATAGTACGAATTGTTTCCAGCCAAAACGGCAAGCGTTCAGCTCGGTTGAGGTCGGGTCGCCCCCTCATCTAAGTGCCGGGTTAGGAATCGTCCCGTAGCGTACAATGTGCGGGTAGGGCAGGGCAGTTGTTGTCCAGAGGGTAGATAGCCTTTGTTTGCAGAGATTTCAAGACAAGACTGCCTATTGCGTACATACATACTTGCTTCTCTTACCTCGGGTGATGGCCAGTGCTGTGCAAATATCTCTGACTGCTTGCTATACAATGGTGACAATTGGAGATTGCTTTGTTCCCCAAGTCGTGCCAGTGGCTGACTGGACGTTCGGAAACGGGGAAGGGTCTTCGAAAATTTTTTAACATGCCGTCTTCGTCATGATAGCCATTCATGGTGGTCCATACTTGGGAACTCTCGCTCGGGTCGGGTCTAGAGTGGCCTTCAAGAGGGGGAAGTTCCCTCTTATAAGAAGTGATCTCGTTCTCCGACTTTGAACTTCCTTCTTCATCGACATCAGGTTCCTCATCATCTGACATTTGTTGTCATATGTTCGTCTAACCCGGCTCGCTGCTCCTTATCCACCATCTCGTCAACATCACTCGCTTGTTGGCTGTTTTCTATCTTCCATACAACTTCACTCACTCAGCCTGTACTCTCCTGAAGAGCACCTCAACTCCCAAGTGGCAAGATGAAGACGTTTACTACCCTCGCCTCACTGGCGGTTTCGGCTGCCATCGCCAACGCCCAGGGACTCGCCGTCGTCAACGATCGACTCACATGCACCATTCCCAACGCCTCCTACTGTGCCGGCCCTTATATCGTCCGATGCGATGGAATCTTTGCTCTGCCTAGAGTGGACTGCAACGTCGTAAGTTTCACCTGCGCCCCCCGTGCCTAGGTACCTCAGTTGGCTAACATGAGAAACGACAGGAACTGGTCGGAGCAACCCCCGCCGGCAACGACGGCCTAGCCACCTGCTGGCAGACTTCCTCCACCAGCGGTGACGCCGCCTGCCAGAAGAACTGCCGCGTCTACGCCCCACGGCCCTTCAACTTGGCGGCTGATGAGTGCACCCCTAACTTCCCCGCGACCACCACCACCGCCGCCGGAACCACCACCACCGCAACAACCACCACTGCCCCCAACACCAACACCAACACCAATACCAATACCAACACCAACACCAACGGCGCCACTACCCTCCCGCCACCCACCACTCGCCCCTCCACCACCGCCTCCGCATCATCTACCTGGGACCACCACCACTGGACCAAGTCCCACGGTCCTTGGCCAGACTGGACCACCACCGCTTCGGCCTCCGCTTCCAAGTCAGCCACAGCCTCCGCATCCTCCTCCGCCGCCCCGACCCGTGGCCCCCGACCCGTGGCCCCCGACCCGGCCCCTGGACCAAGAAGCCCAAGACTTCTCACAAGACCAAGTGGGAGACTTCCACTGATTGCGAAACTGATACTGTTACGGCCACTGCTGCTCCGGTTACCGTTGTGCCCACTAAGATCCCAGTCCCGGTGCCGGTGCCGGTTCCCACTACCCTGGCTCCTGCTCCGAACCCTCCTGATCCGAAGCCTCCTGCTCCGAACCCGCCTGTCGTTGTGCCCACGCCTCCGAAGGAAACGTCGGCTGCTGATCCTATTGGTGTCCCGCCGCCGGTGGTGACTGCTAGTGCGCAGAAGGTGAAGGCTGCGACGGCAGGGTTGATGATTGTTGGTGGTGTTGTGTTTTGGTTTCTTTGAGTTTTTTGAGTTGGATGATGTGATAATGATATGGAGAGAAACGTTGGGTTTTTGTTTTTATTTCTGCTTGTTGTGAGGGAGGATATGAATTGGTTGTTCGCGCTCCTTTGGATATAGTGGGAAGTGATAATTGTAATGGTAGAAAGAGGAGGAGAATGAAGATGGTACCGACTAGATCAGATAATCAGGATTTTTTTTTTTTGAAACACAAAATGAACTAAGGTCTTAAGTGCCTTGTGTGACCGTGAGTTTGCTTGGCCTCTTTGGTTTTGGTCGAAAATTGCTTCAGTGTTGAAGTATGTCCTGACAGATAGGTCAGGATTACCACCCACGAGAATCGACTACACTCGTAGTTTTCGTCAGCTCTACATGGGACTCATCCTGCACCGAAAGACGCTGGGTAACTCGAGTGAAAGCTGGCTAGTGGCACTGCAGCATCCTCGACATCTAACTACCTCCAGCCTTCGACATCTTGACCGTATTTGCTAAATAAGCAAATTTGGGCTCGGGAGAAGTTTGGGCTGTTGAAGACAATCGGGGAAAAAGAGGAAACCGGACATTTGATTGCCCCGAGAAAATTCGGTTTGACGAGTGTGTATGAGAAAAGAGTGAGGAGGCCAAAAGAATTGGTGATGGATGTGCTTTATTCTGATGAGGAAAGAAGCCACCCGAAAGGCTGGGGGCCAGGTTCAAACATGATTCCTCGTAGTTCACCAGACTTCCAATCAGCCATCTGGCTTCCAGGTTGTCTTTGGCGATAGCTTCCTTCCCTGGGGTAACTGGTTCCTTCTTGTCCAAGAGGCGGCCTCCTTCCGCGGGATGGCCTCTTTCCACGCAAGCGATGTCCTCCTTCTGTATATCCGTAGGCACCTTCCTGCTTGATGGCCCCGCGATGGCAAGTGGGTTTTGGACCTGCATCCCTCGGTCCCGACAGAGTATCTGTTGGCGGCTGTTCACTTGAACCTGTCAGTGCTTGAGGGTTAGGGTATTTGATAGACTTCAAGATGTCAAAAACTGGTCGCCGGTGTTTTCGGCGAGAGGAGCTGGGAGGTAGAGAAATGATTAATTTTTTCTGTCACGCCGTCACCTTTCACTTTTTTCTCCTCCTCATCTCGATGGAGTCAACCCTCAATCCATCCAGAGCTAATTATGGATGCATGTGGTAGTGCAAACGGGGTCGCATTCGGTCCCGACAAGAAGGGCTGACCGTGGTGGTGATGGGGACGCACTAACAGGAACATGTCAGCAATGGTAATTTCATTCATTGTTTCTGGTCAAGTTCAATCTGTTGTCGTTGTCAATAGCCGTCGGGATGGAGAGCCTTTGGATAGTAGTGTCGGTAATATCGGCCATATTCTCCGTGTTTGTGATATGGTTGATTTTTTTTTTCTTTTTTGATTTTTGTTGCCGGGTCGTATGATGTTACAATTGGGAGGGTGGTGATGATGGCTGGCTGACGTTGATTTCGGCTAGCTGCCCGTGGTGGGCGTAAACAAACACAGATAAGGAACACCCCTGAACGCCACTGAGCGCCTCCCCCTAGCGCCGGGCCCAGGCGGCGTTGTTGGAGGTCAACCACTTTCCGGCACTCACCCACTCACCCGCTCACCCACTCACCCTCTTCTTCGCAAGACCACGTCCACGGATCGCGATGGCCCGGATCTGCAACATCTCCATCGGTTCATCATGGCTACCCGCCCGCCTTGGTCTCGCCTTGGTGATCGACTCTGATAAGCGAACAACTCTAACAGCTTTGGCGCGCGGGTTTAGGCTCTAGTGATCAACAGCGCCAGCCAGGAATGAAAGACAAAGGGTCGATTTGTTACAGATATCACCAAGCAGAGTGGAATTCATCAATCAACACAACATTTTCAATCATCACTTTCAATGCGTTGCATTGGCTTCTCTTTGATAATCTTTCACTTAACGGTCATTTTATTGATGGCCCACCGGGCGTCAGTGGGGCTAAGCTCGTAATGGAAACAGTGGGCGCCGTTGGCGAGACCACACCATGCCTCACCAGGACCGCCGAGACGCCCCTGGACCCTCACAAAACGAATTAAGGACTTCACTCCGGACTTGCTCCAACGTCCAACTTCTTCCGTCGTTCCAATCTAGACTGCGCCTCCCCGAGAGCGACGTGTGAATTCGGGACTCCCTCCCTCGCGGCCCCAGGTTCAGGTCCCATACGATCCATTCCCAGATGGCCATACCCATAACGTATCCATCTCCCATACCACTGTCGCATTCTCCCCTTTTCTCGGCGCCGCCAGTTGGTGATGAGATGCTGAATGGCAGTTATCAAAGCTTATCCCAGACGGCCAATGGGGCAAGGGCAACTTTGCTTGTTCCTGCAGTTGGACCATCTCGTTCCCTAGCTTCCTGTCCACTCCCCATCCCTCCCCTTCCCTTCTAGAAACACCGACTAACCATTTCCAGCCTGAAAGAGTCTGACATGCATTCATCTGGAAAAGATTTTCTGGTCTTGAAACTCGAAAAAGAAGAGGATGGGCGAGACGGCATCATATCTCTGACAAAACCTGCCGAGCCTCCATCAGGCATGAATGACCGCCAAGGGAATCCGGATTCTTCTTCTGAAAAGAGGGCCCGTGTCGACCATGATGCTTCTCTTGGCATCTCGTTGTTGCCTGTTCGCTTGTGCTCTTCGGTCCACCAGCGTAACCGTTCAGGGCAAAAGGGCCATTCAGGGTCTGACTGAAGACGCTTTCGCTGTGAAAAGAACTGACGACAATGCAGCGCCTGTCCTCAACCGGCCAATGAGCCGCCGATATGCTCCCAGGTACCGTGGGCGGACCCGTGGCTTACCCCTGACAATACCACCCCGAGTCTGGACCGCGAGTGTGGACCACCCACCTCAGTGTTGCCCTTTTTAGCATGAATCTCCGGTTAGCGATGCTCCATGTTGGTCTCCCATGTCAGCCTCAACAGGCCCGGGGAGGACCTCTCGGTTCCTAGGTCCCACTCGGCTGGATGTGCCCTCCAAAGCCCCCAATGTATTGGTGAAGAACGTACAGCCGCGCGTGTCAGAACAAAAAGCCCAGAGCCCCCCAAAGATGGATGATCTTGTTCTTCTCTTGTTTTGGTGCCCCATCAGCCAAGACTATCTCTTTGCTGCTTCAGTAGCTACTATATTTTCAGAGCATCTTTTTTTGCTCGTCCTCTGACGTATCGTACGTCAAGTCCACTCATTCTTTCAGTTTTCACTGTCACTCTTTCAGACGGTCATGGCTCCGTCTATGCTCAAGCTGGGTGCTGTTGCCCTGGCTTACACCTTTGGTGTTTCTGCCCTTAGCTCTCCTGCCTCCGGCAAGACCTATCAGTTGTCCGAGTCTTATAACTCGGGTAACTTTGTCGATAAGTTCAGTTTCTTTGAGGTAAGAACCTATATGAGACCATTACATGACAGAGTGATGCTGACGAATCTTGAATAAAGGGTGGCCTCGATCAGAAGGTGAGGGATCCCAACAATGGATTTGTCCAATACCAGAGCAAGGATGCGGCAGTGTCCTCGGGTTTGTTCAAGACCGAAGGTGATGATATCCGCATCGGTGTCGACAGCAAGACTTCCGGTGTCAATGGCCGTAAGAGTGTCCGTCTCGAGAGTACCGCCTCCTATAACACCGGTCTGTTTGTTGCCAAGTTCAGCCACTTCCCCAAGCCTATCTGTGGTGCTTGGCCCGCTTTCTGGATGGTTGGCGACAACTGGCCCCAGGACGGTGAAGTCGATATCTACGAGATGTGGTCAATGGCCGATCAAAACATGATTACCTACCACACCGGGAAGCCCGATCAGGTTGGCAGCTGCCTGCTCGACCCCGATATGCACATTGCGTCTGCCCAGACCTTCAACTGCGACAACTCTGCTCCAGGCCAGTGGGTAAACCAGGGCTGTGGTGTGATGGAGCAGTCAGGCCAGTGGGGCAACCCCGACGGTGGTGTTTGTGAGTAAACTTGTCTTTTCAACTTCAGGGATTAAGAACTGTGCTAATATCATCACGTTCAGATGCTATCGAATGGACTGAGGAACATCTCAGTGTCTGGAGCTGGGCCACCGAGCCCGCCGACATCGAGAACGGAACTCCCAACCCCGCGACCTGGGGTAAGCCGCACATGACCGTTACCAGCAAGACCTGCGATGTTGAGAAGGCTTTCAAGAACCTCCGCTTCATCCTCAACATCAACTTCTGCGGTGATGCCGCTGGACCGCAGTTCGCTCTTGATCCCAAGTGCGCTTCCAAGGCCACCTCTTGCGACGCATATGTCTCGAACAACCCCAAGGATTTCGAGGATGTCTACTGGAAGATCAAGTACATCGACGTCTACCAGCTCCAGCAGGCCCTTCCTACCACCACTTCGTCTGCCATCTCTTCGAGCACCACTTCTTCCGCCATCAGCTCTACCGTTACCTCCAGCTTCGTCTCTGTCGTCTCTAGCTCTGCCGTTTCCAGCTCCGAGGTTGTTTCTAGCTCTGCCGTTGTTTTTGCTTCCGCCGTCCCCAGCTCCGAGGTCGTTTCCGGTACCGACATCTTCAGCAACGTTGCCTCCACCTCTGTTGTTGCCTCCAGCTCCGACGCAGTCTTCGTCACTGCCACCTCTTCCGCGGCTCTCCCTACTGAGACTGACGATGATAGCGACTGCGATGACGATGACGAGGGTGTCGTTTCCTCCAGCATTGTTGTCCCCAGCGGTAGTGCCACTGTCAGCGTCGTCCCCAGCGGCAGCGTCATCCCCAGCGGCAGCGTCGTCCCCAGCGGCAGCATTGTCCCCAGCGGCAGCATTGTCCCCAGCGGCAGCATTGTCCCTAGCGGCAGCATTGTCCCCAGCGCCAGTGCCATCGAGACCGGCAGTTCTTCCATCATCACTTCTGCCCCCAGCGGACCTTCCGCCGGTTTCCCGGTCATCTCTGCTCCTGCTGATCCCTCGGCCTCCGGCGGCTTCCCCATCCCCAGCGGTATCTCCTCCGGCCCCGTCCTCTTCCCCAACAGCACCATCACTGCTTCCCAGGAGATGACCACCTCCACCATCTACGCGACTAGCTACTACACCGTCACCTCTTGCGCTGCTACCGTGACCAACTGCCCTGCTCGCGTCGTCACCTCCGTCATTGCCATCTCCACCACCGTCTGCCCCGTCGCCAACCACCCTGCCGCTCCTACCAACGCTCCCGGCGGCGGTAACGGTGTCCCTATTGTTCCCACCCAGGTCCCCGGTGGCTGCAACGGCGAGAACTGCCCTGTTCCTACTCAGGTTCCCGGCGGCCCCAACAACGGCGGTGGCAACGGCGAGGGTGTTCCCCCCGTCGTTCCCACTCAGGTCCCCGGTGGCCCCGGTGGCCCCGGTGCCTGCAACGGCGAGAACTGCCCCGTTCCCACCGGTAGCACTCCCGGCAGCGGTGCCGGCTCCGGCTCCGGCTCTGGCTCCGGCTCTGGCTCCGGCTCTGGCTCCGGCTCTGGCTCTGGCTCTGGCTCCGGCGAGGGCGTCCCTGTTCCCTCCGGCAGCGCTCCTGGCACTGGCTCCGGCTCCGGCTCTGGCTCTGGCTCCGGCTCTGGCTCCGGCGAGGGCGTCCCTGTTCCCTCCGGCAGCGCTCCTGGCACTGGCTCCGGCTCCGGCTCTGGCACTGGCTCCGGCTCCGGCAACGGTAACGGCTCTGGCCCCGTCCCTGCCCCCGTCCCCACCGGCACCCTCCCCGGCAACAGCAACGGCGCTGCCAATGGCACTTACTCCGTTCCTCCCGTTTCCGGCACCGGCCTTCCTGTCCCCGTTGTCAGCTCTTCCCCTAGCGTGTCCATCGGCCAGCCTCCTATCCCTACTGAGGATGTGCCTGTGACCGCTGGTGCTGGCAAGAACGCCTTGAGCGTCGGTGTGGCTGTTGTTGCTGGTGTTGCTGCTTTGTTTGCTCTTTAAAGCAAATCAATCAAAATTGGGGAGGGGAGAGTGTGTAAGATAAAAAACGTGTGCACATATTGGGCGGTTTGCTCTTTTGTTGTTGTTGATATTGTTGGGATACCTTTTTTTTATAATGTTTTTTGGATGGAGCGATGGAGCGATGTGGAATGGAGGATATGTGTACATGTTTTTTGAGGACGACAGATGTCTAGACTTTACATATCTAGGAGACGAAAGAGAAGAAGAATTAACATTCATTCCCTTGTGGTTGATACTACAACAATGCTTCAAGACGTGATTCAAATGCTAAGGTTGAGCTGACCAGATACATCTCCATGGGGCCATGAGGGGAGGAGGAAAACGGTGGTAGCGAGTATATGAACAGACTAGGTACCTAGCCAAAGACATATTGGTGCTTCTTCTTGACCTCTTTTCCATCCAGTCCACTCCACCAGGTTTAAGAAACCATTTTGCTCATCATTTTTCAAACATACCTAGGTATTCAACCACGAACCTTGGCAACAGTCCTCAGCTCACCCCTGCTCTTCGTCAGGATGACAAACGAATCAATAGCAGCCTCAAAGTCCTCGGCACTATGACCCGGGAACTCGAGATCAAAGTGCTGTGCGAGAGTCGCGATGCAGAGGTACAACTCTGCCCAAGCGAGACTGTTCCGGCCCGATATCAATCATGTCAGCAACATCCATTAATCCACTCTTTTGACTTCCCTTCGGTGGGGGGGGGGGGGGGGGGGGGGGGGGAAGGATCATGGAACCAAGGGAAAAAAAAAAAAAAAAAAAAAAAAAAACTCACTGCATCCCCAAACAATTCCTCGCCCCCCTGCTAAAAGGCGCCCACATCCTCTCCCCACCCGCCACCCTCCTCCTAAACTCCTCATCCATCCACCTCTCCGGCTTAAACTCCCTCGCATCCTCTCCATACACGCTCTCATCCCAATGCATCAAAATCTGCGTCATGCCCACCGGCGTGCCCCTAGGAATGACCCATTCCTTTCTATTTTTTCCGTCGTTTGGTTCATGTTGGGGACATGGATACACAAGTTCCCTATCGGGAGCAACCCTCTGCATCCGACTCGCTAGCGCTGGACTTAATCTCAGTCCCTCCATTAGGATAGCCGTCAAGTAGGGGAGTTGTTCTAGTTCTCGGTACCTGTGTGAGTAGGAGGTTGGGTCTAGGTCGGAGAGGTTGATGTTGAACTGGGAAAGTTCGGAGCGTAAACGGGAGAGGATTGTATGGGGCGGGCTGAAGAGGTGGTAGAGGATTAGGCGGAGGGTGGAGGCGGTGGTCTCGAAGCCGGCGGCGGTGATGACGAAGAGGTCTTGGTGGATGCGGGAAGTGGATTTGATGTGGGAGGGGAGGGAGGGGGAGTCGAGGATGTCGTTGATTATGGTGTGGGTGTGGGTGGGTTTTTCTTCTGAAGAGGAGGTGTTGGATAGGTGGGCGTCGATGATCTGTTTGGTGTCGTGGAGGGTTACGTGGTTGTTGTTTTTTTTATGTTAGTGGTGGTGGTGGTGGTGGTTGAAGATAGGAGGGAGAGTGGTTGGATATGAACGGGCTGGAAGAGAGAGAGAGAGAGAGAGAAAACGTACCTTGAGGTGACGAAAACATTCTTCATCCCCTTATCTCCCACCATAATCATGAAATCCCACGGCAAAATAAACGCCACCCTCAAAATCGGCAAATGCTTGTTCCACCTCCACTGCCGCCCCTCATCCGTCACCATGGTAGTGAAATCCTTATCAAAGTCGTCCTTGTCCAAATTATCGTAGCTCTTGCCCAGAATAAACTCATTCGAAACGTCACGCGCCCACGCGCTAATGGCGGCTCCCAGGTCAAAGACCTCCTTGGACGCCGCTTTTCGAGAAATGATGCCCTCGAGCTTGTCTAGATGCTTGCGCACAATGCCTAACTTGCGGCCCACGTTGGCCTTGGAGAAGAAGGGTGAGAGAGGCTGGCGGACGGTCTTGTGAAGGTAGTGGTCGGGCGCGGAGATGGCGGTGTCGAGGCCGCGGCCGTGGGCGATGTAGGCCCAGTCGTACTTGTCCCATCGGCCGTCTTGCCGGTATAGCTTCTCGAAGTAGGAGGGGTCGTTAATGTGAAGCTCGTAGGGGCTGATGCGGATGATGGGTCCTGTGGGCGCAATTAAGTGACTGAACTGGCGTTGACCAACACATAATAGAGGTACAGGTACATGTAGCAGTAGACAGGAGAGCAGGGAGGAAAAAAGGAAAACGAAAATAAAGAAAACTAACCGTATTGCTTGTGAAGTTCCCCAATCTTAAAGGTGTATTGTCCTTCTTGGATAACGTCGTAGTAGCCCTCGTACAACCTGGTGATGGCAGCCAGTTTGGGACCAGGAAATTTGGCAAGCGGATGCAAAGTGAGGCGCTATATAGTCCGGCTCACGTAGTAGACCGTAACTGCCACGGCAACATGCCACCATGTGACTGATGGCAGGAAGTCTGCCAGGAGAGTCATGGTGGAAGAGGATGGAGTGTCTTTTTACACAAAGACCTGTTTGGGGGCCTGATCTGAAGATCGAATGGATAGAAGGTAACGAAGTAAATGGGGACAAGTACTTCGGTAGGTTCATAAAGGGAAGAGAGAACCGGGAGCAAGAGGAAGCATTTTTTTTCTTATATGTTGAGCATCTTGAAAACCCTTCCTCAAGAAGCATCTGCCGGCAACAGGTGAACAATTCCGAGTTCTCTAAGTCCGGGCTGTACTACCTCGTATCCACCTTGATACTGGGGATAGTCATCGGGCGGTGGTGATTGCAACATGAAGTAGTATAGCTTTCTCGTGTAACCTCCCATGCTTGGAAATGATGTGGCATTGCAGCCAGAAATCGATTGCCCAGGCCGTTGAATACAACCATGATAGCTTGAGGTTGATGTTGAGCTCATACTGTCCGCTTTGAACTGTGCACTTCTACTTGACAGAAATGAAAACGTGTGGTTTGCCTCAAAATCATGACATAATGATGATAGACGTCTGTTCCATGCCTAATTCCCGCCTGTAATACATAGGCCCCTAATTTTGTCTAACTCCTCCCCTTTTCATAGCCTCTGTCACCATGTTTCGGTCCTTCTGCGTTTGTTTTCTCTACCATAGCGTCCGATATCAGATCATACCATACCAAACCATAAAATCATCACTCCCAATTAAGGTATATCCGATGCATCAACTTCCCACAATTTGTTTCATGGCCCGAACAACATGCGTGTGCGTCTGATCAACAAGAAGAGTAATAGGAAATGAGACAAGAAACCAATATCAAGGCCCTTCATCATAGAATCCATTTTCGTTCCAAGTTCCATTCCTTCCGTGGTATCAATGTACTAAGGGACAACCGCAATAACGCCTCCGGCAATTGTGCGTGCGTATGAATAAATAACGCTACATAATAACAATGACAGATGCCAACAACACCTTCATGTCCCTTAAAGTCCATCCTTCATCTTTCATCCTTCATCTTTCAGATAGCCATGCTTAACGTCCTTGGCTTCACTCCCAAAGAAAAATACATGCATCTTCATATTATAACCCGGAAACTCATCGCTAACAAGCACCGCTTGTCGAAGTCGGCATTAGAGGAGTTGGTGGCGGCGGGGGAGGCGCTTCCGCCGGAGGTGGGGGAGGTGGTGGAGGTGGAGCTTCTTCAGTGGGCGGCGGAGGCGGCGGAGGCGGAGGAGCTTGAGTAGGCGGCGGAGGAGGTGGAGGAGGTGGAGGAGCTTGAATAGGAGGCGGGGGAGGCGCCGCAGAGGTAATATTCGGTGTAGCCGGGGCCGTGGCCTGTGCTGGTGGTCTCTGCTGCTGTGCCAGAGCCTGACCCGTTACTTGGTGTTGAGGTTGAGCGGGAACGGGAGCGGGATTCGTAGCCGCAGACAATGCAGCAGGTGCAGCTGGAACGGAAGTAGGAGCTGAAGTCGGAGCTACCGTGGCAGCCGGGACCGGAGTGGAACTAACCGGAGCTGGAGCAACGGACTGAACGGCAGGAGGAGCTGGGACTCTGGGCCCAGAAACAGCTGGAGCAACTGGGCCTGGTTGGGCAGTTGGGGCAGGAGTTGAGGTATCCGGCCGGGGTACCGACTGGGGGACCGCCTGAGGAACCGCCTGAGGAATCGACTGGGGAACCGACTGGGGAACTGGCTGAGGAACTGGCCGAGGAGCTGAGTGAGGAGCCCGGTGAGCTGCCTGATGAGCCGCATGAGGAAGCGACTGAGGAACGGTCTGAGGAAGCGACTGGGAAACCGATAAAGGAGCTGGGTGAGGAGCTACCTGTGCAACTGGCTGTGTAACAGCAGGTGCTGAAGCAACTTGAGCCGCACCCACAGCCGCCGCGGGAGTAGCTGGGGCAGGAGTAGAGGTAACCGATCGAGGGACCGACTGTGCAACTGGATGGCCAGCAGTGGAAGCCTGACCAGAAGCCACAGGTTGTGCAACCGGCTGGACAGGGGAATGGGCAGCCGGCCGGGCAACCGGCTGAGAAACCGACTGAGCAATCGAATGCGCAGCTGGAGCTGAAGTGACAGAAACCCGAGCAGCAGCGGCTTGTTGGGGAACTGGGTGAGTGGCAGGAGCCGAAGCAGCAGGCGCCAAAGACGGAATCGAAGCGGCCGGAGTAGCCAGAGTAGAGCTAGAGATAGCTGGAGCTGGACCGACTGGCTGAGACAGTGGCCGAGCTGCTTGAGAGGCTACACCTGTCGGCGGTGTGGGTACCGATGCCGGCGCAGACATTGATGGCTGACCGGTGAATGGAGCAGACACTGATGGTGCGGCCGGCAAAGGAGCTCGAGGGATAGCTGCTGCTGGGGTTGTCGATGTGGCGTGGTTGGGCGGGCTATATCTAGGAACGGAAGATGGCAGCAAAGGAGTCGCCGCAAGGCCAGATACAGTTGATGAGACGGCCCCAGAAGCAGTTGTCGGAAGTGCTGATGGCACACTCTTATGACTGGAAGGCGCAGGTAATGATGCTGGAGGATTATAGACCCCAGATGCAGGCCTTGGGGTTGAGGCAGGGGCAATCGCAGGACCTCCCGTTTGACCAGTTGTCAGAGACGATGGTCTTGGTGAAGGTACAGCTTGAGGGACAGCCGATGTCATAGCCCCCTGCCCAGATGTAGATGCTGACATTGTGGAAGCATTGGCAGATCTAGCGTACCCGGCGCTCGCTCCCGAGGAAGCCGTGGGAGGCGCTGTCAAACCCGGAGGGCCGGTTGGCACGTAAGACATTTGACGAACGGTGGAAGACGTTGGCGGGACAGACGTCGGCGCGGTGAATGGAGCAGCCGGAGCCGCAGAGGAAGGAGGAGCTCTGGAGATGGATGCATTCCCTGGCCCTGCTGGTGCCCCGGAATAAGCCTGTTGGCCCATCGAGCCTGCTGGGACAGAGGCAGCCAGATTGCTCCGTGGCATGGTAGTTGGAGCTGCAGTACTAACACCATGAGTGACAGGCGGGCTTCTAGAAACAGGGGCAGTGACTCCCGTAGCAGCCCCCGCGTGAACACCCATATGGGGCCCCGGCTGTACAGGCCCTGGGACAGCGGCGGGCACAGATCGAGCTCCCATTGATGCATTGGTGTGGTTAACCGTCGAGGGTGCGATAGGGTGCCCGGAGGTGGGTGCAGCTCTAGGAAGCAACGGGGCCGGGGCGGGAGCGGGAGCTGCGGGCGTGATGGTTCTAGGCACTGCCGAAGGAATACCGCCCGGCGGGTTGACTCGCTGGGTCGCGCTCGGTGTAGCGACTCTTTGAGCCGCGCCAGGAGCTGTCGCAGGGGCCATCGTATGATGGTTTGCGGGTGGTGCGCCTGGCGTTGCTGTCGCATGAACTGGTGCTGGTGTTGTTGCGGCTACCTGTTTCCGTTGCCATTCTGCCACTTTCATTTTGATAGCAGGAATCAAAACCTTTTCAGCGTTATTGAACTCCCGCATCTCAGACTCCGTTCCTCGCGTAATGGTCTTGTCAGCCAAGCCGAGAACCTGATCAATAGCTGAGAGAACCAAGCACTCGGCCTTCTGTGAGTCCAGTTTGGCCTCCAAAGTGCTCACCATGGTGGCCTTAAAGGTGAGTAGAGTCTGCAGCAGATCTGGATCAAGCGATTTGTGGCTGGTGCCTTGAATTCGCTCCTCAAAGACACGGAGCACAACCAACTCCAGTGATTCCTCATCAGGTATCATGCTTTTTGTGGTTAACTTCAAGCCACGGTTGATAACAGACATGGCGAGGATCTGCGGAAACTTTGACGTTTTCTGGATGTATTCCAGCTTTTCAACCGTTACCTTGAAGCTCTCAAGCCATGAGATGAGCTCTGGCGCGATAACTGGACTGAGCTGAACTGGTGACGTGGTATTCGTTGTTGGTGTAGCTTGCTGAGCCGGCCTAGCCCCGCCGGCAACCGGTACTCCGGTATGTGCAGTAGCGGGTGGTGGATTGACCCGTGGAACACCGTTTACCTGACTTGGACCACTGACCGGGAGAGAATGCTGTCTTGCCATGCTGTGGGGAGTGGCACCAGACTGTGCCGCAACAGTAGGCATGGGAGGCCTTGGTACGTATGGCGACGAATATGTCGCGGCTGGTGTACCTGACATTTGGCGTGCTGCGGTCGGCGGCGTACCATACACTTGGGCTTGTGCTGGTGGACTTGTTTGAGCAGCAGCCTGGTAGGCTGGCCGGGGAGGTTGCTGAGGCGGAACACCGGGCTGGGGAGTTGGAAGATGCTGAGGCGGGTGTTGGCTGACTCCTGGCTGTCCGGTAGTGACATAGCTAGGTCGTTGGCCCATAGTGCCTGGATGGTAGCTTTGTTGGACCCCGTGCTCTCCGTGGTACATGCCAGGATGAGGAGGCATGGGTTGCGGTGCATAATGCTGGCCAAAGTTATGTAAGGAGGAGGCGTGGTCAGGGGAGGGTGCCTTGCGCTTCTTTCCAGCATCAATATCGATTCCGGGGACGCGACTCCAGAGATGAGTCTCCTCGTTCTTCTTGAACGCATCGTTCCCAATGAGATTGTGCCGGACACTGCTTTCCCACCCTTTGGTATCCACGTTGAAGTAGTAGAACGGATATTTCAACTGAATTCGTTTGTAGATCTGCTTGAGTGTGAGCCCGTCCGGTGCGGCAGACAGAACTTCGTCGATCAGGACGCCGTAGTTCTTGTTTGGCTTCTGCAGCTGTTCCTCGGTATAATCCTCCCTGCGCAGCTCGAGCGGAGGTGTCTTGGGTTTCTCGCGCCGCTTCTCCTTGATGGTCTTTTCGGCGTCAGAGACATCGCCCTCTTCTCCATTCTTCTTGCGCGGTTTGTACTTGCGCTTCTCGGGTCTATCCGGGGCATCCTCGGGAAGAGGATGCTTCCTCGGTCGACCGACCTTGCGCTTGACCGGCGGCTCGCCAGGCGGCTGAGGCGGTTGGTTCTTTTTGGCAAGCTCCATGGCCTGCTTTTTCCGAAGTCTCTCCTCCCTCTTGGACATGATGCCGTTCTTGGGCGGTCTTCCGGGACCTCGTTTCTTGGGAGGTTCCATAAATGGTAAGCTGGACATGTCGGGGAATTCTGGCCTCGGTTCAGGTTTCACAGACTGAGACTCAGACCGAGACCGGGCTTCATCCTCGTCATCTTCTTCGACCTCTTCCTTCTCAACCGTTTCCATGACATGATCCGGCGCGTCGGGCAGGAGGATATCTTCGTCCGGAGGTTCTGATAGCTCACTTTGGCTGTCGTCCCGGTCAGGATCAACCGACATCGGCACTCCATTATCTTCAGGACTGGTGCTACGCCTGTCGACGTCGTGAATGCTCTCAAAATCGAAGCTCATCTCCTTTCCGCCTTCTGAGTACCTCCTCGCAGGTGTCTCCTCTGGTTCATACTCTTCGGCACCAGTCTTGCCTTCGGCTACACCATTGATGATGAAGACAAACTCGACATCCTTGACTTGAAGGCGGTCTCCGCTTTTGAGAACCACCTTGTCGTGGCTGTAGTGGACATCTTCACAGAAGAAGCCGTTCTTGTGCAGAGGGATGGCTTCAAAGACGCCAGCCTGGGAGTTGAACTGAATCTTCAAGTGTTCTCTGGAGATAGCCTTTGTCTTGGCAGCAATGTTGGGACCTGGAGAATGAATACCCAGGAAAGGTGTGTGGTGTGGAGAGGGTCGGAGAGCGCTGAGATTAACAGCTGCAGCTCCTGGGGTATGCGAGACGTATTGTCTGTTTGACACAGGACCCTTTCCATCATCAACGGTCTGGCCAGCAGGCATCGAGCTGCTCTCGGCTTCACCAAACGAATCCACAGGTAAAGAAACACCGCCATTCATCTTCCGCTTCTTCGGGGCCCGGTTATCTGACGGGCGTCCCTCCTCATCTTCCTCTTCATCCGACTCGGGACCCAACATGCCGCCCTCCTCACTGATATATGACTTTGAGAATCGGCGAGCGTCCGCAGAAGGGGGAGCAGGTGGGGTTAAGCCCTGAGCCTCGTACTCGTCTTTCAGTCGCTGGTATTGCTCGGCTTGACGCTCCTCTCTCTTTGCTATCCTCCAGGCACGTTGGTCACGACCGATGATGAGGGCATAGGTTGTCATCTGGAAGACACCGTCGGCGAATTCTAGTCTGGCAAAGGACTCGAGCGAAGCGTCGGCTGCTGCGGCGGCGGCGGGTGGCTGGATTCCCCCCTGGGCTGTTATATGTGGCAGATGAGTGGCATTAGCTTGATCGAGCTGCATCTGGGCCAGCGAGACCTGCGACGGACGGACGGTATTTGGCGGGAGGGGAGGGATTTGCTGTAGCTGTTGTTGCTGGTTGGTTGCGGAGAGCGACTGGAGGAAGCTCATGAGAATATGGCCGCTCTGGGACTGGAGGAGATCCATGGTGGAAGAAGGGAAGTCCACGCTGGCCATGCCGTCGACCGCTGGGGGGGCGTGAGGGTTGAAGGGAGCTATTGGAGTTCCGTCCATTGCGAGGCCTGAGAAGTGTGAGGTTGAATTTGTAGAATTTCCTGCTACGGTGGCTGCTCCTCCTACTGCTGCACCTGCAGTTGCCCCGACGCCCGTGGCCTGCGGGGTGTCCCTGCCACCTTTGAGGTCTGTGTTCGGTCGACTCATTGTGTTGGAGGGCGCATTGCCGTTCGTCTTGGGCTGGTCGGCGGCATTATTCGTCTCGATTTCGCTTTCAAGGGGTTGTACGGAAGGTTCGCGAGTACGAGGGTCGGGGACCGGATCGGTTAGAGGAGAGATGGCAGGTCGCGGGGGCGAGTTGAGGGTATAGCTGATGCCGTTTTCGAGGGCAATGGGATCGAGCTTGTGAGCAGGAGCATCGAGGACCTGTGACTGTGGTTGTAGTAATGACGACTGCTGCGGTTGTGGCTGGGACGGGGTATCTGGCGGAGGGGGTGCCGGCTGGGGCTCTGGCTGTGGTGGAGGTGGAGGTGGTGGTGGTGGCTGTTGTTTCTGTTCTTGCTGTTGCTGTTGTTGTTGAATCTGCGGTTGCGGTTGCGGTTGCGGTTGAGCGCTCTCGGCACCCGAGGGTGCGGACGAAGTCATCGCTTGCTCCGAGATAACAAGCTCCTTCGCCTACAGCGCGAGGTGGTGGTGGTGGTGCCCAGGTCGAGGCCGGCTCCGAGGTGTGCCAGTTTGTCAATTCGCAATGCGATGGGTGACGGAGAGAGTTCAAAAGACGCCAGGGCGGAAGATGGAATGACGGGAAAGATTGACCAGGAGCTGACGATGGGACGGGGACTGGAGCCGGAGACGGGACCGCTGCTAGTACAGGTTGGACAACTGCAACTGCGACTGGACGGGAAAGGGTCCGCGTAACTCCTAATGCGCAATCCGCAATCCGTAGCGCGTCCCTCGCTCTCGCTCTCTCTTCCTCTACTACGTGACAGAAAGATACAACCTCAATCTGCTTGTGATAGCCCAGCCTTGTATCGACTGCTCTCTGCCTTCCTGGTTTAAAGTGAGCAAAGTGGAACAAAAGAGTGTCAGTCAATGACAGACTGACGAATCGGGTGTAAGGACAGTCCCGTACAAGTCCCTTCCCCAGCGGGTTCAGAAGGTGTTGAGCCTGTCACTTTCGTCGCCGGTTGCCTACGATTGCGCTGCAATTGCCTGCTTCTGGTTGGAGTGGCCTGCGGTTGGCGTAACTTTGAAAAAGGCTGACCTTCCACCCTTGCTTGCTGTGGAGTCCAAACTTTTTTTGAAGTCGTACGGGAAGCAAGGCAGGGCACCTGATTGGTTGCTTAACCTCCGGGATCCCCGCACCGTTGCAGCGCCGGCCACCTGAGCTCCATCGTCCTTTTCATCATCCTCCACTTTTAACGCAAACTCTCACTCACTCTTTCCTACTGTACGCTAGTCTCCCGCCGTCACCTTCCATTTCTCGGTCATGGACGTTCACTTCCTTCTTGACTTCAAGGTTGTCGCCCGATTTCCTGCCCCCTCTCGCTCTTTATCTTTTCAAATGAAGGGCTGTCTTGAGTCTTCATGTTTTCTGCTCGGTCTCGAATTCGCGAGCAAGATGGAATCTGCAGAGTGCATGTCTCCTAGCAGTTCCTCCGGCCCCTCCCCGGACCCACCAAGGACCGGACCGTTTGATGATCGGTCCATCCTCCGTGACTTCACCTTTCCGGGTCCGACACTCATCGAGAACCGACGACAACATCCGTCCTCTGTCTTTAGCTTTTACGTCCACTTGTTCTTCATCTACAACAGTATTTATCTTGCAGACAAAATACAAGCAAGAAGGAGGCGAGTGCCTTGCATGATGTTGCAACCATGGCTACCATCATCACCACTTCACCGTGCCACCCCCAACCCAGCCTCAACCAACTGGGACGCTGAGCTTCTTACTCCTTCATGTCGCAAATAGTAGAGTCGCCCAAGTGGAAATCTACACCCATCCGCTCAATATGTAGAGCTGCATAGCCCCTAGGTTGCATTCACCTTTCGAGGGACTGTCAACACCAAAATTGAAACACCACAATGTCAACATCTGCGTGTTAACGGCGCCGCTTGTTCAGCACTGGTGAGACTGATGTTGCAAGTGTAACTCCTGATACTTCCAAACCTTCTATTTACGGCCCCATGGGAGATCGAGAGAATAGTTTCACGTTTATATATATATGTATTATCGTCTCCATGTGTTCTGACATCGACCATCTGTGTGACCATCACCCGGTACTTTCAACCATTTGTGCCCTCGAAATGGATGCCCAACTTCCTCGCCCTCAGACACACATTGTGCACGCCATGTGTGGCCCTGAACACGAAACGAGGCAAAGAAGATACCCTAGTAACACAACTATCCCAGGCCGGGCATTTCACCTTTCTGGAAGACCACTCTCGGTCATCCTCGGTCTATAACGAGATAGTCGAAAGCTATAGCGACACAGCACCAAAGTCTCTCCAAGAGAGTTTCTCCTCAACCGTTCGGAATGTCGCTTCTCAATCGGCACTACGGCGGGAGGAGTGGCCTACAGGAGCCCAGTCACGCAATAGACCAACATGTCCACGTCCTCCACCCCGTACCGGCCCCTTTTTCGATGCCTTCCGCAATCAAGAAGACTCAGGCTACCTAAAGCCACCGCCTCTCTCAGTATCAAGACCTGTCGAGGCAACTCGCCGTCAAGGTCGGCCCCGAAGCTCCTCCGTCCCACTTATACCTCGCCAAACTCCCAGTCTCAACCTTTTTCCCAGGATCGATCCAGCTCCAACTCCAGCTTTAACACCAAAACCTTCCTATCCCGGATCCGAAATATCAACACCATCCCATTATCCAGCATCAAGCACAGCAGTTAGTCTTTTGAGCACAACACCCTTGATGGCACTACCCGTCCCCCCGAAAGACACTTCACTTCAACCACCCGTTCCCCGGAAAGACACTCCTACTCTACCGCCACTCAGGATACCCTCACAAAACCCATCATCTACTGGCGACGTATCCATGAGGAACCCTATTAAAGGCCCCGCTCTGTACACCCAGCCCCGTCCCCTTCCCGTTCCCGTTCCGACGCCCTGCCGTCACCAACGCCGAGCAATGCGCCTCAACACGCCCTACATGCAGATGCTTCTCGCCCTCGACAAGATTCCCCGTCTGCACAACATCCTCGTTTTCTACTTTACCTGGCTTCTGTTGGTTGCCTTCATCATCGTTACCGCATCTTTTGATAATTCACCGTCTGGCTTAACCGGATCCGTCCTACATATCATGGAACAACCCTTATTCGCCGTCAGCTTAAGTTGCATGGCCCTCGGCATCCTAGGTTGCCTCTGGCTCGGCATCCGGTGGCGGAGGAATTATGTCTGGTTGATTAATAGGCTGTATATGCCTCTGTTTCTGAACGGACTGGCGGGGGTGCTGGCTACTTTGGCGAGCGTGTATGCGCAGCATGAAGGGAGGTGGTGTTTCCCGGCGATTGTGGCGGTGGTGGTGGAAGGGGTGCTGGTGGTTGTGTCTGTGGTGTTGTTTGGGCTGTATAACTTTTGGTTGTTGAGGAGGGTGAAGAAGTTTGAAAGTGGGTATTATGGTAAGGGTAGGAAGTGGTGGTGGGAAGGGACAAGAGTCGGGGATGGAATGCGCCGCCTCATGCACCGGGGAGTATTGTATAGGTGATGATTGTAGAGGAGGAGGGCGAATAGGAGTGGGATGGGGGGTATACCCTAGACCTACTGCGCACTTTTGGGGAGGTTGTATATAAGTGTTCAAGTACCAACCAGAGCCCTTTGTCAATAATCACAACATGAAGTGTAAAGACAACTGTAATCCAAGGGTGTCTGTCAAACCACCGCAAACGAAATTCGAGCTGCAGACTATTCGCATCACCGTGCACACCTCAATATCCTAAAACCAACTCCCCCCATCTCACCTCAAAAGCGGACTCTCCTCATCAACAACCCCTTCATCGTTCAACAGCCCCCGCTCCTCTTCCCTCCCTATCTCCTTCCCACCACCCAACCACCCAGCAACCCTATACCCCCCATAACACCCCATCCCCGCCAAAAACCCAACCCCATCATTCCTAAACGCCAAAATCGTCCCCGCAGTCATCAACATCACCATCCTGTCCTCCTCTTCTCCTCCTTCCACACTCCTTACCCCAACCCTCCCCAACTCCACCCCCGCACCCAAAACCATGACTCCCAAAAACGCCCTCGGGAATTTTTCTAGGATCCTCAACAATAACCCTGTTGTTCCAGAAGAAAAAAATAACCCGAGTAGGAATTTGAGAGTTCCCAAAAAGATGATGGAAGTCCCGCTTCGAGCACCGAAGCGGTGTTGGGCGGCCAGTCCGCCGGAGCCGTGGCAGAGGGGCATGCAGCCGAAGGGGGCGGAGAGGAGGTTCATCAGGCTGATGGAGAGGGAGAGCGGGGTTAGGGGGACTGGACCTTCTTTTGAGGAGCTGGAGCTTTTTGGTGATGATGTGGAAGAGGAGGATGAGTGCGAAGAGGAGGAGGAGGAGGAGGAGGATGGGGATGGGTCGGAGGAGGCTAGGTCAGAGGCTGGGGGGTTAGAGGCTGCTGGGTTAGAGGAGGGCTCATCATCATATAGCTGGGGATAGGAGGACCGAGGGAAGAGATCGGATGCGAGCGCTGAAGCGGCAATTATGGAGTTGAGTGTTGTCAGAGGGAGCTGGGCGAGTGCCATGCTTAGAGCTTGCGGATTGAGTAGGGAGTGGAAGACTTCGGGGTGGATGTGGTGAAGGGGGTTCCAGATCCATGTCCAGGAATATGAGTTGGTCGGTTCGTCGTAGGGTGGTGGTTGATCAGGAGAGTCCTTGGACAGAGAAACTCTCACCACGGCAAACACCAGCCCAACCAAAAACAACACCAACGCGTACGGCACCGGCATCCTCCTCCTCCCCTTTGGTCCAGACTGTTGCTGCTGCCCCAACGTAACCACCAACCCCCCAAAAGCCAACACGGCCCACGCCCTACTATCCAACCACCTCCCTATCCCCCCATCCCCATCCCCATGCCCATTTTCTTCTTCTGGCGTCCACCACCACCCCAACGGCCTAACCATCCCACCCCCCGCCGCCACCACCAAACTCAGCCCAGCACCCACTTGCACTCCCCTCACCACCGCCCCCGGCACCCACCTCATCACCCTCTTTAGTCCTCCCGTCCCTCCCAACAGTAGCACAGCAAAACCAACCCATGCGCCCGCCGCTACCGTCGTGCCCAATCCCGGAGAAGGGGAAGAAGCAAGTGACGCGGCAGCGATGGCCTTCATAGGCTGCACCGGCAATGGCACGCCGAAGATGAAGCCGGTGGCGATGTTGAATAGACCGGAGAAGATTAAAGTGGAGGGCAGGTCGATACTCCCTTGAAGGGAGAGGGCGAGGAGGAGGGGGAGGAGGGTGCCTAAGTCTCCGAGGGAGCCGGAGATTTCGGAGAGGAGGAGATGGGGGGTGGTGAGGTGGGAAGTGTTGTGGGAGGTTATGCGGCGGAGGTGGGATTTGGTGATGAACATTTTTTTTTTTCGGTGGGTGGTCGTGGTTGGGAGGAAGGAGGATTGATTATTGTGTCGTTGGGAGGAAGGTGGGTTGGGGTTGGTGGGGCATGCTGTGCCGAGTTATAGTGAGGTTACCTATTGTTGGAAGAGGGAATGGAGTTGGTTGAAGATGGATTGTGAGAGGTTTGGAGGTAGGTTGAGAAAATGAGCTTTTTTTTTAGGTATCTAAGAGATGGATATGAGGGATCGAAGAAGGTGTTGTTGAGGGGAAAGATAACCGGTTTGGTCCCCTCACTGATTGTCGTCGAGTTACGAAACCAAAATTGGTGGAGTCATTGATCGCCCAATTAGGAAAGTCGTCAATTAGACGGTGCTACTGTACGATATCGATATGAGCGAAACAACTCAACCGCAAAGGGCACGCAACATTTGAAACATAAGACGCAAGATAAGAAGAATTATGGTTCATCATTATTTCATTAACATATTACAATCGAACGCTAAACCGCCGTTGAAGTAAATGACAAAAGAACGCTCTGAAGCTTGGTATCATTCCACATCACAAATCGTATCCTTCCCTGAAATCATCCATAACACAATCGTGGTATCACAAGTTTGCCCATTACTGGGTTTTCATCTCCTCTTTTTCTGCTGAAAACATCAAACACCGGTCTTCTGAACTATCGTTCATCTCAGTCACAATCAGTGACTTAGAACCACCTCCTGCGGCGAGGAGGAGCAGCGGCAACCCCGTAGTCGTTCTTAGGCTCGAGGTCCCTGTTCCTCCTCTTGTGGATTCTAGCCGAGCAGCAGGTGATGAAGAGGATGATCATGCCCAACAGCGAGCAGATGGCGGCAGCCAGGGTGGTCCAGGCGGCGGAGCCCCAGTGCGCGCGAGAGACGGTGGGGGCGTCGTTGATCCTCGACTTGATGATGCTGAAGGTGACAAAGTCCAAGATCATGATAACGACAGTGACGATGAAAGCCAGAGCAGCGACCAGCGAGGCGAGGAAAGAGCCGACAAGGCCGGCGCCGAGGGCGAGGAGGAAGGCGATGAAGTTGAGACCGCAGGCAATGGGGTGCAGGATCATCGCCTTGGTGAGCGCCTTGGTGGTGTTCTCGGCATAGTTGGAGAAAGAGATGCCCTCGATCGTGCGCATCACGTTGGTGGGGTTGTAGCCGACGTGGGAGGAAGAGCAGGAGTCACTGTTTAGAAATTAGTATGCGCAAATCTAAGTATTGCGTTCTAAGTGAAGGGTAACTCACGGGCCATCGGCAACCTCACACCAGCCAAAGGTACCAAAGGTTACCCTCTTGATAGGGCCCATGTAAGGTCTTCCGAGATCGACCTTCATGATCGAGATGTCATTGATGACAGGGGCAGAAATGCAGGTGACGATGAGCAGCACCGTTGCTGCTAGCAGCAGGAATGTGCCGAAGTGGTGGAAGAAGCCTGTCCTCGCCATTGTGATGGTGTAGTTGAGTTGTTATGATTAAGGTGGAAGCCGGGCAAGTTGAAGCCGCTGGTGTGTATCGTCCTCCGCGTATAGAGACAAGTCGAAGATGTGTGCTGGTATGTAAATCACAGGAAGGGAGAGAGTTCAAGTGGATGGCAGTGGATGACCAAGGCTGATATAAAGAAGCTTCTGTTGGACTGGTATCTTGAATGGACGCTGCCAATGACAACCAATCATGGACGGAAGTGCCTGTGATGGTGTCTAATATGTTTCCGGTTCTTGGCGTGATGCCATCCCTCATGGGAAGCAGCCCTGCGACGTCATTCTAAGCCTCCAATGTCCCTTCCTGCTCGAAACATAGTGCTCCCTTCACTCAGTGCAAGGCACCCAGAATGGCCTGCCCTGCGGCCCAGCCCTCAGCCAGCAGACTTGGCATCTTGTCTTCAGTGGCTGGCTCCCTTGGCAACTTTGTTCCATGTCTTTGTTCCATGGGTATCGGCTGTGACGGCCCCGAAGGTCTGCTGCCCTGGCTGTGTAAGCGGTCCAGGCATAACCTGCTGTGTATGTGTGACCTTGGAGGTGAGAGGTCCTCAAATGTGGTGGTGTCGCCAAGCCTGTTTCACCCCGGCAGTGCTCTGGCGGGAGTGACGTAAGTCTTGTAAGGGGATCAACATCCCGATCCTAGGCTCGGAGTGCCGTTGCCGGGTAACCTTGAAACTTCAGGGTAGCCAAGGAGAAAGCTGAGGAAGTCCTCTCTGTTGATTGGGGGATGAATATTCCGTCGCAGCGGAGGTGGGGCTTGACGTTTTGTTTTGAGGGACCATTGTCGAAATCGAAAATCTTCGTTCAGGGCAGTCGTTATGATCGGAATGATGGTGATGACGGACATTCGCTGAATAGTTGAACCTGAGAAGACTGCGGTGAGCCATGGCGGCGCACCTTCTCCATGTTTGTCGCATTCTCTCTTGCAAACATTTGGGCTTTCAGAGTCTGTCCCTCCTTTGGTTGGTTATGTCTTTCTTCTCGGGGATGCCTTGTTGACCTGAGACGGGAGTGGTGGAAGAGACACCGTCGATCGTTAGTCGCCCGTGCTGCTGTCTTTAACTTTCCGATAGCACATCTTGTGTGACCTGCGATTCCATGTCAACAGACGTATGAGTTTCAGAAGAGCCAGCTCCTCCAGTCACATATCAAAAAGGCACAACATGATGTTAGGAATACCACCAAAATAACTTGTGGAGACGAGTGTTCATCTGTTCCCGAGTGAAGCGCGGCACCCCATGATTCCCGTCGCCACTTTCAGGGCTAGGAACGCAACATGGCCGCCACGTGCTTGCGGGCGGAGGCAGACCAGTTCCCCAGATTGCGCATCGAATATCGATATCCGATGGAATGCCCGAAAGGGTTTGGCAACGCTGTTGTAATCAAATGGGCAGAATCAGTTGAAAATGAGAAAAATAACCTGGAAGCCAGTGATGGTGCGTGACGGAAATGGACCGCAGCCTGCGATTTCCTCAGAGGAGTCCTTCAAGCGGCAAGCCAGGTGGGGTCAAAGGGTGATGCTTAGTTACAGTAAACCCTAACCCTGCTTTTATTCCGACCTCAACTAGGAGGACGACAACATTCCAGTTCGTCATCGTTGCATGCGCCGATTTGATTGCTGAAAATTGAAATGTGGTCGGCGTCCAACATGGACTCCTCAAATCCGTATCACTACGAGGTTCGCTGTTCTTGAAGAAACCTCTCTTTACGATGTCGAAACAAAGCCACCTGGAAAGAACCGCAAAGGAACCCCGTGGTGAGGTTGTTGTTCACCCAAAATTTTCGAGAAAGAGGTTGGATAGCTGCACCGTAACTGACATTCGTGTAGGCACTGCATACCGTGATCATCAAACACGTCAACCAAATCAATGACTCTATTAGGGTGTTCCGGTTAGCGATCCCCAACCAGAAGACAATCCAAGTAAGCATCACTTAAGCTTAGGATGGATCACCTTCACAGAGTGCTGACTCATGACCCAGTTCTCTGCGGGACAATGGCTCGATGTCTATGTTCCTACCGTGCCCAAGGCTGGAGGTTTTACGGTAACCTCTGCGCCTTCAGTTGCAGTTGCGCAACAGGGGCCAGATGGTCAGGTACCACAGGCCTATCTTGAACTGGCTATCCAGAAGTCGCCAGATAATCCACCAGCAGCTTGGCTCTGGCAGCCTGTCCCGTCAATCATGAATGCTGAAGTCAAGGTCCGCGTTGGAGGCAGCTTTGTCTGGCCGCCGGCCGGTATCGACGTCTCGTCACTCCGCAAGGTTGTGCTTGTGGCTGGTGGTGTCGGCATCAACCCCTTGATAAGTATCCTCACCGCCATTGCGGATGACAGGAAGCATGGGAGGCTTCCTGAGAGCTGTGAAGTGACGATGCTTTATTCGATGAAGGACCCCGGGCCACCGAGAGATGTAAAGAAAATGCTGTTTCTGGAGAGGATTACCTGGCTCTTTGCAAAAGGGGTGGTTCGGGGCACGTTTCGGTTGTTTCTTACACGACCATTTGAAAGGAATACTGTGCCCAATATGGAGGATGGCATGGTGAACTGCCATGGTTTTGGAGTGAAGTTCGCCAGCAGAAGGATATCACTAGCCGATCTTGCATCAGCTATTGGGCATGACAAAGACTCAGCAGTGGTATACGTATGCGGTGTTCCTGCCATGACTGATGAAATGGTTGAGAAATTGGTCTCCAATGATGGGCTGGGCATGGAGCGCGACAGAGTCTTGTTCGAGAAGTGGTGGTGAAGGCTCTCATGGAGAAAACTGAACGAGGTAAACGGAGATAACGTGATACCAAACGAAAACCTTCAATCCGGGCTCGGGACCGAATTCCAACCTCCACTTTCAGGTGAATTAGGATTCGAGGTTGACGTGGGCGCGCGTTGCCCCAATGCACCTTCCCATTCCCAAACCTTTACTCACCCCGCGCCTGGAATCGATCGTGAATGGATTTTTTTTTCGACGAGTGCAGAAAGCAACCATCCAAAGGTCGAGAGATCAATTACGCTCTCGACAGCGCATCGAGGCCGATATCCTTCTGCGTGCGCCAGACAAGGCACCTTCACGCCAACAAGACATGTCTGTCTAAAGTATATCTTGCGCTCCGCACTCGGCCCCTACGAAGCGATCACCTACTCTACATTCATCACCTTTTACGATGCCGTGCCTCCGTGGAATTGAGATTTCTCTCTCGACCGAACCATCCGATGAGCGTATCCCCGAGTTCCCGCATCCCGAGGGCTCATCTGCCCGCTTGATCAGTTCTCATGGCGGTTCAACAAAGCAGGAATCCATATCGACACGCAAAGCTGGCCCCACGATCGCGACGTATATACCATCCGTGCCAGGTACTACATCTTCTTCCGATTCGTCTCGTTCAGCATGTTAACTATTCGTACGTTAATAGGCCACTGTTTCGGGATCAAGTACAACATCAACGTTGTCCCCCCCTTGCCTTGCAAACATGTCGTTTTCAAACTGTTCTTGAACGGCCGAACGATCACCACATGGGGCATCGACCCAACCGAGCGACAGCATGGCACCATTGTCAAGTCACTGTGGGCACCTGGCCCAAGCTACAATGGACAAGCAGGCCTCGAGTGTCGCAATTTCGTCTTTCTTCCAGGTCAAGAAACCAGATCCCCTGCTGAAGACGGTGGCCTGATCGAAGTCAAGGTTTTTCGAGCACAAGACAGAAAAGCTCGGGCACCGAAAGTGGAGGACTTTCACCCCCAGAAGAACTATGGCATCGCGTAGGTGACTACTACAGCATGGAAATCATATCGCATGGTGGAAGGCTGACGAATGTCATAGTTCCCCCAGTATCGGCCTTATGGACCAACCTCAGCATGCCTGCTTCTATTTTTGGCATCTCCTCGATGCTAAGGACTCGCCCTTTGCAACATTCAGGTTCCACTACCGCTCGTGGGATAGCCTTGAGCAGCTGAACCTGATACCCCCGAGGGAGTTTGAGTTTGTACGATCCATCTCTACCAACGCACTAAGCCGCAGCACGACGATGGAGTTTACCGAAGGCATGCTGCGCCAAGTGGACGATAGTCAAGCGACACTGGTCACGAACGATGACCATGGTGACGAGGAGTCAATCTTTGAAGGAAGCAGGACCCACGGTGACAGAAGAGACCAGCCAAACTACTCCCTCGGAAGCCCTCCGATAGTGTTCCCTCTATCCTCGCTCTCAGAAAACATCCCTCAGCCAAGCAAAGCACTCCGAGATGCTTATCGCGACTCGTATCTCCAGCGACCCTTACCAGAACTCCCACACGAAGAGCCGAGCGTCGTATCACGGCCTTCTTCCACATCATCTGCCGTGTCTGGTTGCCCATCTCTGACCCCTTCACTCAAGAAACTCGTCGACGATGGAGCCTTTGACGATGATGATGCTTTTGAGATTGGCGTAGCGCGGACCGTTCCACACTGTAAACCAAACTCCTCCGGCACCCCGGACAAAAAGAACCCAAGGTCGGAGACACTCGAGGACTTTTCCATGTCAGACTACGCCGCATCGCCAGCGTCAACCAGTGAATATTATCCAAACAAGGCCTTATCACCTGGCCGGTACCTACCAACAACCGGCAGCAGTTACGATCTCGGCCTTGAATGTTTCACCCTCACCCCGCAAAAGGAAGATGTTGCTCCAGCTTCTCAGACAGAGTCGGGTCGAAAAGTGTCAACGCAAGCTCTGCCTCCCTGCTACAGGTCTGAGCAAGACCTGTCCCGGGTTACGAGACTCAGATTGTCGGAAGCGGAGTGGATGAGCCGAACACCTTCGCCTGCTGAAAGGGAACAGGCGAATATCGCAAGACGTTTATGGAGCCCTCCTCCTAGCACCTCGGCACGCACTGGCCGGTTTTTGGGTTTCCGGAAGAAGTCTTCGGAGAGCTCGGAGAGTCTCGAGAAGGAGGAAGTCCGCTCAGGAATCGTGGGCAACTGGATTTGAGTCTGTCATGTCTATGATTCCTAGCTTGATTCCGAAGCTATCTGGGCTTTATCATTCATCATTCCAAGGGAAGTTAAGGTTGGGAAAGGAGTTATAGGGTGCGCATTACCTCTATCTATACCCCAGAGTTGTTCTCTTTCCATCGGTACTTTCAAAGAGGCTCGCATTTCAGCCGTATAGTGTAGGAGTTAATCGGGATACAGGGGAATTATACTCAACCGAGCGCAATTATCATGGTAGTGGGTTGATGTTCCAGCAATAACTTGGAGCACTAAGATCTGACATCAGCAAAACCACACTTTTCATCATTGCCTTGATCTTCCAATCTCCCAGCAACTGTCACATCTAGGACTCGATATGAAGGGCGTCTAAAAGTTGGTTCTGTTTTCCGTCCGGCTCGCTCGTGCGGTGCCGTGCTGTTGTAATAGTTCTAGTGCCGTATCCCTAGCAGTATGTACGTATCATCATCACCATTATTTCGATCCCAACACCGCCCTGGAATCCTCCTCCTTGCCCAAGATTCCCAAGTTCCGTATCTGTCCGGCCGTCGGTGGGTTGGCCTTGTATCCGCCTTCTGCTTCGGCTTTTCTGTAGGCGGCTTGGAGGGCTTGGACTCTGGCGGCCTGTTATGAAGGGGGAAAAATGATATCATTATTGTTAGTGATAAAAGGCCCAGCTGAGTAACGTATGTATGTTCGTTATGTGACGTGGATCTTGATGCCTCCTCTGCGTGGAGCATAGTATCGTTCGTGGGTTTATTTTGAGACGTTGATGATTCGGGGTAAGGTAACTGTACGGACCTCCTTCTTGTGGTGCAAGCACTCGTAGTAATCCTCCAGCATCGGCGCGCACTTCTTCTTGCCCGACGAGTCCTCCTCGTTGCTGTTGATCACGTAGCAGGCGAGCACTTCTTGCCAAAAGGGAAAGCACCGGGATGGACCTGGTAGTTGTCAAGCAATGATCAATTAGCACTTAGATTCACAACGAACGGGTGCAAGTCGTATAGGTTTGGCGACAAAGCGGTTCAATTGCGCGCCATCCATATTCGCCTGTCTTCATGAATTGATAGCATTGGGAATAATCAATAACATACCCCCGTTCATGCCATAGCCGGACGACATAGCGGGCTGTCTGTATTCGCTGCTACGAGCGCGGTCGGTTCGGCGGGTTGTAAATTGCGGGGGAGGGACCTGAGTCGTGACTCGCGTGAAAGTGGATGAGCTTCGGTCGTGATGCGGGTCTCTCGCGCGGGTCTCTTCTCCTCGACGACGGCGACGACGGCGACGTGAGGTTGAACTGCTCGGTCGAATGCGATCCACCACTGCAAGCTCCAGTTCAAGATGTGGCTGGTATCGCTGGTTTACCGTGTGATTTTGGAAGTGGTAAGCCACACGTCTATGACATGAGTGTACGAAAAGCCACAGTTGTCCCCCAGATTTCGCAGAGGGGCCGCTAGCTTTGGCGGGAGCTTTCAAGGACCAGGGTTTTAGCTGGGACTTTGAGGTTCCCAACTGGAGTCTTGCTGTTGGCGGCAGGCACAGGCGGGGGCCCGCTAGAAAGTCCAGGGTTGTCACTGCAAGTGGAAGCTGTGACGGGGAGCTGTTGCGCAGGCGCTGCTGGCAATGTGTTCATCAATGTTCCAGAATCCACACTCTTGACACTTATCCCACTCTCCGTATCGCGACACATTCATGTTAACGAACATCTGACGACACCACCATTACAGTAACCATTCAGAGGCACCGCTAGCCATGAATTCGGAAGGCAGCCCATCGACCAATTGACCAACACACGAAAACTCCTCGACAATGGCCGTCTTCCTCTCCCCCCCTAAGCTCGTGCTGCTCGCCGTGCACCTTGCTGTCAAGGCCGATATCGATAGCTTGGCCTCCCTCGCCGCCCACCATGGCTCCGTTCTTCGCAAAGAACTACTCCTACGCATCCTGCTCACATACCTTCCCGAGACTCTACGATCGAGCGACTACGTCACCCTAATCGAACACATTGAGCGTGGAGACTTTTCCGAATCGCAACTTGATTCCACCGATAACGAGCAGAAGCATGAAATCGACATTTCTCCCGTCGAGTCGCTTACCGAAGAGGAGGCCATCAAGAAGGTCAAGAAGCTTCGACTGCTACCCCTGTCCTCTCCCGAGGCCGCTCCATCCACAGCAGAAGTCGCCGCCGACGATACAACATCGCTATTCCTCTTGCGCAGGTCCTACAAGGTGGACGAAGAAGCTGGTTTGCTAACTGAGCTACCGGCTCTGTTGACGCCGTTCTTGGATCACTCCCCCGCAATCAGGTGGCTTCTGGTCTCGACGATACTGCCGCTCCTGCGGCGCAACTGCGAATATTACCCTAACGAACCGATTCCGTACACGCTGGCGGCATTCCAGAGGTTGCCTGACAGGACGATAGCGAACTTGTTGTTGTCGCAGACGGGCGCTCGCGAGGAGGATTATGGACAGATCGGACGGGATCTGAAGGGCATGATCGCGCCTTGGATGCTGGATAAGAAGCGCTGGAATAACAGGGGTCAGAAATCTGGCTCTGCTGAGGACTCGACGCCTAGAGGTACCGACACGGATGAGGATCCTTGTCCGGGATGGAATCAGGTGTTGCGTTGGCTTACGTCGAATGCCTCGAAAAGCTGGAGGGTGGCTGCCAATGCATTTGACCAGTGGGAGGGCCCTCAGTCGGTGGATTTAGGTGGAATTTTGGGAGGAGACGAAAACCAACTAAATGACGAGCAGCGGCGTCATCTCGATTGGACGTACGCCCAAGCTGCTCTGGCATCTACATATCTGATCTCGGATGCATCAGTTGAAGCATTGGAAGGGGCTTATGCGATTCTTAACAGGGCTGTCGTCATCACCAACCAGGACCCTCTTCCGCCACTACAAAATGCGGTGGGCTTGTTAGCACCACTCGCCGAGCAAGTTGATGGCATTGTGGCCTCGCCAAAGAACGCGACATATTTGCGCAATGATCTCTTGGAGTCGTCAAATGTCCTTACGTGGCCAACCGAGACGTCAACGGCTTTCTGCCAAGCCCTGATAATAAGTGCTTTCATTCTCACCAGAGCTGGGTCTCCATGCACCCTTAGGAGGGTGGGTGAGCTCGCACTGCTGCAGGATGAGCGGGAGCAAAAGGCGGAAGCCCTCAAGCTTATTCATGCTCTAGCTAACCAGGGACCGAAGACGGACGACAAGTTCTGGATGAAATCCAGAGACGAGATACTTTGGCTTCGTGACTGGGGTGCTGAAGATGCCTGGGGCGCCACCGACTCGAGGCCCAAAGGCATTTTCAGCCAGCTTAAGAAGGATTTTTTGGAGGTTGAGTTTCTGAAGGCCTTGCTCACCAACACCCGTTACGCTCTGGCAAAATCGATTTACGAAGACTCGGTAGAACGGCCATTGGACGAAAAGGTGCTGAAAGATGCCGTTTTCTCCACAGCCATGACTGCTTACGACAATGCCTCCAATCCCAACCGCACAAGGGGTGGGCTGAAGAAGTGTGATGATATGTGAGTCTGCCAGTGTCCGTGATGTTGTACGAATCATACTAACTCTAGGAACAGCATCAAGGCATTCCCCAACACGATCTCGAAATCCGATCCCGTTAGCCAAAAGATCGAGGCCCTTCTCCAAGCCACACATGCCCTCAGCGAGTTCCGCCTAGTACTGAAACAAGGCGAACCCTTCACACCAGTCGTTCTACGAGTCCACGCCGACCCCATCTCCATCATCGACAGAATCCTCGAACAGAACCCCAAGAGCTACACACGGCTTCACGACCTCCTTGATCTCGGAACCCGCATGGTCAAAGCCGGACTAACAGCCACCACCAAAACCCCAGCATCAAAACAACACCACAGCAGCTACACCGCCGCAACCCTCTCTCCCGACGAGGAAGCAAAGCAGCGACTAACAGCCGAGCGCCGTATAATCGCCATGTGCATCGACGCGGCCCTAACCGAAGACGACTTCGAGACCGCCTACTCCTACATCCTCAACCGGCTCTCCTCCCCACCATCCTCCATGAACAAATCCTCTACCCCCTCATCAGTCGTCATAGAAGACGACTACTCCTGGAAAGCCGCCCTTCAAGCCGGCAAGTACCGACGCACCAGCCGCACCGTGCGGCCCACCCACCTCGGCACCAACGCCTCCGCCAACCCGGAGATCCGCCACCTCGAGCAGCGCATCGAGTGTCTCTCCACGGCATTACGCATCGCCCCCACGCCCACACTACAAGAGATCCTCAACGCGTACCGAAGAGCGGAAGAGGAACTTGATTCCGCGCTGAAAGCTGAAGAAGAAGCTGAAGACGCGTGGGATGCGGCTGGGGACTCGATACATGGTTATGGTCATGGTGGGCACCGGGTGCCAGGGGCGTTTGGGACACCACCTGGTAGAAAATCTACCGTTACTGGTATTGGGGGAGGATCAAGCGCCGCAGCTGCAGCAGCCCGCTCATCTAACTCAGCCTCTCGTCCCCAGCTGAAACAAAAACAAACAGAAGAAGCACCAATGTCCCTCTTCGACCTCTCCCGCGCCTCCGTCCTCTCCGCGCAAAAGAACCTCTCCGCTCTCTCTTCTCTCCAGCGCGTCGCCGGCGGACTCGGTGGTCATCTGGGTGGTGTAGCTGGTGGATTGAGCGGTAGTGTAGGTGGTCTGGTTGGTGGGTTCACCTCCTCCTCTAATACTACAAATGCAAGAAATAGCATTAGCAGTGACCGTGACCGTGACCGGGATATGAGGCCGGGTAGTAGAGGTAGCGCTTCTACTGCTGGTGGTGGGATGATGGCAAGCAGCTTTTATAGCGACGGAGGAGACGACGGTAATGGGAGTGGGAATGGAAATAATGGACATGGGAGAGTAAGAAAGAGGGATCAACTAAGGGAGGCGGCCATGGGAACGCTGGTGTCGGGCGTGGGGTGGTTGGTTGGTGCTCCTGCGCCGGCACAGGGGACGGGAGGGAATGGCAATGAATAGCGGTTCGACGACGACGCACAGGGAAGATTAAATGTTAGGAGTGAGTGAGTGGGTTAGTGGGTAGTGGGCGCAAACCTCAAGGCGAGGATTGCTCCTCCTTGGTTTCTGGATAGGGGTTGGTTGGTTTGCATGATTTGTTTTAGCGTTTCGTTTGATTACTGTAGAAAGAAGAGGGTAATGATAAATGGAATAGTGTTAATCTGTCTGTTGTTTTGTCTAGTCGTCGTGCTCTGGTGTGGTTTGTGAAAGGTCCTGGCTGAGGGGGTCCGGGTTGAGTGGAGTGAGTGACTTGATGGGCTGGACTGAGGTGAGGTGAGGTGATGGTAGACTTAGACGACCTAGATGACTTCCACTCATCTCAGCTGCGAAATACTCTTGTTCGTTGGATTGTTAGACTAGAGGTCCTGACCCCATGTATGGCTTGCCAAAGAGGCGCTTCTAGCCCTGACGACTACCAACCATCTTTGATGCTACTAGAAGTCCAGTTTAATCTCCATGTAATAATATCTTTTTACTGTCTCGTTAAGAAATAGGCTTAAGACTACCTAGGTCACTTCCACTGAGCAATGAGCAAACTTCATCTTTTGATCTCTGTGTTTGATTGATTCATTGATTGCTTGATTGTGTTCCCCTTCTAGTCTAAACATATGATACGTAACCCTCCGTCCATCATCCCTTTTAAACAAGCCATTGTTACCCGGCCAGAAAAGACGCTTTCTAGAAATCTATGCAACCGTGAAAACCAACCTACTTATTTCATGGTAGTAGTGATTGTTGAACAAGAAAAACAAAAACCAATGCGAGCCGTATTGCTGTTGCCATATGTAGATAGTAGCTAGGCCTAGAAGAATGTATCGCTCTTCATTCCTTGTGGGAGTCTTGTTTCGCTAAGTTAGGAGCAGCTGGGACTCCCTGTCCCGGATGCTTCTGCCGTTGTCTTTCTATGGCATCGTGTTCCATGATCGCGCAAGCCTGACTGAAACGGGAATGGCTTTTTGCAGTGTGAACACAGAAGAAAGCCATACTTGGTAGCATTTTTCTGGGCAAAATCCGGATGTTTTCGGCATAGGTGTCGATTAAGGTCTGCATTACACCCAAATGCCTTTTTGCAGATCGAACATAGTACAACGTCATACTCGGTAGCGTTTTCGTAGACGAAATCCGGGTGTGATAAGTATAGATGTCGCTTTGACAACGATTCATCCATGAATGGTGTTTGGCAGACCGGGCATAAATGAAAGCCATACTTAATAGCATTTTCCTGGGCGAAACGCCTATGTGATATACATAGGTGTCGCTTAAGGTCTGAATTAAACCCGAACGCCTTTTTGCACATCGGACACAGAATAAAGTTATACTTGGTAGGATTTTCGTTGACGAAATCGGGGTGAAGTAAGCATAGATGTCCCTTTATCCGCCCTTCATCCGGGAATGGCTTTTGGCAGACCGGACATAAATGTATGTCATACTTGGTAGCATTTTTCTGGGCGAAATCACTATGCGATGTGCACAGATGTCGCTTCAACAACTTGTATGACAAGCCAGTTTGTGGACAAACCGGACAGTCAAATTTGCCGTCGTGGCGAATTCGTGGCGCGGGTGAAAAGGCATCTGAAGTTTGGTCGGTAGCATCGTTATGGGTAATCTCCCGAGTATGACTCTACTCTGACTCTGAGTCACCGTCCATGCCCAACAATGTCTTATCAAGATCGTCCAAATCTTCCTGGTCCTCGGCGTCCCGTTCACCATCGTCATTACCGTCGGCGTCATCCTCGACGTCATCACCTTCGCCTTCACCATCGCCTAGGCCAAGTAGCGCCTTGTCGTCATCATCCAAATCATCGACATCGTCCATGGGCGTATCGGCATCATTGGTATCGGCGGTATCCTGTCTCTGGATGCCGTTTGTCTTGCCGGTGCGAAGAATTACCGGCTTGTTGGCGGGCACATAAGCCCGACGATGGGCATTGCGCTCCATAATCTCGGCCTCGTCCTCGGTTTCTGCCGGATCGATGTCGTGCTTGGACGGCGAGCCCTCCCCGTCGCCTTCGTCACCATGGCCTTCACCATCGCCGTTGGCATCTCCATTAGTGAGCTTGGGCCGCTTGATCGGCCTGACAACGCCGAGGTCCGGATCATTGGACTCCTCCCACCGGCTGAGTCGGCGCTGGGCGCGCCTCAATGAGGCCGAGTACGAGGCGAACTCCTCTCCAAAGTCATCTTCCTCGTCTTTAAGCTGGCAAAGGCCAACGAAGCCTTTCTCGCGGAAGGGGTAATTCTCCCCGAATCCGGTGTAGTTCACGGCCCCTGCGAGGAGAGCCTGCTTGTTGTAGTTAACGGTCTCCTCATCCTCGCTATCGCTGAAATCAGCCCATTCCTTGGCTTTGTCGAGCCTGTTGACCACACGAATAATGGAGCCATCGACGCGACGTTGCTTACGGCTGCGATGGTGGCTTCGCCTAAGTCCTCGGTCGAGGATCCATTCAACGCGTTGAGATCTGTTACGCTCAACAGCAAGCTGATGCGCGGTTGGTGGACGAGGCTTCCGGTGCACAACACCTTCGAGCATCTGTCCACCAGCGGGTGACGAGCCTTCGAAGATCTGATACTTTAGGGAGTTGCCACCCCTACGGTTAGTAGTTTGTGGAAAAGCGGCAGGATGCCTACCGACCAAAGCCCTAGGCGGCGGAGTGGATCTGATGCTGTCCAGGTCGCTATCAACCTTGGAAGGCCTGATTCGGGGAAGGATGCCAGTTGTAGGACCAATCTCATCACCAGCAGGGAAGCCACGGCCTCTACCCCCTTTTCTAGTTTGGCTCTCGACCATGAACTGCTGATCTGCCTCAATGATCTTGGCTCGCATTTTTTGCTTGTCCAAGCCGAACTTGATTTCTTCGTCGGGGTCCTTATTTTCGGCTTCCTCTTCATCTTTCGTCATCTCTACCAGGTGCGGCACGCCCTGGTTTGCAACGTCAAGACCATAGTCGACACCTGCTCCGAAGGGATTCTCATCGCAGCCCTCCTCAGTGAAGTCGGACTCGAGGTAGAACCACATGAGCCATAGAAAGGCACGAGCGCGGCTGGTGCTGGAATAGTTGGTCTTCATGATCAAGTCATGGAACTCTCGGCCAGGGGGGAAATGCAGCTCGGCGATCTTGCTAGCCTGTTGGCAGATGACGAACAAGAGATTGACGGGGTTTGTCCTAGGTACGTGGGTGGCGCGTGCCTTGATTGCGTCGATAGAGTTAGGCTCATCCCTATCTTCGGCGCCTCCTTTGAGGATAGATTTTAGACGGGGAGCATCTTGTAGTTGCTTGTACGCGTGGGGGTCTTGCTGGGCCTGGAGCGACGGAATAGCATGGTATGTACGGAGTTGTGCACGCATTTCGGGAAAGACTGCAGAGGACATTGTTAGCAACAAAGAAGAGCAAGGCGGATATCCCTCGAGAAAACTTACAGTTGAGTGTTGTGTTCATACGACCAATGTTGACGAGGAGGCAGACCATGGCCATTCCTTTCGCGGCATCACGATCACTAAGCAGCTTGTCGCGAAGGACTTTTGATGTCTTGCTACTCCTGGACATTGTGTCGATGTAGAGATCGGCGAAGCACTGCTTGCCAATCTTGTCGGGTTCGTAGCTGTTGGTGAAAACCTTTTGCTCGTTGTCGAACACGGCCTTGAGGAAGTCGTACTGGATGTCTTTTCGCCAGAGCGGTTCTCCGTCCTCCTTTTTCAGATGCCTGATCTTTCCAATAACGTTGGTCCCTGATCCATCATCTCGGCCACGTCCTCGCTTCCCACGAGGCAGCCTGGACTCGCCTGGTTCGGGGGTGGCAGCCATGGTAGCGTCGTTGTCCTCAGTTACGCTGGCGGCAGTGTGAGAAGACTTCCCAGGTTGGTGGGCGGGGGAACTGGGAATGTCGACATCTGACAGTGCAGGAGAGGCAGCACGAGAGCTGGGTGAGGCGGCCATGGCTTTTTATTTAGCTGGGAGAGCACGGGTGGCTCTCGGGTCGCAGGTTGCTGTAATCGAAAATCGGTTTGCCCGTCGGAGCTATTCGGTCTGACCCTGCTGACGAATGCTGAAGTACGGCGGGTATGACGAAGGGGCTAGACAGCAAGCGCCCGGCGGAAATCGCAGTACACGCAGGTTTTGGTTGGTGATGGGCCGTTTGTGGTTTCCTTGGTGATGTGGCTGCAGAGTCCGACCGCAGACTGGGCGCGCGCGCAGGGAAATCGAACCCTAATCGCAGGAAACGGCAGCAACCAGCTGGAGTTAATGCGCGATAGCAAGGAGGGGATGAATGGATCTCGTGATTATTTGTCTAGAGTACCGATTCGACTATGCTGATGATGCCGATTGCAGAAATGGCCGAAGCGTGCGTTGATTCACAGAGGCAGGTGGTGAAGGAGATGGCGATGCAAACAAATCATGACTTGGTGGGCAACCGAAGAAATTGCGAGGTCTGCGAGGGAGGAGTGGTGGTGGGAGTGGTGGTGGGAGGAGGAAACGGAAAGGGATGAAGGGATTGGCATAGCTGAGTGAATGGGAGGCACAAGGAGTTGGCGAGAACGAGGAAGGAACACGGAGAAAGAAAATACATTTCAACCGACATGATGCTAGCAGCTTCCCCTTCCAGGTTTGTGCCGTGGTGGCCGTGACCGTGACCTGAATGACAACCCGACGGGATACCTGACGGGATGGAATACCTGACTTCTTCAGAGTATTCGAATGGCTTGTTGGGGGCGTGCCCCTAATTCTCGCAATTTCTGACCATCGTCGTCAAATTGTGCGGGCGCTCGGAAGCCCCGTGTGTGTGCATCGTCGCGTCCTGTTTTGGCCGGCAAAAATGGGTGTCGCCGAGTGTCGCAGGTGTCGATGCCTGCTTCTGGCGATCTGGGTGCAGTGGGTGAGCGTTCACCCGTCGCGGTCAGTGACGTTTCGACCCTGGACCCTTGGCATCCACATCAAAGGGTGACCACCAAACGCGGTTAGTTATCTGTTGTGACGCCAAGTCCTTGGACCCACTCGTGAAATGGCCTGAGCGCTCTCAAAGACTATGTGTTTAGGCATCGGCATCATGGGCACATGCTCGTGATGCCGGGTGCTGTGCACTTCCACTTCTGTATCTTTCGACGTGCTGCATCGAAACGTAATCGGATTTCTTTGCGAAACCGAGATTCATAGACAAATAGACTCTTTACTTTGTGTAACTCAATCTCACGATCATCGTCAGTCTGTGTGTTCTTATCAGCACAAGGTAGAGAGGGGCATGCTTAACTGGGGCTGAATCAGGTAGCTGTACCTGTAGCACCACCGTGTATCCGAGAGGGGTTCCTGGTGACAAACACAGCACAATACAAATACAACTTATCACCATTCATGAACACTCACTTCCATATTCCTCAAAATCTCGAGTCCCGATCATGACCAGCGTCGCAAAGATTCCCGTCATCGACATCTCCGATGACAACCAAGACCAGGCCCAAGTGGCCAAGGAGCTGGTCGAGGCCGCTATCGAACATGGCTTCATCTATATAAAGAACACGGGCAAAGCCATTCCCGTTGAAGACGTAGATGCTGCGTTTGAATTGGTATTTTATCACGATTTCCTTCTTTCGAGAAAGAAAGAAGACTGATGCTGAAACATCTCCGACTTCTAGGCCAGGAAGCTGTTCAAGGAGACTCCCGTCGAAGAGAAGCAAGCATGCACCATCCAGAAGAACAATCGGGGTGTACGTTGAACCTGTCTATATACCATGCATGTCTCGTCTTATGGGACCATCATATTCGAACGATAAAGACCACAGTCTAACCAAACATACCATGACCTCCAGTGGTCAGCCATGCACTATGAGACCCTCGATCCCAAGAACCAGCGTGTAAGTCCGTCCACTCACTCACCCATCCACCACCACCTCACTCACTCACCCACCCACTCACTAACCTCCCTCTCCTCCTCCACTGCAGGTCGGCGACTTCAAAGAAGCCTTCAACTTCGGCGAACCCTCTCCCACCAACCACCTCCAACAGCCAATCCCCCCCACCATTTCTTCTGCAGAACCATTTATCTCCCGCTTCCACACCCTATGCCACCACCTCTCCCTCCGCCTCAACACCTTACTGGGAATCGGCCTCTCCGTCTCCCCTCCCGATTTCTTCACCTCTGCTCACCTGCGCGAGAACGGCGCATCCGGTACCATCCTCCGATTACTTTACTACCCTTCTCTTTCCTCCCTCACATCCCAATCCCAGGGGCACGAAGTTTCTAGAACTAGTGTGAAGGAAAAAGAAGATGTCAGAGCCGGCGCCCACTCCGATTATGGAAGTATGACGTTGCTTTTCAGATTAAAGGGGCAGGCAGGGTTGGAAATCCAGACTAGAGAAGGAAACTGGGTGCCCGTCCCCGTCTGCCCGCCAGGGACGGAAAATGATCCGCAACCGCCTATACTGGTGAATATTGGGGATTTGTTGAGTTATTGGACTAATGGGTTGTTGAGGAGTACGGTGCATCGGGTTGTTTTTCCGGGAGCGCAAGCGAACGGGTCGGGGCAGGAAGGGCAGGAAGGGAAGGGGAACAGTTTGGTGGAGGGGGAAAGTGGTGAAGGGGAAAGGTATAGTATTGCTTACTTTTGTCATCCGGTTGAGTCGATGAAATTGGAGCCGGTGCCGAGTGAGAGGGTAAGAGCGTTTGGGGAGGAGAATGGAAAGGCGGTGGTTAATGGGGAGAAGAAGATGTTGACTGCTGATGAGCATTTGAATATGAGGTACGTGTTTTGCCAGGTTTTGTCAGGTATTGATTGGTTATGTGTTGCTAACAGTTTTGTGTGAATTTAGGCTGCAGGCGAGCTATCTGAAGTTGTATGAGGATGAGAACAAGGAGTGATAGTTTGGGTTGGTATGAATATGCTATAGATGAGACTGGAACTTTAAAATTTCCAGTGACCAGAACTATCCGTCGTATATGAGTTGATAAAAAGTTCCAATCCAGGCGAATGCGTCTCAAAACCCCATCCATAATCGAACGACATGAAATGCGGATATCAAACTTCTCACCAGGTATCAATGTGGCCTGTTCCCCAGAAATAATATCATCAGTAAAACAACACCTAGCCCTCTGGATATCCCACAACACAATGCCTTCCCCCCTCCCAAGCTCAAGTCAACCCAACCCAATACTTCCTCCAAATACTCCCGCTCCTCCTAATATCAAACTTGATCCTATCCCACTCCCCACTCTTCCTGCACCTCTCTTCCTCCTCCTTCAACTCCTCTAAAACCCTCCAATCATACACCGAAATATGTCTCGGCTCGCCATTTCGATGGCGTAGGCCCGCGTCCCTAACGCTTTGGAGAAATACCTTGTTTGCCTCCTTTCTTTTGGGGTCGACGAGTATGATCTTCTTTTTGCGCTTAGTTCCACTGGGAGTGCAAGAGGGGGTGGGTGTTGGTGCTGAGCTGTTGACCATAATGGCGTCTGTGGTGGTGGTTGATGCTGGCGTGCCTGTAGGGGGAGTAAGTTGCTCTGCTGCTGCCCACTCCTTGGGATCGCGCGCGAATTCGGTTATCCCGTGGTACCCGAGCAGGTCCTCTGTTACCCAGAGGTAGCCGGCAATGCAGGGGGAGAGCATGAAGGAGATATTGGCGACTGTGCACGCATCGCCGAGGTAGCGGCACTTGCAAATTCCTGCCAGTGATCCAAGTGCGGTGGGGGAAGAGCCGATGAGAGGTTGGGCTGTGGATGGGGGCACAGTGAAGGTGAAGTCACTAGTACCAGTGCCCAGTGACATCGAGTGAGGAAGAGAAACCCGTCCCCTGGTAGACGTGCTTCGGCGATGCCCCATATCCAGGGTAGTGGGCTGGTACATGGAGTTTGCGCCCATGAGTCGAGGAGGAGCGGCCGAGCGAGGGTTGGCGTTGCGTCGTGGTGAGGTAGTCTTGACGGCCGTGAGAGGCTCTCGTTGAACAACTGATGAGGCTATGCTCTCTCTGCGGGATGCGGAAACGTCATTCTGGCCTTCTGGGTCGTTGTGTTTTCTCAGCTTGCTACAGTCATCTTCTAGGTTGGTGGAGGAACTGTGAGGTCGCTTTTCCCCTCTAGCCATCGTTTGAAGTTCGACGGTTGAGCTCTGTGGAGATTCAACCACTGTGGGCAGAAGACGAGGTTGGTCTTTGGCCTTTGTTGGTGATCTGATAGCGATGGCCACCGAAGTCGAGGTTGTGAAAGAGTCCCTGCCAACTGAGCGACATCTGAGGGAGGAGGACGGAGACGAAGGTGGTGGAGGGTCCGGGCATGACGATCTGTTCGGTGTCGACGGCGCTTGGCTTGTCGAGACGGTGGTTTGGCTTTGGATTTCGACGCCTCTTGTCTTGGGATTAGCCTGTTCCAGACGTCCTATCCACTCCAACAACTCCTGGCTTTCTTTCTCCTCAGGCCTTGTTGTCTCTTGAATTGCCATTTCTTGCAACTCAGAGAAGGAGAGAACGTCAAAATAAGTTCTGTCGCAATGTATCTTGTTCACCATTGGGAATCTCGGAGTCCAGAACCCGGTATTGCCCGGTCTATCGAAAGAGAAACACCTGATGTCGAAGACAGGGGGCACAGCAAAGATTGTTGTCGGTGTTTTTCTGCCGTCGACCCCTTCCTCGATCCTCAACGAAAATGCCTTATTGTCTTTCGGTTCCACGGCGACCGGTTGGATGGCCGGCATAAACGCACGCATTTGCGTTTCGTTAAGTTCGACCACATTGGTGATAACAAACTTCGGCACTTCTCCGAAGCGCACCACCTCTTCCTTGTTGCCCAGACACGCAATGTAAAAGTGCGTCCACTTGATGTTTGGAACGCCGTACGACTTAGCTTTTGTCGGATCATAGCGAGCCCCGACGACAGCAAAGTCGCCGACATCCCCAAACTGTCGGATATACTCCTTCTTGAGCTTGATCGCAATGCTGCCAGAGTTTCCCCATGACGTACCAAAGTTGAAGTACGTGGTGTCGGGTTTGAGTACCAAACCTTCTCCACGGTTGGTAATACACGTTGCAAACGCACGGCGTAGGTCTGATTCTGCAGATGGTCGACTGCAGTCAATGATTTGCCGCTTGATTAACATCGAGCGTCCTTTGACCTCTGTCACTATCTCTCGCAGACGTTGGATCCTCTCCGAGTGTTTGACAGCCAAAAGCGACTCGTCATCAACCATGAGAATATCATAGTAGACAATCATCAGATGTTCCCAGGGGTTTCGTCTACGTCAAGTCAGCAATGATCATCTGAACAAGGATGCGTAGTTGCAGTCTTACTGTGAGTCCTGTTCCGTGCTAAGGAACGCACCAGACCTGGAGACGTGCTTTCGGATTTTGTAAAAGTCCAATATCTTTTCTTCCTAAACGAGTGGGTTAGTCGCGGAACACCCTTTTCCACGTATTGTGAACAAACCTTGTCGCTATATACTAGTAGCTCTCCTTCCAAGATGCAACCTTTCTTGAAAGGGCATGACGGCTTGTTTAGGTTAAGTGATTTCCGGATAGAACTGGTTGGAATTAGTAGTGTTCTCTTGAATATGATAGAGAGATACTCACTCGTGTAGAGCTCTTCGGTCATTTGTGCTGTCCTTTCCACTTTTGGATAATATTTGTATACAGTCGTAGCCCTTACTGAGGTCGATATGAACCTGGCAATACTCGCCGTCATACTTCTCTTCGCAGCTCATCCTACCGTAGCCCATCTGCAAGCATTGCCTAATACTTCTTCCCTTGATCCATGGTTGGCGGCCAACTTTGACACCCAACCTGGGTTTCAGGTATTTGGCAAACTCGTCCCTCCCAGTAACAGTTCGTTCGTGTCTGTGGCTCGCCAGTATGCGGCCAGCATCCACAAAGTCATCCCGCACTTTTAGTATTAAGGGTAACCGAGGGTGATAGTTGCGATATACGAGTTGTTGATCGAGAATGACGGGCTGGTAATTTTTCAAGAAAAGCCGCGTGAACCACTTGGCATCTCGAGGGGAGAATATCGTATAGATATCTCCAAGTGCCTTCTCTCTGCTTACGGGAGTAGAACTGGGAGGTGAGCTGCGCACTGCAGGGGAGCTAAAGTGGCAATGCGAAGCGATGTCATGAAGAAGGTTGTCGATTTCCTCGATAGTGACTGGTCTGATGGGATCAGGGTTGGGCTATTTCAATGTCAGTTCCATATTTTCAACCACCTCACAGCGAATTTGGCGTGTAACATCGCACTACTCACCGTGTCCCTCAGAATACGCTCAACACATTCGGCGAGATCCATTCCCCATCTAGCATCCGCATGTCTCCCAAGTTCCACCTTTCGGGTCACTCCCAGTACCAGCCCCCTTCCAATGGTGCGTTCCAATCTCGGTGGGCCATACCTAAAGACCCTGTCGGTCCTCTTTTCAGGAAACAGAGTGGAAAGGAGTGCAGTATCGTTGTGGTCGTCGCGGTTGATAAGCGAGCGGTGTTTTGTGAACCAATCCTCGACGATCTTGGCGGTAGTGGTAGTCTTCAACCCAGATCTGGTGCGCTCGTTGTCGTCTAACGCCTGCAGGAGGTCGCACACATACGAGAAAAGGAAGGGCATCGTTGGTGGTAAGCCGGTTCATAGAGAAAGCGCTTCAAATAAGTGAAAGCATGCGCCGGCGGCAGAGGGAATTGGCGGCATGCAAAGATGATCGGGAAAGGAATGCACCGCGATCTGTTTTCAAGGAAGGTTTGGGAGGAGAGTTTGTTGGTTCATGTCCGCGACAAAGAAAACGGTGGTGAAAACAAGATGACATTTATATATGGAATGATAATGCGCGGTGTGGTGTGGAAATGGAATCGAAGGAAAGAAAGGTTCGGTCGATATGTCCGTGTGATTCCAGGTTTCAATGGCAACCTCTTGGGTTACAATTGGCCTCACTTGTGTTCCCGTCAGCACAGTCACTGCCCCGCGATAACCTCCATCGAGAGGAGAAGGTGTGGAGGGACAGAATAGGCGACCGCGTTAAGGGTTGCAGCCAAGAGTGGGTCCATGGCGCGTAAACACGTGCGTGATGAATGATACAAATTGTGCAACCTTGAATAATGAAAGTGCTTGTAATGCCCACCTGGACAAAGTGTGGTGCCTTGTCGGTAGTTGTTCTCTTTGTATGCCTCTTTTTTTTCTCGTCTTTGATTGTCATGGTCATCAATGGCTTTCTTTCATGCTCTGATCCGGACTCACCACATCACCTCCCGCAAAAAGGTCGCGCACCTTCGAAAAGCAGCCGGCCAGTTGGACTGCTATGCGCTCCTCCGAAGCGGGGGTTGTCCTGGCATCATGTATTGCAAAGGTAGCGAGGAAGCCGTCAAGGGGTGGGTGTCCACCGTCCAAGTCAGTCCTTTACCTAGCTTGTTTCGTTTGGATATCCGAATATCGACGGGCAATAATCCTGATGATCAAATGTGAAACTTTGACCAGAGACTGAGATACAAAGACTTCCATCTGGCCTCGAAGCCTGCTCTAATAGAGACCAAGTCGGCCCAAATCAGTGACCCGACAGGCCTTTTCGAAGTGGAAACGGTGAAGGAGTTCGCTGCTGCCATGGAGAAGAGGGGTATTTCCAAATGGTGGGAGCAAGCCATGGGCTTCACGTGAGGTGTACACAAGGGAATGAATATGAGAGGAGAAGTCTGGAGGTTGGGCTGAAGACCCAGACAACGCCATGAGCCGCCACGGAGGACAATCGGACAGGCCTGAGACACTTTATGTAGGTGCCATCGCCGCGGATCACGGATGTGAAGATGTGGATGGCAGGACAGCAAGGAGCGGCTCGGCGATAAGCTGAATGGAACGTGGAAGCACAAGCATCGGAGCCATGCAGTGATGCCGTGGATACAGGGCTGAAGACAAGCAATGGAAAGTGAGGTGCCAATGGTCAAAATGCCGGGTAACATCATGTTGCCGTGGTTGATTGATCGATACCTTACGCTGATACGGTAAAGTTGATTTGTTCGCGGCAGGCAAGCAGGCAGAGAGGCAGGGGCCCCGGACGGCAGCTACAGCCTCTGGGTTACGCTTTCCCTCTGCTGTGAGGTCACACATCCATCCAAATAGCAAAGAAGAGGAAGTATCGATGGCACTTTGACTTTGCTGCCATGTGCACAGCGGCACTTCAACCGCGAATCCCGTCATTGTCAGCTTTGAAATCTCGACCTGGGCGGGACAAGAATCCGACCAAATCGGGTCAATCATCCAATACCTCGTGATACCATACCGGTTCCGTCTCTGACCCGTACTATCTCTCATCCCGTCACTTTCCAGGACCTCGAATCGCTGTGAGCCGCCCGCTCTAATAAACCCTGGAAAACGGAACAAAGCGTATCACCTACTCTGGTTTCCCCCGCGACGCAGGTGTGAGGTCTTCAAGCTGGCTCAATCAAGGTGCGTTGGCGCAGATGACAATCCCATCCCCCAGAAAAAGAGGTATTCTTGTGCCGAGCATGTGCGTGTTCCAGGCCTAGAACCCCCCGGCCAGCCCAGCGCCTTTTGCGCCGCTACCGCTAGAAGTTCAGACGAGCGCCCCACAGCTAAATCATCCACAATCCGCAACTTTACAGAGATTCTGCCGGCCCTTCAACCCCAAGTCAAAACCCGTCTCCCACTCCGACAAACTCGACTGCCGCAGCCGTAGCAGGTACGGGAGACGCGAAGAGGGCGAACCCAACTTCTCCTGTCCGTTTGTCGAGAACACAGAATGCGCCAGCACCGAAAAAGTACGATCCATCCCACCGACCGACGTCTCTCCGATCAACCCTCCTCCAGTGGTGCGCAGGCCGGCTGACCAGCTTGAAAATGCAGACAGCCTCGAGACGATTTCCATACCACCCAACATTCATTCCCCGATTATGGGTATGGCCTCAGGGTTTTCTGCGGCTTGGTGACTAGGCGCTGATCGTTGAACAAAAAAGATCCAGAGAGTCCATAGAGGGAGCAGTCAAGATGACAGGGATTCTCGACAAGATGGTAAGATGCAACCGCGATCTTTGCGCTCCGGCTTCCTCTAATAGTCTCATCAAATAGAAAAGTTTCTGTTGGAAACCTCTCAATACTCTCGAATCATCGCCACAAGCTACAGGTCCGCCCACCAAGAAACAAAAGACGGGGGCTGAAGAGGGCCGCTCAGTAACGGTTGCAAACGAATATTCGAACAGCCACTTCGCCTTTTCTCCGGAACCTATCGAAGATGCTGGGTCAGAGTACGCTGCGCGGACAGACCGTACCGGAAGTCATGGTAGCCTGACAGGTCTCATGCCGCAAACAGAGGGCGTTATCGAATTTCGAAATGTCCAGAGAAACGGCGAACCCCGTTCTAACAGGCGTCATCGCTCCCGCGGGGGAAGCCAATCTCCCCGGTCAGCTCAAAGATACGGGCGAAGTATCGAACCCGGAAGAGACGATATTGACAACTCGGACCGGGACGAACTTGCGGAGAAGAGCCCATGTGTCTCGAGCGGCCCTCTCCTTCCACGATCCAACTCCACAAGGCGCATGGTGGATGCAGCTGATTCTGCAATCCTAGGGAGCCCTCAGAAAAGATCAATGGAGATCTCGAAACCAGCTAAGCGTCCACTACGTCACGTTGATCCCGAAGAGGACGAGTTGGCCCTTGGAACACTCACCACTTCCCGCAACCCTAGGCGGCCAGCTTCAAGGTCGACCAATAACGGGGGCATTCAAACAACAGAACGGAACAACTCCCATGACCCTCCTCAAAAAGCGCAGGTTATCGTCCGCCTATACAGTGCCCTCTGTCAGCCAAATCACAGATATATCCAGAGAGAAACCCAGGGATGGTGCTTTCTAGGCGAGGTCGGAAAGGTCACCAAGGGCGTCAAACAGTTACAGCTGTGCGCATGTTCGGCAGAAGGGGATTTGTTGCCTGGGTCGGACTGGCTCGCAATCACCCAACGACTTAACACAATCCATCACAATCCGGACTCTCCATATGTAAAAATGACCCAGTCATCGACACCCAAAATTGGGAGACAAATGGTGCTTCAGTTTTTTAACCCAAGGGAGGCCCAGAAGTTTGTGCAGTGGGTGACGCAAAACTTAAGCCCGAAGGTCTCAGAGATGGAGAGGTACTACAACACATCCTCGAATCCAATGGTATCATTATGCTAACCTTCAATAGTGCAACACTTCATAAAACGTACGAAACTCTCATGACCGAGCTCAAAAAGGCCACATCCGAGAGCCCGTCACCGCTCGCAAATTCAAGAGTCACGCGGACCACAGCAGCTCTTGATGTGGAAGGATCCAGGAATATGGCATCGAAACCGGTTGGCCCCGCAGCACAGGCAATCGCAGAGTCTCCTACAGCATTAACACGCCGCCGACCCCGTCTTGTGGATCAACTGCTGGCTTCACAGCAAGTCCCTAACGGCCAGTTTGAACAGCGGTCTTTTGAAGTTACATCTCCGTTGCAGCGGCCATCAAGAATCCAAAACGATGACACAGTCATGATAGACGCTCCACCGGTCTCGTCTGCCCCGGTGAGTCGGTGGACAGAAGACCATCCTGAGTGGTCCAAGGATTGGCGGATGCCCTTGGTATTCCATCGGACAACGGTAGACAAAGATGACATCCCACGGCTGGATGAAGGCCAGTGTTTGAATGACAACCTTCTAGGGTTCGGTCTACGCTATTTGTTCGAAGAATACCCGGAGCGGCATAGCGAGCTGAAGAAGAGGGTGTATGTGCACAACACCTTTTTCTACGAGAAGCTCAAGCCTGCCAAGTCCAAGGATATCAACTACGATGGTGTCAAAGGATGGACATCGAAGGTGGACCTGCTTTCTTACGACTACATTATTGTCCCGGTCAATGAGTACTATCACTGGTGGGTGGCTATCATTTGTAACCCCGGCAGATTGGATCCAAACCACCCGCGGCGCTCTACAGACCCTACCAGTAGTGGTAGGGAGACCAGCAATAGTAACCCCACCGAGGGAAAATCGGATGTTGGAATCGAGAAGTCAGACGATGTTGAAATGATAGACATCGATAATGTGCAGTCTAGAGACCAGGGGCAGGAGATCAGAACTAAAGAAACTCGCGAGTCAGCTGACCCAGTCGAAACCGACAGCAACAAGGCGAACAGGGCAGGGAAAACTGTGGTGGACTTGGTAGCCGACGACACAGACAACGACCTCAGGGAAAAGCTTAACGGAATAACCAAGCCGCCCAAAAAGGACCCCTCGGAAGAGACGAAGATCCTTACCCTTGACTCCATGGGTAACAGCCATTACCCAGCAGTGGGAGCACTCAAAAAGTACCTTTTGGCAGAGTTCGAGGACAAGAGGCAAACGAAGATTAAGGATCTTCCGAAGCAGATCGGAATGAAGGCGGGCAACATCCCAGAGCAGGACAACTTCTCTGATTGTGGTATATATCTGCTTGCGTATATCCAACAGTTCGTCAAAGACCCAGACCGGTTCGCCCACTGCCTGATGCAGAGAGAAAAACCTGGCTGGGAGTTTGACCCTTCCGAACTACGGGAGTATTGGCGCAACACCATCTTTGAGAAGCAAAAGGAACATCAGGCAAAGCATGATGAGGAGAAGAAGAGAAAGAAGGAAGAAGCTGCTAGACGCAAGGCTGCTAGCTCAACTCCCTCCGACACAGTGATGAGTGCTACAGAGAGCCAGACTCCGGGACGCAATGGTTTGTCCCATGATTCTGCAGCCGACAACGTTTCTTCCGCACCTCAATTTGCTAAACCGCCAGTCGTTTCTCGGAACGTACCTGCTCCTGCCCCAAAGCCAACAACTGCCCTCAAGTCACCATCATCGTACGGGGCCTCTCCAACGACCGGGACAGTTATCAACCCTGCTGCTGTGGCTGCCGGGAGAGGTGTTTCTAGGGGCAATATGTCAGATTCGCTCACACCCATTCCACGACCGTCTACTCGGCCTCAGAAAACGGCTGACAACGTTGTTGTTGACCTGGAACGGGACGAATCTGAACCCGAGGACGAGGTCCCTCACCTTTTGCCAGACAGTTCTTTGCCTGGCGAGATCCATCGGTCTAGAAGCAAGGACCACGAGCACTCTCCCAGACAGCGTGTCTCTTCGCGGACACCTAGGCAGAGCCCCGAGGTCAAATTTATACCTAGGCTGCCCGACTCTTCTCCGGCGTCTGATAGGCGGACTTCGGGCATTGCTCAGGAGATAAGCCCCCAAACGTTCTACTCCAACGTCCCGCAGAGGCCACAGTCGCCGAAGCTACAGTCGCTGAAGCCACAGTCGCCGAGGCCGCAATCACCCTTGGTAGAACGACGGAAGCGGAAGCCGTCACCAGCGCGCAAGGCAAAGGCATCATCACCCGCACGTAAGACGGCGCCTTCACCTGAGCCTAAAGTGCATCCCCCCGTGTCGATCGAGATTTTCGATCCACCTACCCCTGAAGTCCAAAAACCGGCGACGACTACCAGCAAAGCCAAAACCGAGAAGAGGGACAGCCACAAAGTTGCCAGCAAGGAGGACAACAATCACGTCAACAACATTAACAAGACCACCTACGGCAAAAGCGACAAACATACCCGTCAGAAGTCCAAGATACCTAGGAGAATCGTGGACACCACAGGTGGAAGCGGAAGTGGGAGTGGGAAAAGTCGCCGTGTAGAACAACAGCAACAACAACAGCAACAACCTCCCACGAAGTCTAAGCATAAGGCAGTCGAGACCAAGGCCGAGGAAATCCGCTCACCCTCTCCGGCGCGCGTCGTGTCTGACATTGTCGTGTCTGACATTGTCGTGTCTGACATTGTCGTGTCTGACATTGTCGTGTCTGACATTCCTGCGGTGCAAAGCGCGGAGATGACTCCTATTGACTTGACTGATGAGAACTGAGAGGAGTGGGTGGAACTGGCATGACTGGGACTGGAACATGTTGATGGCTGGCCTCTACCTAGACTTGTGGTCATGTTGAGACGGGGACAATGGAGACAGAGAGAGAGAGCGTTGGAGTTGTACACGGTTGGTTGTTGTATGGTTTTTGTAAACATTTTCACGCATATTACAATGCGCTTTTGCATTGCATGGTTTGGCGTCCCAATGGCTGTTAGTTATGGCATGGCTGGTGGTATGTTTGCGTTGTCTTCATGAGGCTTGCCTGTTGCTTGACAGAGTGTCTAGGAAGTTCGGAGTTAGAACTGCCAAGCTCTTGTTTGTACATTATTATCGTCTCCCACGCTCTCACCCAGGCCAGTGACCGTGTTCAAGTCCGTCCATCAAGGACCTGCGGAGGAGTACCGAGTGGAGGCGGTGTATCTAGGTTTCAAGCTAGATAGATGATGAAGTATCAAATGCCAAAGAAGGAGAGTAGTAGCGTAGCGTAGTCTAGTCGACCTAACCACCAGTCGATCCGTGCTCTGTTGGTATCATGATATATGTTTCCACAGAGAGAAAAATATCAACAAGTTTACCAAGAGACAGACAGCATGAATGTGTGCACCGCAACACCAGAAGAAACCTTGCCGGGATGAAGTTTTGACAATAAACTTTTTTAAACTCCCTTCAAATGCAATGAGGCTACATAGTAAAGCTATGTGGTGTGTGTGGTATGTACAATACATGCTTCTTCTCCTTCTTCTTCTTCTTCTTCTTCTTCTTGTTCTTCTCTTTCTCTATAGCTAGCTTGGCTGCCGCAAATGCGATACAATGTCCAATGCAGGTGGTAATTCAACAGATGACGATTATTGACTCTTTTCTTGCTCTTCTTCTTGAATGGTATGTATGGTGCGTCTCCTTTTCAACAACGCTTCTTCTATGCATCTTCCTCCTCCTCCTCATCACTCTCCTCCCCCTTGCCAGCCCCCGCTCGCCTAGCAACCTTGGGCACCTCAAAGATGGTAGCCCCGTTCCGTCCTTCCTTCATGTACTTCCACCTTCCCAGCCTCATCTCCTTGCCCGTGGCCACCACGATGCAGATGCCGTCGCGGCCGCGGTCGCCGCGCTCAAAGATGGCAATGTCGTTGATGATACCCCTAATCAACCCGCTCTCTTGCTTCTTCTTCTTGTTGTTGTCTTGCGACCCATCCACCGAGGCCTCGTCGTCCGCTTGCTCCTCCCCGCTGCTTGCGGTTGCAGATTCCTTCTTTTCCTCCTTCGCCTTCTGCTTCGCTTCCTCCTTCTGCTTCTGCGCCTCGGCCTGGTCGAGCTGCTGCAGCGCCGTGCTGGAACCGAGCACGCCGACGGGGAGGATCTTCTTCTTGTCCTCGCTCAGGCGCCACACGCGCACGAAGCCGTCCCAGGAGCCCGAGAGGATGACGTCCGAATACGGGATGGTGCGGAGGGCGGTGATGGCGCGGGGCTGCGGGGTGGGCACGACGCTCTCGTCCGGTTCGGCGTCGGCAGACACCTCGGTCGGCTTGAGCGGCGGGTCGATGCCGTGCGCGCACGGCTGCGTGAACAGGGCCTTCTTGCGGTTGATGCCCCACAGCGCGAGCGTGCCGGCCGAGTCGCCCGTCACAAACAGCTCGTCGTCGATCATGGCCACCTGGTCCATGGTGCCGTCGTGGTTCACCTCCTGGTCCCGGTTTTTACGGGATTTCTTCTCCGACACGCCGCCGCGGAACACGAGCTGCGACTCCTCGGGCACCTTCCAGTAACGGGCGGTCCGGTCGCGCGCGCCGACGGACACGCAGCGCTCGCCGGCCAGGGCGTCGATGTCGGGGATCTCATCTTGGTGGCCGAACAGCGTCTCGACGTAGGCGAGCTCGTCGAGCGACCAGACTTTTACTGTACGGTCTTTGGAGGCGGAGAATATTTGGTTGGTGCCGCGGCGGAAGGCGAGCGAGGTGACGGCGTCGCGATGCTGGGTAAAGGCCCGGATGGGCTTGAGGGTCTCGGCGTCGTGAACAACCATTCGCTTGTCGGCGCCGCCGGTGACGACGAACTTGCCGTCGGAGGAGGCCTTGACCGTCAGGATGGCCGCGTTTGTGTGGCCCTGGTATGTCTTGTCCTTTGCCTTGGTCGGGTTCGCTCTGTTGAAGCACACTCTCTCGGGTTTCTTCTTGGGCGGTGCAGGCGGCTTCTTTGGCTTCTTCTTGGTCGTCTGTGGCCACTGGTTCTTGGGTAGGTCTTGTAGCTTCCACTTGGTGAGGTAGCCGTCTTTTGTGGTGGTGTAGGCGTACGGCGCGCAGACCGAGACTGATGTTACCGTTCCCGAATTCCACCTAAACTGTGTGTGTGCAGCCCCGTCAAAGTCGAGCTTGGAAGCCAACTGGCGGTAAACCTTGCCCTTGGCCTCGGCCACATCCTCCTGAAGACGCTCGGCCAGCAAATCACGGTCAATCTGCTCGGCGTCGAAGGCATACTCGTCCTCCAGTTCCACCTCTTGTCGTGCCTTGTCCAGATATCGCTGTGCCAACCTTAACCGCTTCTCGGCCGCCGTCTCTCCTTCGTGGTCCGACTCCTCCTCTCCTTCCGATCCGTCCTCTCTCTCGATGTGGTGGTCGCCATCGTCGCTGTCAATGTCGCTGCCGGATATCGACTCGTCGCGCTCAACGGCTTTCTTGGGGGCGGCGGGGCGTGATTTGGCGGCAGGGGCCTTGGCCGAGGACGATTTGGCAGTCGACTTGCCGGTTGCAACTCGCTTCTGGGGGGCTTCGTTGGCAGAGGCACGCTTCCTCTTCTTTTCCCCAGCGGGCGCTGTGAAAAAGGACGACATGGTGTTGGCAATTGCGGCCCGGGCGGTCGGTGCAAATGCACTGGAGTCGTCTGGTGGTAGGGAATGACACTGGAATGTGAATTGGGGTCGCGTTTGGCTTCACTTCAACGCTGCTGCATGGCTATCAAAGTTGAAATTTTTGGTATGGCCGTTCGCGCCTAGACACACTTCGAAAGGAAAAAAAAAGTTGCCCACCCTGCAAGCTTTCTCTCGGTGGAGTAGCACGCCGATTCGTCAAGGTCTCCTCCACTGGCTTGGCACAATTGAACAAGTCGGAGAAGGGAATCCCCGTGCCGTGTACTTTACCTTACCGTACCGCTAACGAACACTTCAGCCCCGTAACGCCCAATCAGGCTAGCCACTTGTTAGTGGTCGGGGGTCGACGGGCTGGTGCAGGTGAGGAGGCTCTTGCTGTCTCCAAATGTCCAGGTCCATCCCAGGTTTCATGACGGAGTGGGGCTGTCCCTCGCTGTCTGTTTGCCTGCCCAGTGGTTGCAGCTTTCAGCCCTTCTGGGAAGATGGAAGATGGCGGGCACTGAAGGCCTGGCCCGTGCTTGTCAGCTTGCAGGCTGAAGCTCCAGTGCGCGTTCCCCGTCAAGCTCCAACTGCCAGTGTCCCGCCATAGGTAACGACGAGAACCGTGAAAGCCAACGCAACTTAAGCTTGCCAAAACAACAACATATCAATCCATCACTCACAAAACAATCAGCCAAAATGTACGTCGCATCGGTCGCTTCTTGGGGAGGTAATATCCAAACTGACCAGCATGTAGGGAGGTTTTACTAGGCATCACGGGCAAGGACTTTACCATCATTGCGGCGTCCAAGGCCGCTATGCGGGGAGCGACCATCCTGAAGGCATCCGACGACAAGACAAGGTCGCTGAACAAGCACACATTGATGGCATTCTCCGGTGAAGCTGGTGACACAGGTACGGCAGCGATATCGTGATGGTGGCGCATTTGAACACAGCCAAGTTAACCAACTGTCTTTCCCATCAACAGTACAGTTCGCCGAGTACATCCAAGCCAACGCCCAGCTCTACTCCATGCGCAACGAGACCGACCTTTCCCCTTCCGCCCTTGCCCACTTTGTCCGCGGTGAGCTTGCGACGAGCTTGCGCTCTCGGAAACCCTACAACGTGAACCTCCTTCTCGGAGGTGTCGACCCGATCACCCACAAGCCTAGCCTCTACTGGCTGGACTACCTTGCGTCGTTGGCGGAGGTCCCCTATGCCGCCCATGGCTACGCACAGTATGTTCTCTCGTCCGATATCTATATACAGTTTTTCTTTGTGAGGAGTCATGCACGGAAATACTGACCGGTCCTTTTTCCTTCAGATACTACTGCCTCTCGATCCTCGACAAGCACCACCACCCAGACATCACCCTCCACCAGGGCATCAAGCTCCTCAACATGTGCACCGACGAGCTCAAGAGGAGGTTACCCATAGACTTCAAGGGCATGACGGTCAAGGCGGTAACGAAGGACGGCATCATCGATATCGAGTTCGACGACGACAAGGTGGTTAAGATGGCTTAATTTGCGGGGATGCTTGCTTGCTTGCTTGCGGCTTGGGAAGCCTTGCGGGGGGAAGGACGACTCTGTATAATAATACCCATACGACGGAAATGCATGAGTCCAGGCGGCTTCCACCAACGGGAGACCCCTGGCAAATTTTATGATCATACAGAGAAAGAGGGAGGAACAAGGCTGTCATGTTGGAGGTGTGAAGTCCGAGAGTCAGTCTCTGCGGCTCCCGGTTTCAGGGTGTCGTGTGGAGTGCGCCTGGGCCGATCATACACCCTGTCACACCATTGCGATATGTCAGGGTTGTTTCTCTCGATCTTTTTCTCGAACACTTTTCTAGCCGGTTAGGTATCGTTGCCGCAGTTGAGGATAAGGAACCTGTCTAACGTGTTCTAGTAATCATGGCGGGGTGATATATTATACCTGTCGGTGATGGATCTCGTCCGGCAAATGGTTTTGCTGGGGACTGGGGCTCGAGGAGCAACACAAATCAGTCCTGTGTACCTTTCTGAAACCGACAAGCTATAACAAAATCATGACTACCGGTACCCGTTGAAACCTTGAGACAACCATAAAAGACATTTCACATTGTCAGAGGACTGTCAAACAGCCAGGTGAGGAGAGCTCGAGCCAGCAAATGGCCGATTCTCATCCATATGTTGAGTCAGCATCATCCAAACCGCTCGCAGAGAAAACAGCGCTGAGTGCATGCAGTACGAGCAATGTACATATGATGGTTGGCTGACATGATGAGGCCCATTAACAGTGAAAGCGGTGAGCGCTACAAGCGTGATGGTTGGTGAATGGTGATACGGAATTCGGGATGCCTTTCTGCAAAACTTCAATTCCAAGATACATAACTGTGTCTCTGCATACCTACCTATGTACCTGTCAACAACGCGAAGAGCATCAGCGGCCCGGTATGTATGTGAGTTGTTGCAACTGTCATCCGAGTGTCTGTTACCGAGGGACATTTGCAAATGCCAGATAGAAGGAGTGGTGCAGAATGAGCCGGATATCATTCATGAGACCGAGCAACACCGGTTGAACGCGGGATAGAAGAAACGACAAGAGGCAAAAGGCCAAACCGCCCCTTATCATCTGGACAACGACGAAGGAAGTGCCATTTGCCTTTTGCCTGCCAAAGGGTCAAAGCCAATGGCTTGTTTCCATGTCGTTCCTGGTGACTGAGACTGCCCTTCTGTGCCTGCCACTCAGCATGTTGAGGTTTGGGGGCTTGCATGGTCAATCGCAGTTGGTCCAGTGGCCAGCCAAAAAAAGGATGTGTTTGTGCGTAGCAAAAATTGAAACAAGTCAAGCAAAGATCTTTCCAAACGAAACGTTCGAGATCTAACAGAAGAGGGAAGATGGCAATGATGTTATCATTTTGTTGCCACCCGAATTGCCTAGCAAGGCCTAGCAAGGGAAAGGCGTGAACGTTCCGCTTGTTGCCCTGCCTGCCTCTGCTGCCCTGCAATCGCCAATCGCCATGACCCAACATGGTCAAAAGTCTGTAGAGGTACTGGTACAAAGACCCTTTTTTTGCCATCAAGATATGACAAGCCCTGGAGGAGACGAGCGGATGAACTTTCAGGGTCCCGGTCCCAGTTGCTCACAAGAGTTTGCAGTAACCTTTACCCAGATCCGTACCCAAATGGCAATATCCTTGGGGGTAGGTATCTGGCATCTTGACACTTCTCCACGCTGCCCACGTAGGAAGGTGGGATTTGCTGTGCTGGCAAAAAAGCTGGGCAAAGACGGGCAACTTGGCAAACGAGCGCTGGATCAGACAAAAAGAAAGGAAACTGAAGGCGAGTGAGCGGATGAAAGAAAGAAAGGGGACGGACCTTCCCTCTCGTTTGTGTTCGGTTGAAGTTGGAAGTCGGAACGGCAACTGTCTTCGCTGCCTCTCCCCGCCATCCGCAGTACATTGCGCTCCCCTCGCTTCCGTCATCTTCCTACCTTAGGTCAGGGGTCCAGTTCCAAGTCCTCCCTCTCTGTAGCCCGTAGACACTTGAAATGAGTAGAGGTAACCACCGTGTCAGCAAAGTCCGTAGAGTCCGATAGCATCTTGGAGAGAAAAGCATTTGGAAGCTGACAAAACCACCCATCAATGAGCGGCGACGGCGTGCAGAACGAGAAAACTGCAGGTAGAGGTACCTCTACTTCCGTCCGGGTGTTTCTGGGATGAGATAGGCGGGCAAGGGTGTCGCCGCCAGCGTGCCACAGAGCAGAGGAGGCTTCGGCGAGCGGGCAAAAGCCTTGGACACCTCACAAGAGTGGACCCTTCCTACCACAGTGGGTGGGCAGGCCACCTTCCATCTAACCAGTTAGAACTGCAGGCAGTGAGCAGCCCGTTTCTAGCAGTGGAGTCACAGGTCCCAAAACACTTGGGGTTTTTCTCCAGGTCGCTCCCGTTAAAAAACTTCTTTTCCCTTTTCTCTTCCACCACACCCAACAGGATTTCTTAATCCATCCCCCCTTCGTATCCGCATCGCATTTCCCTTACCACTCTTTGTCGTTCCTTTTTCCTTTTGAAGATCTGTTTTTTCTTCGAAAAGGATTCTAGGAGACATTCTCCCAGACTTAATACTTGCGATACACGTTGAGAAAAGAGCGAGCATTCGGTTTGTTCGGTTTTTGCCTTCTTTTCTCGTCGATTCATTCTCGTCGGTTCTCCTTTTGAACATTCGTTCTTTTCGGGAGCCTTTCGAAAAAGCAACAGCTTCGTCAAGTCGACTCCATTCCAGCAGTCCAACGACAAAACAACTCTCACTCCTTCACCGCGATTTTATCCGAGAAGAAAACCAACCATCGCAATCATGGCGGATCAACTCAGCAGCGGCATGGGCAACCTGTCCATCGACCAGCCTCCCTCGGGCCCCCAGATGGGCGGCCAGGGCCAGATGAGGCGCTCTTACATTCCTCCCCACCTTCGCGGCAAGATGGGCGAGGCTGCTCCTCCTATGGCTGGCCCTCCTGCCGGCGTGAACGGTCTCAACAACAGCGCTTGGGCTGGGTAAGTCAAAAATCACCTTGGCCTCACCTGCCGATTAAAGAGAGCGCGTGAGCTAACATCTATCGTTTTGCAGTAACAACACCTATGACGCTCGTGGCCCAGGCGGCGGCAACTGGCCCGCTCCCGGTGGCCCCGGTGGCCCCGGTGGTCCCCCCGGCCCTGGCTTTGAGGGCCAGCAGGGCGCTGGCTGGGGCGGTCCTCGTCCCCAGGGCGGCTTCAACCCCAACGCGTACCGCGGCAACGCTGGCGCTGGCGCTGGTGCCGGTGCCGGTGCCGGTGGCGGCAACTTCAGCAACCGTGGCTCTGGCGATGGTCAGTGGCGCGATGGCAAGCACATTCCCGGACCTGCCAACCCCCGCGTCGAGCGTGAGCTCTTCGGTACCCCCGACGACCCGTCCAAGCAGCACACCGGTATCAACTTCGAGAAGTACGATGACATTCCCGTTGAGGCTTCCGGTGACAACGTGCCCGAGCCCGTCCTCACCTTCAGCAACCCTCCTCTGGACAACCACCTCATTTCCAACATTCAGCTCGCCCGCTACAACGTCCCCACTCCGGTCCAGAAGTACTCCATCCCCATTGTCATGGGTGGCCGTGATTTGATGGCTTGCGCCCAGACTGGTTCCGGCAAGACTGGTGGTTTCCTCTTCCCCATTCTCTCCCAGTCTTTCCACACTGGTCCCTCTCCCATTCCCGCCAGCGCCGCTGGTGCTTATGGTCGTCAGCGCAAGGCCTACCCCACCGCTCTCATTCTTGCTCCCACCCGTGAGTTGGTCTCTCAGATCTACGATGAGGCTCGCAAGTTCGCCTACCGTTCGTGGGTCCGTCCTTGCGTCGTCTACGGTGGTGCCGATATCGGCTCTCAGCTTCGCCAGATCGAGCGCGGCTGCGATCTTCTTGTCGCTACTCCTGGTCGTCTTGTCGATCTCATCGAGCGTGGCCGTATCTCCCTCTGCAACATCAAGTACCTTGTCCTTGATGAGGCTGATCGCATGCTTGACATGGGTTTCGAGCCCCAAATTCGCCGTATCGTTGAGGGTGAGGACATGCCCAAGGTCGACCAGCGCCAGACTCTCATGTTCTCGGCCACCTTCCCCCGCGACATCCAGATCCTCGCCCGCGATTTCCTCAAGGACTACATCTTCCTGTCCGTTGGTCGTGTTGGTTCCACCTCTGAGAACATCACCCAGAAGGTCGAGTACGTTGAGGATATTGACAAGCGCTCTGTCCTTCTCGACATTCTCCACACCCACGCCGGTGGTCTCACCCTTATTTTCGTTGAGACCAAGCGCATGGCTGATTCGCTGTCCGACTTCTTGATCAACCAGAACTTCCCCGCTACTTCCATTCACGGTGACCGCACTCAGCGTGAGCGTGAGCGCGCTTTGGAGATGTTCCGCAACGGTCGCTGCCCTATTCTGGTCGCCACTGCTGTCGCTGCTCGTGGTTTGGATATTCCCAACGTCACCCACGTCATCAACTACGATCTCCCTACTGATATCGATGACTACGTCCATCGTATCGGTCGTACCGGTCGTGCCGGAAACACTGGTATTGCCACTGCTTTCTTCAACCGTGGCAACCGTGGTGTCGTCCGCGAGCTTCTTGAGCTCCTCAAGGAGGCTAACCAGGAGGTTCCTGCCTTCCTTGAGACCATTGCCCGCGAGTCCTCGTTCGGCGGTGGCCGTGGCGGTCGTGGTGGTGGTCGCGGCGGCGGTCGCGGTCGCACTCAAACTGCCGATTACCGCAAGTTCGGCGGTTCCGGTGGTGGCGGTGGCTTCGGCGGTGGCTTCGGTGGTGCTCCCGCTAGCGGCGGCTACGGCGGTGGCGGCTATGGTGGTGGTGCTCCTCCCGCCGGTGGCTACAGCGGTGGTGGTGGTGCTGGCTACGGCGGCGGTGGCGGCGGCGGCGGCGGCTATGGTGGCGGCGGTTACGGCAACCCTGGCGGTGCCGGTGGCCAGTCTTGGTGGTAAATTTTCTTCAACCACCTTTTCCTGCAGCCACACCATGCTGCGGACATGGCCTACGGCCTGATCGGATATTATTCGACGTTTTTTTCGGTTTCTTATCATACTCTTTTCGATTTCTGATTTTTCTTCGGCATTTCTTATCGCGGCGAGACATGGCCTTTCCTCCCACACCGGGTTTGGGAGGAGCAGGCTTCTAAGGCTTACACTCGGGCTTTCACGATAGACATCCTCGCCTTGTTTTGTTCATTCCGAGAACTCCCGACAACAACTTGATACCCTTAGATCGCGAAAGCTTGGGCCTTCTACAAGAGAAGAGCTGCGAGATGGTGCGATTTTGCATCAATTGCAGCCCACGGTTGACACGATTTAGAACGAACTAGATCTCTACGTCAGCCTTCACGATGTCATGTTTCTACTCTTGCCGTTCAGAGAGAGCCTTTTGCTTTCACATAGATGAATGGGTCATGACGCGCCGCCAACTTTTTCATGTTTTCTCTTTTTTTCTCTGGACATTACACATCATACATAGACAAAAGCGGATTACTCGGTTCCTCTGGTCGCGGTCGACCTACGACACCGCGTCTGGGCAGTCTCTCCCAAGGATTTCTTTTCTTCGATGGGGTTGCTTTTTTCAGAGAGACCCTGTCTCATAGACCGGTAATTGTTTTTCGGCAGATGAGGAATGAAAGGGATGCGGGAGGAAAAGAACGCGCGCGTTTACGACGGTTAGCAGGAAGCATGATACCCTTTTTTCGACATACGCATGGTCTTTTCTTAGAGACTGGGAAGAAGGGGAAAAGTGCGTCCTTCTTGGGTTCTTATTTGGGATTGAACGGGCACGGGGCAAAAGCCAAAAAGGGCGTCTGCGAATGGGCTAATCAAAAAGGAGAGCGTTAAACGGGCAGAGGCTGGGGAAGGGGAGGTGTTCTTTTGCACAAGATTTGTTTTTCCCCTAGAACTTGGTTTGGGATTTGGGCTTGGTTTATATGGTTGAACCAAGATCGAAACTCGGGCATTTGGGAAAAGTTCCCCGGACATGGCGGCTGCTTGTTTTTGTCTCCTTGGCATCCGTGGCGCGCGAGACGGAATTGTCTGAACTGAGGAATCCAATCAAAAACATTTCAACCTTGTTATAACTTTGGTGTCTTTTGTGCTTTGGTGACAGGTAAAGTGATGTTATGTTGTGTGCTGAAACGTAGCAGGTCTTCTCGGTAATTGAGTATCATGAGAACTTGACATAATCAGTAAGTGATATCTAATGTGGTGAGCATTCCATGACTTTGGATATATTAGCCTATGACGTGTAGGCTTCCAGTCAAACACATGTGGTGATAGCCCTGCCCGGTGTAAGGACTCAAGTCTAGTCTTATGTGTGTTCCCTTCGTATCGATCCAAAACCTTGTATGTTATCATGACATATGGTCGTGAACAATGACTACGACATCAACTCCTCCAGGATGGACTCAAGCTCCTCTTTCCTAAAAGGTAAGCTCAAATATTCCGTCCCTATCGAGTCCTTATGACTCGTAATGATTTGATGATCGTGGAATCTGTGATGCCAAATCAGTTAGCTTTTTTGTCCCTCTCCAAAGGAATCCCATCAAATAAATCACAGCAGAGGGAGGAAGAAGAACAACATACTCCTTTAGCAGCGTCCTAAATGCCATCTCCGAACTGCAAATAAACTCCTCCACGGCCTTGTTATAAAGCATCCTATACTCTACCCCCGGCCCTTCTCCTCCACCCCCACCAACAAACTCCCCTCCACCACCACTCTGCCCATCCTCAAAAGCAACCAAAACCTCCCCCACAATCAACCCAAACAACTTCCTCGCGTTCTCGGGTAAACTCCGCAACACAAACGCCACTCCCTCTTTGCCTCCCGCTCTCTTGCCCATTCGGCCGAGGAGTTCGTGCACCTCGTCCACGACGTCCAGTTCTTTGCTGTGGGGAGCAAACGTGGTGCAATCGTGAAATGCAAAGTTGAACGAGGAGCGTAAGCTGGAGTCCCAGAGCAGACGGAAGTCGGGGGTGTCGACGGTGCAGGCGAGAGAGATGGATGGGTGAGAAGATAAGTGGGCGAGGAGGGATTGTGTTTGGGGTTTGCGAAGGGTGGGACAGAGGGGGGAGTCGAGGGAGGTTAGGAGGAGGGTTATTTTTGTTTTTGGGGCTGATGATGACAAGAGGGTGAAGAGGTTCTGGATCATGGCGAGCGGGTTACCCGAGGGTAGGCGGAAGGTGGGGTCGATGGCGGCCGAGATGGTGGTGAGGATCTCGCGGATGGTGAGGGTGCGGATGTGGCCGTTTATCATGATTATTTTATTGTTTTTTGTGTTGGTTTCTGAAGAAGAGGAGGAGGAGGAGAAGAGGTACTCGGCGAATTGGTGGAGGAGTCGACGCTTGGATCCGTAGCCGTAGAGGCAGACGCTGAAGCCTTGGGAGAGCTCAAAGGCCCATTGGGGGAAGGAGGCGGCGTGGTGCGACTGGAGGGCTTGGATCTGTTCTTCGTGCGGGTCTTTCTGGGCGTCTTCGCGGAGGAGGGAGAAGTACTCTTCGTGTGTGAGAAGGTCGAGGGAGGAGAGCGTGTTGTTGGAGGTCTTGTTCGATCCGGGCTTGTTCTGGTAGAAGTACTGCTCGTGGGGGGGAAGGTCTCGTGGTGGTGTGGGTGATTTCTTTCGTCGTGTTGTTGAGCCAGGGGTTCTGCCTCCTCGTCCTCTCCCCCTCCCTGTTTTGGATGGAGTGGTTGCTGCTAACTCGGCCTCTTGGTCGGCGAGGTTTTCTTGTTGGGCGTTTTCGTCTTCTTCTTCATCGCTCGACTCGTAGATCTCTCGTGCGATTTGTTGCTCCTCGTCCTCGTCGTCGCTCACAGCGCCCTCCAGCACCCGATCGATTAGAGCCCTGGCACTCTTCCGCCTAGCCGATCGGTCGGCGATTCCTCGCCTGCTGGGTGTGTCGACGCCATTAAGTCCTCGAAGTTTGACCGGTGTCTCGTCGACCTGTTTCTTTCGCAGGGCAGATGGCGTGCTCGGCTTGCCACTTGGTGTTCCTCCTGTTGCGGCCTTCGGTGGTCGCCCTATCCTTTTCTTGCTAGGTGTCTGCTCGGTGGGTGACTCGGGCTCTTCTGGCACGGGGACTAGGTCGCGCTGGAGGAAATCGACATGTTTCCGTGGGGTAGCGTTTCGTTTCGAAGGTGTGCCTCCATCCTGTGATTGTCGCCGTTGACGCTTTGCGGAGGGAATTGCATCATCCTCATCTGGAACTTCGTAGGGGTCGGCAGGGAGTGGCCGCTTCCGAGAAGGACGTTCGACTAATTCGTGTTGGTCTGTTGATTTCCGACGAGGAGGCATATCTTCTGTGTTATTGGCTCTGGTTTTCGTTGTTCAGGTTGTACTATGGCATGTTTGTACCTCTACCTGAGTCTCGGGAAACTTTCTTCCAGGTTGTGAAGTCAAGACGCGCTCGCTAAATTGAGACGCGTTAAGCTGTACGCCCGGGATGACGCTAGGAGACGGCAGGTACCTGCTAGGACGTACCTGCGGGTAGTTCCATTCAGGGTTCGCTGACAGGAGCGACCCAAGCCCCTGTCAACTGCTGCTTAGCGTACGGCAGGGTTATAGGTGGGCATTACCTGGCTTCCTTGCATCAACAACCTCTTATCACTTCAACCAAACAAACTCTAAGAGGACTAACACAGCCAACATGTCAAAACTCAATCTCAACTTGTCTGCCTCATTAAACATTTTCAAGCTTATTGCTAAGCCTTCATTATGTCTGCCCCACGCGACAGTCCCAACGTTTAATGACCTGCCCATCCCTCTTAACAAGGCTTTCTCCGGCAATGGCGATAAGAAGGTCGACATAAAAGCTGTCGTGCTCGACAAGGATGACTGCTTTGCCTATCCTGATCATAATGAAGTGTATGAAGATTACAAGGTTGGCTGTTTTCTCGTTCAATTCCATTCAGGAACACCTTGACTAATCCAGCCAAGGAACGCATGGAGGCTCTACGGGCAGCATACCCGGGACGCCGTCTTCTAATCGTCTCCAACACTGCCGGAGCCCAAAGCTGGGACAAGGACGGCAAGATGGCATCCGCTGTTGAAAAGGCTACCGGCATCACCGTCCTCCCCCATGGTGTGAAGAAGCCAGGCTGCGGAGACGAGATCATGTCCTACTTCCGTGCTCACCCGGAAACCGGCGTCACAAGTCCTCACCAGATCGCTGTTGTGGGAGACCGTCTGGCCACCGACATGATGCTTGCCAATATGATGGGAAGCTATGGCATTTGGGTGAAGGATGGAGTTGTCCCCCACCAGCAGAAGAGCATCGTGAGTAGCAGCCTGCAACATAGCTGCGCGATAAGTTGACGTTTTGTGCTGACTGGTACGTGACAGTGGTCGAGAGTTGAGAGAAGTGTTGCGCCCTTCCTCGTATCCCGTGGTTATGCTGCTCCTGAGCCAGTGAGCCCCTTTGAGTAACTGCATTTGTGCTTCTCCCGGAAAGGAAGATACCGTGTAGCAATGTGCGTTTCCTGGATATTCTCGGTAGCTGAGGTGGGTTCTCTTTTCCTCTGAATGTGTTCCTCCTCTTGTTTTGTTGTTCCTTCTGCCATCATTCCTTCTTCAATGTGGTCATACCATTTTCCCGATATTTTCTTGCCATGTCTAATGTCCTCGTCGTGCGCTTTTTGTCTGGCTTGATGCTTGTTCCAGGCTCAGCAGGAAACATTCATGCTTCGGCTTTTTCCTCGGCTGGCGGACCTGTCTTATCCGTCAGACTTTGCAATTCTGGGCATCTTCGAGTAACGTGAAAGGAAACGTCGCAGCTGTTAGCGACAGCGTCATCTGGCTTAGTCGGCTGGTCATCGGTGTGATATGTTGTTCCGTTGAAAAGCCTTGGAGAACGCTATCAACGGATATGCTAGCGAAGACACCATCGTTGGACACACCGGACAGACTCCATGGAGAATCAATTCCCGGTAATATCGAGTGTGTGAACAAATTAAGCAAGCCTGTTTGCTGCTCGGCAAACAGCACGTCATCTGGCGCCGTATCTCTTCACCAACCGGTTCACCTACGTCGTCGCACCCCATTTTTCTGTTTTCTTTTCAGGTGAATGTCGGATACCTTGTACGTGCACCAGAACCGACGACGGGGACAATGGATTTATGAAAGAGTCAAAACAAACCTAGTGGTTAGCAAGAAAACGGGGCACTTCAGAGTAATCCCTATAGGAGGTTGCTAATGTGATGAAGGTTGCTCCAGATGCTTCTCAGGACCTCGAGAACGGTCGAGGAGTGTTCTGTAGTGTTTGTGTGCGTTGGAATAATTCGATCTTGGAACGGCGACCTTGGCCAGTACGTTTGCTGCCTACAGGCATCGACAGCAGGGTACTCATCATTTCACACTCGGGCCCAGTGGGCAGTTGGTGAATAGTATCTGGAGGCCACAGGTTTGCCGGCCGGTCTGGGCGGTCCTCGTTGTTGGGACAGTTTGGCAGGTGCCAGGAACGCCGTCGGTGGCCATGTTCACCTATCTCGTCACCCATAGTTGAAGGCCATTGTCGACCCACAACGTCCTCTCGCCAAACCTCCAAACTGTTTGTCGTCCCAACTCCTCGTCGTCATTCGCTGCCTTGAAACCCGTTCTCAAAGACGTCAATTTCGCAACTGATAAGGTTGGCGCAAGGCAGTCGCACAACTTCTGGATCTCCTTCCATAACCCAAAAGGTGGCCCAATTCGAAATTTGAGGGCAGCCACAGAGAATCACTTGTGGATCAGCTTTGGTAGGACCTTGATCCAGAGGTATACGCTGTCATACGATCTTGACCTTCATCGTTTTCCACGCCATTGAGTGATCCGGTCGCGTGCAGAGCGGACGAGTGCGAGTAACGAGACTGGGGGCAGGCATCCGATCGGATCCAACAGTCGGGACAAATTTCTGTCGTCTGATGTTGACGAGAAGATTGGGTGTGTCACGCCTGTCTTGAATAAGGGCCCTGACAATACCACTATTTCAGGTCTCGGTGTTCCACCGCTTAGCTCTTCCTTCACTGGACCACTTTTCAGACAATTTTCACTCTGGGTTTTCGAGGGTCGCTGCCAGAACTCCCTATAAGAGAGGAGGGGCTGCCGTCTCCTTTTCTCCTCTCCCTTCGTCCCTCAGAGTACTTTTCCATCAGAGCTGATCATCTCCCTTACGACCACCTCGAGCAACAGAGGTATGTCGTCCTCTTCTCTACCTCTGTTTTCCTTCTTCCTACTAGTCCCCCTTCAGCACCCTCCTTTTCCAGAGCTGACTTCTTCAGAACTTATCATAGAAGCACGTCGCCGCCGACAATCGTCCGTCGTTCTTTGCCCTACCACGGGTTCGCTTTCTTGTTTTAGCCACCTTGCCGCACATCACAAACCCACCGTCTTCCAGCCGCCATTAGGGACCTGTCCCTCCTAGATTCGACACAATGGGTGGAAAACAGTGGGCGCGACAAGAGGAGCTCGTCTTCTGGAAGGAAGTCGTCCCGAGGTCGCCCAAGAGAGTTGGAGCAGATAGACAAAGGCGCGAAATGTCCTGGAAGGACTGCGCTGCCTGGATGCAACGTCGCATGGCCAGAGAGTTCAAAGAGCAGCGACGAGCCTACACTGAGCTGTGTCTTTGTGAGTCTTCATTTCGCTGTCTCAAGGCCCTTCATGAGCTGACCAGAACCAGTTGAGCATTACTTTCAGAATGCTGAGAAGGAGAAGTTTTCTCCTCACGCCGAACTACTGGTGCGACGATATCTTGCGCAGAGTATGTACACAATCATGCTCCTTTACCTATGCTTCTCTCCTCGTTGAACAAAACACTAACACAAATTGTTCTGTCTACAGAGGAAGCAGATAAAGCCGGTAACGGCCAGGGCAACGGCGAGGGCAACGGTGAGGCCAACGACCAGGGCAACGGCCAGGGCGACAGCGACAATAACGGCATTGACGAAGAGCCGCAAACCCCTGAGCCTTTGGGCAACGCCGGACCCCATATCCCCATGACACCAGTTCGCACTCGAAGCTTGGCCACACAGAGGGCCAAAAACACCGACCATCAAGAGGCTTCTCCCTCGTCGATGTCCCCATTCGTTCCCGGTTACAACAACAGCGATGGTTATGCGAGCCTTGGCAGCCAGGCAAGCACTCCCAGCTACATAGGATACGCCGGCCACCTTCGTCATCCTAAGCCCAATAGGATGCCTCTTGGCCCCAGCGGAATGTCGACCGCTCCCACAATGCCCATGGCGCCCATGGATGATGAGGAGCTTCCTTCTCTCGCGGGTCTTCATACTGCTTCGCCCTACGGCCACGATAGCCCTGGTATCCCAGGACAATACTCTGAGGTAAACTCGAGTCCGCCTATGCAGATGCCTCAGGCCATGCGCCATCATTCGGCAATCGAGAGGCAAGCTGCGAGTGCTGGCATGAGTGTTCAGGACCTCCTGAACAGCTCCCCAGCTAAACAACATCCTTTGCCACAAGCCTATCAGGGCTCTGTTAACAACGGTTACGGCTTCCAGAGCGGCTACAACTACCACCCGAGCTACGTTCAGGGTCTCGGATACAGCAATGGCTACCCCCAGAACTACACGTCTAGCTATGGCCCGGCTTACGGCCAGGGATACAACAATGGCGTCCAGAGCTACAACCAAGGCTACGACTCCAGCCCCCAAGGACACAACAATGGCGTCCAGAGCTACAACCAAGGCTACGACTCCAGCCCCCAAGGACACAACAATGGCGTCCAGAGCTACAACCAAGGCTACGACTCAAGCCCCCAAGGACACAACAATGGTGTCCAGAGCTACAACCAAGGCTATGACTCAAGCCCCACTGGACTTCCTCAGAACCGCACCGATGATGAGTCCTTCGCTACCCGAACTCTTTCGAGCAACGCCACCCGTTCGGCTCACAAGGGCGAGACTTACAACAACGAGTACAATGGTTCTAGCAATGACAACAGTTACCAAAACAGCAGTATTCCGAACGGGGATGGCGAGCAGTCGCCTGTTTACAGCAGTCGTGGCCCTCAGAAGTCCATGAATCGCGCCTAAACTAGGCTAACCTCTCACAAAGGACCATGGCTTATGGCTATGACTCCAGACACATCCTACCGTGTCTCCTTAACAGAAATATTACTTGCTCTACCACTTTGGCTTTAACAGGTAGTGCGTTTTCTTTATTTCGGTCTTTATTTCGGTCTTTATTTCGGTCTTCATTTCGGTCTTCAGGTCGCATTCATCTCTCCGGTCTTTCAGCTAGCGAGATTTTCATCATCATCAGCAAGCACAAGGACGGCATACTATTATTCGAAACAGCATTTAGCAAGGCGTTCGGGCGTTCAAAAAGTTCCGCGGCGCTTTTTTTTCGGTTCGGCTCAGTCCTTTCAGCAGCGTTTTCGTTCTATTCAGTCACTTGGGGGTGTACATACACGATCCACCCCGCGAGCATCGATATCCAGCATATTTACCTTTTACAGCCTTCCATTCTTCTTCTCGGTACTCCAGCGTTTTATGCTTCAGCATTGCATCTCTAGTCATGTCGGCTCTCAAAAACACAGAGCACTTAAGCGAGCATTCGAGGAGAAACGCGGAAGGAGGAGGCCTTATGGGCAGGCCTCACAAATATACCCTAAAGAGAAGGAATGGATGGCTGCTCTAAGCAGCACAAAGACAAAAACATAATTAGTTGACAAAAATCCTGCTAAAAAATCAAGAAAAAAAAGGGCGTAAAATGGAAAACAACAAAAAAATAAAGGAAAAACTTCAAGATTTCTTGGAAGGACAAAAAGAACAGAGACATAGATAGCGAACGAAGTTTTTATTCATTCCATATGTTCAGCACTTTCCTGTTAACCCATCACCACCTACTGTTCCAGTCCATCCCGGACTTTTTCGCCCTGATTTCTGTTTAGGAGACGAAGGGAAGGACGATTGACAAGGAAAAGATGTGGAGGATTCACACGTACCGGGCTGCCTGTCGGTGTCCCGGTCATAATGTTATCCTCTACAAACATGGTTTCAGTCACGGTCTGTTGTTCGGGAGGATCTGCGATCTTAAGGAGGGGGATGAGGGCAAGGACTGTGTTCTTATGCGGATCGAAGGCAAGCCAGGGCTTTCCTAGATCGGGACAGGTATCTTACGTCCTAAGAGATCTCTGGGAAGTACCTTGGTGATTAATGATGAGAAGAACTAAAATCGAGGGTTATCAGGTTAAAAATGGCCGAGTTACTCTGTGAAACGCGTGAAGTCGAAGATATTTAGAGACGCTTATCTGACGCCGGGAAAAGGACCTGGGACGCGGGCCGACCCGAATGTTTGGTGCTTCTTTGTTGCATGCCTGGTTCCGACTTCAAGGAAGGTACCTAGTGACAACCTGCGGTGGTGACGAGGTCATCAGGATATGTCGCTGATGCCAGATAATTCTACATTGTGAGTCCAGGGAAAGAACATTCTTCGCCGTACAAGGCGACCGGCAGGCGGCTTGCGGAAGCCGGAAGGAAGGTTGGATGAGGTGTCATTGAAAGCGGGGACGTTCGGAGTGACAACGGCAAGAGTAAACCGAACCCGCGGACAGCTTCACTTGAAGAAACTACGATGACTGTGAGTTTCTGAATATCACCACCAAGTTACGCCTTCCAAATACAAACCATGCACTTTATTATGATATAAGATCATCGTCTCCCTCTTCTTATCCTTTCTTCTCTCACTTCTCGATATTCTTCCCCAGCTCTTGGTCCAGATCTTTCCCATTGGTTATCACCGGATACCCCCACTTATTACAACTACTGCTGGTCTCCTCGCTGAGGAGCGATCATTTTCACTGAACATCAAACCACAAACCAACTAACATCTTTTCATTATATCAACATTGTCGAGCCATTACTTTCACAACCTCAGCTACTTTTTGCTTGAAACCACACGTTCAATCTATCAGAAAAGACACCACAATGCCCGTCCAGCTCGAAATCCCAATCTTCACCGCCGACGTAGAAGAATTCGATGTTCGTTCCTTTGAACGAACGGGATGCAGAGAGCTCGTGGACCTTTGCCGAGAGATGAATCCTGCCAAAGATCAACGGATCCGTTTGGAACTGAACGCCGTTGATTCGTATCGTAAGCTATTCATCATCCTGTTCTGGCCATCACGCGGTAGTTAGAGAGTAAAGCCGAGGGCTCAGTCAGACTACCTAACTTCCTCAAATGTAGCAAACGGTGGATTGACCCCCAACATGAGAAATACGGTTCGATTCCTTACTCACCTACGAAAGTCGGAGAGGCTCAGAGAAGACCAGCAACCGATCATACGCATTATGATCCGGCCCCGCGGTTTCAAGCATGACGACAAGTCCGCCTTCCAAACGGAAGAAATCCAGGATTTTCAGTACTCCCGTACCGAGCTGCTCGCAATGTGCCATTGGATCCAAGGCTTCAAGGCATGTGGTCGAGGTCTCCTCAGCCCGGAACGCGGCGACGGGTTCGTTTTCGGGGTGCAGAGACGCCTTGACATGCGCTTAAACGGGCTGGTGTTGGATGCTGAGGCCAACAGAAAGTTGATAAAATGGGTCCATCCTTATCCGTGTTTTCTGCACCGCGCCTTTGACGGCTTGCTCTCAACTCGGCAGAACCCTGATATTTATGATCCTCCTGAAAATGAGATACCAAAGAGCTCGGTTGAGGACCTTGTAGCTGAGGTCAAAGGGCTCGGCTTCAAGGGGGTGTTGACGTCCGGGGGATGGGGAAATGCGACTGACAACCTGGAAACACTGAGTGAACTTGGACGAGCGGTGCTGAAGGAAAGGAAGAAGACAGGTTTGAGTTGATCGTTGGCGGTGGTGTTCGGAGTGGTAACGTGTGGAACATATGCTCTGCGATGAAGGATCTGGCGCAGCACCGGGATTTTTGGCTTCACTCTTCGTGCTATGGATATGGAGAATTCAATGAGACGCAAGCTCGGGATATTTTGAGGTCAATGAAGGCCGTGGAAGCGGCAATGAATGTGATGGGTCCTAACAATCTCGTCATGCAGAGAGGAGGAGGTTGATGGAAGAGAAGAGATGACGGTTACAGTATGTTTGTTTACCCCATAGATTGTATACAAGTATGCAGAGGCTTTTGTGAGAAATCAGTGTCTTCAGAGTCAGCAGTGTGAATTGGCTTCCTGAAGGATTGTGATGGTGGGCGAAGACAGACAACAAACAAACAGTGAAGATGGCATGCAGTCAGTTCATAATATAAAAGAAAAAAGAGAAAACACAAGGCAAAGGATATTGTCCCAAGCAAACAAATACACCGTAAGCAAATTGTTTATGCCGATGTTGGTTGTCTTTGACGAAAGCCAAAGAGGAAAAAACCAAAAGGAAAAAGGTGTTGGGAAGAAAAAGGAACCTCCCTCGGTAAGGATCGAACTTACAGCCTCCAGATTAACAGTCTGACGCGCTAGCCAATTGCGCCACGAGGGATCTTAGGTTGTTATTGTAAGCTAGCCAAGACGTTAAGCTTATATGCACCCACTAAAGCTTTGTCCTGGCGCTAGGTTTCAACGACCACAGAACAAACATCATTCCAACATCTTCAAGAACTTGACGTCAACGACATGGCCGAACATGGCATCCAGCTATCCAACAACAGGAATAACTTCACACAATAGCGTAGGGGTGGTAGTCACTTTTAGAATGACATGGGGGATACGTATCCGCCCGGGTAGCATCCGTGGGCATTAGCCCCCCAGCCGCTCAATCGCCAATCAGTTTCCCGAGTTTCACCACGTTCGCATCGTCGGCCGAGCTATGGAGTTCCCGCTCGAGGCGCACATGGCACTATCCCCAGCTTTTGGTTTGCGGTGGATGCAACCCGCAGCACGGCCGGATGCCAACCGCTCGGCGCTACTAGTACCTTGCTTGATATGGTTACGATCACCTTCTTCTTCAGCTTCTTGCCCCTCGTTCCCAGAGGCCAAACCGTCAACCCGATGCAACAGCAGCCAGGCACTGTCAAGGTCGCTTGCGATGCAACATGCAGACAACATCTGGTGGTGTTGTGGTGCATCCCGAACGAACCACACCACGGCAGCACCAATGAAAGATCGTCAAGAGATCGACACGTGCCTGGGATACCGCCTGTCCGACGACGTTCATCTCCGGAGCTCAAGCGATGCTGGATATCGAAGCACGTGTGTACAACGTCAGTATGGGAACAGGCACCTTCCTACGAGGGCAATGGCAAATGTTTTGTTTCCGAGAGTTGGGGGTATATATGAGCACATCGGCGCCGTCTCGACCTCCATCATGGTTCTCTCCAGCGTTCCAACCACCACCAACAACCGGTTCTTGCCCTCATCTCCTCGCCTCGTGTCGGCATCATGGTCTCCAGCAGGTTAAGCGGCGTCCTCGCCCTGCTGGCCACTTCGCTCTCAGTCGTCCATGTCTCCGGCCAGACCTTCCAACGGCTAGGCACTTGCCCAACCCTGGGTTGCATCCTGCCACCCGACCAGCAAGATTTCCTCCCCGGACAGCAGTTCGACATCCGCTTCGAGGTGCATGCCCCCAAGAACGGATCCGAGGCCTTCAACGATGGAGTTCCGGACGAGAAGTTCACCGTCACCATTGCCAAGGACAACGGGACGCCCAAGAGCATCGCTTCTTTCTTCCAGCTCAAGGATGAGCCTTCGCTCGAGAAATGGACGTTTTCTTGGTTCGAGGACCTCTTCGCTCAGGATGCCAAAACCCCTTCGGTCGTCAATGTTGCTTCCAAGATCTACCGCCGAGTTGCGCTGTATGAGCCCGGTACCTATACGGTTACACTGAACTATTATTCGGGAAAGACGACGACGGCTACTTGGGTTGTGAGGCCTCTTGCGACCAAGAAGAAGGCGAAGAATGTCATTCTCTTTATCGGTATGTTTCCTCCAGGAGCCACTTACTTGACGTTGAACCCTAGCTGATCAGTCGACTTCAACTTCCAGGAGACGGTATGACTACCAACATGATTACTGCTGCTCGGCTGCTCGGCCACAAGTCCATCAACGGCAAGTACCAGAGTACTTTGCAACTCGACAAGTTTCCAACTTTGGGTCATCAGATGGTTAGTATTGGGACCTAGTCCACATTGTGTTATTTGCTAACGAATAGCCTCACAGACACACTCTATCGACTCGTTCATCACCGACAGCGCAAATTCGGCCTCTGCGCTGTATACAGGACACAAGACTACTGTCAACGCTATGGGGTAAGTCCAGGAAGCATATTGGAGGAAACGCGCTTTGAGCTATGCTGACAACACTCGTAGTGTTTATGTTGACTCCTCACCCGACAACTTTGACGATCCCAAGGTCGAGAATGTCATCGAGCTTCTCAAGCGTATCTGGGTAAGTCACTAGCAAGTTCTTCGCCGTCTTTTCTTTCTTTTTGCTGACACCAATACTTCAAGGGTTCTGCCTGGGGCGCTGTCACGACTGCCTTCATCGCCGACGCCACACCTACCGCTCTCACAGCCCACACGCGCTCCCGGTACGACTATGGCGCTCTCATCGAGCAAGCTCTCAACGGCTTCTCCAACACTTCGTGGACAAAGATGGATGGTCCGGATGTTTACTTCGGTGGTGGCGCCGAACAGTTCCTTCCCGGCTCAGCCTCATACCAGGGCAAGGACTACTACGCCGAGTTTGCCAAGAGGGGATACTCGGTCAGCCTCAACAAGACCTCCCTGCTCGCTGCCCCGAACGACACAAGGGCGCTCGGTATCTTCTGCAAGTCCAACCTCCCCGTCTGGCTAGACCGCAACATTTTCCCCGAAAACACCCTGAAGCTCAAGAACGACCCCTCGGGCGCCTCCGGCCCAGCAAAGGACATCCCGGGCCAGAAAGAAATGACCCTCAAAGCCATCGACATCCTGCACAAGCGCGGCGGCAAAGACGGCTTCTTCCTCATGTCCGAAGCGGCCTCCATCGACAAGCAGATGCACGTGCTGGACTACGAGCGCGCGCTCGGCGACCTTTTGGAGTTGGACGACACCGTGCGTGCCACGATCCAAAAACTCAAAGACCTCGGCGAGCTCGACAACACCCTCATCGTCGTCACCGCCGACCACGGCCACGGCTTCGACGTCTTCGGCGGCGCCGACACCAAGTACCTCGCCGCCCAGCACGACAAGGACGACCGGCACAAGCGCTCCGCTGTCGGCGTGTACCATGAATCCGGGCTATCGCAGTACACGGTCGAGCAGCCGGGCATCAGCTACAACACGGGGCCTAACTTCCCCGTCAACTGGGATCCGCGCTACGTGATCGCCGCCGGCACCGGTGCCGCGCCTGACCGTAGAGAGCAGTACGGTGTCGGCAAGAACGGCTCGCGCACGCCTGCTGTGACGCTGCCTGGTATGGAAGCGAACGATTATTATGTTAATCCCACGGATAGGACGGGCGGGTTTGTGGTTAATGGCACGCTGCCTACGACTGAGAGCCAGGGCGTCCACTCGCTTACGGATGTGCCGGTGTTTGCGCAGGGACCTTGCTCGGGGAACTTTGGGGGGGTTTATAGCAATACTGATGTGTTCTTCAAGATTGCGGATTGCTTGGGGTTGGGACATCCGACTAATAAGACTATTGGTGGGAAGGGGAGGTGAGCAGGATGGGTATGAGGATATGGGACTGTGGGAGGACCTTCCCAGGCCAGGCGTGTAGCTTGAACAAATTGATTATTGAGTTAAGACGTGATAGAGACAGACAAATCAATACGAATACTGATGTGGGACTTCCCGCGCAAGCTTCTGAGAGAGTGCCCCGCGCATCAACGCGTGGGCAGGAAGGAGCCCAGTGCTGGGCCGCCCGTTGCTCCCGTCGAACGAAGGCGCACCCCAGCGCACATGGGTATATGAGGACTAGCTTCCATAGCGCGCCACCAGGGGTTTAGAAAACGATCCTCGGCATGTTCTTGTAACTGTAAAATTCTCCAGCCCAGTGTATGATTTTGTATTGAAACTGATCCATGGATCAATTCTTATCTGAAATATCAACGATTAGGGACATTCTTGTTTAATAAAATGACCTCAATAATGGTCCTTTCCTTAAATTTATCCCCGATAGAAATATTTTATTCAAGGGATTCCTTTGAAGATCATTTTTAGAGGAGGCCATTTTACCTAAATAAGATATTTTGGTCTAAGAAAGGGATTTGGGTCCATCCTGGAGATGGTCTTGCCGTTTCAAACTGATCTTTGGATCAGTTCCATGCCAAAATCGTCTCAAAATATATTTTACAGTTACAAGAACATCCCGAGGATCGGTTTCTAAAACCCTGGTGGCGCGCTATGGTTTGTGGACTTCGTCAAGCCCAGTCATCTCTCCCGTCCCTCTCTCCATCATCAACCAGATAGTTGAATCATACATCACCACTCATCATCATCAACAGTGGCGTTTCCATTCATCATCAAAGACCCCCCACCCCAACTTCCAAAATTGTGACACACCCTCCAAGCCTCATCCCACTTCACCGCCTTGATTTCTTTGTTATCCTTTTTGTCAATCAACCACACACCCTCCGTCCCACAAGGCAGATTCTCAAATCCAATCCACTTCGTCGCGCCATACCACGCCATGATGCCGTCCCCACAAACACAGTACACCTGCTGCAGGTTGGGGAAACGGGTAAGGCCTTGTTTGATCTCCCATCTGTCGAGGTACTCGTCGCTGAAGTTGCGGGTGAATTTTAGGCGGGTGATTTTTTGTGCGAGGGGCGTGGGGGATCTGGAACTGGAAGGGAGGGAGGGGAGGGAGGGGTGGGAGGGGTGCTGCTGCTGGAGGTAGTGGGAGATGGCCGAGAAGAGGGAGAAGTCGGAGAATGAGGTGGTGCCGATGTCGATGGTGTCTGTGGGGAAGGAGATGTAGATATACCGGTGATGGGTCTGGGATGGTTCTGGTTCTGGTTTCGGGGCTGGGGCGGGGGGTGGGGCTTGGTTCGTTGTTGGGGCTTCGTTATGATTTGGATTTGGATCTTGAGTGGAAGCGGAAGCGAAAGTTAGGAAAGTGGCGGTTGATACTATGTCGCAGAAGCAGACTGCGCAGAAGACTTGCCCGTATACTCGTCCCTGAAGGTGGTTGCGGGATTCTTGGCAGGCTTGGAGAGTTGCTGGTGGTGGAGTGGTGGAGAGTAGTTCCTGGGCTTTGACGGGGCTGCCGTTGAATCCCTCGACGGCTGTGTAACTTGCTCGAGGAGTGTTAATGCGGAAATCGACGGTGCGAGGCTCGACCGTCAATTCCCAGACTCGGAGACGAAGCTCGGCTGGTAAACGGGGGAAGCGGTGGAATGTAGTCATGGTTTAGTAGGATTTGCTGGTAATATGTTTATGAGACGCCGGGATGCCGAGTGTCTGACTGGGTATTGTCGTTCTTTTTGTGGTTTATGATGTTGGGCTAAAGAGAATTAGGGCCCTTTCCTATGGTAGAGGTGTGTGTGTGGTGAGGCTGAATATGTCTGAGAGGATGTAACCAAAAGAGGGCGCTGTCTATCTCCATATACTACCTAATAGCAGCTCAGCCCCGAAGAAGGGAGGTTAGTGTGTTAGTGGAATTGGTGTGCAGCTCCATACAGAACTCCGCAAACACTATCTGATTGTTATCGCACGAACCCTTGCGCAAGGAAAAAACGCAGCATTAAAATGTTAGTACTAACCTCCTTGCTCCCATTCTGTTAGCGTAGTACCTGTCGCTTCATTTGCACCTCCATTTGCACCTTTTTCCCCATCTCTATTTGCGACACCTCTTTTGAAACCGGTTCTATTTACCTCTGCGCCTCGAATTAGCTTGCTACCTTCCTTTGCATCTTCATAAGAGCAAAGGTGTTTCGTCATATGAGTTTCCACATAGGAGTTTCGGCTTAGGTATAGCTACGGATTACAAGAACCCAGGATCCGGCTTTTCATCGCCTTGGGGAGGATCGAAGCCGCTTGCTTCCTCCCCGAACACTAGTCAGCCCTATAGTACAACATGCTGGTGGCATATTTGCTGGCGTGGGACATCCTTTAACTTATCCTTGGATTATAAGTTGGTACGTACAATTTCCTTTTAACACGGGCTAGTATTATCATGAATGCCGACCTGGTCTCCGCTCGTCATCTAATTCGGCATAACCATTCCACTTAGTCATGAGTGAGAGACTGGGTATAGTTTGACGACGTCGTATTGATTATATGAGAAACACTAAAGGAGAGACGAGAGGCCCATAAGGTTAATTGCATGAGAGAAAGGAAGAAAAAAACGAGTGAATGAATGCAACTTGCGTTCTCAACTTCCAGCTCTCTGTCAAAGCCGACGACACCAAGCCAAACAACATCGCTACCGCTCGTCCACGTACGCCCTCCAGAATATGTACCATCACACCCACTCAGATGTAGTAATAGATGCTGCGGCATTTGTGGGAGTTGTAAGTGACGCCGTAATGCTTGTCGTCCTTGTATCCGGAGAACGTGCTATAGCCGTTGACTCCAGTTCTGTAGTAAAGGATTAAAGTCAGCCAGTGCCCATATCAGCAACTCGCATTTTGCTGGGACCGGATTCAAGTCTTTTCTACCTGCGAGGCTTGCAGGAGAAGAAAATACAAGGTACAAGCACAAAACTCACCCAACATAGGTATAATCGGGCCAAGTCTGAGCTTCTTTTCCAATGGCCCAGGAGAAAGTGACGCCACTGGAGAAGGTGCACGACTGCGTGCTGCCCTCCCAGACGTGATAAGCGCCGCTAGAGCCGCTGGTGCTCTTGACACACACGTTGGAGGAGGAGTGGCTGTAAGACAGGTTGTTGCAGTTGCCGTCGTTGGCACAGTACTTTTGGACCATCAAAGTCAGCCTTACTCTTCTCTATGTACCATTGGCTTCATCTCTGAAAGAAGATGCGAGTAGAGAACGTCGCTGGATCAGAAAAATAAGAAAGAAACGGCATACAACGACGGCAGAGATGTAATTGGTGGCGCCGTTGGTAGGTTCGCAGTTCATGAGGTGAATTCCCTCGCCACGCTTGAGAAGAACGGACGCGCCGTCGGCATCGGTGAGCTCAGCGGCGGGAGCGGGAGCGGGAGCGGCGAAGACGGCTCCAGAAAGGAGGGAGACGACGGCGAGGAGCTTGGGAGCAAACATCTTGGTGGATTTGAGGGATGGTTAGACTGGACGTTGCAGCCAAGGAAGGGTAGAATGTCTTGATCTGAGGGTAATGATGAGTTGGACCTTGTAAAAGTGGACAATACCCTCATTTATACTTCTCCTGCTCTCATGTAGTGATGCACGATGCCTCGTCAGCTGCTCGTCGTCGACATTCACGATAGACCTGAGAGGCCTTCGCCAAGGCTCACTTGAAGATCCTCTTTAGTGCAATCAGTAATACCCCCATGCAATGCTACCGTTCTCAGCTTGTTGTCTACATCATCTTGTCAGCCCTTGAGGAGTGTCATGATCGTTATTTCAACCTCGGTGATAGGAATGTCCGTAGGTGCAATGAGCAGAACCGATATTGCTCTACACGAACTTGATATTGCTGTGGACGTTCCAAATTCTGAAGAGATCAAGTTTGAGCAGAGATTGTATATCGTCCCAGGACTTGATTTGTGTTGCAAGTAATTTCTTCCAGCAGCTCTTGACCTGATATCTCTGCCACTGGGCAAGACACCCACAGTGACGATCACAGCACAGCAGCCTGAAACGTCTTTGAACTGAATGCTAGAGCTTTTGGCTAATGAGTCTTATGTCAACAGAGAACACTCATCAATGCTGAACGCGAATGGTACGTTACCGCAGTCACACCTGATCTAGATTTCGGGGCCACGCAAGGCGTCAAGTTGAAAGTTCATACAGATCGCAAAGTAAATGTAGAGCTGGTACTTAGGCCCTGATCGGCTCAAACTTTTCATTGAAAAGTTAGGAATATTTAGCTACCTCCTCTCGTCTGCAGCCAAGTAAAAGGGGTGGATCAATACGACCGTACCGCTTTAGTACTACATTAGCTTAGTAATGGCTGGTCTTAACCATTTTTAGTATAGTTAGCCAAGGTCTCCACACCGCCTTATTAAAAACACTTGAAAAATAAGGTTAAACCCCGTACGAAATTAGTACCTAGATCTATTCAGACTTACACAAAAAATACTAACCAAAATACGTCCCAATCCGAAAAGATGAACGCCTAAAACGAATATCTAATCCCTCTAAGCAGCTAGAATATATTACTATTATCCTATTTATCAAATAATAAAAGCGAAGAGTAATAAAATAATTTTAATAACCCCCTTTTATAACTATTCGATAATATTCTTAAACCGCCCAATAATAACGATATCCTACCCGCCTTTCTAACCTTCGACTTCGACGATAATCAATTCATTTACCTGGCAAACTACAATTAAATCAATAATAGCCAACTTAACTAAACATATCAGATCAATAATAGCCAACTAATTAAAACTTATAACGATATTATAACGGCCTCTCCAAGTAATGCCCAACCGCCCTAAAATATTATATAAAATAGGGAGTCGTTATAAACTATACCCTCTCCTACTTTAAAGAGGAAGCGAATACCCCCTAAGCCTAAGATGCCGAAAGTACTAAAACTACCTAAGCTAATTAAATTAAAGAAGAGAATTAACTAGACTAATACTATAATTAATATAATAATAATCTAGTTCTTCGAATATAAGAACGATAAATTCTTTAATTTAATATAGCTGAAAAATTTGACTAAAGTATAGGAGTAAGTAAAGGGATATTACATAAAGAAATAGATTAAATATATATAGATTCAAAAAATTATTAAAACGAAACTCAATATTAAGCAATACTAATATCATTATTAAAAAAAGCTCTCTCTATTTCTAGCGCCTAACTTAACCCTACTACTAAATTGCTTAAAATATTTATATAGAATTAGAAAGCCTTTTAGAAGCGGAAGAATATTAAAAATTATATTATTAATTAGTTTATAAAGACCCTGCTCGGTAATATCGAAATATATTCCCAAATATTCTTCAAAACGAAAGCGGCGGGTAGGGGTATTGTAAAAGCGGGAGAATCGTAGGTAAATAAATTATTTAAAAATAATAATATTAATTTTAATAATAATAATAATAATGGGGAGGAGGTAATTTTATTTAATAATAGGGAGGAGAATAGGGACGAAGATAAGAGCGTTAATAAAATTGAAAAAGTTACTCGGCCGCCCGCGAAGAAATTTACTAAAGTATAATAATATAAGAAGGATATTAATCCTACCTAAATTCTATTATTAAAAGGCGAAATTCCCTTTATTAACGTAGGTATTAATAAAATTGGTCGTAAAAAGAAGGGTAGTAATATCGAATTATTTAGTACGTTAATAGAAAAGGCAATTACGTCATTATAAGTTCCTAAATTAGTTAAATTTAACGAATTTATTTTCGCTATCGAAAATCTATAATATAAATTCTTTAAATTAGAGGAGGAGGAAATAATGAACTATATTAATTATGTTGAAAACTATCTCCTCTTTATTAGTATATAATTAAAATTAAATAAGAAAATAAAGGAGGGGTATATTAACTGCTAGAAAAATTAAATAAAATAGAGTAGAGTAGAGTAGAGTAGAGTAGAGTAGAGGGACGAGGTAGGGGGAAGGGTAATTAGTTTGATAATTTATTAAATTTGCACTAAATTGTGATAGCATTTGTGGGATGCATCTGTCGTTACAACTATATAAGACCACTTGAGCGACCGAATTGCCAGCTTCGGTTACTTGTACCCTTTTGCGGGGACATGGGCTGGTTAGTGTAGTGGTCTGCCACCACCGTGACATAAATTACTAGATTTATACCAAATTACTAGATTTACACCAAACTACTAGATTTACACCAAACTACTAGATTTACACCAAATTATTAAATTTATTAGGCTTTAATTCGAGAACTCTAATTTTATAAAACAATCTAATATTTCTAATAATCTAGCAAATAATTATATAAACACGATAATCTACAATCTCCCCTCCTCTCCCCTCCCCTCCTCTCCCTTCCCCTCCCCCAATTCAATACTCTACTCTACTCTATATATACCAGATTATTTAGCATCTCTCTTCTTTTTTAAATATAATTACTAACTCTTTTATATTAACATCGACGACTGCCATCTAACGTAATTAAAATAAATACCTCTCATTACCTTTCGCGCCCTCACTTTTGCTTACTTCATCCACTTCTTTTCTTTTATATTCAATTAACGGAATTATATTATATACTTTAATATAAAATTATATAATACAATTACTATGTATATAATTCGTCTCTAATTATTAAAATTATATTCGAAAGGCGCTACCCTTACAATTTTCCATTACTTTTTTTAAATAATTAAAAATATATTCTACGATAATTCGAATACGAAAGTAACGTAAATTATGTAGCTCCTTAGAGTCTTTTAATAATACGTTTATATTCTTCTAATTTTGAAAATAATATTTAATATTTATAAAAAGAATTATAATACTTTACTTTACGCTAAACTTAGCGTTTATCATGTAATATTAATTACGAAGGGTATGAAACGAATGCGAAAACGCTTAATTATAAAATAAAATATTATTAATCCACTCTTCTACGCCCACTAATATGTATGTAAAAGAATAATCGAATTTAATAACTGTAAATATATTTTAAATTATTTATCCCTTTTGATTGTACTAATGAATTTAATCCTCCTTCTTAATACACGCAATAATATAAGTACTATCGATAGTACCGATATAACTATTAGAAGTATTTAAACTAGGATTTGACTCGATTATAAGATCTAAATAATTATTTACTAATAATATAATATATATAAAATACAAATATTTATAAGCAAATAATAAATTAGTTATAGTTTTTAATATAAAGCTCTAATTAATTTAAAAATAGTATAAAATAGTTCGCTAATTTTAATAATAGGCTAAAATATATAGAAAGACTATTAACTTTTAATATACTATTTAATATTGATTACTTTCCAAACTAATATTCTCTTAAAATTATTTTAATAGGGTATTAAAAGTAAGTCTATTTATACGAAAGAATTATTTAAATTATATTATTAAATTATAATAATTATTATTGTTAATTTTCCAGTATAATTTAGGCTATAATATATAAATTCAAGATCCTTCCTCTCTTTATTATAAAAGATAATATTAATGGCGGTTACTATTATAAAGGCGAAAGCAGTTCAGTTACGACTTCCTAGATATATAACGACCGATATCGACGAATACGAATATATAGCGGTTATAATATACTAGAATTTTAATAACTAAGAGTATAAGGCTCGAGTGCGGCTCAACTGATATAACGTTTACCGATAGGGTAGGCCTACTTATATTATATATTTTGGTAAGGAAATTTACGAAAACTTACGGAAACTTACGAAAATTTACAATTTTTCTACTAGAAATAGGGTACCCCCTACTTCTAAGATTCCGTCAATTTTAATAAGAAAACCGGTCAAAAATACTAAGAATCTGTCGATTTCAGTACAAATTAGGAAGGTGTGACAGCCTACATTAGTCGGTACCTCCTCTAAATACCCTGGTTCAAGTTTGAGTAGTTTTTTCGAGTTTTCTCGAGTTTTTTAGTGACCAGACTAGTTAGTCCAGAAAAAAAATCGAGCTTGGCACCAAAACCCCCTGTAACCCTCACAACTTTTCAATGAAAAGTTTGAGCCGATCAGGGCCTTAGTCATCTCCAAGACGATATCACTCCATATAGGGACATAATATTGCAACATCGCGCATCTTTGCGTCTCTCGGCGCTTATGCGGAAAGCTCAAAGGGGGAGGGAACAGTGCTGATCTCCGCATAGCTTCATCCTCGGCAACCTTCTCGCCGCACTTCTTTTTGCATCAACAACTGTGTCAATATACAGCTCGAATGCTCCCAGGTTGCCGCCGGTGATATCCAATCCCTCGCCAAGTGTGAAGGAAGACAGAAAGGGGGAAGGTACCATGCTTGGCGCTACACATCAACAAACTTCCAGATACAGTTAGTGTAGCCGTTATGTGGGTGGAGCCCCTCACCTGAGCTCGCGTTCCCCGCCATTGCCTGCCGCTTGCGCCCGCTGCCCGCCAACGCGATGCGCCTTTCGTCATTGCATGACATCGCGTCGGGAAACACCTTTTCCAACAACCAATTCACGGAGAAGGAGTCTTTGTATTGCTTGGACTTCTTTGACTTCCTCATTGTACATTTCTATCCCAACCTAATATCGCATCCCTGACGACAATTGGATTTGGCGCATCTACCTACCTCCCTTAACTTTGGCCCAAGCAATACACCTTACCGAGCCCTCGCTGATTTTGGCATTTCGTCGCAACTTGTCGCATTCTTCCTGTCGCCATCCATCGCATCGCACGACATAAACGCATAAACAGTGGATTTGACTCGACTACCCGACGCCCATCACGAATCCATGCCGGCCGATGAAGAGGCCGGGATCTCAGCATGGCTTCTTCACAACCAAATATGGAAAGGTTCCTGCGCGAATGGCGCCAGGATGCCCTCAACAAGGCCCAGTATGAGTCGGCCATATTCATAGGAGACAAGCTTCTAGCCATGACAAGTAAGCAATTGTATGAATCTCCATTCCGGTACTGGCCCTGATCTCTAACTGTTGGTTTGCTCCAGATGACGATAACGATGCCTTCTATTTAGCCCAAGTCCACTTTGCAGCCGGAAACTATACTCGAGCACAAGCACTGCTTGTCAAACAAGACCTCCTCACCTCGAATCCATCCTGCCGATACCTCGCAGCACACTGCCTAATAAAACAAAACAACTTTGTCGAAGCCCTCGCGATACTAGGTGAACACACCCCGACACACCTATTTGCGACCAGTGCGAAACGGAAGACTACCCGAGGCTTGCGCGCTGCCACAGCGAGAGCCAACTCAAAAACACCATCGCGTCACCACGACCAAGGCGATGATATACCAGAGGAAGACATCTCAAACAGGCGCTACGAAGCCTCCATGTGCTATCTCCGAGGGCTCTGCTACGCCAAGCAGAATGCCTTTGACCGAGCCAAGGAAGCCTACAAGGACGCTTTGCGTATCGATGTCCAGTGTTTCGAGGCCTTCAGCCAACTGGTCAAAAACTCACTCATGTCGCCCGATGAAGAGGACGAGTTTATGCAGTCGCTCGCCTTCAACTCGATTCGTGCTCCGGGCGATGACCCAGACATGGAGGACGAACCAGCCGACTACGTGCAGATGCTGTACCAAACACAGCTCTCCAAATACCACAACCCACAAGCTTTCAACACAGCCATCGAGTCGCTGTCAACACACTACGGTCTCGAGAACAATGCCGATATCCTGCTCGCCAAGGCCGACCTGCTCTATACGCAATGCCGCTTTAAGGACGCGCTTGCGATAACCGAGTCGATCCTGATGGACGACAAATACAATTTCGCCGTCTACCCCATCCATCTCGCCTGCTTGTACGAGCTGCGAAAAACGAACGTGCTCTTCTTGATCGCCCACGAGCTAGCCGACACCCACCCCGACGAACCCTGCACCTGGCTCGCCGTCGGCGTCTACTACTTCACCACAGGCAAGATAGCCGACGCGCGCCGCTACTTCAGCAAGGCAAGCATGATGGACGCCAACTTTGGTCCGGCCTGGATCGGCTTCGCGCACACCTTCGCCGCCGAGGGCGAGCACGACCAGGCCGTGACGGCCTACTCGACCGCCGCCCGCTTATTCACGGGCACGCACCTGCCGCAGGTCTTTTTGGGCATGCAGAACCACGCCATGAACAACATGACCGCCGCCGAAGAGTTCCTCAAGACGGCCTACTCGCTGTGCAAGACGGACCCGCTGCTGCTCAACGAGATGGGCATCGTGCTCTACCACCAGGACCGCTTGAAGGAGGCCGTCAAGATGTTCAACCAGGCGCTCGTCATCGCCGAGGAGACCGACAGCGACCCGCACGCTTGGCTGGGCGCCCGCACGAACTTGGGACACGCGCTGAGGCGGCTGAGGAAATATGACGAGGCGCTGGAGGAGTTTGACCAGGTGCTTCGCGATGGCGGGAAAGACGCGCAGATATTTGGCGCCAAAGGATTGATTTACTTGGATCAAGGAAGGCCGGATGAGGCGGTGCGGGTGCTGCATGAGGCGTTGGCGATACACCCGCAGGATCCAATTGCTACGGAGTTGCTGAATAAAGCGCTCGAGGAGTCGGCGGAAGCAGGGGATATAGGGCTGCTAGGGACCGCGGATGCGGGTATTGGCGGGGAAGCGGGGGACGGGGCGATGACGGGGGACTTGGCTAGCTTTGAGCAGATGCTGGGGGAGAAGAAGTTTGCGGCGAGGATGAAATTGGCAAGGGGGAGAAGGACGGCTGCGGAGACGCCGGGACAGGGTGGTGTGAAGGATAAAGGGAAGGGTGTTGCTAGGAGTGGTGGGAGGAGGGGAGCGGCGGGGGGCACTAGGTTGTTTAGGGGAGATCAAGAAGAGGTGGATAACATGGAGTTGAGCGATTGATCAGCATGGCGATGAGGATCAGATTGATTAGCACTGTTGTTGGATTATACGTACTTGGCACATCGGCACGGTAAATAGGCATAGCGATGGCGTCCAGGATAGGATATTGATCAAGGCTGGAACTTAGAAGTTGGAACGGGGGCCCAGGAGCACCATGGAGTTTTAGTTTAGAATCAGATGATCCATAACGGTACTGGATTATCACGGCCTGTCATTGGTATTTCAACGAGTTGTTTATAAGTCTTGAATTCAACTATCATCATATCCAACACTGGTGTCGTATACATCACTATCGTCCCAAATCCATGATCATACATCAAACATTACATGATTATCGTAATCGTGATTTCGTAAACATCCTCCCTGCTCAAGTCCCACCCATTGTGCCCTTAAAGGTTAGGATGAGGATTCACCAACTCTTCCACCTTCGCAAACTGGTAGTAAAAGTCCAGACTCTGCGGATTAGCCAGCGTCCCACTCGGCTTGACCTTGCGTCCACACACAATGTGCTTAACAGGTAGCTCGACCTTCTTGAGGTTAATAGTCGTCTATTCGGTTCTTTGTCAGTTTCCCATCCATCTATCACAGCAAATTTGTTCTTCAGGGACAAGGGACCCAAAAAAAACTCACCGGAATCTCAGGCGTCTCAAAAACCCATTTCGGCACATGCCTCTTACTCAAATCCTTGCCAATCGCCTCCTTCACCTCCCTCACCAGCGCCTCATCCAGCTTCTGGCCGGGCTTCATCAGCAAGAAAAGCATCACGCTCTCATCATGATCCTTCGGCCTTCGCTGCCCTACACACAGCGAGTCCTGCACTCGATCGGCAAACCGGCGCTCGATGACGCTGTATATCTCCGCCGAGCCGAACCGCACGCCACTCGGGTTGAGAACCCCGTCCGCTCTCCCCAAAAGGTGTAAATTCTTAGTGGTCGGGTGGATCACGCAAAAGTCGCCGTGCGCCCAGACGTGCGGGAAGCGCGCGAAGTAGGCTGAGTGGTAGCGGGTTCCCGGGGACGCCACACCCTTTTGGCCCTCGGGGATGGGGTCGGACCAGAAGAAGCAGGGCACGTTGGGGAACGCGGTGGTGGCGACGAGTTCACCTGCGTGGCCCTCGGGGACGGGACGGCCTGGTTCGCCGTCGCCGACGAGGGAGTCGTAGATTTTTACCTCTACGCCCAAGGAGAAACCCTGCGTGCCGCCGACGTAGACGGGCGTTAGGGGGTTGCAGATGCCGAAACAACCGGCTATGTCGGTGCCGCCCGACATGTTGGCGAGCTGGACGGAGGGCGGGAAGCCGGAGTCGTAGAACCATTCGAAGAGTTGGTCGGAGAGGACCATGCCTGTGCAGGTGACGATCCGCAAAGCCGAGAGGTCGGCCATTTCGCGGGGGGATTGGCCGTTTTTGGCGAACTCGAACATCCACCGGGGGGAAATGCCGAGTTTGGTGGCGCGGTGTTTGGCGGCGAGGGAAATCAAAATGGAGGAGTCGGGTTTGAAGGGCGAGCCATCGTAGATGATGGTTTTCCCGCCATACAACAAAATGGCGACGTTGGCGAGGTACATGATCCAGCCCGTGGTGGTGTATTGGAGGGTTACGTCCGACCCCGTGAGTCCTTCGTGGAGACCGCCTTCTTTGAAGTAGGAGATCATTACGCCGCCGAGGGAGTGCACGATGGCCTTTGGAGTGCCGGTGGTGCCGGAGGAGTAGCAGATTAGGTAGGGTTCGTGGAAGGGGATGCGGACGAAGTCCGGGATGGCGGGCGAGGCGCCAGCGGAAGAAATAAAGTCGTCCCAGGTGATGGCTTTCGGAACGGCCGAGATGTCGCGGGCTTCGGAGAAGCGGCGGATGGAGACGATGTTGTCGAAGTTGGTGCAGTCCTTGAGTCCCTCGACCACTTCGGCCATCTTTCCCCGGAGGTCGACGATCTTGCCGTTGTAGAGGGCCGCGTCGTCCATGAAGAGCAGCTTGGGGTTGACTTGCACCGTTCGCTGCAGGATGCCCTTGGTGCCCATGTCCGTCGAGCTGCTGCTGAAGATGGCGCCCAGCCACGAGGTGGCCAGCCAGACGAGCAGCGTGTCGATGCTGTTGGAACCGACGATCACCACGATGTCGCCCTTCTTGACCCCGCGCGCCTTCATCGCGGCGGCTAGTCTGCCTGCTCGCTCGCGGAGTTCGCCGTATGTGGCGTCGCGGGTTTCGCTTGCGCCTTCACGCACCTCGGTCACGGCTACCTTGTCGTCTTCTTTTCCTACTGTGGAACGGGTTTGGCTCGAACTGCCCTTGGGCCGGGAGTAGAGCACGTTCTCGGCGTAGCTGAGCTTGACGCCCTCGAACCAGATGGGGACGGCGTCAATGGGGGCGGATTCGTCCACTACTCTGCTGTAGGTGCCTTCGTGGATGTAGTTAGCTTCTTCCCAGACGTCCGCCCAGAACTGGGAGCGGTTTTGGAGGGAGTATTCGTGGAGTTCCAAGAAGGTCTAAACACTTTTGTTAACCTCGGGGCACAATGGATCAAATGGCGGACAATACTGACCTTCAAGCTAAGCCCATGTCTCTTGTTAACATTCTGCAAGAACTGCCACATAGGCGTGCTCTCCGGGTTTGGGTGCTCCCAAAGCTTCCTCGGGATTACGTCTGGGCGCATGATGATTTCGTCGATTTCGTCTTCTAGTAGATCTTCGACTTTTGTGTTTGTGTTGGTTTCTGTGCTGAGGACTTCCGTAGTTGTAACCTCCGTAACCTCTGTAGCTTTTGTGACTTCTGTGTTAACTTCCATCTTGACTTCCATGGAGTTCGTCATAATAGCATCTGTCGCAGACGACGACAAAGCCGATAATGGCAATTCCACTGCCACCGACATCTTTGCAAAGTGTTTGGTATCCGGAATCAAATTTTGATGGGGCAAAAAGGCAAAGAGAGAAAAATACGACAAAAAGTCAGCTTGGGAGGAGGGATTCTCTCTTACCAAGTAAAACCGACCGACCGATCGGCCGTCTTTCTCAACTATATATCCCCTTCGCTTTCCACTTTTCCCTTATCACCAACAACCTCGATCGATCCAACAATCTCTCTGGCTCTGACCCACAATCAACAATCCAAGTCGTCCAAAGTCGTCCAAGTGGACCAATGCGGCGAATAGCTAGCTAGCTAGGTAGGTAGCTTGCTCCGTTCAGCCTCCTTCACCGCGACACGCGATCCTAGTGTAAAATGCCCCAAATGCGATGACGAACGTCGATCAGTCGGTATCAGCACTGCGGTAGGGTAGGCATTCAGGTACCTGGGGCTCTTTGGAAATCTGAGACCGCTTTTTCGACGTAGGAGGAGGAACCAACAAGCCAATGGCGAAGTATGTAGTGGAGGAGACACTGGAGACCTGGAGGAGTTTCAGCGAGGTCCAGTCTGTCGGGCGAGGAGAGAGGTCGTTCCCAATGGCTAATGCGGGGAAACGGGGGTGCTTTTTACCGCTTTCAGCTTGGTATTACCGTGATACTTGCGGGACTTGCCAGCAAGTTCGAGGGATCAGCGCTTTCCGGCCGACTGGTTGGGCCTCGGCCCGGGAAGCTCAGTACCCTGTTTGTTTGCTTTTACTGTGATGGACTGTGTGCATGCAGGACGAACTTGTTTGGAATTGGGGTCAGGGGGTGCCGTTACTTTTCTTCTCCAACTCCATGCGGCTGTGTCGGGGTTAAACACTCCCGTCCCGGGATGGGATGAGGGGAGCAAGCATGGAACTTCAACTTGGTTCGCAACTGAATGTTGCACCGACGAGCCCATCGAGGATGACCTCAAGCCACGTCAACTCCCGTAGTTTCACAAGACCGACCGCCTTATGAACAGCCCGTAGGCCTTGTGCATCTAAATCATTACTGTAACTAATCACTTTTTACTCCTCTTAACACCAAGAACAATGCAAACCTCCCGCTTCATACAATAACCATATCAAAAATCAGATACAACCAACCCATCATTACCGCGCACATCATGAACTCCTCTCATCTGTCTTGACTTCCTAACATGCAAACTCCCAAGTTCCTGTGAAACCTTTTCCTTGAATTTCAACACCCCAGCAAACTCAATCCCACGCTTCCAACAACCAACATCGTCACAAACCTCCACACCCTCCATCACAGATACGGCATCCACAACGCCTCACACTGCGCCAAATTCAACGGACTAACCGCCTTCGCAATCAAGTCAATGATCGTCTGGAACGCCGGCAAGTTACCCGCCGGCGCCTGTGCCAGGCTCGCCGCCCGCTTGACAATCATCTCGCTGTTCGCCTGCACCGTCTCCCTGAGCTGATTGTCCGACAGGTTCAGCGGCCTGTGACTGCTCGTGAACCAGAAGATCATCTCGTCGCGGACAAACAGCGTCAGCGCGTGCTCGAGCTGGAACTCCGGGTCCGTCAGACAGCGCGCGATCGCCATCATGGAAACGGTAAAGATGCCCTCGAGCGCGAGCGGGCCCATGAGCGTCTGGAGGTTGGGCGTGAGACGGAACGGCACCGGCTCCGTGTTGCTGAAGTAGGGCTTGTTGGCCGCCATGAGCGCCGTGAGCTCGGAGCCCCAGATGTTGCCCGAGCCGCGCGCGATGTTGAACTTGTGCGGGTATCGCTTGTCGATGTGCAAGATGTATGTCATGAATGTGAGCGCGGCGAGCTGATACGAGAAGCGACGCCTGAAGAGCCAGAACTCGGCAAAGTCGGGGAAGATAGCCTGGAAATACTGCAACACAAGTGTGTGCGGCACCCACTTCTCCTGAATCGCGTTGAGCACTTCAAGACGAGCCGCCGCGTTCTGTCCCTGTTCAGATAATTTCTGCATTGACATGTCAGTACTGCTGCTCCCAGTTCTTCTATCCGTTGGGACTATGCTTCTACTTACCGCGTTCGGCAGCTTGCCATCCATAAGCCCGCGCAATTTCTCCATAGTAAAGAGGAACGGCTCATCCTTGTGTACTCCCGACCTACGGCAGTGATCCTCGTAAATGCCCTGGAGAGTGATGTATGAAGTGTCCTCTTGAATGATCCTGATATGAGGTGCAAGAGGTACCATCAACGGCAGTGTGAACTGGAGATCACGTCTGCGACTCTCCTTCTTGTGGCTCAATGTCTGGTTGAGCTGCCTGAAGAGCTGAAGAAGACGCTCTTCGCGACGGGACTGTCGCGCTGCGGGATGCTGGACAGCAAACGAGTGAACGCTACCGTCGTGGCCACGGATCTTCAACCGGCGATGCGACACATTGGAAGTGCGGACGAGATCAACATTGGGCAGGAACCTGTCGATACGGATGAAGTCCTGGTTCTTGTCCTTATGCTGCAAGTATTGACCCGGAATCTCGACCTCGTCAAACTTCTGGTACCGGAACTCGCTAAGATGCGGCGTATAGTGAGAGAAGTTCTCCAGGGGCATGCTTGTGCGGCGGCGATCCAGCTTCTCTTCGAACTTGTCGCGCCATTTCCGAAGTTTCTGGATGTACTCATACATAGTGGGCTTGGCCTTGACAAACTCTTGCTCGAATGTACCTCTGATGTGAGCCGGCAGTATTGTCTCCGCAAAACGTGTGATGTTTGCCTCGGTTGCGACTGGAAGCTTGACGTCTCTGGCATACGAAGTCGGCATACGACTGACATATGACAGGCCGTCATTGAGGAGCGCAACAATGAGTCTGTAAGCGTCTTCGTCGGGTGGACACTTGAAGTGCTTCTGGATCTGATCCACCATGGTCTCCATGGACAGCGCCAGGAGCGGGAACGCCGTCTTCAGCATGCTCATGATCTCATCAGTGAGTTCCCAAGGTGGCCTCTTCTGGACGGCCTGTGGCTGCGCACCAGGGACTGCACCCGGAGCGTGAAGGCCCGCCGCGACTTGAGCAGAATTTGGAGGAGGAACGCTGGCCTGAGCAGCTGGTAGATTAACGCCATTAGGTGCGCCCTCAGCCTTGACTTCGGGTTTGACTTGTCCAGTAGCATCGCCAGTAGCGGTGGCAGGTCGTGAATCACCTTCGGGCTTGGGAGTGGCCGTAGCCGTAGCAGCAGGAGTAGGCTGGCCCGGAGTAGCGCTTGCCCTGTTGGCGTTGGCCGCTGCGCTTTGCGCCCGTTGCTGCTGTTGCTGTCTCAGACGCTCCTTGTTCTCCTGAGCCTTCTTGATTTGTAGCATGTCTTCGCGGCTGGTTCGGAGCAGGAAGTAAAGCGCTTGAGGGTAGCTTTTAGCAATCTTGCTCAGGACAACTTGAAGTCTCGGTGCCTCCTTGTGATTGAGTCCGGTAAGCAGCTGAGGGATGTACGTAATCCAATACCATGTTGGTGTCTCGCCCTTGAAGTCGTCGAACCCGCTCGAGATGGTGTTGTTGGCGTCATCGAGACTCAAAAGCCACAAAATCCGTGCAATGAGCTTCCTTGACTTGTGATTCTTGTAGCTTGACACAGCTTGCAGGTAACACGTAAGGGCCTGCTTGGCGGCAAGCACATCAGCCGGGTTCTCCCTGAACTTTCGGTCGTTGAAGTAGCCCCATTCTGCCCACGCCTTCGGGGCAGAGATGTCGTGCGAAAGTGCCATGCCATAAGCTGTATCAACCTCGTCCTTTTGGCCAAGCTTCTCCAGGAACATGCCCTTGAGAGTGAAGAATTCAGCCTTTTGCTGACCTGTGAAGTAGCCGAGATTGGTGTTGTTGATGACCTCCAGCCCATTTTGCAGCTCTTCTGGGTTCTGATAGTGGCACTTAGCCTGCTCCCTCAACTTGAGAAAGGCCTCTTGGATCTCGATGTTCGGCAAGGTGTAGATGCGGCTGAGTTGGTTGATGCACACTTCGTGTAGGCCATGCTTGCGGGCAACGTGCGCGAATCTATTAATAATCCAGGCAGTTTCATGGAACCCACGGTACGCGAACGAAGCACCACCAGCGCTCTGTCCTCCTTGTTGCGGCAAAAGTTGGAGATATGTGTTGTTGATGAGACCAAAGACGTGTTGTCTCCATGTGACCAGGTCTTGCCATGCGACAATATCATCCCACGTATTGGGGAGACGATCCCGCCATGAGCCGAGGAGCAGCTTGAGCTCACCGGACCGCGCATCGAGGTTGTTCTGGTTGGTTGCGGAAAGACTCTGGCAGATCACACTAGCATCATGAAGCTCAACCAATTGCTGGAAGTTCTGCAAGATCGGGATGTGAGCTGTGGTGAGACGCTTGGGAAGGTGGTGCCACTTCCGGATCGATAGCTGGATCGCCTCGTCAACCACGCGATTAAAGTCTTGAAGACTCTCCTCCTTGTTGTGATACTTCAGCAACGACATGAAGGCCTGGAAGAAGCTTCTGCGAGGCGTAGGCGCATCCATCAGGCCCTTAATGTGATTGTCGAGTTGCTCCCTGTTCTCTTTGTTTTGCCAGTACTCGGTGTTGCGCCAGATAGACTCCAACAGCAGGTCTTGCATATTCTCGTGTTTAGCGAACTCTTGAAGAATGTCCCATTGCTGGAGCTTCTCGGCGCAAAGAACCCAGTGATCCTCCCACAACATGTATTCGCCTTCGGAGAAAGGTATGACGCCAGTCCGCGCTTTTATCTGGGCTGCTTCGTACATCTTTTGGGCCTTGTCCCACATGCCATTCTGCTCGTACGAAAGCGCTGCGTTGGTCTCGACAAACTGGCACCGACGGCGCCATGTGCCAAAGAAGAGGTCCTCCTCGCCAAGAGATGCATACAGATCCACCAGCGCGTCGAGGTTGCTTTCCTTGACGATCGCTGAGTCATCTCCCGGCTTGATGGCAGCAGTCTCCAACTGGCAGAGCGCTGTATACCACGCATCGAAGGTTTTGGCCTCAAACTTGAGAACATGCGGTGGCAGCCTGCATTCCGGGAAAGCT